GGTACAGTTTTAAAATTAAACTTAGTATGAAAAGATCCGGCCCCTATTACGAAAATTGAGTTTCCCGTATTACGAAAAGTTCCGGGCCGAGGGTTCGAATGTTTTCTAAAAACACTGTATTACTCAGACTGCCTAGTGCACAAAAATTGAGAAGTAATCTGAAAACTGCCAGGCGCAAATCGTCTATATTAATTTTGGTTTCCAATTCCGTTAACGCACGTGACAACAACAAGATACCATGGGATCAGGTCCCAAGTAAAGGTATCACAGTTTCAGTCGAGGGATGTTCAGAATACCGAAGAGCAGTGTACCCAATTTTATTAGCCACAGTACACTTCTTCAATCGCTCAGATCATCACGATGCGTACCCAAGACTTTGACTTTTACTCGGGGCCAAAGCACAGTCATACCTAAAAGTAAGCCTAAAAAGACAGCATCGCTTATCATTAACACAGCCTGCTTGATTTTAGTTGGTGTATCTGCTTATGCTTACGGAAAGCGCAAGGTAACTCAGCCCGCATCTTCATTATCTTCAACAACTCCACTCAGTTCCTTAAGTCCTCCTGCTTACTGCAATGACGATGAACTCATCCAGGCTATCCAAGAAATAACTAGTGTCATCGGCAAAGCAAAGGTAGTCAATACGAAGGTTGAATTGGATTTTCATACCAGGAATGATTTTACACCCCATGAACCTTTGGAGCATGAAAGACCAAAGTTTATTCTATATCCTACATCGACAGAAGAGGTATCGGAGATTCTAAAGGTATTGTATAAGTACAATGTTCCAGTTGTCCCATTTAGTGGTGGAACCTCATTAGAGGGGCATTTTTACTCTACCAGACAAGGTGTAATATTGAATACTTCCAAGATGAATAGAATTATCGAAATTAACCATGATGATATGGATGCTAAAGTGGAGGCAGGTGTCAATTGGCAGGATTTGAATGAGGTATTGAAACCTTCGGGGTTAATGTTGGGAACCGACTGTGGCCCAAATGGATTGATTTCTGGAATGATTAATACAAATGCTTCTGGAATCAATGCTTCAAGATATGGAGCTATGATCACTAATGTTATATCTGTGACTGTTGTTCTAGCAGATGGCACCATTGTGAAAACGAAAAGAAGACCACGAAAGTCAAGCGCTGGCTATAACTTAACAGGACTATTTGTTGGCAGTGAAGGAACATTGGGTATAGTCACAGAAGCTACAGTCAAATTACACCCATTGCCGAAAGTGGAAAGGGTTGTTGTATGTCAGTTTCCAGAGATGATCGATTCCACTAACACTGTTGCGCAAATTTTCCGTTCAGGCATCCAGCCTAATGCTGTCGAGTTAATGGATTCGGATATGATGCTGTGTTTGAACTATAGTGGGTTTTTATCCAGAAGATGGTTAGAGTGTCCAACTATCTTTTTCAAGTTAGGTGCTGTGAGTGAGAATATTGTTGATGAATATATTCAACAAGTTAATCGTATTGCCAAGAAGAACAACTGTCTGAATTTTATTTTTGCCACCACCGAAGAAGAAGGGGAGGAATTATTTTCTGCCAGAAAAAATGCCTTCTATGCTATGATTCAGTACGGAAAGAACGAAATTGATGAGGATGTAAGAATTTGGGTAACTGATATTGCGGTTCCCCTCTCCAAACTACCCTCAGTGTTGGGACAAGTCCATAAACTCATCAAATCATCTGGATTTCATTCGGTAATATTGGCTCATGCTGCTGACGGAAATTTCCATGCTGATTTGTATTACAAGATTGAGGACAAAGCAAAATGTGAAGAGGTCGTAAAACAGATGGTCAAGTTGGGCCTTGACAATGAAGGAACGTGTACTGGAGAACATGGGGTAGGTAATGCTAAGAGGAAATTCTTAATGGAAGAATTAGGAGAGGATGCTATAGATTTGATGAGAAAATTAAAAATCTCATTGGACCCGAAACGAATTTTGAACCCCGACAAAATCTTCAAAATTGACCCAGATGACCAAGGGGAGTATTGATATGTTATTAAGCATTAAGTTCACTAGCAAAAACTCACGAATAGAAACTAGCGCATTAAAACTTTTAGTTCAAAGAGATACAGTTACATACTAATACACATAAAATGAGCGAAATTCTGCATCGGTATGAACATAAGTTTTGTGTTGGAGTATGCTGCGAAGAAGTAGATTCGAGCAACGACGGAAAAGTTATTATAACGAAGTTCATATTCTTCAACGTAGCCGAATTATTTTTCGATCCAAGTAGTTGTAGCTTTGTCGAAAAGCTCAGTTGCATTTGAAATGGTTTCGTTTAAAAATCTCGTTTCCGAGAGTAACTTTAGGAAACCCAAATATTGGGACGATATTTTCTCATCTGAAACGTTGGTTATTTATACATCTGATCCATTCTGTGAACAATTGTCATATCGGCAACCTTTTGATTCTGTAGATAAAATAAATCTTTCAACAATTGATTCAGTAGAACGTTTCTTCTTAAAATCAACTAAATTTGCATATCGTTTTGGCAAAGAAGTCTTTTTACTAAAAAATCCAATTTGCATTAGTGATCGAGGTAATGACCACGAAGAATAATAAATTGCTTGTAACTTCTTAGATGCACTTCTGGCCCTACCTTGCTACCGTGCCAGCAATGTCAGTCAGATGGATATTGCATTTCATAATTCAATAAATCTAAGTGATCCAAAACTTTGCAGTTGCTCTTCCAGATCGCCTTAAAACTTTGAACAAAAGTGAATATTGAATCATCATAGTAGATTTTTGTTTAGTGATCATACCAAATAATGTGTCAGTGAATGTCAAGATGACACCCCTAAATAGCCGAGAAGCTAAACTGCCTCTTCAACAGCTGTAAAGCATTTTCAATATTAATTGAAAGCTCTATTAGTAGCTCGAGGCCCATAAAAAGAATCCCAGCTCGAAAATCCCAATCATCTTGCCGGAATTGTTACACCATTTAAGAAGTTTTTAAGAAAAGTAATTTGCTGGTTATATTGGTTGGAACAGCATCAAGACACAGATTGTGAATTAGGAAGTACTTGAAAACCACTCGTTTTAACTTCTACCTGTATTTATCCTAATTCATATTGAGTATGTTCTCAGATTTTGATCGGTTGCTATTCCTTTGATGCTTAATGCCAAGCTTCGAATACTAATTTACTTCAAGCTAGATTCATACCCATGAGGAATGTCGCTCCATCCTGGAGGTGTATCAAGAATTCTTAGGCGCACAATAGTACGGAGATCTTGCCGAAAAAAGAATCCCGAAAGAAACGGCATAATATTATCAAGTACTGAAATGATACAACTTTGCAATACTAGCTTCTCGGCGTTGTGCCCAGCCGAGCATAAGCCACAATTCGAAACGTCACGCATATGTGTGTTGAGAATACGATAAATTGTTATGAGCACATCCTTTCAAACCGGCATGCATATCCTGTCAATCGCGTAATGCAGGATCATGCGAGTATTGCCTTGACAACCAGGTATGGCTGTTACAGATAACACCGGTTCGTGGCATTGGAGGCTTGGTAGAAATGCTATAGGTTCAAGTACAAGTAATGAAATCAATTGATATGTGCGTTTTGTAGCTGAGACCCAAGAAGGAATTCAGTTTTCTAGAGTGTATGGTTTTGATGAAGATAAGGACGGAGTAATCGTGAAACAGTCCATAAACTATGACGCTTATAGAGTTGACAGATCATTTTAAACTATTTTAAGCCCCCCCCAAAGCTTGTTATCTTCCCTCCGCTCGAGTCTCAATTAATTTATTCTAAGCATCAATCAAATCGGTTGCTAATGATTGGACGGAAAGAATTCTGGGGCCAAATTTAGTATTTTACACAAAGGGCCTACTGGATCACTGATAATAGAGATTTGATTGCTATTGTGAAAATAGTGGTCCTGATCATAATACACGGCCCAAACTTTAAACCCGGAAAAATAGATAAAATATACGCCGATGTGGGCTAACTAGCTTTAGAAGAATAGTTTTGAACCGTGACTTCGTAAATCATTTACCTGAGGGGGATATTATACCTATTCATGTGAACCACAAATGTCTTTGTGCTTTGATTGAGTTGGCCCTGAGACGGAACCTGCTTTCGGTTTGAAGAATTTCTGAGGTAATGAGAAAATGCGAAACTTTGAGACACCAGTGCCTGCGTGCATAATTTTCTAATTAACAAGCTACAGTATTAGTAGGCATCATTAGCCCAGTTAAGGATGGCCACGTCAATTTCTGAGCACACTATGAATGTACTCGACTAGCCCTCCAATAAACGTCACCTTTTCAATTGGAAACGTTTATCAGCAGAGAATTAATTAAACTGAAATAAACACAAATAACCTCAAGAAAATAGTAGATTAAACACCAATACTGATATCTCAGCAAAGGATCAAGTAGGCTTTCCCAATCAGGCTTTCCCAAATCAGAGTTACACAAGTCGCAACAGCTATAGTTTTGAGGATTATGTGACTTCAGAGTTCACGGAGTTGCGTCTTCACTATCAGTGTTGACTCTGTGATTAAACATCTACTTCAAAATTAGCATAATTTTGACTTTGTTGTATTTTAAGTGAATCATTTAACGAATTGTATTATTTATTAGCCTATAGTGGGTTCAAAATCATAATTTAATCTAATAAGCCAAATCAAAGTAAATGCAAAATTCTACATCAATAATGAAAACACCACAATAGACTAATTTCATGTATGTGCTGCAAAACATCACCCTTGCTGATTATGGAGCCGTATAAGTGCGAGGTGGATAGTGTGGACTTACTGTCAAAAGGATTTCAAAGCCACCAAGCAGCTACTTTATTGAGAATTTAACAGCCGTGGATTAACGAGAAGTCATTCTATCCATAAACCATGAAAGTGAGAGTTGATGAAATCGAAGCTTGCGAAGCAGCTAATACATACTAGCTTTTGGTTTTTTGATCGAATTACTGGGGTAAAATTAATTTGGATGTTAACTGCTTCCCAATATGGTTTCCGGTAAGGGTTTGTTGATTAGCGAAATGGGTTTGTCAAAAATAAAGTGGCTTAAAGGTATGCGCTTAGTTTATCTCAAGTTCAATTTTGCAACTGGTGTATGCGTTGCAGCCACTTTTAGAAAATGGTATCCCTATTCTTGTTTTACTATAAATTAGAAGACTTTCCAAGATATTATCATCAAAAGCAGCAAAAGCCATGAGTTCTAACAAGTTAGATGCTCTTGATAGCATCAGAAGTATTGGTAATGCTGGTTATTTGGATATTGAGGATCATGAAGTCAAATTAGATTCGGTTGCTTCTGCTAGAATTGGCCTAGAGAACGTTGGTCGAGAATTGACTGATCAACAGAAATTTTTGATTCTTAATAGGTTGGGTTTGGAAGGATTGTTGTCATTGGATGATTTGCCGCTCACTGCTTCTTTCATGATAGAGAAAACTCAGAAGTTATCTATTTCGGAAGCCTTGACTATTATTCAGGATTCTCACAAAAAGCTTGAGGCTGATGTGAATATTCCAGTAGAAGAGTACAACCTTTATGAGAATTTGCTTAACTCAACTCCGAACTCATTAAGCTATAGTAGTCAGTCTGGAATTGATGAAAAGCTTGAGAAGCTGAAGTTTGGTAATGTGGAAGTAAAAGAGGCACATTCGTTCTCTTCTGATAGTGAATCACAAGGAGTTTACAACCCTTACAAGCTTGTTGATTGGGAATTGCAGGTAAGACTAGAGGCAGCGTTGATTGCATACCATTCTCCTTATCAAGAAGTTAGATCAGTAACTGATCCATATGATGATCCGTCAGTACCAGTTGAGACAATAAGAGTGTATGTTTTAGGTCTCATTTGGACAGCTATTACTGCCTTTGTTAATGAATTTTTTGGTGATAGACTTCCAGGAATTTCGTTGTCAACTTCTGTTGTCCAGATGCTTCTCTATCCATGTGGCAAGGCTTGGGAATACATTATCCCAAATTGGAAAGTCAAGGTTTGGAAATACGAGGTTGCATTAAATCCAGGACCATGGACTTTTAAGGAACAAATATTAACAGGACTCATGTTTACTATGGGTGGTGGTGGGAATTACGTTTCCTCTAATATTACTGCCCAAAAATTGAATATCTTCTATCGCAATGACTGGGTCAATTTTGGCTATCAGGTATTGTTAGTTTTGAGTACAAACTGTATGGGACTTGGATTTGCTGGAGTCTTGAGAAGATTCGTTATTTATCCAACTGAAGCAGTTTGGCCAACCATCTTACCTGCGCTTGCATTGAACAGGGCACTATTAGACACAGAAAAGAAAGAGAGGATTAACGGATGGACAATTACTAGATACAAGTTTTTTATTCTTGTCACAACAGCTTCCTTTCTATACTTCTGGATCCCAAACTACTTGTTCCAAGCTTTATCCTACTTCAACTGGATGACTTGGATCAAGCCTGATAATTTTAACCTAGCGGTAATCACTGGTGCCCAATTGGGTTTGGGGCTAAATCCAATTTCATCATTTGACTGGAACGTGTTTGGGACTGGTGCATTGGTCAATCCAGTTTATACAACTTTGAACCTGTACCTCGGATCAATCGTGAGTTTTTTCATAATTGTTGGTATCTACTACAGTAACTACAAATGGACAGCCTATCTTCCTATCAATGCCAACCAATTATTTACGAATACAGGTGACTATTATCGCGTGAGAGAAGTGCTTGACGAGAGGAGTTTGTTTAATCAAGACAAATATGATGCCTATGGGCCACCATTCTATTCAGCTGGGAACTTGATGAATTACGGTGCTTTTTTTGCACTCTACCCGTTCGCTATTATTCACGAGATTGCTTTGACTTACAAGCCAGTATGGACTGCATTAAAGGGCCTCGTTAAGTCAATAAGACATTGGAAGGCTTCTACTTATGAAGACTTTACCGATCCTCACTCCACTATGATGAAAAAGTACAAAGAAGTTCCCGACTGGTGTTATTATATCCTTCTTCTAGTATCTCTTTTGTTTTCCATATTAAGTGTGAAGTTGTATCCAGCTAATACACCAGTATGGGGAATATTCTTTGCACTTGGTATCAACTTTGTCTTCTTGATTCCACTTACAACACTTCAGGCAACCACAGGTTTTAGCTTTGCACTTAATGTATTAGTGGAGTTAATTGTTGGCTATGCTCTTCCAGGAAATGGCTTGGCTTTGATGACAATAAAGGCATTGGGAACCGAATTGGATGCGCAAGCACTGGGATTTATCTCTGATCAGAAGTTGGGCCATTACAGTAAGCTACCACCAAGAGCAATGTTCAGAATTCAAGTCCTTGGAACAATTGTGGGATCATTTGTTAGCATGGCAGCCTTGATTTTCAAATTGGATCATTTTGAAGATTATTGTCAGCCACATCAAAAAGACAAGTTTTCCTGTCCTGGAACGAACACTTTCTTTGCAGCTTCTGTTATTTGGGGTGTTATTGGGCCAAAGAAGGTATTCAATGGATTGTATCCAATCTTACGTTGGTGCTTTTTGATTGGGTTTTTGTTGTCAATTCCTTGTGTTGTGATTAAGTTATACGGACCAAAGCGTTACGTCAAATTTTTCCAACCTAGTATTATAATCGGTGGAATGATAAGCTGGGCACCAGGTAACTTGTTCTACCTGACTGGAGGGGTTTATTTATCAATCGCTTCCATGTGGTATCTCAAAACAAGATTTGCATCGTTTTGGTCAAAGTACAACTATGTCTTCAGTAGTGCTATGGAAGCCGGGATTGCTTTTAGCAGTATCATCATTTTCTTTGCAGTTCAGTACCACCCAAAAAATGTGACTTGGTGGGGAAATACTGTTCCATTTGCCGGTATTGATGGAGGGAATGGGCAACAAGCACGACTCAATGCAAGCCTTCTACCAGATGGTTACTTTGGCCCTAGGGTAGGTAATTTCCCATAAATACATTTGAGAAGCAAGAGACACTTCGAATGTATATTGTTCTTAATTTTTTAACCAAGTAGTGCGTGCAATTAATATCTAATAAACTCTAGTTGAGTTAATATCAAGTACTTATCGCCGATAGTGTTTGACTAAGTTGCAAGAATCCGATACTAATCCCTAAATTGGGCCTATAAGGGAGTGCAAGATCAAGCTAAAACTTAAGTAAGGTATTAACAGATTCTCTCTGCCAAGTAACTCAATAAACCTCATTAAGTTTGGACCCTTAAAAGAACCCCTGCCTCCCCAGACGAGGATAAAAGAGTACTAGTATCATTCAGAATGTTCTAATTCATGTTCTTCCCTGACAACAGAATTCAAATACGACTAAAAAAGCCTTACGATAAGAGGCGATAAGCAACTGTGATTGGACAAGTGGATATGATATGCATTTAGACAAGAGGCTAATTTCTACAAGCCTAGTTTCAACTAGCCTCCTGACCCCATGGCTCTGTCAAAATACGGAAAATCCCCGAAAAAATATATTCTTGGCGGGGCTTGGAGGTGAGGCTTGAAGTGGGGATCATACAATTAAGGTTGAAGGCATAATCTCTCTAAACTTTACACTTCCGGTATGTAATACACTATGATAAATTGATGCCTCAATTTAGCGAGAAATGTGGATCGCATAGTACCGTTCGCTTTAGTCTCTTATTCTTTAACTTGTTAGTTGTTGATCGTTGCTGGACCAAGTTTCAAGCAAAATTAAATCTTGAGCAAAAATAGTTTGTTAGAGCAAATGCTATCTATTATCTTTGAGACGGGGGGCTTAAAAGATAGGTTACCCTATTTCCTTAGTTGACAGAGCTTTTCGAGTATCAAATTGGTGCCTGTGTAGTAGGGTAATTGTGCCAAAAAAATATTTTTTACGCATAGTTTTGCAGCCATGCTCAATTACACCCTGTGGTGAGATGAATGTCAAGCCATAGTTTATAGCCACAACTTCACTTGATGGCCATAATGTAGTAACTGATGTGAAAATTTTAGTATAAATGTTGACTGGAGTGACCAGAGGAATGCCATTGCAAACACCAGAAATCCAATTATGAGTGTGGAAAAGGATATCTTAGACGATACTAAAGTTCAAAACGTAACTAGTGTCGCAAGTCACTTAGATATTGCTGATCATGAAGTGAACTTGGCAGCTGTTGTTTCTCATAAGATCGCAATAGAGGATGTTGGCGTTGAGCTTACCTCTGATCAGAAATACTTGGTAATCAATAGATTAAATTTGACTGGTTTAACTTCGTTGGATGATTTACCTCTTACTGTGTCGTTCATCCTTGATAAGATTCAAAAGTTGACAGTTGAAGAATCTCTTAAAATATTGAGAAAAGCAGTTATTGAGTACGCAAATGATGTTAATATTCCTGTTGAGGAGTACAGCCTTTACGAAAAATTGGTTGAATCCAGTGACAACTACTCTTCCGAAGAAGAACACCTGGATACCAGAGAAAAGCTAAAGTCAAACTTTAGTACTAATATCCGTGATGTGAATGATATTGATAGCTCTTCCAACGATGGGGAGCCTATCCTGTATAACCCTTACAGAATTGTTGATTGGAATTTTCAGGTAAGATTAGAGGCAACTTTGATTGCATACCATTCTCCTTATCAAGAAGTTAGATCAGTAACTGATCCTTTTGATGATCCAACTATTAAAGTTGAGACATTAAGAGTGTATGTTCTAGGACTTATTTGGACATGCATCAGTGCATTTGTCAACCAGTTCTTTGATGACAGATTGCCCGGTATTACATTATCCACTTCAGTTGCGCAAATGTTACTTTACCCTTGTGGAAAAGCTTGGGAATTTGCCATTCCAAATTGGAAGTTAAAGCTCGGGAAGTATGAAATTGAATTAAATCCTGGTCCATGGACATATAAAGAGCAAATATTGTCGGGCCTTATGTTTACAGTCGGTGGTGGTAGCAGTTATGCAGCTTGGAATATCACAGCACAGAAATTAGATACATTCTATGGTAATGACTGGGTTACAACTGGGTATCAGGTGCTTTTACTTTTGAGTATTAATTTTATGGGAATTGGCTTTGCAGGTGTGTTGAGGAAATTTGTGGTTTACCCAACAAGATCAATTTGGCCTGGGCTATTGCCTACACTTGCGTTGAACAGAGCCCTTTTGGTGCCAGAGAAAAAGGAGAATATCAACGGTTGGACGATCTCGAGATACCGCTTTTTCTTTTTTGTCACTTCAGCATCTTTTCTCTACTTTTGGATTCCAGATTATCTCTTCCAGGCACTTTCATACTTTGGTGGTTGGATGACATGGATCAAACCGAATAACTTCAATCTTGCTGTAATTACTGGTCCATCCTCTGGATTGGGTTTCAGTCCTATTCCTTCGTTTGACTGGAATGTTGTGGGAACAAATGCATTGACGACACCATTTTACAGTACAATCAATCAGATTATTGGAACCTTCTTGAGTTTTTTCATAATTGTTGGAGTATACTACAGCAACCATAAATGGACAGGATACTTGCCAATCAACAGTAACAGATTATTTTCTAACACCGGATCCTCCTATAAGATATCAAAAATTCTAAATGAGGACAATTTGTTTGATCAGGAGAAATATGAGAAGTACGGTCCACCATTTTACACAGCAGCGAATATAGTACTGTACAGTGCTTTCTTTGCTCTCTACCCCTTTGCAATTATTCATGAGATTGCAATGACCTATGAGGCATTATGGGATTCCTTAAAGGGGTTTTATCATTCACTTAGGAATTTTCGTAGATCCACATTTGAAGGTTTTGATGATCCGCACTCCTTGATGATGAGAAAATACAAAGAAGTTCCTGATTGGGTTTTTCTTGTTGTTTTGGTGATATCGATTGTGCTTGCCATTCTTTGTGCTGAGTTGTATCCTACGAATACTCCGGTCTGGGCAATATTCTTTGCTTTGGGCATTAATTTTGTCTTCTTGATTCCCATCACAACTCTTTATTCGACAACAAACTTCAGTTTCGGATTAAATGTCTTGGTTGAGTTGATTATTGGTTATGCACTTCCTGGGAATGGTTTTGCTTTGTTGTTCATTAAAGCGTTAGGATACAACATTGATGGGCAAGCTCAAAATTATATCACAGATCAGAAGATTGGACATTATGCCAAGATACCACCTAGGGCAATGTTTCGTATCCAGATTATTGGAGTTTTTGTTGGTACTTTTATAAACTTGGCTGCTTTGAATTTCAAAATCAATCATATTGAAGACTACTGTGCTCCTCTTCAGAAGGATAAATTTTCTTGTCCAAATTCGGGAACAATTTTTGCAGCCTCCGTGATTTGGGGTGTAATTGGTCCAAAGAAGGTATTCCATGGCTTGTACCCCATAATGCAGTACGCTTTCCTCATTGGAGCACTTGTTGCTATCCCATTTGTTATCATCAAGCTTTACGGCCCCAAAAAGTATGTGAAGTATTTCCAACCAAGTCTTATTCTAGGAGGATTTATTATATGGGCACCGGGTAGCATTTTCTACCAACTTGGTCAAGTTTACCTTTCTACTGCATTCATGTGGTACGGAAAGTCACGCTACCCTGCTTTTTGGAATAAGTATAACTACGTTTTCAGCAGTGCAATGTCTGCAGGTGTTGCTTTCAGTAGTATTATTATTTTCTTTGCTGTCCAGTACCATGCTAAGGACATTGAGTGGTGGGGAAATACCGTTGTCAGTGCCGGCATTGACGGTGATGGTAATCAAAGACTTTTAAATGCCAGTTTGTTACCTGACGGTTATTTTGGTCCTAGAATTGGCCATTTTCCATAAATTTGAACTACCTTTGTTCTCATCGTTTATTACCTTTCTTTAGCTTTTGTTCTCTTGACTTATGATATATATAATTAACTTATGGCACAAATAGTTTATTTCCCCGACAGTAGTTGGGTAGCCATTGTCTTAAAACTAAGCTTCGGTTACTTTGACACAGGTCAGCGAAAAGGATGAAATGATTAAATTAGGGATTAGATTGATTAGTTTTGCATAGCTTTTTATGGGCTTATATCAACTCTAACTTCTGGAGTCAGCAGTGTAGGAGGTATTGCTTTTCAAAAATGCGGTTCAAAAACCTGAAATTTTAGTAAAACAGTCCCGCGGCATTATGGAGTTCTTATGCGCAGATATTTCCCCAAATCTATTTATGAATATATCAACTCCATGTAAGATTCAAGAATTTTGCGTTCCTGTATTCTATTTGAATACAAAGTCTTGCCATCCTCGTCTTTTTCGATGATTTTAAGAAATATCCATAGCCCCTAAAAACTCATAGAGTCAGTAAAACCCAGCTATGTTTTCTGAATCAATTTTAATCAATCTTAAGTGTTTTTAGGCGTAATCTTTGTGTAATATTCCTATCTTTGGTCATCAACTTCAATCTTGCATTTTTACCATCTGAGAAATGGGCTATTTCAACAAACTTGCAAGAAGTATCAGATGCAACCAATGAGAACCAAATATTAAACTTTCTACTATTCTTGTTTTAAGCTTCTGTCTCACTAAGTTGGTTCAAGTACATGGACACCGAGCATTTAGAATCATACAGAGTCAAATGAAATTATCATTGCAGTAAGTATTCATTAAACTTAGATCAACAGTCTCTTAATGCTACACCATTTACTTGAAATAAGTGGTATATCTTCCCCGATCAGTGTGAAGTTGTATCTTGAAATAGTTCTCTCCTGAAAATAGAAACTCGTATGCAAAATTCTAATCCATTAGATAGTCAACTAGCTTCAAGTACATTGCTAGTTGACTCCATGTTGCATAGACTTCAATTTTATAAGTATGAGGGGAACAGATATCGCTTATCCTAACTTAGTAGGATGATCTGTAATATGCCGTTTTTAAGATACGGAAACTATCAAGTCCTGAAACCAGCCAACTTGCATGGTTCAGCAAAGCACATCAGCGCATCAAGTAATCGAAATTGGTCTTATCCCAATATCAACGAAAAATAAACCTGGAAGATAAGAAATGAACTATTGTTCTTGGCGGCTCATTGCATATGTCAAACTGGTATTGAAATGGCTTTCCTGCATTGTGGTAATGCAGGGCCGGGGTAGGGTCCAAGTCAAACCAATCATCTAAACGAACCTTATAAACTTCGTTGTTTTGGTTCGTCTAACAGGACAGTGAAAGCTTCCTCCTATCAGCCATCTTTACTAGGTAGTAATCTTGCTAAACCTCAATTCGCTTGTACTTTTTTTATTGCTCCAAAAAGGTTCTTCAAAATCAAACTTTATTTTTTGAAGTAAGGTTTGCGAAATATTAAGAGGCTCCAAGAATTTCTTATCTGCAAAAAAGTGCATAGGGCATAAAAGATAAGAGGGTTTTAAGGTAGTATGTCCAGAGTGAACGGCTCCAATATCAAGAAATTTTATGGATCTTGGCACGAGAGTAATCAATTACCAGGGGTACAACTTGATTTCAGGGAGGTATAAAATACGTGACAATTGTCAGGATATTTGAGTATTCGAAATACTGAAAGCACAATGAATTCAGAAAAAGAAGCTGCACTCGAAAATATCAAAAGTATAACAAGTGCTGGCCGTTTTGACTTGGAAGACCATGAAGTCAACCTACAAGCTATTGCTTCTGTTCCTCTCGGTCTCGAAGAAGTCGGCCAACAATTAGCCTTGGCTCAGAAGGACTTGATTCTTAAAAGGTTAGATCTTAATGGTTTGGTTTCCATGGACGATTTGCCTTTGACTGCAACTTTCATGATCGAAAAGGTAGAAAAAATGTCAATAGATGAAGCCATCTTAATTCTTGAAGAGTCACTCATTGAGTTTGAAAATGATGTCAACATTCCTATGAATGAGTATGACTTTTACGAGAAGTTAGTCGCAATGAGGCCACAAATGGATGAAGATTCTCTTGGAAGCAGTTTAGATGAAAAGCTTAAGAGTGGCGTGAAAGTTAACGAAGTCGATCCTGAAGTTTCATCTTCAAGTAGTTCTGAGGATTTTTCTGGTAGTTCACCATTTCAAGTTGTTGATTGGAAGTTGCAAACAAAATTGGAAGCTGCCTTAATTGCTTATTACTCGCCTTACCAAGAAGTGAGAGCTGTTACTGATCCATACGACGATCCTACAATTCCTGTTGAGACGCTACGTGTATACTTTTTGGGTATCATTTGGGTTTGTATCTCAGCGTTTGTTAATCAGTTCTTTAACGACAGATTTCCAGGTATTTCCTTGTCTTCAAATGTTGTACAAATGTTACTTTACCCATGCGGTAAAGCAATGGAATACATTGTTCCCAAGTGGAAATTCAAGGTGTGGAAGTATACCATTGATTTAAATCCAGGGCCATGGACTTACAAAGAACAAATCTTGTGCAGTCTTATGTCTGCTGTAGGAGGTGGTACAAGTTATGTCGGTTGGAATATCACGGCTCAGAAACTTCCCTTCTTCTATGGTAACACTTGGGTCACTATGGGCTACCAAATCCTCTTACTTTTGTGCACCAACTTCATGGGAATTGGGTTTGCTGGAATCTTGAGAAAGTTTGTTGTTTATCCATCAAGAGCAGTTTGGCAAGAGCTTTTACCAACACTTGCATTGAACAGAGCATTATTGCAACCAGAGAAGAAAGAGAATATCAATGGCTGGACCATATCGAGTTATAAATTCTTCTTCGTTACGATGGCTCTGTCTTTCGCTTACTTCTGGTTGCCAAACTATCTCTTTTCTGCTCTTTCTACTTTCAACTGGATGACATAGATTAAGCCAGACAACTTGAATTTAGCAGTTATTACTGGCTCACAATTGGGATTAGGATTCAACCCAATCGCTTCATTCGATTGGAATGTCATCCTGTACAGAAGTCCATTGACTACTCCATTTTATGCGACCATCAACTTGTGTATTGGTTCATTTATAAGTTTCTTCATTATACTTGGGGTATATTACTCGAACTTCAAATGGACAAAATACCTTCCCATCAATAGCAATGGCTTGTTCACTAATACAGGCGATCCTTATCAAGTGAGAAATGTTGTCAATTCCGATAGTCTCTTTGATAAAGAAAAATACGAGCAGTATGGACCTCCATATTACACTGCTGGTAACTTGGTTTTGTATGGTGCATTTTTCGCAATCTACCCATTTGCAATTGTTCATGAAATTGCAATGACTTACAAACCATTGTGGGCTACAATCAAGAATTTTGGGTCTTCTTTAAAGGATTGGAGAAAGTCAACTTATGAAGGTCAAACTGATCCACATTCGATCATGATGAGAAAATACAAAGAAGTTCCTGATTGGGTTTTCATCATTGTTTTGTTGCTCTCAATAATGTGTGCCATTCTTTGCGCAGAGTTGTATCCAACAAACACACCAGTTTGGGCTATCTTCTTCGCAATAGGTATTAATTTTGTGTTTTTGATTCCAATCACTACACTTTATGCTACTACTAATTTCAGTTTTGGCTTAAATGTCTTGGTTGAATTGATCATGGGCTATGCTCTCCCAGGAAACGGTCTTGCATTGATGTTTATCAAGGCATTGGGTTACAATATCGATGGACAGGCACAGAATTATATTACGGATCAGAAGATGGGCCATTACGCAAAGATTCCACCAAGAGCAATGTTCCGCATTCAGATGTTTGGTGTTTTTATTGGAACCTTCATAAATTTGGCAGCTTTGAACTTCAAGCTTAACCATGTTGAAGATTATTGCACTCCTCATCAAAAGCAAAAATTCTCATGCCCAAGCTCAAGGACCTTTTTCTCGTCATCAGTCATCTGGGGTGTTATTGGGCCAAAGAAGGTTTTCAATGGGTTATATCCTATGTTGCAGTGGTGCTTCTTAATTGGTTTCTTATTAGCTATTCCATGTATCGTTATTAAGCTTTATGGTCCAAAACGGTACGTGAAATATTTCCAACCAGCACTCATTATTGGAGGTATGCTCAATTGGGCTCCATACAACCTCTCCTATTATACCGGAGGTCTCTATACATCCATCGCATTCATGTGGTACATTAAGAACAAGTACGCTGCATTCTGGAACAAGTATAATTATGTGTTGAACAGTGCCTTATCAGCTGGTGTTGCTTTCAGTAGTATCATTATTTTCTTTGCAGTACAGTACCACGCGAAAGATGTTAACTGGTGGGGTAACAGTGTCTACTATGCTGGTATTGACGGCGGAAATGGAATTCAAGCTCACATGAATGCCACTGTTTCAGCACCAGAAGGGTATTTCGGTCCCAGATTTGGTCACTTACCTTGAGGTGAACAGTTTATAGCAATACACTTACCGTTCAGCTTTTAATTAAGGGCGTGACTCTAATTTGTTGAAGAATATTTAACCAGGGTTTTGATAAGGTATGCCCCTTGTCCAAATAACTGATTTTCTGGTTTTTATTAATTCATTTTTCTCTTTGTTAGTCCAAATGATCAAAAAAGCGACATTTCTCCACCATTTCAAAATTTTAGTACAGAAAACACAAAAGTAGCAAGTATATCGGGGAAGACAATTATTATCGCCAATGGTAATATAAATACTTGAAGGAAACCCCAGCCATTTTCTGTAAGACTGATTTCACACAGCTGTTTGTTGACTGTCTAAATTTCCATTTTGGTTTTCGTGAGAAATTGAACCAAAAGCTTGTTTTATGTACAGATAAACCCAGAATAAACACTAGGAAGTGTTATCTAACCAAAATTGATCTTCAGGGACCATTTATTCGGCTTTTGAAGTCTGCTTTTTTTTTACAGTCCGATTTCATATTTTGCATCTTTTGATCTTGGTCCTTATCTCATGCAGGAAAGGAAAGTATCGTGGGGGTAGACTAAGCTGATAAGGCCCGATCGTGATTGCAAAGCTCAGACGACTGCAGAAATACAGATTAAACCGTCAGGAACGTGTCTACAGAGATAGTTCTCAATGATGTTTGCTGGAATACACGAATGCTTAAAAGCAGACAATAGTTACAAACTGATGCTGATCGCCACTGCATGGCTTCGTGGCTTGATGGTTTCAGGAAAATGCCACAAATTTGCCCGAACACGAGGAATGGCCCATGCTTACGGTCCAACGTGAAAAATTTGATTCAATTGAACATGTTGAGCCCGAAAACCTAAGCCCGCAATGGTAGTGGAATTTCACGTGACCCGACATACTGCCGCTAAAGGCGGGGGCAACTATACGAGGAAACCATTCAAAATTGCTGGTTGGCGGGAGGTTCGTTACACGATTGTGGTGCACCACGCGTAGTGTGGGCGACATGGTAGCGTACGACCAGGCTCGCGGTCGTCTACACTGTCTGGGGTGGTGGCCAGCTGGTGGCTCGTTGCCCAGCGATTGTGCAGGTTGGCTAATTGATAGTGTACGACGATTATGTAGGCCCATGCATCCTGCACAATGCCAGGAGGTACTATCGGGGGAACTATCCGATACTGGCGGGACACTGGGCCCTCTAGAACTACGCCAGCGCCCGCCCAGCGACGGTGGTGGCACGGTGGTGACGGCAGCCCGGGCACACCCCCTGCCCCCTGGCGGCTCCCGCTGGCCATACGTCGACCCACCGCCCCAAACGCTATCGTCCAAGAACATGTGATCATGACTCATCTCCACACGTGAACTAGCACAATCCCGCTTCAGGCGCATGTGACGCCAACACCGATCTCTAAACGACCAATACGACTGGCGGCCCACGCTATCTGCAGTCAGAGCCATGCACGACGTGCCGTTGCAGGCATAGCGTCCAACATCCCCCAGCGCATCCTGCGCAGGTGCCCAACCACTTTGGTAACGTGCTCCAGACGAGTCAATTTTCACCCCGGTTAGATTACTATATAAACGTGTGGATCGCTCGCCCTTTTTCTCTTTCTCGATAGTACTAATCATACACACATCAAACACAATGGTCCAATCCTCCATTTTAGGTTTCCCACGTATCGGTGGACAAAGAGAGTTGAAGAAGATCACCGAGTCTTACTGGCAAGGAAAGGTCTCTGCCGACGACTTGTTGGCCAAGGGTAAGGAATTGAGAGCCCACAACTGGAAGTTGCAAAAGGAAGCTGGCGTGGACATCATCCCATCCAACGACTTCTCTTTCTACGACCAAGTTCTCGATCTCTCTCTCTTGTTCAACGTGATCCCAGACAGATACACCAAGTACGACTTGGCCCCTATCGACGTCTTGTTCGCCATGGGTAGAGGTTTGCAAAGAAAGGCCACCGAAACCACTGCTGCTGTTGACGTGACTGCCTTGGAAATGGTCAAGTGGTTCGACTCCAACTACCACTACGTCAGACCAACTTTCTCTCACTCCACCGAGTTCAAGTTGACTGGTGAAATCAAGCCAGTGGTTGAATTCAAGGAGGCCAAGGAATTGGGCATCCACACCAGACCTGTCATTGTCGGTCCTATCTCCTACTTGTACTTGGGTAAGGCTGACAAGGACTCCCTTGACTTGGACCCAATCTCCCTCTTGGACAAGGTTCTTCCAGTCTACCAACAATTGTTGGCTCAATTGAAGGAAGCTGGTGCCGACCAAGTCCAAATCGACGAGCCAGTCTTGGTCTTGGACTTGCCTGAAGCTGTCCAAGCCAAGTACCAAGCTGCTTACGAAGCCCTTGTTGGTGACAACTACCCAGAATTGATCTTGACTACCTACTTCGGTGACGTCAGACCAAACTTGAAGGCCATCTCCAAGTTGCCAGTCAGCGGTTTCCACTTTGACTTCGTCAGAGTCCCAGAACAATTGGACGACGTTGTCTCTATCTTGTCCAGCAACCAATCTCTTTCCGTCGGTATTGTTGATGGTAGAAACGTCTGGAAGACCAACTTCGCCAAGGCCTCCGACTTCGTCAGCAAGGCCATTGAAAAGGTTGGCAAGGACAGAGTCGTTGTCTCCACTTCTTCCTCCTTGTTGCACACTCCAGTCGACTTGGTCTCCGAAAAGAAGTTGGACCCAGTCATCAAGGACTGGTTCTCTTTCGCCACCCAAAAGTTGGACGAAGTTGTCATTCTCGCCAAGAACGCTTCCGGTGAAGATGTCTCTGAAGCTTTGGCCGCCAACGCTGCCTCCATCAAGTCTAGAACCGAATCTTCTATCACCACTAACCCTAAGGTTCAAGAAAGATTGGCCACCATCACCGAATCCTTGTCCACCAGAAAGGCTCCTTTCCCAGAAAGATTGGCCGTTCAAAAGGAAAAGTACAACTTGCCATTGTTCCCAACCACCACCATTGGTTCTTTCCCACAAACCAAGGACATCAGAGTCAACAGAAACAAGTTTGCTAAGGGTGAAATCACTGCTCAAGAATACGAAACCTTCATCAACAAGGAAATCGAGACCGTCGTTAGATTCCAAGAAGAAGTTGGTTTGGATGTCTTGGTCCACGGTGAGCCAGAAAGAAACGATATGGTCCAATACTTCGGTGAACAATTGGATGGTTTCGCTTTCACCACCAACGGTTGGGTTCAATCCTACGGTTCCAGATACGTCAGACCACCTGTGGTTGTCGGTGATGTCTCCAGACCAAAGGCTATGACTGTCAAGGAATCTGTCTACGCTCAATCCATCACCAAGTCCCCAATGAAGGGTATGTTGACTGGTCCAGTCACTTGTTTGAGATGGTCTTTCCCAAGAGACGACGTTTCTGGTAAGGTCCAAGCCTTGCAATTGGGTTTGGCCTTGAGAGACGAAGTCCAAGACTTGGAAGCTGCCGGTATCACCGTCATTCAAGTCGATGAACCAGCCATCAGAGAAGGTTTGCCATTGAGAGCTGGTAAGGAAAGATCTGACTACTTGAACTGGGCTGCTCAATCTTTCAGAGTTGCCACTTCTGGTGTCGACAACTCCACTCAAATCCACTCTCACTTCTGTTACTCCGACTTGGATCCAAACCACATTAAGGCCTTGGACGCCGATGTTGTTTCCATCGAATTCTCCAAGAAGGACGACCCTAACTACATTCAAGAGTTCTCCAACTACCCTAACCACATTGGTTTAGGTTTGTTCGACATTCACTCTCCAAGAATTCCATCAACTGCTGAATTCATTGCTAGAGTCGAAGAAATCTTGAAGGTCTACCCAGCTGCCAACTTCTGGGTCAACCCAGATTGTGGTTTGAAGACCAGAGGATGGGCTGAAGTCAAGGAGTCTTTGACCCACATGGTTGAGGCCGCCAAGCACTTCCGTGCTAAGTACTAAAGATCCTGAGTGATCTTTTGCATTCTTCAATTCTTCAATTGTTGATGATGCTATATCCTGCGATTACATTTATTCAACATTAATGTAATTTTTACGTTTAATTTACTGTGATTTTTTTATTTTCAGTCATGTCTGTTTGGACTGCAAGTTTACTTGCAGCTTCATGGTTATTGTCTTATTACTGTATTTAGTGGACTTGACGCTTGTCGTCGAGTCCAAGAAGGGGTTTAAAATTTTGGGATTTCAACATCGGTTAATAATATTCAGAATATATATCTAATATTACTTTTTGTAGCTTTCATGGGGACAGGTCGCGGAACTCTTGGTTAATCAATTTTAGAGTCTCATCAACTGGAACAAGAAATTGTGCTGCAATTCCTTAACGGCCACCGTGTCGGCACCACACCCAGTCCTTTCCGAAGTAGCAATTATCTGCTACCCCACCACCAGCCAATTTCTCGCTCCCAGATCAGCTTATCCTTTGGCCACCGCACGACCCACTATATGACCCTCAGCACAATTTGCCATCTACCACATTTACATCAACTACAAGCCCATAATCCATCCATGTCAGACCAAGCGGATTACGAGCCACTTGTGGAGCAATTCATCAACGTCACCAATTCTACCAAGTACTTAGCTGAGCAGTATTTGGGCAGAAACAACAACGACTTGGTTGACGCCATCGAGGACTACTATGCCACCAATAAGGCCACCCCTGAAGCTGGCAGCACAGCAAGAGCCAACCAGCCCAAGAAACAGTAAGTAGTGCAATTGAGTGGAACCGGACAACGTGAACGTATACTAACAGTATAGAAGCTCGAGTGGCGTCAGGACCTTTCGGGACTTGAACAACGAGGAGGAGGACTCGGAAGACGACAAGACCAACACCAACTTCTTCACTGGAGGAGAGAAGTCGGGATTGCAGGTCGAAGACCCCAACAAGAAGGGCGGACGCCGTGGCAATGACAGAAGCATCGTGGATCAAATTTTCCAGAGAGCAAAAGAACAGATGGATCAGCCAGACGAGCGTCCCTCGGCCAACACGCCAGAAGTAGAGGGCCCCAAGTTCAGCGGCACTGGGTTCAAGTTGGGCGATGGCGAAGAGCCATCGCAAGTCATCGAAGACCCCAACAGCTCATTGCCTCAAAGACCCGCAAAGGTCACCAGAGAAATCACCTTCTGGAAGCAGGGTTTCACGGTGGGTGATGGTCCTTTGCACAGATACGATGACGAGAGCAATGCCAGTGTGTTGCAGGAATTGAATAGAGGTAGGGTCCCCATGTCTTTATTGGATGTGGAGTTCGGCCAAGATGTTGATGTTTCTGTGTTCAAGAAGACTGACGAAGATTGGGTGCCACCAAAAAGAAGGGTGGGTGGCTTTGTTGGGTCTGGTCAAAGATTGGGCTCCCCAGTTCCAGGGGAGGTTACTCCACAACCACAACCAGCAGAGGAAAAGCCAGAGACTGCTCCCAAGCCAGAGAATGAAGTGCAAGGTGACTCACCGGTCCAAATTAGATTTGCCAACGGTAAACGTGCATCCACTAAATTCAACTCTTCAGACTCTATACTGCAGGTGTATGAGTTTGTGAGATCACACGAGCTCAACGACGGCTCCAGAGCCTTCACCTTGAGCCACGCTTTTCCAGTCAAGCCTATTGAAGACTCGGCTGAAATAACTGTTGCCGAGGCGAAGTTGAAAAATGCAGTCATCGTCCAAAGGTGGGCTTGAGCAATAAGGTTTCAACCCATTAAGGGCTAACAGGACATCTAAAAGCATGCTCTTTCCTATTTAGAGAAAGCCAATAAACGTATGAGTGTGTTTTGATACCACCCGATGACGATCCTCCAATCAAATAGCTGAAGCTGATAACGAATACCTAATTCTCTGTTGTGTTTAATGCTAATACGAACGTAGCCTCACCTTGTTCAATGTGGTGAAGGTAATTGTGATAATTTGCACCCAGTTGACCAACTCTCATTGCCAAAAATTTTCAATCAGTAGACAAAAAAATGGAACTCTAAGCCACTAATCTCCCTCAACACACTTGAATGTCTCTGCAATACCACCGCTGTATTAATCATTCCCATCTTCACATCACTGGCTGGATCAACAAATCACGTGACCAGCTTCCATCAGACCTCATCAAAAAATTCACTGTACCGCTATCTGGTCTACTAGCATCCTGTACATATATCTACCCCCCTGTATCATAGTCCTCCCTGCATTCAATTACACCCTAGCCTTGAAATGAAATAACCTCTGCCATGTCATCTATTTTCAAAATAAGACCAAAGGTAAGGATACGGATAAGGATTCCTTATGGCTCCAATCTGGCAGCTCCAATTAGATCTTTACCACATACTCCCACACTTATTACGACTCACCAGCTACCCCAAAGTTCTTTAATTTTCCAACAAAGTCGTCAGTTGCATACAGACAAGCATGGTTTGGTAGACCCACCTAATGATGAACAACCATTTCTAAAGGACTTTTCCGAGGCCAGTGACGAAATACAGATGAAACTCAGCAAATATGTAACGCAGATTCCAGATTACATTGACTCGAGTGCATACTATACTACCCAAGACTTGCATAACACGGTGAATGAAACCGATATACCAACCTATCCAACGATACCCAGCTTCAAAGAGATAATAGACCAGAATGAGCAAAGCCTACCAGTAGAAGGTTCGTTTGTTGAATACGTAGATCAGATCACCAGAAAGATCAAATTTGGAGTGGTCCTCAAACCATCAGACTCAAAATTTGACGACAACTATAATAGAATCATGGTTTTGACCATGGAAAATAGCATCGAGATGGTTTCACCAACTCACATAAATTATCAACTTTATCAAATCGTTCGTCCTGACTGGATTGGGCAAATGAGACTAGATGAATACAGAACGGAAGCTGACCTTCCAGCTAGACTATACTTGGTTGAAGTATTGAAGTACTTTATCCAGCAAAGTCTTGAATTCAGTGAGGATTTGAGTGCTGGCTTAAGTCTCGTTCATTCCCAATATTCCAAGAAAGATAACATCGTGCCCATTTCAATCTTGGAGATCATAGAATCCCTCAAATTTTCCAACAAACTGTTGAACAAGATCAGTGACAATTATTTCCAGCAATCTATTCTATTAATGTCTATCCATCTATTTGTCTCGAACTCCCCGTTGTGGATCCAGTCATCAAATTTGCCCAATTATAGACTGACTAATATTGTTCAAAATGGATGCACAAATGCATTAATCTATGGATCCAACTATTTCCTCAATTCAATCAGTAATAGTCAATCAATAGATAGACTAAACCAAGTATCGGGAAATGAAATACTTATGAGGGAAGCAAATGACTTTTTGACAAAGTTGTACAATGACCAGCAATCTTCTTCATGCAAAAGTTATGATGACTTAAATTTTTATGTTACAATATGGGAAGGAAGGCACTTCAAATTCATTATAGACTGTTTGAAGTTCTTCATCATTTACCCGCATTCAGTAATTGCCAGACTGCTTTCAAAGTTTGATGTGTTTAAAGACACTCCAGTCACACCTGGCAATGTCTATTCATTTCTTGAAAGACTAAAGTTGTACAACAATTCCCAGAATCAATTGACGGATATTTTTCTTTCAGCCAATATCATTGGAAAACCGGCCTTGTCTCAATTAGCATTATCTACCCCTGGTGACGTACAAGTACCATCAAACTCAGAAGCAATTTCTTCGAATCAGTTTACTGATAAATTTCCACACTTACGAAAGGAAAAGTCTTACTACAAGGATCATGTAGTCTACGGCATTCCTATTCTTAAAGATCCTAGCATGTCTCTAGGATCAAGCTTAGCAGTATCTTTGGAAAAGGTGAACTCAAGAAGATATACTATTAATATTCACATCCCCGACATCGCAACAAAACTTTCTCCTAGCAGTGATTTATTCAACGAATTGTTGCAGGATAGCATATCAATGAAAAGTCTAGGGAAGCTTTTACAAGGTGAACAAATGAATAAGTTGTTTGATAAAAAGCTCGAGGGCCACTTTAGATTTCCAAATCAAGCAACAGAAGAAGAGAATAATTGGTATAGAGTAGGAGACATACCAAGCCACTCACACAACAGTGGGATGGATTCAAGATCTGTGACATGTCTTACAGTTTCCCTTTCCTATAATACCTTCGATTCCAATCCCTTTTCAAACCTTCAAGACAAAATATCGATTTCGTTTGATTCGTTGGCATCTGTGAAAATCAAAAATATTCAACAACATGAGTTGGAGGAATGCCTTGAAGGAAAAGCCGACGTTTCCCCATTTAGGATATTCAAGAGGACGGTATCTCCATCTCGGGAAGGACAGTCTCGTTTGAATACGGAAGATATTCATAACATCGGATTCATTTACAATGTTTTAAAGAGTCATTTCAAGATTAGAAACTTAAATGGTGCTTCGATTGTTCATGCATCAAAGTCTCTTGATCCAGAAGACAGTTCGGATATGATAAAAGATCTCAGTTATGCGAATAGTGGCAGAACTAATGAAAGACTCATTACGAAGATTGAACTCAAAAACTCCGCCAAAAAGTTTTCCAGATCAAAGTTTTTTGTTGACGAAATCGAGAGCATGGTCGCCAGTATTACTTCGTTGTACTGTGCTGTGAATAAGATACCAGTATACTCTTATTATCAAGAAAACTTATATGATGAATTGAATCCTACAGAAGATTCCAAGGCCGAAGTGGCATATTCGAAGGGCAAGGATAGTGTATTAGTATCCCATGACAATCTATTTTTACCAAACTACTATGCTGACTCATTTTATCAAACATTGATTTCACGGGATGCTAATGGATATGTTTCACTTCCTGCAAATATAATTGGAAGAAGTTTTCTCGGAAAAGTGGGCTTGGAGGTGAGTTCCAATGGCCTCGTGTCAGGAAATTTGCCAATGGGATTGTCCAATGGATATGTTGATATAATTCATGCATTGGATGATTTTGAAGTTATACTAAATCAGCTTCAAATATTGAATTTTGTGCAACTTCAATTTCACAATTCATTTGTCAAAAGAACTCAGTCACATCTTGAGAATATCAATAAGTCGAGCTATTTGAAGGGGTATGGCTATAATGTCAGGGGCCCATTTGAGTCAGTGGCTTTAACACAACAGCAGGATAAGATTATTGACTCCAAGAAATTAGTATCGTTCTTGCAGACAATACATAAGAGATTTTGGACTTTGAAAATGCTCGAGCAAAAGTTGGTGCAAGAAGAATTTGAAAAGAATAGTGTGACGGAAGGTGCTAGTTATGAGTGTATAATTACTCACACTGGGTATGAAGTTCCTGACATGGCGAACCGTATTTCCCGAGGGTTTTGCACTGAACTAGGTATCGAGGTGGATGTGCTTAATAGCACGCACAATAACATAAATATAGGAACAGTAGTAAAGTGTGATAAAGTATTATACTTTGATGTTGTTTCTGGGGCATGTGTTTTGAAGGAGGAACAAGTATTCTAAGCATAGGTAATAAAACGTAAAAGTCTGTTGGCATGTAGTAGATACGTAATATAACCGAAGTTGATGTTTCCTGTACATTCATTTTCTATTCAACATGTGAATTATCAACCTACAGTATTCTTTACTAAAACTAGGTGTCTAAGGAGAGTAGTTTGTGAGAGCATTATATATCCCAGTCACAAACTCTGGCAAATCAAATTTGCACCCACTCGAAATACACAAAGCCAATTTTCACATTTGGTATGCAACTTTTTTAAAGTTTTTCAAAGTTGTCACCAATTTATGGAGAAAGAGCCAAAAGGACTAAATGCTAATAGTACATTAAAATTCTAAGCAAATTTACCCAACTCCATATCATCTCTTACTTTAATCACCGTAAACCAATAAAAGCCCACCCGATAGACTCTCCTAAACATCTGTCCTCATCTATAGTCCCAAACTACTCACCTATCCTGCACACAACTCCTGACTCATTCAAAAACTGTACTTAGACATCTCTACAGACCATATCCGAACTCTAAAACACACCATGGTGGTAAGTACTAACAGTATGTGACCGAGCATGTTTGCTAACAGTATAGTCTCCTATCCAACCCTCCCTTGGGGCTTTGGCATCGATCGTGGCTTCTGACCAGTCCAGAGCCGACAAGCCAAACCTTTATCCAATTTTCAAGTATGTGGCCAACGAGGACTTGACCGTACACCAAGCCTACTTGAGATTGGCTCGTTTGAACGATTCTGGACGCTCGGAGTCGTTCTTATTCGAGTCTGCAGTCAACGGTGATACCGTTGACAGATACTCATTCATCGGGATCAAGCCTAAGAAGATCATCAAGACTGGAGACATTCCAGAAGTTTATGGTGACGAGCTCAGCAACGTTGACCCAATCACTGTGTTAGAGAAGGAATTGAAGAACTACAACCAAGCACAGTTGCCAGGACTTCCAAAGTTCAGCGGTGGGGCCGTTGGTTACATCTCGTACGATTGTATTAAGTACTTCGAGCCCAAGACAAAGAGACCAATGGAAGACGTATTGAAGGTCCCTGAAGCTGTGTTGATGTTGTGTGACTTGTTGATAGTTTTTGATCACGTTTACCAAAGATTTCAAATCATCAACAACGTCAAGGTTGCTGGATCAGACATCGAAGACAGTTACAACAAGGCCAGCGACGAGATCAACAACGTGGAAAAGATCTTGAAGGACCACAGTGTTGGCGATAACATCTACCCTGAGCAGGGTCCTATCAAGTTGGGCCAAGACTTCACCTCCAACATTGGACAGGCTGGGTACGAAAACCACGTTACCACCTTGAAGAAGCACATCTTGAAGGGAGATATCATCCAGGCTGTTCCTTCACAAAGAGTGGCCAGGCCCACCTCCTTACATCCATTCAACATATACCGTCACCTCAGATCTGTGAACCCATCGCCATACTTGTTTTACATCGACTTGGTGGACTTCCAGATTATTGGTGCTTCTCCCGAACTCTTGGTCCAAACTGACGCCAAGGGCAAGGTGGTCACCCACCCTATTGCTGGTACCATCATGAGAGGCAAGACCAACGAGGAAGATGAGGCCAATGCCGATATTTTAAGATCCAGTTTGAAGGACAGAGCTGAACACATCATGTTGGTGGATTTGGCCAGAAACGACGTCAACAGAATATGTGAGCCAACTTCCAATAGCGTGGACAAGCTTCTTACCATTCAACGTTTCTCTCATGTCATGCATCTTGTTTCTGAGGTCAGTGGGACTTTGAGACCAGATAAGACCCGTTTCGATGCCTTCAGATCCATTTTCCCTGCCGGGACTGTGAGTGGAGCCCCCAAGGTCAGAGCCATGGAGCTCATTGCCGAATTGGAGAAGGAAAAGAGAGGTGTGTACGCTGGGGCTGTGGGACACTGGGGTTACGACGGCAAGACCATGGACACCTGTATTGCCTTGAGAACCATGGTCTACAAGGATGGAGTGGCATACTTGCAAGCCGGTGGAGGAATTGTTTTTGACAGTGACGAGTATGACGAATACATTGAGACCATGAACAAGATGAAGGCCAACAACAACACTATTGTGGAGGCCGAGAAGATCTGGGCCGAAAAGGTAGGCGAGGCCAAGTGATAGAGTATAGAAGCAGAGAGGAGCAAATAGTACCAAAAAATCCACGAAATAGTCGTAGAGTCGTTGTAGCCACGAGAAGAACGAATTTAATCTGCTAATCCGAAGAATCTCATAAAAAGTCATTCTACCCCGAGTACAACGATCTTACTAAATTCTATAAAATAGTCCAGAATAGTCGTAGGTTGTAGATCCAAAAGATTCCCTGAATGTGGCAATGAATTCTTATGTTAATTCCCACGGGTTGTCAATGCTAACATCCACTAGTCGGCAACAAATTTCCACCTCTAATGGCTGAAATCTAATTTTCGTGGTTCGGGAAATATTCCGACAGAAATGGTAACCTCTTTAGGAAAAGCTAAAAACGCAATCACCACTAAATGCAAACTAACTTCGTTTAGGCGATTTTCCCTACTTACTAACATCCATACTTCACTGATGTCCAGCAGAAAGTCCTCTGGTCGCACAGACCTGCTTTCTGGCCACCGAAACGGCAATTTCCACACCACTGTGGCCAATGACATGTGCCCACAATAGCGGCTTATTCATTTTCAACCCCACCTGAAAACGCCCGAAAAAATAGAGAGGAACTTTAGCCCATTACATAACGAGCAGTCCAGAGAGCCATTCCGAATGCAATCGGCGAAAATTGGAGAAAAATCGGCACTCGCTGCCAGCACCTAGTAGACAATGTTCCCTTCCTCCAATTGTGGAACTCGCGGGCCGTTTCTGACCACTCGGAGATACGATGCACCTAGACCCTGACAAATGGACGTTGCGAGCGCGACATTGTATGTGGGAAGAAAGGGTAGTGGTAGCGCAGCACTGCCATTTTGTAGCGGAATATGGGCTAGTACAGTGCTCGCCTCTGCAGTACTGCCTGGATTCGTCGTAGGCCAATTTCCGTGGAACTGTCGCGGGTTCCACTTGTGCCGAGAGGAGCCTCGTCTGACACCTTATGTCGCGGGTGATGTCAGTTTCGCAGGCATGTCGCGATTTCAGAGCAGGTATAGGACACTGGAAAAAGGCACCAGCGCCCTTGACAGCACACCGGAACCGTCCAGCATCCAGTCGCGTCCTCAAAGTTCTCCCACAGCATCCCAAAACCTCCCCTTTCTTCCCCTTTTCCCACATACTCCCCAAACTCCCACCATTCACATCACGTGACGCGCGACGCCGACTAATGAACGTCGAGCCAACGATGATCATCCCAGATCCACACCCTCTGCCAGGACCCCCTCCCGCCCTTGTATGGAAACAGGCCCCCCCCAGGACCTCCTCGCCCCACCCGCGTATCCCTGCCATGAGCGACTCCCGTCCCAGAAGCGAAGACCCCGCCAGTCCCGCCAGTCCTGGCGACGCCACGCCTGGCACCACCGCAGCGTCTCCATCGTCCAAGAACTTCTCCCGAACTCCCACCTCGTGGGACGCCGAGGACGATATCCTCCTCATGCACCTCAAAGACTCCCAGAAGTTGGGATGGAAAGAAATTGCCAGCCACTTCAACAACAGAACGCCCAACGCCTGCCAGTTCAGATGGCGACGCTTGAAGTCAGGCAACCTCAAGAACCCGCCAAAGTCGGCGTCTGCGTTGGGCACGCAGATCAATTCGAAGCCTTCACCGTCAGGAGCCGTTAAGAAGCCGAAAAAGGCGCCAGCGTCCGCATTCAAGTCTGAGTCTGGCACTCTGGCACCACCCGCCCCAACTACGGGGTTCCCAGCCGCCTACTCGCCCATCTCGAACGCCACGTTCACTGGCTATGACAACAATGTGTCTAACGCGTTGGCTGGGCTCAACGCGTTGTCCAACACCCCGTCCAACATCCTGAGTCCGTTGCCCAACTATAACACGAACCCCTCGACGCCAGGCCTCAACTCGCCAGGCGTGGGTGCCAACGGAGCCGCCTCGCACCTCAACCACTCCACCTACGATGACTCGCCCAAGTCCGACGTCATTCTCGACCCCCAGGCTCACAACAACGCTGCAACCAACACTGGTGGTGGCTATTACGCTGACATCTCCATCGACCCCACCATGAACTTGCCACACAACCAGCCGCATCCTCACACTCCCCACGGCATCACCCCTCGAAACTCGACTTCACACGGCTCGTCCAGCACCCAGACCACCTCCTCCAACGCACCGTCGTCCTCCCAGCATCCGAACCTCCACAACAACTCGATCATCCAGATCGTGCGTGACGACAGAGCATCCATCTCGTTGTCACGGGCATCGGTGTCGTCGTTGCCGTCCAAGTCCATGAACATCCCCCACCACCAGCTGAACAATAACGCGTTGGCGCATTTGCCAATCTTGTTCGGAAGTGGCAGTGTCAGCGGACCATCGAGAAACCCAAGTATAAGTGGCCCAGGTGGAATCCAGCACTCCACCACGGTATCCAGCTTGAGAAACGGCAGCGCTGGAGGCTCAGGCCCCGGCTACTACTCCAGATCTGGTTCGGTGGTCATACCTTACAACGCAGAGAAAAAGGACGAGGAGCCGCTAAAATTTGATAAAAAGAAGACAGAGTCTAAGACCATCCACAAGAACAAGCCCAGTGCTTCGAGTGGTGCTTCCGCGTCGAAAAACCCCAACTCGCCCGTGTTCAAGATCCCGTGGTCCATGGACGAGGACGAGCTCTTGATAAACAGAAGAAACAGGGAGCTCTCGTTTGCAGAGCTTTCCATTCTCTTGCCCCAGAGGACGGAGGGCGAAATCTGGTCCCGTATAGACTATTTGGAAAAATTGCGAAACGGCCACAGAGCATCCACCTCGAGGGACCACAGAAGACGGAGACAATCGTCCATAGGATTGGATGATGTGGACGACTTCTACGACGATGTGGACGACGTGATCGGCGGCATTGATGTCAGCGAAGATGAAGACGAAGACGACGAAGATGAAGAGGTTCTCGTGGACGTGGATGATTCTATGCCCAGAAAGAGAAGAAAAAGAAGAGCCAGTTCTGCTGTGAACCCGTTGGCAGTTGGCGATTCCATAAGAAAGAAACTCCGATGATCAACGGTCATGGCATCACAGAAACCACGCCATGGATGCATCGCCGCAATGTGGTGTCTTTAAACGTAAGACACCCACCCCAAAGAGGGAACCTCATGATGATTCATTTCTGGCCCCAAATTAATCGTGTATTATTCGAATTTAATTCTCCATATGTATGTTTAAATGACAATAGTGAGATGCTCATTCATTCCAGTGCTTGCACAAGTAGATCTGACACACGTTCGTTTTGAAGAGAAGCTGAGAATGAAAGAGACTGAGCAGCTAAAGCACCTGAAATAGGAGCTCGAAAAATCCAATACACTGATATTGAAGAAAAAGACACCAACACAAAGCAATGATAACCTTAAGACAACCTGATACAGATGTGTAAAAGTAGCTAAACGTTCCAACCCGCATTCAGATAACATCTACATAAAAGAATAAATTAATTCCCGTATGGATTATTTGCAAGGAGGTATTTAAATTAGTTAGAACTTTCCAACATGCTAATACATGGGGTACCAGTCGACCGCCCTGCTGCTCTCTAGCGATGTGTTCTACCATTCAGCTACTCTTCGCGACTGATTCCATCAGCTAGTATAGCTTCAAGTTGCTGGTGATTTCGTCGATCACAGCCTTGGGCGCAGGACCTAAGCCCAACACCGTGGCACTTCCCGCAGCGATCTGGGTCCTTCCAGCATCATGAACGATGTACGAGTTGATCCCCAACGAGATCGCTTGGGCAAACAACGTGTCCATTTCCTCCTGGTTTGGCACTTGCAAGGTAATCTTGGCCTGTCCATTACCATACTCCCACCGTTGTACCATCTCAGGGTTGTATGCCTCGGATTCAGGGTTGGTGATCTTCTTGTACAAGGCCAAGGTCGCATGCAGACACTGGGCTGCTGCCTTGCCCTTGCCCATCTTCAAGTCTTGTCTGACGATAAGGGTCATTCTTACTTCACCAGGAACTTCGTTGAGGGGTCTGGAGTCGACATCGATGCCTTCATCTTCGGATTCTTCTGACTCGGAAGAGGCATCGGTGGTGATATCCGATGAGGCACCCGAGGCAGTAGACGACGACCTGGCTTTGGTCCTGCGGGGCTGGGGCTTGGAAAGATACTGATGGAGATAGTAGCCTGTCACGAACAGAACCAAGCCTACAGTGGCCAATTGGCTGACGTTGGTTTGGACCATGATAAGTGGGGTTGTGATGAGTGCGATGATTCACCAGTGAGAATTAGTTTTTTTAGGTAGATGAACATTAAAGTTAATTAAGAAAAGAGGTAGGATGGGGTGTTCATGTGCGAGCAGCCTGTGCGATTGGGTAAGGTCCTTGAATTAGTATAGTGGTGGGTAAAATTGCCCCAAAGCTGTGATTGAGAAGCGTCTTATAGACAGGTAAATATGTATCAATATCTTTATTTCACAATCTGGGGAACCATACTTCACTAATAGGTAATCTAGATTTTGTTCAAGTCAATTTCCTCTTGAGAATACTGGTTCCCAGATTCAGAGTTCGTAAAATTCCATTTTTGAACAGTCTGGTTTTCAGGAGTCGAAGCATTTAGGGACATTTTTCGATTTATAGTAAAAGCCATTATTAGAAGAAACTAGTATATAACTATGAGCGCTATTGAGCATTCTTCTGCTATTTCATGAATACACACTTAAAAAATTTTCATGAAACTTTAAAAACCTATAAGGAGGAAAATAACAGATAATTGTTCTAGTTATGTGGATAGTACCGATGAATATTCCATAGGCTTAGAGTGTGGTGGAACCATTCCAGCCAGTCCCACCACCCAATTGCAAGTTTCAGGGTTAATCCGTCAATATGTTTGTGATGCCTTCACTTTTGGGATGTAGTATGAGTGTGAACTGAATCAATAAGTTACATATGGACTAGTAGTACAACATATGGAGAGGATATTTCAAGTGAATACTCAGTATGATAGGTGATCTTCAGTAGCAAAATTCGCACATCCCTCATCTTTCTGCCATCCTTATACTGTACAAAGCTCTGGGTTTCACTGTTATGCACTCTCAAGCACACGACGTAATCGTGGTGGCCAGTAAATTCTGAACTTCACCATTTCAATAACGTCAATGAACCCTTACTTCTGGTAATTCTTGATAGCCTGATTCCTAAGGAACATCCTACAGATTTCCTTCTATGCCAATACCTTCTTAGTCTTCTTCTTCTTCTTTTTCTCCACCTTGGCGGTGTAGTTGCGCCAACTCTGGACTCTGGTGTCGCGGTCATCTTCCCAGGCATGTTTCATTTTCATGTCCTTCTCCCTCTTTGTCTGCTGCGCCTTCTCCTCATCCCTGCGCTGGGCCTCTTGCCGCTGGTTGTACAAACGGTCGATCTCTTCCTGGCGGATTTCTTCGCCCAAAATTTCTGCCACTCTTGTCTGGATAGACTTGATGTCCTTCTGCTTGGAGCAGACGTCTTTGTAGATATCAAGGAGGCGAGTCTTTTCGGCCCAGACAGATCCCTCCTTGTCCTGATTTGAGAGCACCTGTTCTGCCTTCTTCAACCTGTCGAACGCCTCGGGGGCCTCTGGATTGGACACCTTATCAGGGTGGATCATCAACGATTTCTTTCTGTACAATTTCTTGACCTTCGTAGCCAATTCCTCGAGATCGAGGGGGTCGAGCTCGAGAACCGCCACGTAGTCGTTCTTGGTGCATTGTAATATCCGTCCTATCTCCTTGTCCTTGGCGAGAGCGGACTCTTCGCGTGCCAATACCTGTTCTATGCTCATTGTTTGAGTTGGTCGGTATGAAAGTTCAGGCAGTCAGTGCAATTAATGGCAGATTCGATAAAGACCTCGGAATAGTGTTGCTACCCAGTCAATTGCAGGCGGGTGGAAAGTCTTTGCTGGCTGTTAGTGGTGCACTGGCGGGATAGTCTTGAAGAGTAGTGAAAGCGAATTTTGGAACCGTTATCTGTCGTGCGAAACGTCACCGATCCATCTCATCACTGAGCAGACGATAAATCACCAAGACGTCTTTCTGATTCACACAGAATAAACCTCTACCATACGGGTATCCGCAGTTCCAGAGCTAGTCCCTAAATCCACCATAGATATCTATTCTGAAGGTGACCAGTCCATCTGCTCTCTTACCAGCCCGTCCACCCATTCAATTTATCTACTACCTGTCGTAGGTAGTTCATGTCCAGAATCATCACCACCCTCAAGATGTCCACCTGGAAGCCCAGATACTTCGACATAGGAGTCAACTTCTCCGACAGAATGTTCCAGGGCTATTACAATGGCTCCAGCGTCGCCAAACACCCAGCAGACGTGGATCGTGTCATTGAAAGAGCCCAGCTCTTCCATGTTGATCGCATGTTGATCACAGCCTCCACCATCCAGGAGAGTCAGGACCACTTCGCGTTGTGCTCCCGCTATCCTGGAGCCTTGACTTCCACGGTGGGTGTCCACCCGTGCTCCGTGGCTCGGGAGTTCTATGCTAGTGACGAGTCAGGCGAGCCTACAGATACCTTGAAGCCAGAAGTCGACACTCTCTTGGAGCAATTGAAGGAGTTGACAGTAGAGGGTCATGCCCAGGGCCATGTCCAGGCGTTTGGCGAAATCGGCTTGGACTACGACAGGCTCCACTACGCCACCCAGGCCCAGCAGCAGACCATGTTCCGTAAGCAGCTTGAGGTTATTGCGTCGTTGAAGCACTTGGGGCTTCCGCTCTTCTTGCACATGAGAAGTGCCTGCGACGATTTCATTAGTATCATCAAGCCGTTCATGGACCAGGGTCTGCTTGGCCCTGGTGTGGTCCACTCGTTTACCGGGACTCAGGACGAATTGGAAAAATTGCTAGCTTTGGGCTTCTTCATAGGTGTGAATGGCTGCTCATTGAAGACTGAAGATAACTTGAAGGTGGCTGCGCTCATTCCACCTGAAAAATTGATGATAGAGACCGATGCTCCGTGGTGTGAGGTCAGAAAAAGCCATGCCAGTTATAAGTACATCACTGCCTACCCCAACCTCTTTTATCCTGAGATTGAGCCCGAGCCCAGAACAGAAGAGACCGTCCAGGACTTGCTGGAGTTGTCGCTAGCCAACGGAAACGCACCCAAAAAGGCCCAGAAACAAAAGCCAGCCAAGTCTCCCATCAAGCTCGATGAAATCTTGCCATTTCCTTCCATCAAAAAAGAGAATTTTGAGAAGCACGAAATCAACGCTGCCAAAATCCGCCAAGAACAGAAAGTTCCCGAGTCCTCTGTTGCCAAGGTGGGCGAGCTTGCTTACCCTCTCATCAAATCCAGAAACGAGCCAGTTTTTGTGGGATACGTAGCGGAAATCATGTGTGAGCTTTATGGCTACAAAACCGAAGAAGAAAAGGCCAAGTTTGTCGATTTGGTCTATGAAAACACTGTCAAGGTGTTTGGGAGAAAATAAACTTGGTGGTTTGATGCTAGGAGTTGCACTGGTGTGCTCACTGGCATGGTATCCTTCCACCAAAGGCTGAGATCCACTACACACTCTCGAGGTAGTCCTATTGATTGAGCCTGACTAAATTACTCTGACTCTCGAGGTAGTATGTTATCGATTGAGCCTGACTGGAGTACACTACTAGATTTGATTGTCATCTATCAATGGTGCTGTCGCTATATTACATTAATTTACATAGAGTACAATAGACACGGATTATCCATGCCTTCTTGAAGATCTTCTGAACCGGGGAGGATCTTCAATTTTTGGATGGGCCTGTAGCCTAGTCAATCTAGTTGGAGGAACGAGATTGCTTAGTCTGATACTTCTTGGAGGTGTGGTGGACAATGTGTCCAACGGAGGTTTTCTGGTTCTTCTCGGAGAAACAATTAAATCATCTTCCTGTTCTGATTTGGGTGACTCTGTCTCAGACATCCGCACTAGTCTCCTACTCTTCCGAGGAGAAATTGGCGATAACGGGCTTTGAACTATTGAATGGGTGTCTCTTCTCGACCTTCTGAGAGGTACAACACCTTCATAATCCTCGTAAGAGCTTCTATTTCTTCGTGGTGCAACAATTTCTAAGTCCTCAAGGAATTCATCTTCATCTTGTGCAACCTCTGGCAGGTCTTCATTAATAACCGGTGTTTCAATATCTGATTCTGGGTCTATGTCGGACGCCTCTTCGAACTCTTCGAAGTCAGAAGCTATAGCCTCATTATCTTCCTCATCGTCTTCTAATTCCAGTGGAGATTCCTCCTCAATAGCACCATCTATGCCAACTACTTCCTTCACTTCATTTTTTTGGATGATTGGGATCTTCGTTTTGGTATGATATTCGATTCCAGGATAACAGACGATATAATTATCCAAAATCAAGTCAGTACGTGCGTCTTCACTTTCATCGATATGCTCACTTTGAGGTTTAGTTAACATTTCCCGGTACATTTCAATCTCCTTATACGCTTCCTGTTCGAAGGTGTAAGGGTTATTAATATCATCCTTTAGAAATCCGATGATCAGAGAAATGCTGTTAGGGCTTGGTTGATTAGGGTTGGGTTTGGGGGCACTGGATGGTGCTGCAATCAATGCAGGTGCCGAGTTGATACCTCCAGAAGGTCCGAACAACATCGGTTTCCAAAGTAACTTAGAGTAGTCCAATTTAGTGTAGTTTTTCTTTTCCCACTTATCGATTTCTGCATTGATTTTATTCATATTGAGTACGATGCCATAGTTGTTAGTGGTTGGATTTTTAATGAGTGCATCTAGTTGTTCTAATCCCACAACTACATCCGAAGGAGTCATTCCGGATAGCTTGCAAATGCTTTCAATCGACACGGAAAGAGTTCCACCATTTGGCGCTTCAGCAGTCTCTGTACCAGCAGTTTGCTTTGGGTCAGTTGAAGGTGTCTCGTTTTCCACCATAAATCTCTGATATAGGGCTTTCAATTTATATGCAACAGTGAGCCTCCAATAGTTTCGATAGCTTAGTAGACCAAGATCACTTAAAGGCTTCTCGGGAGTCCCGTACTTGAATTCACTCCTGCTCAACAAATAGCTGAAATCTATCAAAAGGTTTCCGTACCCCTTTCTCTGATATATCGGCAAGGTAAGAATACAAGAAACATTGTAATCCGAGTTGTTCAACTTCTCTTTTGAGAAGTAGCCAACAAAGTGATACTTCGAGGGATCTATCTCGTCTATCTCCGTCAAGACATAAAATATGAATGGCTCGACATCATAGTACAACGTCTTGGAATTGAGGAACAACTTGGCAAGCAAGCACAAATTCTGGCAGTAGCTGATGTTCTTGCGACCGTCCACTTCCCAGATCAGTACCCGAGACTTCGAGTCCCGGTAGATTTCGAGCCCAGGAGGGTGGTTATTGGAGAGATTGCAGTTCTTGAGCTGGTGACGGTCATAGGAAATGGGTGAGTTCATGTACTTGAGACAGTACTCGCAGATGTATATCACGTTAGATCGGGTGTACTCCTCGGGATATGGGGACTTGTACCAAGTGTCGATCTCGAAATCGTGAAACACGATTTTCTTGATCTGGGACTCGGGCGACGACTCTGGGGCATTGGCTTCGGCAGAACCGTCCACATTGATGCTGGAACGCAACCTTTCTCCTGACTCGTACAAGTTGTCGAACAATGTCCTGTCACTGTTGGATGGATCGGTGTCGTTGATGATACAATCCGGAAAATTCAAGATTCCGCGGTAAGGCAACTCCTTCTGGGGGGAGCCTTTGGGCCGACTGACAGGGTTTTTCCCATAGGATAACTTCACCACGAAGCGAGATGCCAGACGGTCCACCGTGACGTGTGGTCTGGCGCCAGCACTTCGTTCGTGCTCGTCTTCGTTGATCATGGCATTGTCAAAGAGCTGTTTGATGGAGTAGGTGGTGCCTGCTTTCCTTCGATGCGCTCGATCGTGAGCACCGGCAGACACATTCGAGTAATGTCTGTTGTCTGAGATCTCTAATTGCTTGAGAAGATTCAGACTCATTCTGAGCCGGTCATTGGGTGTGTGGAGTCACCTGGATGGAGGAGATAGAAGCGGGTGGGATGAGGGAGCGAAGGGTGACTCTGGGAAGACTGGTACAATGACTCGAACGGGGGACGGGGCAACGCACGTATAGTACAGAATAGGCGCTTGGCGGGCAGTAAGCTGATGGAGGAAGTTGTTATGGTGGGAGCCGAATTTTTGTTGATGTCGTGGATGTCGCGGGCGCTACCAGACAGGTTATCACGTGATAAGTATTTGACATTTCCGGTCTAAACCAAACGGTTTATCTGGGTTATATTTAACTTTTTAGTGCCATGGTTCTCGTGACAGTGTGCCTCATTTCTTGTTTGGGCATAATGATACGGATATTTCTGTTGCATTGACAGGTTTCATACCAATATTCCAGCTAGTGCTGGCAATCTATATCGTCAGTTCTTACAAATGCATTGATCTAGGAAAGATTGGCTCTATGGCACGGGTGGTCAAAGTAAGTACATCTCTTGAACACCAAAGTATTTCAAGTAAATTTTGCATCCAACTGGTTATCTGTTGTGCCCAGTTTCTAGACATAATTACCATTAAATGTAATCCGAAATCTTCCATTTTAATTTCTGAGATTACGGTGTGCTGTCTTCTGCTTTAAGTTACGAAACTATACGAAACGTCGAGGGGCGCTATTAAGCTAGGTCAAGCTCAAGTCCACAATTTAGCAGGTGAAAGGAGCATACTTTGATTCGACCTGGAGCTAAACAAAATTTGAAAAGTGATACATCCATATGTCAGAGCTTGATATCTGCTTGGAATTGCTGTTTCAAATTAGAAGTAGTTTAGTTATCACGGAGCTGTAGGACCTGGAACTCTACGCAAATTCTTGTTTACAAATGCATCGATTTGATGCTCCAGTCGGAGGCAAGAATCACCTACAACCCTCGAGTCAGGGCTGTTCAACTCTACGCGACTGCCAATTGTCTTATCAAAGGCTACTTTCGAACCTATTATATTAAATCAAGCAATTAATAATACTAAAAAGAAAACTTGCATAGCATATGTCGCAATTAAATGATAGTCGTAACGAATAACATAATAAACAAAATAAAAATGTATAATTCAAAGCCCAAACATGACAAAGTATCTGAAGAAGGAACATCAATCATCACAACCCACAGGGTTCGACCTCTTATTTGGCTTCCTTGTCGGAAGACTTCTCAGCACTCTCGTCTTCAACTTCTTCTTCTTCGATGTGTCCTTCGTGCACCGAATCGCCCTCTTCGCCCTCTTCAGACATACCGAAGTGTGCCAACAAGGATTGGGCAGATGAAGTATCCAAGTAGATGACACCATTCTCGTTGGTGATGGCATTACTGGACAAGAGTTTTTGAAGAGAAATAGCACCGTTAGCTGCGGTGAGGTCACCATTTTCCTCTTCATTGACTTCAGCGAGATCTTCGTTATCATCGTCATATCCACGTCTTCCGAATATAGAGGCACCATTGCCAGACTTAGAGCCTTCGTTGGCGTATCTCTGGGCCTGTTGGTCCAAATCGTAGTGTTCACCGTACATCTCCTTATATATTTCGTTGAATTCTGGAGAGATTGGGCCATAAGGAGAGTTCTTATCCTTTTCAGCGGCATCAATTCTACCTCTGATCTTTTCGTACCATTGATCAAGAGTCTCTCCCTTGGAGTAATCCAATAATGCAACAATGACAATAGACATGTTGTCACAACCAATACCGGAACCGTCAGAGGTAGGAGCGCAACACAAATCCATGACAGCCTCACAAATTTCTGTCAACTCTAAACCTTCGGACAACTTCTTTCTTATACATTCAACACACTTTTGAGACGTTAAGCAATCCCAGATACCGTCACATGCTAAAACAACGAACTCGTCCTTCTCGAAATCTATGTCGTGTTGTATCACATCAGGGTAACAGGTGACTATTTGTTCCTCAGCAGGCAAGTCGACGTTCTTCTTAAATTCAAAATCACCAATACCACGAGATAATGCCAAGTTACCGTTGACTCTGCCCATGTCGACGTAGCCGCCAGCAGAGCAAATTCTGGCCTTTTCACCCTCGTTGGAAGGCTTGTGGTCGTAGGACAACGCCTTGGCGTAACCGTTGATGGACATGATGGTTCTGGAGTCTCCGGCATTACCACAGATGATTTGCTTGTCTGTTATGATGGCAGACGTGGCGGCACAGCCACTGTCGTCGTCCTTCATGCCAGCGTCCTGCAAGATGGCCTGGTCACAGCTCAAAAAGCCCTCCTTGAGGGCGTTGATGTAGTCCTTGTTCTTGTATGCTTGCGTACTCTTGACGATGTCGTGCAAGTGTTCTCCTGTGAAGATGGCGGCCTTTTCGCCTCCGTGCCCGTCGTAAACACCGAAGAAGGCGGCGTGTTCTTTGGATCCTTCGTCCTGCAAGTTTAAGATGGTGGCGTGGGCGTCTTCCATGTTGATTCTCCATCCTTGCATGGAGGATAATCCGTACGACAAGTACTTGTCGCCGTCTTTCTCGGAGCTCTTCTCGGTGATGGGTTGTGAAAGGATCTGTCCCATGGTGTAGTGGCTAGCTTATAGTGTGGGTAAACAGTGGCCAGGAGGGAGGCAATTGGTGGGTGTGGGTGGAGGTTGTGGCAGGCGTGTTGGGACGTGCGTGGCCTGGGAAAGTTCTGTGGGGGTGGGACGTTTCTGATGGCAGAGACGTACTTTGGTTAAAGAGCTGTAATAGTTAACTCTGTCGGTCAGATTTGGCCATTGGCACGGTTGGTGAGAAAAATTGTAGGAAAAACTGGGAGGATGTGCGACCGAGGTGCAGGACTGGGGCCACGGATGATGCCATGGGGAGGCTGGTGAAGACGGGATGGTGGCAGAAAGGGGTCGCTGGGAGGAAGCAGAAGGTTCAGGGTGTGGTGGGGGGTGGTAAGCTCGTTGTGAGAGCGTCGTTGGTAGTGGTAGTGGTAGTGGTAGTGGAGGTGTGGTGGAGGTGGTAAGGATGGGCTGGGGGGATCCGCGCGTGTGCCGACCGGTTTTCCCGTGGTGATGGTCGCGGCGCTGCCCCCACCTAGCGACCCGTCAAAGAAAGCTCGGACGCTATCTCGGGGGCTTCTCCGCAGATAGGCGGGCTCGAGGCCGTGGACGGTCTCGTGATGGGTGGTGGATGTGTCATATCACCCGACGGCTTAGTGGAGATAGGGGAAGCAGTAGGAATGAGACCGTTCAGGCTAATCATATGGACCGACTTGTTTGACCAGCTCGGTCAATTTAGTATAAGAAATAGCTGCTATTAATGAGGTACTCTTGAGCACGAATATTGGTCTGGAATTGCAAAAGTTGAGCACTTCGCATTTTTCAATTCGGGTCGGAAACGGTAAAAAGTTGCAGAGAAGAATGTCTCTTTGTGCGTAGCAAGTTCACGAAATATCAATTCAAGGAAATTAAAATCAGAATTTACTAGTACGTTTTGCATAACATTCATGTACTTTCATTCTAGAACAATTTGAAGCAGAAGTAGTGATTTTCTGAGTAATTTTCTCCTCCTGAAGCACTTGGTCAAATTTATTATTTGGGCTCAGAAATTTTGAATTCAACTAAAACAATATTACAGCTCATTAAGCAGATGACAAGGCTCTTTTCACCTATGGGAAGAATCACAACTGTCTTCGGTATGTGCCGGTAGAAATGAACTGGGAAAATGTGCAATTCCCTTTGATTCAATGCATCAATAATTGATTGAAGAATATCTTATGGTACCAGAAACCATTTAAGGTAAGACATACAATAAAAACTGGTACCATTTCTCTTACGTTTTTACATAAATAGATTACGTGTACATGAGCAGATTGAGCCAAAAGTTTTGAATGTTCACCTGGAGCGATCATAGTAAAGTGAACAAGAACAATTGAAATAAAACCAGCGGAGGACAACTAGAATATGCTGATTTAACCATCTTCAAAAAAACCTACTGTTTTATCTACGCGGGCACATAACCATCGGTACTTCAATACCATTGGTTGCACATCCTTGTAATCCTTGATTGAAATTTCGCAGCCACTTTACTTTGATACATATTCTTTCTGTTCTAGTACCTTCCAATTTACTGGCAGTTCCGTTCGTGCACTGACAGATCCTTTCAAGTATTGAGGTATGAATCTTGGAATGAAAGCCCCGTTCGCTTTAGCTGGATCTTGGGTGCAAGCGAATATAGCTATGGGGATTGAAACTTTTTTCCAAATTATTTTATTAAGTACATTGTTCTATAAATCTACTCTAATATTCGTATTCAGTATAGTTGAGCACACTGAATTAACATAGCCAGGGTTTTTGTTTGAACATCAAAGTTTTCACTCCGAAATTTGTCTTATGGGTTCGATAAATTTTGCTCTTTTGCTCTTGCGCTCAATGCTGATTGTGCTACCGTGACCATTCCTTGTGTATAGAAAATCTCCTAGTGCATTGATTTATTATCTCAGATTATCTAACATTTTCATCTTCCTCCTGGTTAGGTTTCACTTCCATATAGGCTTGTAGACAATCGTCATGTCCGAGTCAATGTCAAAATTTCCTACTCTCAAATTATGACAGAAGCCAATGATTGGATTCAAGAGTCGGAGAGGGTAATGTAAAGTGATGATGGCTAATGCCTGGGTAATCTCCTTGCGTAACGAAAAAAATGGATGCTGGAAAATAGCGATATTGATAAGCTCAGGCATGGGGAAAACAACTAATAGATGAGGCGATACATTACTAGCTGTGGTAAGAATTGCACTACAAAAAGGCAAAAGAACACGATGATTCACCAGTACACTCAAGTGTGCCATCCAGCACACTACATGTGAATTAAACGAACCAGATATATCTGAATTCACTACCCTAACTCACAATACTAATAGATTTGGGCCCTTCATATAAATCTCAGTCCACCTGAGGGAAAGGGTGGCGAGAAAGTTGTGCTAGGTGAGATTGCAAGATTCTCTGAAAAGTGTTGCAATGCGGATTTTGAAAAATGATCCTAGACATATTGGAAGATCACAACGGTCCGAACGGGAGAATCGCCAATGAGGAGAAGGTCAATACCCGAGAGATTTTCGGTGGAGTGTTATCACAGATTAGTGAAAAGTGGAGAAACCATATCCAAGTTTGATATAAATACACGGTAAATAGACGTGATTTATCGGTCTGCTCAAGTCTACAGATCAAGTATACGATAGTTTCGTCTGCACATACGGTTATGTAAAAACCAAACTTTATTTCAACATTCAGCAAAATCCACCCCCTCAAATATCTATTATGCACTCTCAGGAGACTAAATAATCCACCTTTTCAAAAATGACAGAACATTATGGATCAAGAAGTGCCCTGAGTGATGGAATCGAAGCAGGCAAAAGCTATGCGAACATCCAGAATTCCAGTTCAAGAAACAAGTCTAATCATGAGCTGGAATTGGACATACCGGGCAGTCCCAACTACGGTCTGTCTGAGACGAGATCCCATTTGCTGACGCTGTTGCAAGACACCCCCGAAGCCCCATCGAAACCTACAGGCATTGCTTCTCGTTTGAATGTTTTATCCCTAAGTGACCTGAAATGGAAGGAACTGCAACTATCAGCTGGACAATCGCGCAGGATTGATAAGCATGCCAATGTGGATGCTGTGGATACTTTTGCACTCTTCTTCGAGCTACCACCATGGAATGTAAATAATATCAGGTCACTTTACCTATGGGAAATCCAGTTGAATAGACTACTCGATAAGTTTCCAAGCTACATCTGGATGATTAAGAATCCTACGGTTGCAACTTGTGCTCCGTCTGAGATTGGTATCGAAGGCTATGTAGGATTGAGAGCCAAGAGATACATTACAACATTCGATAATGAGCTAAAAAATCTACTTGAAGAAGCCGAACTCCTTGACCTTGATGCACAATGTCCAAAAGATACTGGAATATTGTATTTGATTAGTCAGACTATCAAAAGTAAAGCCGGAGAAATTCTACGTTATCAAATCAAAGAATTCTTGGAATGGAGAAGAATGAGAAGATATATACCTACTCTGGCGTCGATAAATGTACGGGAGGTTCACCCAGTACCTAAAAGGTTACTGTTCGTGCTTACAATACTAAATAAATTTGAAGCTCTTGATATCTATCTCAATCCACCTGAGGGAAGGGGTTGCGAACGAGTTGTGCTAGATGAGATTGTAAGAATCTATGAAAAGTATTGCAATGAGGATTACGAAGAAATGATTCATGAGATTTTGGAAGATCTCAACGTCCCAATAGAAAATAAGTTGATCAATAAAGTATTGAGAGTGACCATAGCTGAATTTGAGAAGATGTTGCAAAGTATAGATGCTCCACATGACAAAATCATTGCGAACAAAGGCTTTAATGTTCTGGAAAAAGAGTCACCCAAGAGCAGGTCAACAAAGAGTGGCAAAGGTAAAAGCAAGGAAAAGTGGCACCGGGAGTGTTTGAGAAAAATGAAAGAACTGGCATCTAGAAAATCGGCGGTCAATGCACTAGACACCTTGGAAGATACAGATTTGAACTTAGTGTTTTTCATGGCGCTACAAAATACTTATGCTGCTATTGATATATATCTAAGACTACTTGATGAAAGCGACAGCAAGCGCTCATTGCACGAAATTGGGGATGACTATTTGGAGTATCGCAAAGAGGACTACGAAGTCATGTTCCAACAAATTATGGAAGATTACAACGTTCCAAAAGACCAGCGTGATTTGACCAAGGTAGCTATGAAACGTACCATAGTTACCTTTGAAAATCGGTTACAAATTATGGATGTGTCTCATACCAATATCTTATCTCACCCGGACTTTCTTATGTGGTGAGTCACCTAAAAAGGCAATCAAATGTACGAACAATCGCCATAGTAAACACAAGGGGAAACGGGTCCAGGATGATAATACACACGTGAAGATGATTTGTTTAAATTCGAGGTCCGCTTGTGCACTTGTGCATTATCCTGTTCCGGTAGCATCTAGATGATGTATTTATTTGAGTTGGAAGTCAAGGAAGTGGGAGACTTGTCAATCAAATTAGATGAAAATTCTCCTAACTTTTCGTAATGGAGCATAGTACAACTCTTTGCAGATTTAGCCACCGAGCAGCAATTATCCATGAAATATATTTGGAAAAACACATACAAGAAGTTGTGAATAAGGATGTAGATGAGTAGATCAGCACACGATTGAGCGAGTCCCCAAGATGTATAGTTTACGAGCTGCAACTTGAGTTAGGGGTTTACAATAACCATTCGAAAATCACCGAAAAACTGATATAAGCTCTATCTAAAAGTCTCGTTCTATCGATTATGTGCATTACTTTGGATTCGAGATTTTCAGAATTGTACATAGAATACTTAGAAAGTAGAGATTGGCAGCTATTCGTCGTAAGATGAGAAGAACAATTGGTTGAATAGTACAAATCAAACATATGACGTGTATAGCATAGAAGGAGATAACAATCTCAGGAAACTTGAGGCATGAAAAATTCCATTCAATCCGACTTTTTTTAGCGAGTTGACTCGCTGCTCTCTTCACCATACAGCTGATACACTATACACTACACAGAACAGTGATCAATGAGCATACACCACTATTTACCAGACTAGAACAACCCATTAGAATAATCTGCCTTCGTTGCTAGACTAGCAATACTGCGGTACGCCGTTTCACACACCAAATGAGACTTACATACATCTTAGGATTGGTACTTACGACTTTCGCTGTCGTCATGGCGGAGTATTCGCCAAAGACCAACATCATAAACAATCCTATTGTTGCCTCGGACATGAAGTTCCTTACTCGATCTGACAACATATTGTTGTTGCGAGATCATCAGCTCATGATTTCCTTTGATAAAGGTAAATCGTTCCGCCCTGTGGAGGAAACTAAAGGCAGTCGTGTGACGTTTTTCGAGTTATTTGTTGATGCATATTATGATGCCATGGCATTCACCACTAGCAACCAGTACTATCTCACTACCGATGGAGGTCTGACCTGGAAGGAATATACATTTCCTGACTATAACTCCAATTTTCAGCTTCATAATGTGAGCCTCACGTATAATGAAATGTTTCTAACCGAGGACATGATGTTTTCAGTATGGTACTGTCCTGTTGATTCACCAAGCAGCTATTTGTGTGAACATAAAATGTACTACTCCTCCCGAATAAACAACTTTGAATTCCATTCTCCTAGAAGAATGCACATAGATGCCGTGAAGTGTGCGTATGCTAATAAATACATTAATGAGGTCGTTTGCATCGAGAATGAATTGGATTCTAATGGTAATGTTGTGAAGTCGAACTTGAGATTCTCTTCAGACTATTTCCGCGAAAATAATATACTTGCAGAAACCCCTTCAGCAGGTGTTGTCACCGAGTTGAGAAGCGAAAGTGGTGTAATCGTTGCTGTGGTAAATTATTTGGACAGTAATTATGATTTCACACATTTTTGGGTTCAAGAAGGTAGTGATCCAATATTTAAGGAAACGAACTTTAAATTCAATGATTCCTACGGTGATGTGACAATTTTGAATGTATCTCGCGATTCTATTAGGCTTTTAATTGTGGATTACTCCGTATCAATGAATGGTTTCAATGTTTCAATGATGTATACAATGTCTAGAAAGTATTATGACTTCACATTCAAATTCGAAGAGGTATTAGCAAATATTGAAGGAGGTTCAATCCAAAGAGCTCATACTCTGTCATTTGGTTTTTGGAATACTGACGATGGTGCTTGGTTGGCCAATGTGGTCTACCACGATCGAGAAAACAATTTGACCCATGTGCTGATTGATGATGCAATGAGTAGAAATGACATAGATATAAAATCGGTAAATACGCTCGATCATGGGGTAGTCTGGAATCCTTTGGCAATTATTGATGATGATAGCTGTAAGGTATCTGATGGTTGTTCTCTTCATATTTCTTTATCATCAAAAGGTAATCGCCTGGGAAATATTGTGACAGGGCCTACTCTGGGTATTTTAATGGCCGTAGGTAACAAAGGTCAAAAATTACTGACAGATATAAATGAAATGACTTCATGGGTATCCAGAGACTTTGGAGCTACATGGTCCAGTGCTATCAATGAACCCTGTTTGTTCTCCTTTGGGAGCTACGGTGATGTAATTATAGCTGTTCCTTTTGTGGGAATTCATGAAAGGAGTACTCTGGTTTATTACTTTTCTTTGGATCATGGCCAAACGTGGGCTAAGAGGTCTGTTGGTTTGAATTTTTACCCTACTACCTTAATAACAACCCCGGATGGGTCTAGAAACGCTTTTGTCGTTTCGGGACTATTAGACGAAGAATCTGATAATCCCATTGACACTGCTCCTGAAGTATTATACTCGCTTGACTTTTCTGATGCGTTCCAGGGAAAGAAGTGTCTTGATGAATTTGAGTCTTTCTTCGTATCAGGTACCGATGATCCCGGTTGTTTCAACTATGGAACTTTCGAATTTTCTAGAAGAAAGCAGAATGCCCGTTGCTTCACGCGTTCAATGTCACCAACATATGTAGTGTGCAACTGTACCATGGCTGATTATGAATGTTCAAGGAATTTTAAACCTTCCCAAAACGATCCAAACGTCTGTGTCCCAGATTTAATTAAAATTGCTGAGATTTGTAGGGAATCGAACAGCAAGGTAATTACAAAATGGGCCAAGTCAAGAAAAACCTTCCATTGCGCTGGTGATAAATTTCTCGAGGAGCACAGGTTCGTATGCTCAAGGTTCGATACTAAATATGGATATCACGATAATAATGATACCCTTATAAATATCAAGGTGTCTTCTAATTCTTTCATGGATGGTATCCTTCGATTAACTTTCTTTGAGGAAGGTGAAGGATTTGGACCAGAAAATGTTCTTCTTTTGACCAACAATGGTAGTGTCTATACATCCAGTGATGGGGGGACTAGTTTCACTAAAGCCCCAGTTAAGGAGCAGATTAGGAATTTCCATGTTGGTCTTGTTCCGGGACAGGTAATTTTAAATACCGACACCGGTACTATCTATTCATCTGTTGATGCTGGACGCACATTTAGTAGGTACGAGGCACCTGTACCACCAACACAAATAGCATACAACTCGCTGCAAATTGATAAAGTGATATCCTTCCATAAAACTGAACTGGGAACCTTCATTTGGCATGGGGATAATGGCGAAATGGGTCTGGATGCTTACATTACTCATGATGGGGGAAGAAGCTTTGCTTTATTGAAAGAGGATACTTCGTATTGTGAAATCGTTGGACCTCATTTGCATGAGCGAAACAATCAAAACAGAAATATGATTTTCTGTAAAACGTTAACTGATGAACCTGGAATATGGAAATTGGAATCCTCTAATAATTGGTTCAAGGATTCTAAATTAGAATTTGAGAATATGCTCGGACATAGTATTACTGGCAGGTATTTGATGGTCGTGACTGTGAATATCCGATCGCAGACATTAGAGGTGAAGGTTTCCTTTGATGGGTTGATTTTTGAAGATGCTGGCTTTCCTTCTGATCTTAAGGTCAATTGGGAGTCTGGATACACCATATTTAATACTGATCATGAAGCTGTATTTATGCTAGTTGGATCATCTGATTCTCTGGACTTTTATTATCTGAAAAGCACAGGAACCCTCTTAAAGTCAAGCTTCAATGGAAGAGACTTCATCACTTCTCTCGAAAGAGTCAAAAGATACCCTTCTGGCTACGCTGCTTTTGAAAGAGTCGAAAGCTTAGACGGAGTCATCATCAGTAACACTGTGGCGCTTGGATTATTTGGATTGGAGGTACTTAAGACACTTATTAGCCATAACGATGGAGGCGAATGGACTTATTTGACTCCGCCAACTGTGGGTCACAACCCATGTTCTGGTCAGGATTTATCAAAGTGCTCTTTGCACTTGGCTGACCTCGCTCTCGGTCATCGTAAAGATAATTCCAGGCCTTATCCGACTCCTGGTATGATTATCGGCAGGGGGCGGGTTGGTGAATATNTTTCCGGCGATAAGCCTCTCGATCATTTTATTTCTAGGGACGGTGGTGTCACCTGGGAATATTTATTTGACTACGACTCCATATTAGCTTATGGTGATAGTGGAGCAATTATGGTGTCCAGCGGTAAGTTTGGATCCCTGAAAGGCTTAAAATATTCTTTGGACGAAGGAAGAACTTGGAATGAGTACAAACTTGAAGGAAATCTGATCCATATTCGTGAGTTGACTGCTGGGCTATCCCGCACTTCCAAGAAGTTCTTAATCTTTGGAAATGCCGACAATTCGGAAGTGGATTACACTTACTCAATCGATTTCTCAGATATTTATAACAGGCAATGTCATTTGGACCTTGAGAACCCTGATTCAGATGATTTCGAGTACTGGACTCCCTCTCAACCCAATCAACCAGACAAGTGCATGTTTGGGCGTGAAGAAAGGCACTTAAGGCGTAGCAGTATCGATTGTTTTATTGGAAGCGTACCATTCACCAAAGAATACGAAGTGGTCAGAAACTGCACATGCTCAAGGAGTGACTTCGAGTGCGATTTCAACTATTCCAGAGACATTGATGGGACTTGCAAATTGAACAAAGGAATGTCACCTCTTAATCGCCTTGATGAAATGTGCGGTAAAAAGAATGCATTTGAATATTTTGAATCCACTGGTTACAGAAAAATTACGATGTCCACTTGTGAAGGAGGAAACGAATTTGATAAATGGGATGCTATTGCTTGTCCAGGGAAGGAGAAACAATTTAATAGACACTATAGCAAAGAGTTGACTGCGAGCAAGTTTGCGATACTTCTTGGTATTCCATTAGTTATTTTCGTCTTTGTCACTTGGTTTGTCTATGACAGGGGTATTCGGAGAAATGGTGGATTCGGGAAGTTTCGTGTAATCAGATTAGGTGAAGATGATCAACAAATTATCGAGAACGACAACATAGATAAATTTATCAACATAATAATCAAGTGCGGGATCACTGTTGTTGCTGGAGTGTTTGCCGCGGGCAGAACTTTGAGAAAGCTTGACGGAGTGTTCTTTAAGAAGCTTTTTTCTGCAATCTTTAGAGGATCTACTGGTGGTGAAGACTTTATCTCGGTTCCCAATATCGAAGAGCTGTTACTTAGAAACACCGATGACATAGAAAGAACTCCCGGAACTACCCTGATCTTCACCGAAGTGACCCAGCCAGAATACGCTGATACTACTACTCAAGATGGTACTAGTAGCGATTCGAGACTTCTTGACAGTGAAGCTCACTCATAAAATATCATTAGTATATGAATAGTCAATATCATAGTACATCACATCTGCCGCAGCATACATCTAATACATATCGTACTGAAATATAATTATTAAGTAAATGTTCAATAGAAGGAGTAAAACATTACTATAACTAAAAAAAGTAACTATTTAATGTCATAAACAAATTTAATGACAATAAAGGGTATCAATTTCTAAAAGGTATCTTTGTATTAAACTGCAGTGATGTATAAAATTTGAGCTGCTTGTATCTAACCTCAAATGTTTTTGCTCCAGTATTTACTATTGTTTTGTCCAAAAATAGGAAACTATTATCCTAAGTCTTAATTTCAAATTCTCCTATTACTGTATGGAGGAATTGTAGGTTACATACTTCCAATGAATTAAGATCCAGAAAAGGCTATATCATTCGATCATGTCGCTAATACTTGTGCATACACCCTCATTTGACACCTCAACAATATTCGTTCGCTTCAGGTGAACATAGCTAGTCCTCGAATATATAATCGAAGTAGCAATTTCGAGCCATTGTGAACATCATCCACTTGACCCTACCTACGATAAGTTTAGTATAGTGTATTGTAGAGTATTTTAGTATTTGCAGAAGTTTGCATCATGCGTGGCATGGCCTCGTTCTTCGTTATTTCATGGCGTTAGACTTGCAAAACAAAAACCAGCAAACCATAATTAATCATAATCATAACACATAATCATAAATCGAAACAGAAATAAAGGGCATAGGTCAGAGACCTGGTAGGGAGTGTCAATAGAGTTGCTGTAGTGCAGATCGAAGAATAACGTGACATATCGAAGAAAGTGGTCTCTTGATCATGATCATTTTGGACCCCAAATACCGGAGTTAGGACTATCGAATCCGTTATTGGCCAAATTCAAACTGTTGAACTTGGAGCTCAACCTCTCATTGTTGTTTCCACTCTGGTTACCTGATTGGCTATTGTTGCCAAAATCCTCAGACCCAGATTGTTGTAATGACGTGAAGCTACCAGTCAAGTGAGCATGTTGCCCAAAGGGTTGAAATCTGGAAGAGATATCGCTAGAAGCCATTGGAGTCGAAGGCTGAGAGTTGGATGAAGGTCCCTGGAAAAAGTGAGGTGGCACAGATGGATGGTGACTTCCAGCACCCGATCCGGCGCTAGGACCAGTTCCATGTCCATGACTATGATGGTGCTGTGGGGTTGGAGAACCGGTCACAGAACCTTGCTGTAAAGGTGGCTGTGTTTGATAGTTACTCAATGGTGGAGTGGAGCGAACATCAACATATGAACGATTATTGGATGTTCTCAACAAAGAGGCAGCACTTGATCCCATGGTAGGCGTAACAACTTGTGGAGGGGCACCGTTAATGGCGTTCAACATTTGAGGAGTTTGGCCTGATTGTTGATGTTGCTGGTGCGTGTGTTGTTGCTGCTGCTGGTAGACATTAAACTGCTGGCTGTAAGGTCTAGATTGTTGAGGAGGGCCATGCTGTTGATGTTGTTGGTTTGAAGGAGGCATTTGGCCGTTGGACTGGTATTGGGGGAAATGTTGCTGAATTGGAGTGGAAGTTTGTTGTCTTAACCTTGGCAAAGGTAATGCTGATTGAGATTGAGATCTCAATAATTCAGGGTGGGTTGGAGCACCCAATTGACCCAACTGATTCAAGTTCAACATCGAAGATGAGTGGGATTGAGGTTGTTGTTGGCCAGACTGTTGCAGTTGCAGTTGTACTTGTTGTTGACCCTGCAGTTGGTTTTGTTGAGGATTCTGAGGAATCAAGTTTTGCTGGGTGAAGGTTTGAGCAATGTAACCAGGTTTTCTTCTAATAATAATCAACCCGTTGTCAAACAACTCCAACAAGTTTAAATAAGAACACAACACCGACAAAACCTTGCGTTGAGCCAAATTCAAGTTTGCGGGGCTGATGGCCAACTCGAAAATGGATTTGGTCATGTCATCTCTGTACAACGCTAATTGAGTGTATAATTCCAAAGTCTCGGGATCATTGAAGTTCAAATCAATTGGAAGGTTGGTATAGGAGGTACTCAAAGGCAAAGAAATCATGAATCTTTCGGTGGTGGTACCGGAATTGGTGCCATTGACACTCAAGTTTTTGGTGGCAGCGGTGGTCGATGCTGCAGACAACAAGGAGGCAAGAGAAGCGTTGGAAGTGGAGCGGTGTTGTTCTTCCAACTGACCGCGTTTCTCCCTCTTCTCGCGTTCGATGCGTTCGCGTTCTTGCAAGGGAAGCATTTTCTTGTACTCAACCCTCAATTTCCGGCCGCCAATCTCACGGCCGTTCAACTGGTTAACTACCAAGGAGGTTTCGTCGGTGGAGGTGAAGTTGGCGAAGGCCAAGCCCCTGAACACGCCATTGTCGAAATGATAGTTAAATGCATAGGGTAAAGGAAGATTCAATTTTGTCATCACATCCAACAATTGTTCCTTTTTGATGGCAAACGGGATGTTTTTAATGACAATAGCCGTGGGAATCAATTCATCGTCGTCGTTATCGTTATCGTTATCATTATCAAGATCGTTATCGTTGTCCTTGGCGTCGTCCTCGATGGAGCTGGTGGAGGCAGCCTGCGAGGTGGCTGCGATGGAGGGCGCCTTGTCCTTTTGCAACAGGGACTCTATAACCTTGTTGTCCATGTTGTTCAAGGTGGACTGCTGCTGCTGCTGCTGCTGCTCGACCCAGGGACCCACGTTGGCGGCCGAGGGCAACGCCAACCCAGCGTGGGACGAGCCCTGATTCAACCACGAGTTCTGCAAATGGAGGTTGTTTCTGCTGGTGGACGACAATCTCTGGTTGGAGAGCTGGGGGGTGTTGGCTGAGGTGTTGGCGCCACTGGACTGGCCCTGTGCAGGGTTGCCGCTGTTGCCGCTGGTGGTAGCACCACCGTTGTTGGCGGTAGACGCTGCGGAGGGTCCGTTGCCGTAACTGGACGAATACCCGGAGGTAGACGACAACGACGACAACGATGGTCGGCGCTGCATCACCGCATCCATTTGGTTGGGGGTTGACGACAAGTTTCTCAAGTCCATCCTCGGTGATTGTAGTTGGAGTTTTGGAGGAAGTGTTTTCAGTTTTTATTGCCTCCTGTGGACGAATGCTCGCGGGTCACGAGGCGGAGGGAAGGGAAGGTGGTGGGAGCAGTGGGAGCAGTGGGAAGGAACAGGTGGTGGAAGGCGGTGGGGAGGAGTGGCCGTACTGTCACTGGCGGTGGTTGTGGTGCTCGCTATAGGCTACTGGCACTGTAGCGATGGGGGCCCTCTTCCGCTGGTGCTGGCACTAGTGCTGGTACTGCCACTGCCACTGGCGTGCCGTGCGATCTGTCGCGACAGTCCACCGTCGCGACACTCGCACGTCGGCGATATAATTTTTCAGCGAATACGTGTTAGTTGTTCAACAGATATACAATGGTATGTGGAACCACGGCACGGTGATGCCCCTCAAACGCCCCAGTGTGCGCAGTGGCCGGTGCTTCCCCGATGCTCCCACGGCCGTGCGGCCCTGTTTCCCGTCCCTACTAACCTCCAGTCGTCAGCTCCAGGTGGCTTAAGAAGCGCAGTCAAGAGAAAGAACACCTCTGAAAAGAAGGCCCAATCCAACAGCTCGTTGCCATTGTCCACACGTGCTGCTGGTGCCGGCGGCTCGTCGTCCACCATGATGAAAATATTCACCGATGAGGCCCAGGGCTTGAGAGTCGACCCATTGGTGGTGTTGTTCTTGGCTGTTGGGTTCATCTTCTCCGTTATCATCCTTCATGTGTTTGCCAAGATCACCGGAAAGTTCACTTAGGGACTGGGGCCCTAGTCAGGCTATAGTTCTACACAATGGTCCCCTGGCATCCAAAGTGCCTGTATAGTTAGTGGTATCAATATATATTAATGTCCGACAGGGTGTAGGAGTGGCGAGGGTTGGTGAGTGTACAATCGCTGGCTATAGACCAGTAGCTTCCTTACTTCGAAAGAGGTATAAGATTTAAGTATGTACCAAGTTGTATGGCTCCCAGGGCGTAATTTGATGTGATTAATTTTTATGTTGTAATGCTACCTTCAATTTCATGAATCAGCCCAGTGGTTGAATCGTTGCTAACTAAGGCTTTTACAGCACCACTAACTTTGCGTTCAATGAATTTTACCTACGGGCTACTCGAGAAATGTAATCACGGTTGGTATTTACGTGCATCTCAACCTACGGATAGTTTAGACAACGTCTACCTTGGGTTTACTTCCTTCAATTGAAGAGATATAACTATTGCTGAACAAAGTGTTTGATCGTAGTAAAAAACTATAAAATCGTTGCTTCGATGGTTGTGCTTAAAAGACCATTTTCCACTAGTTGGAAGTACGTTCGTACAGGTTACTTCCCGTTTCTGGCTATGTTCTTGTTGAATATTAATCCCAATTGTTACAATGCTTTATTGAATTGTCGATCCCGTTTTCGTATCGTCGTATTGAATTGATTATTCCAAGTCTATTTGTCCGTCTTTCTCGATTTAGTATTTTCGTACCTAATGCATATCTTGATACTAACTATATGAATTATTGATTGCCTCAAGCCAGAGGCACTCCAGGGTCATTTCCAGATTACGTCTTTAATACCCGTGTGTTCTATTTACATGTCTTTCTACATATCCTCCAACAACCCCTCTAACGCCCTGGACAATCCATCCTTGTGTACAAAATGCTTGATGTCCTGGCCATTTTCGTACTCAACTTCCCATTCGAAGTCTCTGCTTTCATACACCTGCTTCCAGCTATCGCCATACTTCTTTCCCCGGATCTCGAGCTCTATTATTGGAAATTTCTTACCCAAAATCACGGTGATAGGAATCCCCATCAAGTTAGACTGGTTGATCTTTTTTCCAAGTCCTACTTTAGGCCTGTTGTCTGCCCTGTAGTCCAATCCTGCCTGGTTAAGGTACCTGTAAACCTCCTCGAACTCCTTGTTTCCATTACCAGCCTCAACAACGGTAACTTCCCATGGAGCAACGATTCTAGGCCAGTTTAATCCTTTGTCATCCTTATTGATTTCTCCGATAGATGCAATGATTCTACTCACTCCAATGCCATAGCATCCCATCATCAAATCTTTGCGCTCAGTCTTATTGCCCACAGGTACCTCAACCGAGCAGCCAAGCGGCTTGCTGTATTTGTCACCCAAGTAAAAGGTGTGTCCAATTTCAATGGCTCTGTTACCATGGAGCTTGCCATCCTCACACTCACCACAAATCTCGAATTCCTCAGCAGATACAATTGGAATGTCAGACAAAGTAGTGATTAACGAGCGGTTGATGAATGAAATAGGGAAGTCGGGGAAGTTGGATCTTGAATTAAGTCTGGCGTCCATGATACGAATGATCTTCTTTGAAATTAAAGTGTCGGGGTCAGAGAACTCGGCCAAAATCAATTCTTGATCTGTAATGTGAACATTCAAGTCTGGTACTTCATTCTTGACAAAATTAGGTTGTAATTCACGGTCCTTGGGGTAGTACGCACAAACCAAAGTGCTTTTATCCTTGGTCATGAAATATGTGACCGAAACGTCAGCAACTTCTGTCTCCTCCACTGGGAAGGATAACGTCTTCTCTACGTTCGACACGCTGCCACAGTTGTCGCAACTGAACACCGTATCTTCACCAGTTTCGTGCAAATAGTGCCATTCGTGGCTCAACGAGCCTCCGATTTCCCCAGTATCTGCTGCAGCCTTGGTGAACGGCAATCTGAGGTCCTGGAAAATTCGAGTGTATGCTCCAATAACGTTATTGTAGGTAGTCATGGCGCTTTTCTCGTCGATGTCGAACGAGTATGCATCCTTCATGATGAACTCCTTCCCGCGAAGCAAGCCGCTTCTGGGTCTCTTCTCGTTACGGAACTTGGGGTTGATCTGGTAGTACAAGAGCGGCAAGTTCTTGTAGCTGGTGAGGTGGCTGGCCACATGGTTGGTGATCTCTTCTTCTGCGGTAGGAACCAAGAGGTACTCCTTGCCGTCGAGCTTGAAGAACTCCAGTCCCGTTTCCCACCGCCCTGTCTTCTTCCACGACGAATTATGTGAGATCAAACTCAACCCCAACTCCTCGAAATCGATTTCGTTCATTCTTTTCCGAACGACGTTGGATATCTTGTTCATGCTGCTCAAGCCAGCCGGCAACCAGTTGACAAGTCCTGCCTTGGGATGACTGATGTAGTTCAAACGAGTCAAAAGCTCGTGCGTTGGCACAGTTTTGGAGTATTTGAAGGAGTCCACATTAGCGCAGTAGAGTTTGGGCACGTTCTTGACGTGTAGGAACCGCTTCATGGTCTAGCAGGGATGACACAGACTGGCTAGTGGTGGATAGGTGTTGGTGATTCGTGAGCTAAACAGACGCTGACTGCGGGTCACGTGCAGGGTCCAGTTGCTGCAAAAACCGCTATGAGACTACAACAGTACCAGCCAAGGACTACTACATTGACAGTAACATAGTAGAACCTGGTAGTGCTGACTACTGCCATGGCACTAATGCACTTCATACCGTCGGTGCTACTGCTACTACTTCCATCTACCTAGTCGAGACTCTCACATTTTATTATGACTATACGCTTACTTGAACTTGGAGGTGATTTCGTTCACCACGTCATCTCCGTAAGACTTCAAGTTGGCAAGGGAACTGTTCAAGTCCAATCTAGCTTGATGCAACTTTTCCTCCTTGTTTGGCTCGGTGGACTTTTGGAGTCTGGTGGTGAGCTCATCAACCTTGGCCTTAGCTTCTTCAAAGTTTCTAATGGCTGCAGCCTTACCTTCTTGGTACGATGCAGATAATTGGTCCTTGGTCTCGCTCAAGTTGGATTGGAGCTTAGAGCCCTGCTTGTTGAGCTCCTTCTTGCCGTCTTCATAGGTCTTATTTATGTCGTTGGACAATTCGTCGGTCTTCTTGGAACCCCACTTAGACCATGACTCGCCTTGCTTTTCAGCCTCGGCCCTCAATTCCTTGGCCTTGTCGGCAGCCTCGTCAGTCTTCTTGGATCCCCATCTAGACCAAGACTCTCCCTTCTTTTCGGCTTCGGCCTTCAACTCCTTGGCCTTGTCAGCAGCTTCATCAGACTTCTTGGATCCCCAGTTGAACCAGGACTTCTTTTCAGCCTCAGCATCCTTCTTGGCCTGCTCAATTTGCTTGCTCACTTCGTCGGACTTCTTGGAGCCCCAGCTTATCCATTCGTCCTTCTTGTCTGAAGCCTCCTTCTTGGCTTCACCAAGCTTTTGGTTGAACTTGTCATCGTCCTTCTTGAACCAGTCACCGAACCATGATTTTTCCTTGACTTCGTAATCAGGAGACACGGAAGAGTAGGGGGTAGTCTTGGTGTCAACACCACTGGCACCATTGACCAAGTCAATGTACTTATCCACACCTCTGGCAATCAAGTTCTTGTCCTCAGGAGCCTTGAGTGCTCTATAGTTGGCCTTGGCTTCGTCTTGGTGTTCGGTGACCTTTTGGTATAAGGTGGTGTCCTTGATCTTGTCAGTGAATTCCTGGCTCTTTTGGCTAAGTTCCTTCTTGGACTCTTCAATCTTGTTGCTCAATTTGTTGGTCAAATCAGAAGACTTCTGTTCAGCTCTGTCCACTTCGTGGCGGATTTGCTGACGTTGTTGTCTTGGTAAAATTGGTTGGACATTCTTGTCATAGTAATAAACACCACCTACGATGGCGGCAGTACCTAAGATATATTTGCTGGCAGACATTGTTGTTTGAATAATTGAAGGTCCATCCTACACGATTCTTCAGTCCTTATATATCTAGTGGCAGGTCAGGCAGGGTTGCTATAGGCATTTCCCAATTGGGAACACCATGTGAAACCGTTTAGCAACCTGAGTGTGGTCGCAGAAGAATTGCAATCCGTGGCGACATGCCCAAAATTAAGCCAATCAAGAGGCAGAACTTGACACCTACATGGTCCCAGTATACAATTGCTGCACAGGAAGACGCGTGACTAGTACTCGGCTTGAATTGACACCGATTGACACCGAGACTTTCCTTACGCAATAGCAATCTCCACATGGTCATAAGGGTTGCGACAGTTGGCAATCACGTGGACTGTAGTCACATGGATGACAGCCACCACTTTGGATGCATGACTCCAGCCGACGATGCGGCGCCTTGTTAATGGATTTGAACCCTGGAATAACCGACAAATACGAAAACTTAAAGGCTTACCAGAGATGATTCAATTTCGTTTGGAGCTCAATCTTCCACTTCGATATTGAAAACTTAATTGCGTTGCCTAGTTTCATTTGCCACAACCAGGTTGCTATTCAGAGTTTCGCTGAAAAAAGGTATGCGCGAGGAAGCCGCAGCCTAAAGCTAATTCTTGTCGATGTTGGCGGAATTCAGGACATTTTCATGCATGTCTGGAACTGAATTACCGTGCCCAGGCTTCGATGCATACGCAATTGCTGTCGTACATCATATTTGGATGCAGAGCCCCATCTCCAGTGAATGAGGTTTTGGGTGTCTATTAAAAATAGAAAGGTGAATCGGAGCTACATCGCTGCTAGAAATGAATATTTGATAGACAACGACAAGTCAGCTAAAATACCTGGTGGACTTTGGTTACCCAAGAGGATACGACTTGAAATGGCCAACACGATATTTCACCAGAAGATACTCAAGTCCTCAATGAATAGATGGAAGACAATTATGGTAGCGAATATTGAACAATATCTAACATGTTTTGGATATTTGAACTGATGCCTTGACCACTCCTATTTACTTTAAATGAAATGTTAATCTGGTTGCCGATTTCTCGGGAAAACGCGGGTCAAGTGGATCGATTTTATGCACTGGAGGCGGTAAAAACGGATTATCTGTAAGAACAACCCTATAATGCTTGCCATAACACCATCCGGAAAATCTCGGCACCTTGGTTTGGATCTGAGTAAGCCGTACATTTTCTATAAAAATCCTTGCCGAAAAAACTATCTGTAATTTGTTCATCAGCTCAGACGAATGTGCGATTGGAAGATGAGTACAACTTCGACAATTCATAGACCATAGTGGTGGTCATGACCAGCTGAGGTGACCCATGGATCTGCTATAATTCTCGTTGTATACGCTAATTCTTGTCGCCATTACCCAGCTGTGCTCACATCTCGCCATCACATCATGCCACCTTCAGAATTTGCACCCAATCATGAGATTTTCCCACCATGGACCAGTCTTGACCGTTGAGGCAATATTGATCCGATTTTATCCATCTGATCGATCTGAAGTAGTATATAAGGTGGATGAAGGTGTGGTTGGAATGGCCATTCGCCAACATGTCACTTTTGCTACCAACTCTCAAAAACTCATTCAGACTAACCATAGTAAGGCCCCGTTATATGGGAACGTTCAAAAACTCCACAGGTGCTAATGCAAAGACAATGGCTCTCAGTGCCGGTGGATACCTCTTAGCATGCTTGGGTATAGCTAGGTTAGCTGAAGTGGAGGACTTTGCTTATATTTTCAAGCAAATCGGAGAATAACGCGTTCAGTCCAGAGAACAACGCATAGGCTTGAAATGGATTTTATGCTATAATGTTGATTCAAGGAGCCATTTTCAGGCATGGTCCTGTTACATGCTGTGAATAGCGCATGGTCGCTGTGGGCTTCTTTGTTAGGGTAGGCAGTTCAATAGAGAATTTATTTGATATACGTAGTTCCGGCGAGTTTTTGGGAGTCGTACTTGATATCTGGTACGATTTCCCTGAATACTAGTTTGAATAAATTATTTGAGGAAACAAACGAATCTCCTGAAGATAAAATAGATCTATCAACAATGGCTGGTGTATGTGCTGTTCCATTCTACCATGGCTCTAGTATATTCCCTATTCTACGACTTTCAACTACCCACAACTCCCAGATATTTGTCTTGAATTATGTATTGGTATACAGCTCAACTGTATAGTCTATGTTCTCTATGTGCACATTTTAGTGAATCGACTCCAGCGAGTCCCCAGCACTACTGAAGTTCATATCTCCTTCAAGCCCTGTCCTGGAACCCTGCGGAAGTACCTCTTGGTCTCGCCAAACAACAACCCCCTGCTCAATTTCCATACCTGCAATAAGATGTCCTTTCGGGGCAAAAACTCGGGGAAAACCACTTTAATGATGTTTTCGGACTTGGTGGAGTCTGTCTGGCTGGGCTTTGTCAATACGCACAAGTAGAAGATCACCTGGCCGTAGTTGTGGAAAGCTTCATGGATCACCAAGTCGATGATATCCTTCAAAGGCACGAAAACCTCCACGTTGTTCTGGAACCTCCAGCTCTTCTTGGAGACCAATTGCACCCCGATGTCCTTCATGACTATCACGCTATCCTCGGGAGTCTGTCTCATCACCACTAGTATGCCCACTATCACCACTACGAGAGGCCCAATGTAGTGGGTGGGACTTTCGGAGAAGAGAGCTCCTGAAGCCCACCACTGGCCATCCCACACCCTTTGTGTTCTCCAGCACTGCCATATCAAGTAGCTCACTGCTAGCACGAGGTATGGTGGGGTTAGGCGAGCCCAGAAGTCTGTGTGGTTTTTCACTGTGAATTTGATGAGGTTGGAATGGTGGACGGTGCTGTCATCTACGTGCGGAGTGATCTCCAACGCGTAGTTCTTCGGGGACGACATGATGCCGTTATGATGTGGAGTTTGGGTGTTTGGTAGCGGGACTGGTGCTGAAGTAGTGGTGTGTCATTGTAGAGTGATATCACGTGGGATGATCTGTGCGAGGCGAGCCTTGGTAGGACGCGATGGAGGAGTCAGAAATACGGAAATGGTATCGCATAGGGTCAAGAGTCAGAATAAGCTGGTGGGGCAGACGGCTCGAGAAAGTAGTTTCCTGGCATCTGCTCCGAAAACGTTCGAGAATGTGTATTTATTGTTCGACAGTGCTAGTTAATTTGCGACTGGTGGTAGTGTGACTAATTGTAAGTTGATGGGTTGGTCTCTAGTTGAATCGGGACTGCTATGTATCGTGAGGTCGTAAGGGAGAAAGAGGTGTGGTCTTCGGGTGCTTAAATGATAGGCTTCGTATCTTCCGGCTGGGGCCTTTCCGCGATGGAACCCACCACCATTTCGTTCTTTCTCAACTCCTTGATCTTTTCCGCTCTGGTCATGGACTTGGCACCGGTTCTGAACTCGATTTCACGCTGTCTGTTCTTCTCGGCGTCATCCTTCATGGCCTTTTCACGCTCCAATGCCATAGCAGCCAATTCTGCCTCGTGGGCGATCCGCACCTCACGCAATTTCTCGTTGTAGTACTCCAAACTCTTGATGTTGTGTTTGGAAGCTTCGCAATATTCTGCAAAGTCGGCTGGAAGCTTTCTTTTCAACGCCATTTCCACAATTTCTGGATAGTTCTTTTCCTCCAAATTGAATTTCAGCTTGATTTGCTTTCTAGTACGGTATGGAAACAATTGCGAAATCAACAAGAAATCAGTGCCGAACGTACTCAACGCAGAATAGAATTGCTTAACCTCATCTTCGGTCCAACGATCAGTGTGCTTTCTCTTGGAATATGACGATGAAGTGATTGGATTCTCGAAAGGATTGGCCTCTTCACGAGTCAAGTGACTGTTGTCCACACCCTTATGTCTACTGACAATAGCGGAATCGAGATCGTAATTGATAACACCATCCACAAGCAAAAGTTGCAAATTGGTGGAATGCGATTGTTCTGGGGCATCTGTATTCAAAAGCTCGTCTCTCTTCTTCTTCATTGCTTCAATATCATCAACCTCACCGTTTCTAGCAAGTATTTCTTCCAAGGGAACCCTTTCGACTCTGGCCAATTCACGATGGGCTCTTCTCTCCAGCTTTTTCTGTTTGATCTTCTCTTCGGCAGCCATAACTGATTCATAATTCGAGCTGACCTGGCCAATGGGCAATGTTGGCTTGCACAAGTCGGCCATGGTCATTTTGTTGATATCGAAGCCAATATCACGATACAACTCTTCATCCTCACCCTTAACTGATCTTGGGAGTTGCTTGACGCTGGTGATGTTGGTGATCAAGGTGTCGGGGGCAATTTCATAGGTATTTTCATCTGCACCTTCCAGGGCAGGTCTGACTCTAAACTTGGACAACCGCGCAGTCTCTGGATCAATACCCACTACGAATTCACCGTCACCTTCCTTGATGGGAATTTTGACAGAGGAAGTGATACCAGATTGAGCCTCTTCTGGCACGGGCGAAGGCTCCTTAGGTATCGAGATGGAGGCGGCTCTTATCACCGATGCCCGCTTGGTGGAGGTTCTGGTTTGGGCCAGGGATCTTCTCCTTTTGACGGCCTTGGCCAGAGGAATTCCGATCTTGGCTGGAGTATAGTCTTCGGAGGCGTCTGGTGCTATAGCGCCTCCGCTGGCCAACGAGATGGAGGTGGACCTATTTCTGTTCAAAATGGGGGCTATACCGGATAACCTGCGTTGCTGAACCGATTTTCTTCTGGGGAGTTCCTTGAAGATGTCAAGGTCGAGGTCGGAGTGGTCACTGCCGGAGTCTGGGCGGTCCAACTTCTGGGACGAGTCTCTGGGGTCCACGACGTCAGCTTCTGCCTGCGCTGGAACTACCTTGAAGTTGAACGCCTTCAACGGCGACAGCGCAGCGGCATCAGCCTTTGTTGGCTCGTTGGCCAACGGCTCGGCCTGCGTGGGTTCAGGAGTGGGTGCTGTTGGTGCTTCAGACACCGCCAACTGGGTTGGGGCTGGCGAGAGCGCAGTTTGGGGAGAAGCGGACGTGTTTTCGACAGAAGCATGGGGATCCTGGATCTGTGGCTTCTCCTGGGTGGCAGGAGGCGTGAGTTGGGGTTTCTCGACCTTCTTCTTGATGGGCTTCTTGCGGAGCTTGGGGGTGAAGTGAGTAGACTTCTTAACGATACTACTCATGGTGCAATCACAGTGAACGGAAAGTGGCGGCTAGCTGTTGGAGGGTGTTTTGTGGATAAGGGTGGCTGGCACTTTCTCGGTGATTTTGGCGCGTTGGACTGGGCTGACTGCCTGTTCTTGTGGTGATGTTGTTTGCAACGATTTGTTTGTCGCATCCCATCGCTCACGTTATCAGCGCTTAAGAAAACAGCAAAGAGGAATAACGGCAGAGTCAAGAGACTAACGACCTGCTAGACAGCTCCAGATAGACAGACAACAGAAGAAGACAGACTAATTATCGTCAGAAGCTGAGCAGAATCTAAGAAAAGCTCATCCACAGACAGACTCGACAAACAGCACATCATCTGAGATCGAAGTAACGACCTCAAGACACTTTTCGAGGCAGCTTGACAGACTACGGCTCCTTATCGTCAGACAACACTCCAAGACTACTATTAGACCATCAAGGACATCTTGTCAGATTAGATAATAAAACATCTTTGTTAGACAACAAGACATCTTATCATTATCCTTACCTTTCATAAGCTATACCATGAGAGCTACCTGCCGCTACAACTGGACCCCTGGCCACAAGGACAACTGGACCCTCAATCTCCTACTCCAGGAAGACCACCACTCGTTCATCACCTCCTCCTCCGACGGAAGCTTGACCAGCTACCTGTTGCAACAGCTCCAGGACCAGCCGTTGTGGAAGATCCCCAACGCCCACGCTGGCAGCATCAACCTGATCAAGCAGTGTGACCCCAACACCGTGGTGTCGTGTGGTCTCGATGGCATCAAGTTGTGGGACTTGAGATCCGGCAAGTCCACCCACTCAGTCACTGGCAACTACTTGTCGCTAGGCGCCGCCAGAGGCCTCATTGCTGGGGGTACAGAACTCTCGGGAAGTGATGCTGAACTCCATGTGTGGGACGTTAGGAACATGAGCGTGCCCCAGCGGTCGTTTGTGGACTCCCACCACGACGACATCACCGACATCAAATTCCACCCCACTATCGACAAGTACTTTATGTCGGGATCCACCGACGGGTACGTCAACATCTATGACTTGAGTCAACCGGACGAGGACGAGGCCTTGCACCAGGTGATAAACTTCGCCTCCATCCACTCGTGCAACTTCACCACCGACTCCAGAATATCGGTGTTGTCCCACATGGAGACATTGGCATTCTACGAGTTGAACGACACCAACTACGAAGACACCCACGAGCCGCAGCCCCACGAACTAGGCGATGTCAGAACAACGTGGCCCGACTGTGAATACGTGGTGGATGTCAACCCCGCAGGCTACGTCAGCTATGGTGCAAACTCCCACCAGAAATTGTCGTTGTATCCTTTTAATCCTATTCAAGAGAAGTTTGATTTCAACAGACCAGTTTGGTTCCCACAGGCCCACGGCGAGGAAGTGGTGAGAGACTTGGTGGTTGTTCCATATTCCAAGAGCGCACTTACTTGTGGAGAAGACGGGAATGTGAAGTTGTGGGAGCTTCCCTACCAATTGGACACACCTTTGGCTTCCGAGGACCAAGATGAGGAGATGGAAGTGGAAGACGAAGAGGACAAGAAAGAGAAGAAGAAGGAAAAGAAAAACAAAAAAGACAAGAAGGAAAAGAAGGAGAAGAAGGAAAAGAAGGACAAAAAAGACAAGAAGGAAAAGAAGGACAAGAAGGACAAGAAGGACAAGAAGGACAAGAAGTCGGACGTCAGATTCAAGCCATACTAGTCTCATCGCATTTAAAGCACCAATACACATCATCAGAAATTTTGTTAAATATTATCTTATGTACAATAACTTGTGGAGAGTCCAACCATTCACCATCTAGAATCTGGCGATAATGTCATCGATAACTTCTTGGGTGGAAGAAGAACCTCCCAAGTCAGGGGTCTTGATCTTGTCCTCGCTCAAGTTGGCGTCAACGGCCTCGTAGATCTTGGCTGCTGGCTCGGTGTAGCCCATGAACTCCAACATCAAAGCAGTGGATCTGATGGTGGCAATTGGGTTGGAAATACCCTTGCCTTCGATATCGGGAGCAGAACCGTGGCATGGCTCACCAATGGCGAAGTTGTCACCAACGTTGGCAGATGGGACAACACCCAAAGAACCCACCAACGCAGCAGCACCGTCACTCAAGATGTCACCGTACAAGTTAGGAGCCACAACCACGTCAAAGATTTCTGGTTCTCTGAACATACGGTAGACCATACTGTCGACAATTTGTTCCTTGTACTCGATGCTACCGTAGGCTTCTGGGTTGGCATCGTAGACCTTACGACAGGTTTCACGGAACAAACCGTCCGACTGGGACAACACATTGGACTTGTGGGTGACAGTCACTGAAGGTTGTTCGTGGATGGACTTGACGGAGGAAGCCTCTCTGATGGCCTGTCTTTGCAAGGCGATGTTGTAGGCGATCTTTGAGATTCTGGTGGTGGCAGTCTCGGTGATTCTCTTGATGGCCTCAGCAATCTTGGTGCCGTCTTCGGCCTTGTAGGTTCTTTCTTCCTTGATGTACAAGTCCTCGGTGTTTTCACGCACAATCACCATATCGACGGGTCTGCCAATGCCTTCAACAGACTTGACGGGACGCACGTTGGCGTACAAACCCAACTTCTTTCTCAAGGCGACGATTGGAGACGAGTATCCTGCCACCTTGGTGGTAGGTGAAGAAACAGCTCCGAACAACGCACCGTCACACTCGTTTTGCAACACCTTGATGGTTTCTTCAGGCAACGCAGTGCCAGTCTTTTGGAACAACTCGAAACCAGCGTCCAAGTGGACGAACTCGAATTGCAAATCGTACTTGGCAGGCAAGGCTTCCAACACGGCTCTACCAGCTGGAATGACTTCACGGCCAATACCATCACCAGGGATCAAACCGATCTTTAAGGATTTGAGAGCAGCAGGGGTGGATGAAAAGCGACGAACAGCAGACAACATTTTGGCTGGAAAGATGAAGAATTGAGGAAGAGAGAACCAGAAGATTAAGTGGTTGAAGAATCTGGAGAACGTGATTCCCGATTAGGCGCGGGAGACCTGGGAGTCATATTATGTCGCACCTGTGGTAAATGGATAGCCTACCGTTGATGGGTAGGGTGCTCACGAAACGCACAGAGCGGTACAAAGCGGTGTTGTGTTCTTATGGCTAAGGTATACTCGTGGCAGTCTAATTGCCCGTAGTCTAATGCCAAAATATGATGTTTTCATTCGACTTTGGGCCAAGAAGGTAAATTACACAAAAACACAAATCTAGTTGAAGTAATAAATTACTTGTGCTATGAAGACATGTATTAAATTCTTGCAGTAATCGGCGAATTAATGTGAATGCTAAGGATTGAGTCAGTCATTGCCGTTTCCTAGCTTTTTCTTTTTTTACAAAATTTTGACATAATCTTTTAAAGTATATTAGTTTTTCAATTCTTATCGTGAAATTTTCAAAAACCGCTCAGTTATGGTTATCTACTATCAAGTTGTACAATCATTTACAAAAACACCCACATCACCAATTCCTGGGTGGAAAATCCTTCTAGACCATGTGTCCCACTCGTCACATTGACACATTGCTGTTGGCCCTATTATAGGCCAGGTAACTGGCAATCGATCTAACGGATCCTGATCGTAGGGGTGCGACATTACGTCCATATCGTGAGTCATGTCACGTTGCCCTATCGTCGGCAAGCCCAACTAGGAAGTCCACATGTCACCTTTATCATATCCTGCACCAGATCCTGCACCGCTGCTCCGTAATCGGAGTACTCGAAGTCTAGTTTACGTAAGCTCTTACTTATCAGCTCCACATGAACCGTTCCTACAGCCTACTCTTCAGGAATAAACTCGATGTGCCAGCTTATGCAGCTATCGATGACCTCTGATTAAATGTATATACAAGCCACATTAATTTCATTAAATAACCATGTCAATGGAAGTCGTTATGTACAGGTGGTCATTAATCAATTTTCAACATCCTTGACAATACCAACCTTGGCAGGTCTCAACACTCTGGAGTTCAAGGTGTAGCCTGGCTGTTGGACGTGGAAAACAGTTCCTGGTTCCTTGTCGGGTTGAGGGATTTCGAAGGTGGCCTCGTGTTGGTTTGGATCGAATGGCTCTCCCATTGGGTCTATCTTTTGGATACCGTGTCTGTTCAATGTCTTCTCGAACACGTTCTGGGTCATGCTAACACCTTCGTACAAGTTCTTGACTTCATCGTTGGTAGCCAAAGTCTCCTCCTTGACGGCACTCAAGGCCAAGCTGAAGTTGTCAATCGATTCTAACAAGTCTTTGGCGAATTTTTGCAAAGCAAAGTCCTTGGCCTTCTGCACTTCCTTCTTGGTGGATTCTTGCAAGTTTCTGAAGTCAGCAATGGCTCTGGCATAGTGGTTCTTCATGTCAGCCAAGTCCTTGTCCTTCTTAGCCAACTGAGCCTTGAATTCTTCGGCTGGATCAACTTCTTTTTGTTCAGTGGATTCCTCTTTGGTGGTCTCACCTTCAGTAGCTTCTGGCTTTGCCTCACCTTCAGGTGCCTTGGCATCGTTGGATGAAAAACGGACCATTCTTGGGGCAAAGACAACTGGTCTAGCAGCCATGGTGGAACGGACAGCTACACGTGCAGCGACTGATCTTGTGAGGGGGGTGAATAAAGCTCTATGCATTTTGATGAACTGTCTAGCTAATGTGTAGTGACTGTACGTTAATATTCGCCTTGCTGAAAATTTTTAGTCACTAGTCACGTGGCCAAGGTCAGGTGATTGGGGTAGCTCTATTTCCGTCTGGCTGCCGTCATCTGGTCGACATATTCTTGCAAATGGTCTTGGTCCTCGATCGTATAAAACTGCCCCACTTTTCTCTCGGAAACAGTGAAGTTTTCCCCTGAACAGATTTGCAATTTGTGCTCCGTGGGAATAGGTGCCTGCGACTGTATCAATGCGTGTGGCTGGCCAACGTAGTAGTTCCCTAGTCTACCAGGAACACCATTATAATAGTCCCCATCGCCTAAGCCTATGATGGCATAATCAGAATAATCCAATGTATGGTATTTGTCGTTGAGAATCACTTCAGGAGCCTCAAAACTAAAGCCTTTTCCTTGGTTTTCTGGCAATTTAGAGTCGAAGATTTCGGTGATTAATGCCCTTTGCTGCTCCGAAGAGACCCAGATCCCAATTTTTGAGGTAGGATAGCCAAGCAAGACCATATATTGATACAAGTTGACGCAAAATTCGGCTTCCTCTACCTGGCTTTTGGCTTCAATCAATTGCGAGTTGTATTTGAATCCAGGATTAAAGTTTCTAAAGTTATTCTCTCCTATGGGTTGGCCAGCAATAAACTCATTCCTCACACCATGAACCTCGTTTAGCGTAAAAATATGTTCTTGCCGGAAATTCACTATCGATCCACCTATTCCAATAAGCCTCTTCACTTCGCCTTGATTCATCCTTGCCACCACTGGTAAGCATTCGGGAGTTCCATCAATAATGAAAATATTGGTAAAGGTGTCCAGCTCGCCAAAGGACAAATAGTCTTCCAAGGTGATAATAGGATTGAATTTGCGGTATAGATATTTCCACAAGTGACTATTTGTGGTCCTCAAACCGGATTTCAGCCAAATGGGGGCAATGATACGCAAAAAATTAATGTTCTTGAGAAGATAAAAGTACGACTTGGTGATATCTTTGAAGGATTTGAAGGTGCTTTTTCCATCAGCAAATGGGTAGTTCTTCAAAATCTCACTGGTCTTTCCTTTATTTTCCTCCAAATACTTAGTCCACGTGGATTTTATTTGAAACTCGTAATAATCTATGCTGTTCAAGTCGATCGTTTCCTTCAGGCCCTCTGCATGGTCGAAAAGCTGAGCTATCACTTTCATGGAAGAGCGGACTCTCTTTTCAATCTCTTTCAATTCATCTTCCAGCCCAAATCCAACGTATGTGAACTCATCTACACCTCGTAAGCCAGCCAACCTCTTAACATATGTCTCAGTAGGTGCAATAATAATGGTGCGCTCAAAATTGAGGTAAGAAAGTGCATTGGTAAGCACAGATTCAATCCCTGTATATCTGACAGATTTGACCAAAGTGTAGTTGTTTGAGATAATTGAATCGAGTAAATCAACTTCGGTGCTTTGAGAGGCCCCAGAGTCAACCTTTCTTCTTTTGAAATTTTCAATTTCATGATGATGTATTTTTTTAGGAGCTCCACTCAATATTGATTCGATACTTGAAGTGGAATCCTCACCCAGAATATGAATCTCGTTATAGGAATGTAAAATTTTGAGGCCCAAGCTATCAGGGACAGCGATTAGATACTTAACTCTATCAACTAACGAGTCAACTGTGTAATTGCATCTGACACCCGTACCCTTTTGGCCATCTGTACTTGTTATTTTACCAAGTCTAATCAAATTCAATCCGTACTTCTGAACTCGGTCTTCTCTAGCAAACTTATTAGGTAAGACCAATTCAATCAACGCCACTACTCCATTACCAGAATTGTAGTTGCGATTCAAATTAAACACATATTCAGTTCCCTGTTGGGATCTGAGATCTTTGATTTGATAAAAATATTTGCTTTTCCCTTTGAAGTTTAATTTGGGGTCAATATCAATCCTTTTGAGAACATTGAGTATATGATTAGAAATATCATGCTGGATCTGAATTTTTAGGTTTGACAAATGCTCATCTGAGAATATGTCATTACTTGAAAGGAATTTACCTGGAGTTAAATGTACTGAAGAATTTGAATATTTGGAACAGCTTATCGAACTATCGAAGGTAGATTCATCATAACTCGAAATAAATTCCAGGGAAGTATTAGTAGTGAAAGTTCTGGAAATGAGAATTTGAATTATTATTGCTTTCTCGTCCTGCTTGAATGTAGTCGAAAGGAATTTACTGGACTCAAGATGCACTGTCTTCTTCATCAACGTAGTAAGTTCCTCTATGGTAAATTGAGATAAAAATTCCTTGAGCTTATTGGGAGTGTATGCATACACTGAAGGCATATTCATAAACAGTTCATGACTTTTAGTTGGAAATAAACTGAAGACATATTCTTGTAATTTATAGAAAAATTCAGATTCTTGAAGGTTCTTAGAAAGCTCATAGTAAACTAAGACGTCTGCAAGCTGTTCAATTCTTCTGGGGTCGTTGAACTTGTCCTTATGCAAAACAACAAGCGGTAAGAATTGGACAGCGTTGTAGAAAACTCTAAAGTAATCATTTTCCTCCACTTGACTAAGCTTTATGGTCAAAAGCGACAAAATAGACTCGACAAAGGACTGGAAATCGGGTGTCTTGCAAAACTCAGATTCTAGCAATATCTTGGAGCTTCCAATCAACAAATTAAAAATCCACTTATTTTTCAAATTAAATTCGATCTTGGATTTCAGCTGCTCAAGAGAAGCACTCAACTTCTTATTATATACCTCTTGTGAGTCTTTGTCGAACAATTCTTCATAGCCTGTGATATTGTTCCAGATGGTGATATCGAACAAGGGATGGATTTTGGCTGCAACTTCCGGAATATCTCTCCCTTTGGAGTATAAGACGCCGACAAAGCGTACAATGTATCCGAAAAGCTTGAAATTAGCACGATCTGTCACAATCAGTGTGGTCTGGATGAGTCTGTTGACCAAAACGTCAAAACGGGAATCCCCTGCCAAATTCTGCAATTGAAGATTGGCAATTGTCTCGAGTTTCTGGATAAGGAGCACCACAATAAGCTCCAAGTGTCTCAGCGAGACGTCCTCACTGAAATAGTGCCAAAGTACTCGCTCAAAGTACTCGGACTCGATCAACAATCGTATTTGGCTGTGCGATGGCCCCAGCAGAGATGGGGAGCCAGACTCGAAAATCGCATGGTGGACATCGTTAATAAGCAAATTCGTGTTGAACTTTTTGGGGGCTCGTGGGTACCATCTCTTGGCGAGTACGTGAAGGGTCGGAGACGCACTGATGGGTTTCATGGGCAGAAGGGCACTGTGGAGTCCATATACGGTACTTCCCACCCATATATTTTCCATATCATGAGAGGTCGTGCGCCGGCACCAAGGGCTTTCACCAAAAACTCCAAAATTTTCAGGCTCGCTCAGGCTCGAATAGACCAATATCCCACATTCCTGTGTACCAAAAGTGATGTTCCAGGCTGTTCGTCTCTTTTCCACTGCCAGAGTGGTGGCTGACTCTGCCGCCTCCACTTCGGCAAAGATAAACCCTAAACTTGCGGCCAAGCAGTTCATATCACCCGACGCATCCAAATCAAAAGCAAGAACTTTGAGAAGAAAGGAAGTCAGATTGAAGAAACAGATCATCAGAGACGTCAACAACTTCAAGAAGCATGCTGCCAGAAACGTGCAGTTCCAAGTGGATCCGGTTTTGGGTGCTGCCGACAACGGGTTCGTTGCCAGAGTCAAGCAAGAGGTCCAGGACCAAGGAAACCACTTGGCCTACGGCTACGAAAGAACCGAGTTCGAAAAGTTGTTGTACGGAGCCGAAAAGGCTGCCTTGGATAAGGCCAAGGGCACCGAAGTGTTGAACGAGAGCATCAGAACCACCGAAGAAAGAAAGAAGAGAGCATTGTTAACCATTTTGAATATCAGAAACACCAATGCTCAAGACAGAAAGACCTTGGCCATTAGATTGGCCAAGGAGGAGTTTCAAAGACACGAGGGTGACACCGCATCCCCCGAGGTCCAAGCTGCCATCTTAACCGTCAAGATCCACTTCGGTATGGACCACGTTAAGCAAAATCCAAAGGACAAAGACCACATCCAAATTGTTCGTGAAATGGTGCAACACAGACAAAGAATATTGAAGTACTTGAAGAGAGATAAACCAGAAACCTACTACTTCACCATCGCCAAGTTGGGATTAACTGACGATGTCATCACCAGAGAATTCAACATGGGAAGACAATACTTCCAGGACTTCAAGGTCTGGGGTGACAAGCAATTGATCAAGTTGTCTGAGAAGCAAAAGAAGAAGGCTGACGCGGTTGCCGACTTGCAAAAGAGAGTTGCTGAATACAACGAGTTGGCCAAGAAGAACCACGAAATTCTTCAGGATGAATCATAATAAATAGTTACTTGTACATATAATATACACTAGAATACAGTGGCGTAGCCAGGAAAGGAATGGGAAGCTTGCATGCTGAAAATGCCGAAATCATCAAATCTCTTTATAGATTACCTCTCTTTGGTTAATGAACTCGAATAGGTATTCACCTCCATCCTTTGGGATATTTGTGTTTTTGAGCAGTTAAGATCTGTTCTCCGCATAGGATGATGTCCTCGACTTGGTTCTTGCAAGGTGCAATTGCAATACGTGGAAGTACTCTTTGTACACACCTCATATTGGCCCGAGTTCGCTAATCAAGTCGTCCAACTTCAAGTCTTTGCCCAAAATCTCCACTTCCCTCTTCAATACGCCCAACAGGCTGTCGATATCGCCCTTGATCTCCTCGCTGACGCGTCCCAACTCCTCGAGCTCTTGGTACAACTCGGCATTATCCACACACAACTGGTTATAGATCATGTTCAAGTTTTCTAGCGACTCGTCTGAACCGCTCAAGATAGTAGCCTCAATTATCTCACTAGGGCTCAACTTGTCGAGGTTGGCAGGAAGCTCCACTTTGTTGTCTTTGCGGTGCTGAGCCACATGGATGATTTCGTCAAGATCGTCCAATTTCTTCTCGATATCCCGCTCGGAGAAGATCAACTCGAACTCCTTCATCGAGCTTGAGTGCCAGAACTTGATTATTTGACTCCTGGCCGTTTCGAGCGTTTTCTGCCCGTCTTCACTCTCCGATATGGTGGGATAACATTCCTTGATTTGGTCGATGGCCAACGACTTTTTAATCACCTGTTCCAACGCCTTTCTGCACACTAGCTGGAGCCGGTCGAAACGGATCTTTTCTGCTGGTGTGACGTGGCGTGGGTCCGAGTCTGTCATGACTGTTGTGGTATTTGCCGTCTTGCTATTTAGATGTTTTGCAGCGCGCTGTGGCGTAGGACGAGTAGGGCAGCGAGGAATTAGCGAGTGCACAGCCAGTCCTAGCGAGGATCTAGTGGAGTGCGCCCGCCAGTCCTAGCGAGGATTTAGTGGAGCCCGGCCCACTGCTCCGATTTTAGTGAGCGCGCGCCCCCCATTCTCATTATCATTTACGTGGATATCCATTCTTAACCCATCCTTCATCCCATGTCTGACCCCCGTGCCTTAATACTCGAAGCTGAAAAGTACACCAAGCGCCAAACCGGCTTCCTTCTGTTCTTCAGTGGCCAATCTCACTCGTCCCGCTTGGAAGACGCTTCCGATCTCTACATCCAAGCCGCCAATCAGTACAGATTGAAGAAGGAGTTTGACTCCGCTGGACAGCAATTCGTCAAGGCAGCTGAAATCCAGGAGTCCTTGGACAGCCACAACGAGGCTGCTAACCACCTCATAGAAGCCTACAAGTGCTACAAGGGCGTTTCACCAACCGACGCCATCAATGCGTTAAAGAAGGCAATCCACATCTTCCTCACCCAGAATGGCCAGTTCAGAAGAGCCGCCAACTTCACAGGAGACTTGGCTGAGCTCTATGAGTCTGTGGGAGACACCGACAACGCCATCCAAGCCTACGAGCAGGCGGGAGACTACTTCACCACTGACCACGCCGAAGCCTTGGCCAACAAGTCGTTCTTGAAGTGTGCTGACTTGTCTGCGTTGTCGGGAAACTACAAGAAGGCGGTGGAATTGTATGACACCATCATCAAGCAGCTGAAGAACAGCTCGTTAAGCAGATGGAACTTGAAGGACTACTTCTTGAAGCTGATCTTGTGCACTTTGGGTTTGGGAGACGTTATTGAAGCCCAGAAGAGATCCCAGCAGTACCTCGACGACGACCCCAGTTGGGAGCAGACCAGAGAGTATGGCTTGATCAAGGACATATTCGAGGCCATCGACCAGGGAGACATCCAGTCCTTCAGTGATAAGGTGTTCGAGTACGACCAGTTCTCCAAGTTGGACAAGTTGAAGACCCAGTTATTGTTGAAGATCAAGAACAGCGTTGTTGAAAAAGACGAAGAGGACTTGTTGTAGTCAGCAGGGCTTGCTAGAGCCACCAACAAGGTCATGACTTATCCACCTAATACACGAATTCTACTAGTCTGCTTTAGTTATACATAATATTCCAGGTGAATTGAACTATTTAGTAATCAATACTTAAAGTGCAGACCGACAAGGCGGACTACCAATAAAGAGAAGCCACAACGGCTTACTCTCTTGTTCTGAAAACCTCTCCGTAGAAAGGGTCGGCGACCTTGTCGTACCAAGCAGCAGACCATCTTCTGAATCTCTTTCCGTAGATAATCATGAGAATGAAGGTACCGTTGATAACCAATGACATCATGAACAACAACCAGGTGGTCAAGTTGAAGCCACATCTCTGCAACCATGGCTGGAAGGCAAAGGTGAAGACCATACCGATCATGTTTCTGGTGAACAACATCAAAACCAAACCTTCACTGGCGACTCTTTCATAACTGTCCACGGCGTAGGCCAAACAAATGGCACCTGAGGAACTCATGGCAAAACCAAGGAAACCTTGGCCAACAACAACAGGAATTGGCCACTTGGCACCGTTGGAGGCACCCAAGCCGTAAGCAAGGATACCAGCCGCGTTAATGAGGGTAGGAACCACCATGGCCCAGATTCTGAACTCAGGCTCAAGAATACCGTTGTTTCTTCTGGCCAACTTGATCACCAACCAGTCGACAAAGTAGCCTCCGTAGAACATACCAATCACACTGCCGACGAACGAAGACAAGTTGGTCAAACCCACACCGTTGGCCTCCCAGCCGTAGGGCTCCGACGAGTACACTTGCGACAGGGTGACGGCAATCAAAGACAACCACATCATTTGGGCACCGTAGAGCACACCACCCCAGATGAACGCAGGAATGTTGGCCAAGAGGAAGGGTCTATACCAGATAGTGAACCAGCTTCTTTGGTCGTTGTACTCGAGCTCCATAAACTTTCTTCTCTGCCAGTATGTTCTCAAGGGGATTGACTCGTCGACTGAGGCGGCGTCCGACGACGATGAGTGCGACTCGTTGATGCTGACCACGGTACGGAGGTGCTTGTTCTTCTCCAAGTCGTCTTGAGTAAGCTCGCCACTCTTGACAGCTGCCAACACTGTGTCTCTGGACTTGATTCCACGCAAGATTTCTTCCTCAAGGTCACTCAGACGGTGCTCTCTTCTGAAGGTGGTGTCCTCCATCAAGAAGATCTGAATCACCAAGAGCACACCGTAGATTATGATCTGGATGTAGAACGTCCATCTCCAGCCAATACCGTCATTAACATACCCACTAACCACTGGCCCAACATAGTTACCTGCATACAACGCAAGAATCAAGAGCGAGATGGCAGTGGACCGTTGGTGCACGAAAAACACGTCAGTGGACGAGATCTCCACAAGCGAGTCCACAGGTGCAGCAGCAATACCGGCCAAGAACTGGAATGGGTACATGAACTTGATGGAGTTGGACTGGGACCCGAGGATGAGGGCACCAATCACTAAAATGGTGCAGCCAATGTAGACAAACCGACGGCCAAGCTTAAGCGCGGTGGGCTGGAGAAAAAGACACCCAAGGCCAAGCCCAAGGAAGATGAGCGCCTGGGTGTTACCGAGCTCCTTGAAGTTGGTGTTGAGGACAGTGACCCACTCGGTCCAGAGAGGACCCGTGAACCCGACTGAAAGCGCTAAGAAGAACGCCCTGGATGTTAGTAGGAGTTGTGGGGAATTTGTGATTCGGCCATCGCAAGGCGTCTATTTCAGTGCGAGGCGCTAGCGATGATTCATCAACGTCCAGCGATGAAAAATCATCGCAAGACCTAGCCATTCCTATACGTACCATACCCAGAGAAGGGTGAACTGGAGCACCTTCTTGCGGAAGCTCCACCGGAGCGGGTCGTTGGGGTTGGAGCTGGGCTGCGGCTGAAGAATGATGTCGCCGTGCTCCTTCTTGAGCTTCAAGTTACCGGCCATGTCAATGAGATGGATGGTACCCGGTACATTTTCGTGGGAAAGCGGTATGTCCTGACCGCTGAGGATCTTTTCAATGTTGGTCATCGTGATGGCTGATGAGTGATGATGGATTATGGGCGGGCAATCAACGTCTTAAATACGCTTCCCCGCTGGGCGTGTCTCGATGGCCAAGATCTGGAACTCTTATCGCTAACACTAGCGGTCACCTCCAACAGGAAAAAGTAATGGGGTTCTTCGCAAATCCCCATTACTGGGCTCGTTATCTGCGCATAGATCACACCCACCAGAAATCTCCGCTCGCCAGCACGATACCGCAGGTGGTGCGCGCAACCGAACGCTACTCTGGGCGGACCAGCGTCTTTCTCCACACTGTGTGCCCAAAGCGGTCGAGCGCGGCTGGGCCCACTATCAAATTATCTGACCCCTCTGTGCCACCAACTGGAGCCGCGGTCTCCAGCGCGGTTATCTGGGGGCCGTTTTGGGTCCCTACACAGTGGGGTCGGTTGCTTCCACGGATACTGCTGCTACTACAGAGGGGTGCTCTGTTGAGCGCGGTTGGAGCCATCACTCCACCACTTTAGTCTTACATGCATCTTTAGCTTGGACTCGCAAGCTGCGAATTCGCGATTCTGCTTTAACCCCAGATACCATGCTGGATCGGGCTCCCGGCACCCTGGAAAAGGCAGCGAAATCGCTTGGCTCCAAAATGGTCATTCGAGACCAGATCGCCGGGTGGTTATCGATCGCTGTCCATTATTAATCATTGCCTGCGCTTATCAGGTTACCCAATAGAGCCGATTTTCCGTGTTTTCCTAAAGGTTATCAATATCGTGGTGTAGCGAGATAAATGGGTCAAGAGCGCAAACCCTTACTAGATTGAGGTTTGACAATAGGGCTGACTTGCTGAAAGTCCGACATCCACTATTTTCCTTGCCATCTGTATGTGCTAGTTGCTGCACGGTGGGTGCTGGTTATTTTTAGGTGTTGCAGAACGGCGGACTTATGGATGGTCCCAATTATGGGGAACTCTGGACGGCGTTCATGGATCCTCTGGCTCGATTTAATCGGGGAATTTATCTGCTATCCGCTTGCGGAACGAGCCCACCTTGGTATTGAGCTTGGAAGGTGCCGTAGCACCGCCAATCAAGTGCACCCGAGAACGCCGTCCCTACACCTGCCCCTCACAAAGGCAGCAGCGCGGACATACCAGTAAAGTCTCTACACTCTCTATGTAGCTTAGCATTTATTGGCAAATATTAATTATTACGATATCTTATGAAAACAAGCATTAACTATTAGTGGACTTACTTTCTCTTAAACAAAGACTTGATTTTCTTGATTATTATGTCTTCGTCTTGGTTGTTAACCACAATCTCCTTTCTTTCGGCTCCGTTCTCGAGCTCCAACGATTGAACCGCATCCAAACGATGGTCTCTCAAGAATAACGAGAATACCAACAATGGGAAACACAACACCAACCCTGCAATACACAAGTATCTTTGAACGTGAGCATATGCCAACACAACGGCAATTCTCTCTGGTGTTCCCCACACATTGGTCAAGATAAACTTGAATGGTGCACCGTAGGCAGCTTGTGCGCCAGCTGGGTCAAGACCAGCCTTGTTAAACTCTCTCACAATAGCAGGATACATTTCGTTGGTCCAGATGGCTCCACTGACACTGGCACCCAATGCTAAGCCAACGTTGTATGAAGCCAAATAAAGTGAGAGCATGATAGCCATGTACTCGTGGTTGGTACATGTTTGGATCGAGACTTGGGTAGGATAGGTGAAGAATCCAGCACCAAAACCCATGAGGCACAAGGATCCAATCACACCATTCAAGTACTTCTCACTGTCAGTTCCGTTATTACCTCCTCTGAAATGGAATAACAATCCTAAGGAAATAATCCAGCAAACAGTTCCAAAAATAATGAAAACCTTCAAGTGCTTGAAACGAACAATAAATAATCCCAAAAGTGGACCAACGATAACTGAAACGAAGGAATAAAGGGAAGTAATTCTGGTGGCAGCCTTGATACTGGCTCTCATACCAACAATCAAAACTGTGTACATAAAGTCGTTTGGCATGTACCAGACGAAATCAATCAATAACCCGATGAGAAGAGCAGACCAGACACCACGGTCTCTCATAAGAGGTAATGGCATAATTGGATGGCGGGCATACTTGCCTTCCCAAAGAACAAAGAACGGAATAAGGACAAAACCTATGACTAATGGGGCAATAGTGGAGCCTCTCTTCCACTTATTGGTGACACCACCTGCAATTGTCAATGGAACCAAGATAAATCCAAAAACACACACAACAAAAAGAATACCAACGACATCCAACTTCCAGAATAATTCCACGGAGGAATCAGCAAGATATTTCACGAAAGACTTACCCGACCGAACCTGCTGGCGGTGAAGCCTCTCTTCTTCAACCAAACGTTTCCATTCGTCGGTTCTGCGGGCCAATACCAACATATGGATGAAACATGCAAGCAATGGCACACATGACAATGGAAAGATGAAGGCCCAGATACCAATTGAATAGTTCCAAGAGTGCTTTGGGTATAAGCTGCTAAGGATATCACCGGACACCCAGGTATTGATAATGAAAGGCAATGCTGGAACCATCGAGGCAGTCAATCTCCAGTTTAAGTTAGAGAAATCGGCAATGACAATCTGAAGCATGATGATGATACCGGAATATCCAACCTGGTATAACACGGAACCACCGGCAAATCTATATACGTCGTACGCTTGTGACTGGATCACTGTACCCATTGCGTAAAAGATGATGGAGATAATGGTCAACTCTAATCTTCCAAACTTATCAGACAAACGAGCATAGGTGGGTTGGGCAGCAGCTGCAACCACGGCCTTGATAACGTTGATGGTCGAAAGAAGCGAGTGCTGGGAGTAGGAACTGGTAGCGTACGCCTGGAGAGACAGACGAAGGGTTCCATCAATGGCATAACAGTATGACACGAAGAAGATGCACACGAAGAAAAGGGTACGGAGCACCGGGGTGTGGTATTGCTTGTTCAATAATTCCACCTTTCTAATACCAATTGACTTGGGTGACTCGGGAGCGAGCACATAGTCGGAAGAAGAGGTGTCGTGGGGATAGTCATCCTTGTATTCATTACTGGAACCAGGAGTTCCAGTCTGTTCGACACGCTCTTTGGAGGGCTCGGAATCGGACATTATTTGCAATGGTTTTGCCTAGTTGTCGCTAACTGATGGAAAAGATAAAGTCAGGACCCTGCACTTTTATATTGAAGGGGAACAGATATCTAGGCATCAAACGGCAATGACACAAACCCGTAAAAAGAAAGGTTACCATGCACTGCAGTAGGAGCACCCCCGCCACCGAATTCCATAGCGTATTATTAGCCTCCAGATTTGCAATTTTACTAAGCTCCACTAGTAATATATGTAATTTGCTATTGTCAAAAAAAATCGTTTTCAGATCTCAGTGCTTTTAACCCCAAAAAATTATGCACCTCGCCGCATTCCCGGTATTTGTGAAAGTAACGTCTTTCGGAAGGGTCCCTGAAGTTGCCGGTTAGTGAACCTTAATTAGCCCATTTAATATACCCATACCCGTCTGACACAAAGGAAAGGTGCCCAGCAAATGGAAAGTCCACCTCAAATGCTTGGATATTGTCTGTTTCCATGTAGTCCCTCCCAGCCGAACTGCGAGCATTGGCTATTGGTTAATTTTGCGGACAAGCTTTGCTAACAACACTTTGGTGGCTTATGATGATATCGCCGTAAAGAACATACTTTGATGCTTTGAGGGGGCTTCGAGACATATACGCTGGTAGGCTGTGTCGTTACCATGAGAGTGTTCTTCTCCCGATTGTTTTACCTTAACTTGAATTTCAATCTAAATTCACCTCTAAAGAGAGCGTAAGCGAGTTGTTTCTTTTTTGTGGCTTTGACCAAAGTCATAAAATAACTGTTCCAAGAATTAAATGTATGGCTTCAAACCTTCTGGCCAAGCCCTTGCATCACAATAAGACAGATCTAGCTGTCCTATTTCCCGCATTAGGACAAAACTGCTAACTGTTCGTCTCCGGATCGGCTTTTGCCATTGGAATTACAAATTAATAATTACTCTATTTTATCCATTATTCTCATACATACAACTCTTTCTATAAATCGTAACTGGGTGTCTTGACCCAGGTATTTACACTGGCTTGCCGCCAATAAACTCACTCCATCTTTGAACCTCTCCTGGAACAACAACCTCTTCTGGAACCTTGTCAAAAGGTTGCTTGGTTCCAATCTTGACCTTCAAACACTCAGCAAACAATTGAGAGGTGTTTGGTTCGTTGAACAAGGCGATACCAAAATCAATGGCGTTTCTTCTCATCACGTAATCTTCGTCCAACAAGTCCTCGGCTCTAGCCTTGGCCAAGTTGATCACACCACCGATCTTGTGCTCTTGGAAAATTTCTCTCAAGGCTCTCTTGTCGGTCTTGGGGAAATCAAGAATTTCCACAGATTCGGAAACGTAGTTGTTCAAGTATTCAGCAACTGGAGAAGAAGCGGCGAAGAACTTGTAGCCTAAGCCACTGACAGTCTTAGCGACATTGCCCAACTTATCGTTGGTCAAGTCACCACCAAATAACAAACCTTGTCCCGGTTGTGGAACAGAGAAGTTCATGGTGGATTGGATAGAAGTCCAGTAGGCTTCGACCAAGTCCTTACCAAAACAGGCAATTTCACCAGTGGAAGACATCTCAACACCCAAGAATGGGTCAGCACCAGCCAATCTGGTGAAAGAGAATTGTGGAACCTTGGTGGCAACGTAGTTGTAGTCCTTGGCCATCAAGTCCACTGGTTGAGGAACACCTTCCTTGATCAAAGCCTTGACGGCAACGTCAATGAAGTTGGTACCCAAAACCTTGGAGACAAATGGGAACGATCTGGAGGCTCTGATGTTACATTCAATGACCTTCAACTCGTCGGCATCGGTCTTGATGATTTGCATGTTGAATGGACCAGTGATTTTCCAGGCAGAAGCAACCTTGTCAGCAATTTCCTTCAATCTGTTCAAGGTTTGTTGGGATAATTCTTGTGGAGGTAACACTAAGGTAGCGTCACCAGAGTGAACACCAGCGTTTTCGACGTGTTCGGAAACGGCATGAACCAAAACCTTTCCGTCAGCAGCAACAGCATCAATATCGATTTCTTGAGCACCCTGGATGAACTTGGAGATGACAACTGGGTGGTCACGGGAGACCTTGGAAGCATTGGACAACTTGGCATCCAATTCACTCTTGCTGTTAATGACAGACATAGCAGCACCAGACAAGACGTAAGATGGACGGACCAACACAGGGTAGCCAACCTCATCAGCAAAAGCCTCGGCTTCTTGCACAGAGGTCAACTCCTTCCACTTAGGTTGGTCAACACCAATGGAGTCCAAGATTTGAGAGAACTTGTGACGGTCCTCAGCCTTGTCGATATCTTCAGGGTTGGTACCCAAGACCTTGGCTCCTTGGTTTTGCAAGTCAAGGGCGATGTTTTGAGGTAATTGACCTCCGACACTGACAACCACGCCTTGGGCGGTTTCCAACTCGTAGATATCCAACACTCTTTCCAAGGACAATTCTTCGAAGTACAATCTGTCGACTTCGTCAAAATCAGTGGACACGGTTTCTGGGTTGTAGTTGATCATGATGGTCTTTCTTCCGGCTTGTCTCAAAGCTCTGGCAGTGGAAACAGCACACCAGTCGAACTCGACAGAGGAACCAATACGGTAGACACCAGATCCGAGGACCAAAGTACCTTGTTCGTTAAATTCCAAGTCGGAAGAAGTGGCATTGTAGGTGGTGTATAAGTAGTTGGTGTTGGCAGGGAATTCTGCGGCCAAGGTGTCGATCTTCTTAACAAATGGAATGATGCCGAAGTCCTTACGGGCTTGTCTGACTTCCAATTCCTTAGCACCAACACACAAACCGATCTGCTTGTCAGAGAAACCTAACTTCTTGGCTCTTCTCATGAGATCACTGTTGATATTTTCCAACGATTCGACGCTTTCCAATTCTCTGTACATGTTGACGATGTTCATCAACTTGTGCAAGAACCATTTGTCGATCTTACTGAGCTCGTGAACTTGGTCAACTGTGTAGTTTTCGTGGAGCAAGGCCTGGCCGACTGCCAACCATCTTCTGTCAGTTGGGTTGGCCAATTCGAAGTCCAAGTCTTCAAAGTGGTCACCTTGGAATCCGATGTACGATGGGTCAACTTGTCTGATGGCCTTTTGGAAGGATTCTTCGAAGTTTCTACCGATAGCCATGACTTCACCAACAGACTTCATGGCCGAGCCGATATCTCTCTTGACATGTTGGAACTTGGCCAAGTCCCATCTTGGGATCTTGGTGACCATGTAGTCCAAAGATGGCTCGAAGTTGGCAGAGGTGGTCTTGGTGACAGGGTTGGGCAATTCAGGCAAGGTGTGGCCCAAAGCAATCTTAGCAGCAGTGTAGGCCAATGGGTAACCAGTGGCCTTGGAGGCCAAAGCAGAAGATCTGGACAATCTGGCGTTGACTTCAATGACTCTGTAGTCCAAGCCATCGGGTTGCAAAGCGTACTGGACGTTACACTCACCAACAACACCCAAGTGTCTGATGATCTTGATGGCAGCACTTCTCAACATGTGGTACTCTTCATCGGACAAGGTCTGGGAAGGAGCAACCACGATGGAGTCACCAGTGTGAATACCCAAAGGATCAAAGTTTTCCATGTTACACACAGTGATACAGTTTCCGACTCTGTCACGAACGACTTCGTACTCGACTTCCTTCCAGCCCTTCAACGACTTTTCCACCAAGATTTGTGGGGCCAAAGACAACGACTGGGAGGCCAAGTTCTTCAATTCTTCAGGGTTGGCAGCAAATCCCGAGCCCAAACCTCCCAAGGAGTAGGCAGATCTGACAATGATAGGGTAGCCGACGTTGGAGGCAGCAGCCAATGCATCGTCGACGGTTTCAACAGCAATGGACTCGGCAATAGGAATATCGATTTCCTTCAATGCCTGAGCGAACAAATCACGATCTTCAGAAGTTTCCAAAGTTTTGATAGGAGTACCCAAAACCTTGACTCCGTATCTTTCAAACACACCCATCTTGTCCAACTTGACACCGACATTCAACCCAGTCTGACCACCAAAGGTCAACAAGATTCCGTCTGGTCTCTCTCTTTCGATGATGTAGGTGATGTACTCAGCAGTCACTGGAAGGTAGTATATTTCGTCAGCCAACGAGTGGGAGGTCTGGTTGGTGGCGATGTTGGGGTTGATAAGCACCGACTTCTTGTTGGCCTCTTTCAAGGCCTTGATGGCCTGCGAACCAGAGTAGTCGAATTCACCGGCTTGACCAATGGACAAACCACCGGATCCAATCACTAACACCTTCGACACATCCACCAATTTCTGGGCGTTATCGTCGGTGAACTTCTTCAACAACTCGGCTCCTGCGTAGGAGGGCTGGGAGGCCGATTGGTTCTTCAAGCGACTCCAGGTGGAGAAGTTTGCAGGTTTAGTAAGTCTGGTGACAGACTTACGAAATATAGATGGAAGAATCATCTCTAGCAACGAATGGAGGAAAAGAAAGAAGGAGGAGCGAGAATGGCAGTTTTAAACTGTGAAAATTTTCAGAGGGTATGAGGGATGGCCCAAAACGGCAATGAGTCAGAACTAACCGCGTTGTAAGATCAGTGCAGTTACCCGGAGCGGTGCGCTGGAGGAACAAGGCGTGCGCGGCCCAAAACCACCTGCCAGCCGTGGGTTTATCTCTCTACCACAGGGAAAGCATGCCGTTAGTGCTAGAGGGCGTCTCCTGGCTGGTCTGGCGTGCCAACAGGCCCGTCTTATGGCCTATCTGAAGCCAAAACGGCCTGAGCTGCCCTACCAACCGAGACTCGCCCGGATCGATGGCGGTGACGTATTCATCCTACATGATTATGAGCAATTGGTGCGGGCACTCATCGACATCATCTCGGCACGTGACCCTTGGCCGGAAGAAGTCCACCCACTTCAGTCCGCCAATACAGTAATGCGCGAGGACTACACGAGAAATCGCCTGGCGTCGAAGAATGGCGGAGGCGCAGAACCTAGTCTGGTTTGGGGACACGATCTGGCCTTTGTGGCGCCAAACAGGGCCCAGACCAGTTCCTCAGCGTGGAGGCTCCTGGACCGCCATCGATGCTGCGCTACCCACCCCGGCTAGACGGCCATTGGTGTCTGCTACAAGCCTCTGGGGCCTGCTCGTCTTCTTCTCCACTGGTAAAAAATTGTAGCTGCCCATTCATTTGGTGCTCGTGTTGGATTGCCAAATCCATCGATGCATCGTGAAAAATTCCTAGCCACCGCACAAAGATCTGATTGCTTGGCCAAGGACCACAAGAATGGTCTAAACGCACCAGAGAATGGAAGCTCCAGCTCTACCGCCAAATTGCCAGTGCCACCAATGCCACCGTCCTGGTCAGATGCACCCCATGGCATCGCTAACCAGTTGTTGTACTCCCCTGTTCCTCTATTTTGTAGTTCCTGGTTCCCTTGGCTCCAGTTCCTTGATGCATTTGCCTTGGTTAAATTCCAAGCTGCTCAGAGTGAAGAAAAGGCACCACTTCGCCGATAACACCTTCCTCACATACTTCCGAGTCCCGTGCCTGAGCCCGCCCTATCTGGCCAATAGCATGCCTCATGCTCTCTGTCGCCTTCTCCTGCTCACCAGCAGCCATCGCTATCTCGGGTAAGCCGCGGTTACGTAAGCGGCCTCCACCAAACCCTGAACTACTCAGGCTAGTGAATATTTCACTCACGTTTATCCGCCACTGATCCAGCTGCTGTTCGTCCGGTGCATACTTACACTATCCCAACGGAATCTCCCGATTGACTTGTGCTTGTGACCCCCTGGCGTTGCTCCAACCCGCTCAGCTCCCTGCCCAGTTGCTTATCATCCCTCACACAGTGCCTGGCTATGACCAACCCGTACTCGCCCAGCCAAAGCACCAAGTCCTTGAATGCGGACTCCACGGGACAGATCTCGCCTGAAAGCGCAGATTCCGGTCCTAACATCAGGCGCAAGTTCTCGATCTCAGGCGCCCTTGCCAGCTCTTTCCAGAACAGCATGAGTCCCTCTCCATTCGACTTTGGCGGCAGAAGCTACGTCAGCATGCAAAGACCCAGCGTCTCGTTCAATTCTCCCACCGTGTACTCAGGAGTGAAGGTCCACGAACAAACCGCCCATTTGGCCAACATCGGTGTCACTGACGACGATAACAGAAGCCATCCAGAAGACGACGACGAGTATGACTACGAATACGAGGAAGTGGATGGCATCAGCTCGTCCCCTTCCATCCCCATAAAGGGCCAGAAAAACTATGACCCTCCCAAGACAAGCACCAGCCCCTTGATAGTCTCCAAGCAGAAGAAGTACGTCGATGACTTGGAAACGGGCTTGCCCACCCCAGCAGGCATGCCTGTGTCATCTTCTGTCAGCAGCTTGCCACCCGTCAAGAAGCCCTCGTTGCTCCATCAATACCTCATCAAGCCAATTCAGTTCACTCCTGCCGTGTTCTTGGGCACCCTTTTGAATATCCTCGATGGTTTGTCGTACGGAATGATCATGTTCCCAGTCAGTGAAGCCGTCTTTTCCTCCCTTGCTCCCGCAGGGTTGTCTATGTTCTACATGTCGTGTATCGTATCGCAGTTGGTGTACTCTTTAGGAGGATCGGCTTTCAAATCTGGAATTGGGTCCGAAATGATTGAAGTCACTCCCTTCTTCCACTCAATGGCTTTATCGATCGTATCCGAGATGTCAGGCGCCGATCAGGATGCCATCATTGCCACTACCATCACTACCTACGCCGTCTCTTCCATTGTTACAGGCATGGTCTTTTTCATGCTAGGAAAGTGCAAATTGGGTGCATTGGTGGGATTCTTCCCTAGACACATCTTGGTAGGCTGTATCGGGGGTGTGGGATACTTCTTGGTGGCTACCGGTATTGAGGTGTCTTCTCGTTTGGAAGGTGGCTTGGAGTACAACTACGAAACATTCAAGTACCTATTCTACAACCACATCACCGTCTTAGAGTGGACAATGCCATTGGTTTTGACGGTTTTGTTGATTGGTCTTCAGCATAAGTACCACAACTCCTTGTTGGTGCCACTCTTCTTTATTGCGGTCTTCATTGCATTCCATTTGATTGTGCTCATTGTGCCTTCTTGGAATTTGAATATGGCAAGACAATACGGATGGGTATTTCCCGCTGTAGAGGGTAACCAACCATGGTATGGCTTCTACAGCTTATACAAGTTCAACGTCGTGGACTGGTGGTGTATCCTCAAGCAATTGCCATCCATGTTAGCCTTGACTTTCTTTGGTATCTTGCACGTTCCTATCAACGTACCTGCATTGGCTGTTACTGTGGGCATGGATCAATTTGATGTTGACAGAGAATTGGTGGCACATGGCTACTCTAATGCATTGTCCGGATTGGTCGGCTCGATCCAAAACTATCTTGTCTATACCAACTCAGTGTTATTTATTAGAGCAGGTGCTGATGACAGATTGGCGGGGGTTTTACTAGCAATTGCAACCGCCTGTGTCATGTTTGCAGGACCTGTTGTTATTGGCTATATCCCCGTGTGTGTTGTGGGCTCTTTAATTTATTTGTTAGGTTACGAGTTACTCAAGGAAGCTATTTACGATACCTACGGTAGATTGAGAAAAATCGAATACACCACTGTGATTATCATTGTGGTGACTATGGGAGCTTTTGATTTCGTGGTTGGTATTCTTGTTGGCATTTTATTGGCCTGTCTTTCATTTGTGGTTGAGGCAGCAAGAAGTCCTGTCGTCCAAGGCATCTATTCCGGAAATGTGGCTAGATCCACCGTCTTGAGACATCCTAAACAACAAGAATTCTTGAAGAATGTCGGGAAACAAATTTGCATTATCAAATTACAAGGAACTGTTTTCTTTGGCTCGATTGGGGGCGTTGAAAAGTCCATCCGGTTGAAGTTTGAGGACGAGATCTTCAAAATGAACCCTATCAAGTTTTTGATTATTGACATGAAAGGAGTCAGCTCAATTGACTTTTCGGCTGCTGAAGGTTTCAGAAGAATTTTGAACTTGACCAATGAATTCAACACCCAGTTGATCATCTCATCTGTCTTTGAAGAGGATGATATCATTAAGGGATTGCGCGATGCAGGATTGTGGGATGGCAGAAGTGATGACAACAGCATTAAATTATTCAACACTTTGAACTACGCCTTGGAATGGTGTGAAAATGCCTTCTTGAAGACCTACAAGACTGTCAAGAAAAAGCAGAACAAAATAAGCGTACCTTTTGATGGAACCTCAGCCTTGATGAACCAAAGATCCAACACTCCTGGCTCTGATAATGTCAAACAATTGATGAACCAGAACTTCGACTTTGGAACTCCTCGTACAACTCATGTGTACCAAGCGGCCAAAAGAACTGTGTTCGACGAGCAGACTCTCCAGAGCAAGTACTACACGCTGAGTGACGACTCGTTCAAGAAGCAACCATTGCCCTTGATCATGATTACCTTCCAGGGATTGTCCGAGAAGGACGAGGAGTTTTGGTCCCAGTTGACGTCATACCTTGTTAAGGAGAAAATCCCCGAGGATTACGAATTCTACAACTCGTCCCGTGATGCCCCCAGCTTCTTTATCGTGGAGTCTGGCTTGGTGCGTTCGGTCTTCAAGTTTGAGAGCGACAACAGAACGTTGCATTCGAGCATTTTACCCATGACGGCATTTGGAGATCTCTATGATACAGGACCCAACTTTAGAGAGATGAACTACACCACCGTGACCGACTCGGTGATCTGGAAACTTCCTCACAACAAGGTCAACGAGTTGTTGAAGCATCCGAATGGCGAGCATATCTTGGCCGAGTTGCTCAAGATCCAGACCAAATTAATCAGAGAAAGATTCGATACCATGACTGCCAATTTAGTGATTGCAGGCTAGTCAGATGTCGTCTAGTGTTTCAGTTCATAACATTTAATTCTTTAGATATTAATCCACCAGATAGACTACACCTGTAATTCCTATGCTGTCAAACTGCAACATATGCTCCAGTTGTGGCTACTATTAATTAACCTACAACCGGACCTCCCCCGCAATTCTACTTCAAGCAACCTGCAAACTGCCCTTTCTCATGAGCTCCATTTATCCACGACACAGCTTGGATTTTCCTTCCACAATGTCATGGTAATCTAGACATCTGGCACTATCCCTACCACGCTTATGTAATTCCCCTGCTACAGCCACACCTCCACTAGAACCCCGATCCTTGCTCGTAACTGAGCCTCCTATCTTATCTCGCGAACCACACGACCTGCATCAATCCGCAATTTGCCCACGTGATGCGACGATCATTCTCCCTACAATTCCCCCTTACTTGAGCAACTTCTCCATCACGACTATTCTCCTCGACAATCATGGTTTCTTTCACTAAATTGGCTGTCCTCGGACTCGCCTCCTCCTCCGTCAGCGGATTGTCGCTCATTCCTGCTATCGAACCTCTCTACAACGAAGTTGTCTCCGTCTTCGGACTCTCCGCCACTCTTGACCAACCAGAGGTCATTAAAGTCTTCCCTAACCCAGACAACAAGCCAGTCCCAGGAGACTCGCCCATTGTTCAGTGTGAAGCCTCCGAGCCCCAAATCTTGAACTTGCAAAAGGTGGTGATTGACCCCAACCCTCCTAACAGAGGCCAAAACTTGACCTTCACCGCTGTGGGTGTGCTCAGCCAGGACGTCGAGGATGGAGCCTACGTCGAGGTTGACGTCAGATATGGTTTCATCAAGTTGGTCCACCAGACGTTTGATTTGTGTGAAGAGATCACCAAGGTCGACTTGGAATGCCCCATCAAGAAGGGTCCCCAGACCATCAAGAAGACGGTTGAAATCCCCAACGAGGTTCCCCCAGGCAAGTACATCATCAATGCCAGAGCCTACACCAAGGACGATGTGTTCATCACCTGCTTGTCTGCCACTGTGGACTTCCTCCCACCATCGCTTGATGCCTGAGCTCGAGGAACTGGTCTTCCGAGTGTTTCGAACTGCGGCTGCTGCAAATGTGGAAGGCATACGCTATCCTACGAATTCGGCGCCCCCACCTCATAAAAGTACTGGGTCTGGCTGGTGGCGAATGCATCCACACCTGTGCCAATGTTCTCATAGCCTGATTTTTTCTACATTACTCCTACCGGCTGTTTGATTTCTAAGGCGTCTTAATAATAGCCCGTTACGGGTTCAATAAACGTATCGTTAGCCTAGTGTAGCACTGCCACTTCGGTATCGTGTCACGTGCATGTTCCACGCGTGATCTGGTTTCGTTCCCGTATAAACTCTATGATCATCAACCTTTACTTACCACCACAACGATGATAGAAGACTACTTCTCAATCCAGATCTTCTTCATCATCCTCAGGGAGACGTTGGAGACCGCGATTATCATTTCGGTTCTCTTGTCGTTCATCAATCAAAGATCTCAAACATCAGCCGTTCAGGGTCCACAGCAATCCCAGAATTTTGACAGGGTACAGAGTAAGTTGAAACTCCAAGTCTGGGTCGGTGCCATCCTTGGCTTACTTATCTGTTTCGTCATAGGCTTGGTTTTTATCGCATGCTTCTACTTCATCGGTAAGGACTACTGGTCCTACGCGGAGCGGCTATGGGAAGGGGTGTTCTCGCTTCTTTCCAGTATGATCATCACCGTCATGGGCATAGGCTTGCTCCGGATCAACAAGGTCATGAAGGTCAAGTGGTGGATCAAGTTGGGAGACGCTTACAACGAGACAGAGTCCGGTGACAAGAATGCAGTGACTGGCTTAGACGACTCTGACGACCTTGCCCGTGACAGTCTTGACAGCTCCACTCCGTTGGTGGGACAAGGACCCAGTGCTTTGGCCCCCAAGCCAAAGGCCAAGTTTACCAAGCGCTACTTCTTGGCCATCCTTCCGTTGATTACCACCCTTAGAGAGGGTTTGGAAGCAGTTGTCTTCATTGGAGGTATTGGTATGTCGCAGCCTTTAACATCTATCCCTCTCTCGATTGCAGGAGGGCTCTTAGTTGGCTCAATTATTGGGTATATCCTCTACCAGGGAGGTAACAAACTTTCGTTGCAGTACTTCTTGATTTTCCTGACATGCTTCCTCTACATCGTGAGCGCAGGTCTCATGAGCAGAGGGGTATGGTTCTTGGAGTTGGAGTCATACGTTAGAGCATGTGGAGGTTTGGATGTCAGTGAGACCGGCAGTGGTCCAGGCTCCTATGACATCGCCAAAAGTGTCTGGCACGTCAACTGCTGTAATGGGTTGACTGACGGCTGGTGGATGGTTTTCAATGCCATTTTTGGCTGGACCAACTCTGCTACCTATGGCAGTGTATTCTCCTACATTGCCTACTGGTTGTTAGTGATAATCTGGTTGGAAGTCAGATTGTACGAAGAAAGAGAAGGTGTTTTACCTTTGGTCCCTATCAAGTGGCAATTGAAGAGAATTGCGAAGAAAGTGAAATTATACGAAACAAGACAGAAGCAACAACCACAAGTTGCTCAGGAACTTAGCTCAAACCACGCGGCGTCGTCGGAAGATTTGAATGAAAGGGAAGCCGAAGCAGAGGTTCTTTTGTCTTAGTAAATATTCTTGTATAAAGTTGCATCTAGAGGTTCGGTTTGCCAGCCGCAATATGAGCTTGCATTAATTGGAAATTGAAGCATTGTAGTCATGGGGACTAACAGCCCTTGAATTCAGTTCCAAAATTCTCATACTGTCATACATCACTATCGAAAATCTTATCCAATAAATTTATTATTCTATTTAACAAAATTGGCGTTTATTCATGTTGTGAAGTTTTTGGTAGATACAGTTGGCATTTTCTATTCCCTTAAATTGTAAACGAATATTTTGATCATTTTTGTTATTTTTTGAGAATGTTCCAAAAAATCCGAAAATTGTAACTCAAAGCTTGATGAAGTCATAGTCAATTTTAACACAATTAGGTAAAGTCTAATCCATTAAAGTCCTTTCAAATTAATAAAAACTACAATTTTTAAAATAATACTTAATACGATAATCATCATTAAAATTCAAGATACAAATAGTGCTCTTATGGGGCAAAGTACCTAGGCTCATCAAAGACGTGGTATCTGTGGCCCCTAACACCATCACCTCTGAACAATTGAGGCATTCTTAAGTTCTCATCAATATCCTCTTCATTGACATAGTGGTTTCCGTACAAGAAATCGATGTCATTTGCTTCTTTTTGTTCATCGGTCAACAACTTGAACTTAGCAATTTGCAATTCAGTATCGGTGATGGTGGATCTAGAAATTCTAGCGTAAGCAACCTTCTTCAAGTCTCTAAACAAAATGTATTCACACCATCTGTCCCAATCAGTGCTGTCGATATCGTACACTCCAGACTCCTCACTGACGTAGGTGTTGTAGTTGCCTGTCAAAGGCTCAGTCACTAAGTAACTCAACAACACTCTTGGTCTGTTGGAACTTCCCAAGATGTCTCTAATTCCCAAGGATTGTAATCTTCTGTCTTCCACATCTTCTTCTTGGCCAGAGTGGAACACAACCACATCAACCAATTCTCCATAAATATCCAAAGTAGCATGGATTGCTGGGGCCAATTCACCAACAGGGGAAGGTAAAAGATGATGAGTAGAGTTAATGATCGGGAACTTAGATAATAACGCCGATCCCCAAGTATGCTTGTTTGGACCAGGACCGTAGTCTGTGTACATACCCAATTCTTCCGCAATGGTTTGGGTAAAGTCACGGTTACCACCAATCATTCTTTGAGTGTCAGTTTCTAACAAACCGATGATATCGACTTGAGCTTCTTCGATCAAATTTTTCATTCTGGTTTCGGAAGACCACATGTCATTGTCCAATCCGAAGTGAACACACCAGATACCAGCAGTAAATGATCTAGACTCTTCGTTGTAAGGCTTGTATGGAACAGTTGGATATCTCTTGATGAAAGTGGAAGCAGAGATGGCCAAAAGCACAGTCAACACTGTCAATGTTTGCTTGAACAAATTCTTTCCTTGATTGAGTTTAGTGATGTGAGAGCTTTGGATTCTTAAGTTGTAGTTCAAAACACCGAGTAGAATCAGGGCGAAAGAAACAATCACAATAAGGTCCATTCTTTCTCTGAGGAGAGGACCACCTGGAACAAAAGCATAAGCAACGACCCAAATGCTTCCCAAGGAGATGAGAATGTCAATCAAGAAACCCAAGAAGAAAGCAGCACCTGGATTGAATCCAACAAGTCCCTCAAAAATAATAGGTGTGATCGAGGCTAAGTAGAGCACATGCAAAGCGGCTCCAGCAAACCCATTCCATCCTTTCAAATTGAAAAATACGATGGCACTACCACCACCAACAATCAAGTTATAGTAAATGGAACTTAAGACCTTACTATTGACCTTGAGTGCTGCAATGACACCAAAAATGAATGCAATGAAGAAAACAATACCACCGGTGATTGGTGTAGCACCTCTAATTGGGAAACCTTCCCAAATCCAAGTGACTAATGTTCCGGAGTCACCCAAGTAAGCTTGAATCGAGTAGAAGTAGCCAGCAAAACCAACGGAAGCCAACAACAAAGAGCCACCTGACCTTTGTACTGTTTTAGTAGAAGCTGGGGCAATGACGGAAGGAGTGAAGAAGGCACCTAATAAGCCGACAAAAATACCGGTAGCATTGTAACCACCGTTGGCTTCATGCATGATTGGCCACACTGGATTGTTGGAGTAGAACACATACTTTAAAACTGTAGTGGTCAATAAACCAACAATGAAGGTGGTCGAGAAAGAGGTGAATTTTTTGGGCTGAGTAGATAAAGCCCAGAACTCAGTGACAAAGGATGCAATTGCAAAGAAGGTACCCGCAGTAACTGCCATAAGCTTCTGTTCTGGGTCTTCCAATTTATAGGCTCCGATCCCAAAAATTACCGTCAAGGTACGGCCAACCAATGGAAACCTTGCAAAGAAGTTTCTGATGAAAGGGAAGGCTAAAAAGATGTTTGGAACAAAAATGGAGATAATAGTGACTTCGTATCCCGAAAGACCCATGTACCACAATGGGAAATACCATACACACAACAACAAAGCGGTGATGACAGTCCAAAAGATGTAGGCATTGATCAAGTTGACAAGAAACTCGACGGTGGAAAACTCGTCAGCCTGAGTTTTAGTCTCAGTCTTTGCAGCAGCAAGGGTCTTTTTGGCGGGAGCAAAAGCGACTCCAGTACTGAAGATTCTGATTTCTATATCAGAAAAGTCGAGGATGGACCAGGCATCGAATGCAACGTCCCACAACACCAAGGACCACTCGAAGTAGGCGTAGATCGAGTACGCACCAGGTCTGACGTGGACTTTGTGCTGGATGAACCAGTAGACCAAAGGCACCAAAGTGCCGAAAAAGGTCACTGCTGTGTAGAATCTGCCAGTGCGGACAGTGGATCCCTTTGGAGATGCAATGGTGACAAACACAGTCCAGGGAATGGTCAAAACCAAGTACAATATCATGAAGATGTCATGGAAGTCATGGTCGTCAGTGGAGGTGATGTAGACCCATCCACCACAGGTGAAAGTTCTCAAGACTCCAGAAATCAACGCCAACCATGGCTTAGCCGAGTTTGGCTTGTAGAGCTTGACGAAGTTGAATGCCAACAACAAAAACCGAGGACCGGATGTAACAGCAATGACCACTTGAAAAACGGATCTCTCGGGGTATCTGTCTCCAATGGTGGCAGAAACAGAAGGAAACCACTCATCGGGGTATCCGAAGGAAGCGTTCTCCACGATCTTGTAATAATGGAGGTAACAGCCCACAACGAAGGCGGATAAGAAAGCGGTGTAGGCGCAGATGGTGTGTGCGTAGGCGATATAGCTAGCATTGAAGGAAAAGAACAGGGTTTCAGCGACGTCAGTGGTGGCAGCACCAGCCAGAGTGGGCTCAGCGACGGCCAGTTTCAGCTTGTTGCCCATGATAACGTATAGCCTGGATGTGCCTAGAAGTGTAAGTGGAGAAACGCGTACTAGGTATATCCGGTCACATGCGCAACATCATGTGACAGGCCCTGGTGAGTGTCCCTATAGTGGAGTCGCGGTCGTGCGCGCGTGCCCAGAAAAGTATCCAGTTAAAATTCTTCTTTTACAACTCACCTATCTAGGCAAGCTCTACAGAATGGGTATGTTACAATCAGAGTCTATACGGAGGTAGCAGTACTAACATATAGGATTGGACAACTACGAGAATCACAAGAGGCCCGAGTTGGTCTCGTTTGACGACATTGATTACGAAAAGTTCCCCGAAGTTCAAAATGCTAGAAACTCCATGTTAAGAGAACAGTGGATAAGAACCTACGCTTTGAGAATCACCCACGATGCATTAAGAAAGTGTAAGCAATACCACAAGGTCGACGCCCAGAAGAACTGCAGACCATTGATATTAAAGTACATGAAGATGCTTGAAACATACCCCTTGCAAGGTTACTTGGGATACCAAAAGAACGATCCTTCGAAGTAGGGTGCCTCATAGCTGGTCCAACCACACCAGGACACGGATTCCTTTGTCCAGGCGGAGCCTGGCAATGGCCGTGTCGTCGCAGTTGGCGGTACTGGGTCCGTTACAGCTCTATTAGTCGCCAGACTATATGCATATTCAATCCAGCTCAGTCAGTGTCATGTAAACTATAATAAAGACTCCGAACATTAGACTAGCAAAACTTCACACTGTCACAATAATAAATGACTATTTATCGAGAGTATGGTAGTAAGGCTTGTAGTCGACTCGCTTGAAAAAGGGAGCATATTCGAGCACATTATTCGGTCGCAACGAGCAGACCATGAACACCCAGGTCATCGTACAGCCTAGTAGTATCCGCTGGTGGCACCGGAAGACCCATGACAATAGCATATCACAACCATAACATAAGATCACGTGATCACAAAAACGTGACCTCGGCCTACTCGCGGTCCGCGCGTGCGCCCACCGTTCGCCAGCCAATCATATCGCCCAGCTTCAATCCCGAAAACTAGAATGAAAAAGTTTGATCAACCAGTTAATTGATTACAGCATCGTCTTAGATCGAATTGAGTATCATTAAGCCATGTTTCGTTTAGGTACCGCTCAAGTCGCCCGTGCGGGTGTCAGGTATGTTGGTCTATGGTCGGCTTGAAGTTTCAAGCGTCAATCGGCCCATTGAAAAGGACAGTTGTCATGGGAAGCACCAACCACAAGTGTATTTATGAAGAGATTGACCATACGTGGCAATGTAACTGGAGGGGAAATGCCATTGAAACGTACCACCAGGAATCTACAATTACAGGCCCTAGCAGTGCATAGTCAGGAAAGCCGACAAGAATAAGGACTATTGAATACCTCACCACCATCTATCAATCGCTTCAGCACGCTCCCATTGCCCCGCCACAGTCCCAAATACAATACCCAGAACTATACTAACGATTAGAAACTATGCCACTTTACGTGAAATTGAAATGCGTCTTAAGTCCATCAAGAACATTGAAAAGATTACCAAAACTATGAAGATTGTTGCCTCCACTCGTTTGAACAAGGCCCAAAGAGCTATGGAATCCTCCAGAGTCTTCAACAAGTCTGACTCTGAATTCTTCACCAACGCTGAACCAGAAAAGGGTGAAGCTGACAAGACCTTGTTGGTTGTCGTTTCTTCCGACAAGGGTTTATGTGGTTCTATCCACTCACAAATCTCCAAGGCTGCTAGAAGAAGAGCCGCTGAATTGGACGGTAAGGTCGACATCGTCACTGTTGGTGAAAAGGTAAAGGCCCAATTATTAAGAACTCACGGTGACAAGTTGAAGTTGTCTTTCAGTGGTGTTGGTAAGGAAGCTCCAAACTTCAACGAAGTTGCTTTGATTGCTGACGAAATCCAAAAGTTGGGTAAGTACGAAGACGTTGAAGTTTTATACAACAAGTTTGTTTCCGGTGTCTCTTTTGAACCATCCAACTTCTCTGTTTACGCCGCCGACGCCATCGAAAAGGCTCCAGGTTTGTCCAAGTACGAATTGGAATCCGAAGGTATCTCTGAGACCTTGTCCGAATTCTCCTTGGCTAACTCTCTTTTGACTGCCATGGCTGAAGGTTACGCTTCCGAAATTTCTGCTAGAAGAAATGCTATGGATAACGCTTCCAAGAACGCTGGTGACATGATCAACTCCTACTCCATCTTGTACAACAGAACCAGACAAGCTGTTATCACCAACGAATTGGTTGATATCATTACTGGTGCTTCCTCTTTGGACTAAGCGAGTGGTTAGGCTCAAGCAGCTCCATCTTGCCCCATTGAAGTCATTGCAGTGATGCACTCATAAAGAATAAAATACACGTATTCATGATAATTCAGTAGTTTTTAATGTCGCCAGACTCTATAAATAATATTACAGACATTGTCTATGAAAAACGAACGGTAAGAACGTCTTGAAAATGTTAGTGATGATGGGTATGCCACGGACCAAAAGGTCTATAATGATGTTATTTGAGTGTACCACTAGTCGATTTTGACAGTCCCGTAGATCTTCTTAGTGAATATCAACCCCGTCAAAACGCCGATGGCACCGCCGCTGAATCCAACCAATGCACTCGCCAATCCCATGTAAGAGAAATAGAAAAGCACACTGACAAAATCGCTGACGCTCAAATGGAACGAGAAGTAGTAGGTAGAATAGGCTAACACAAACCAGCCGATTGATGAGCCTGTTCTAAAACTTAACCAGTGCCAGTTTGGATTCTTATAGAAAACCAATGAAGTGTAAATGGCAACAATGGTGGACTCTGCAATGACAATAATCAACATGATTGCACTGATCAATAAGAATCCATACATGTAGTAAAATGTGGTTTTCTCCAACCAAACCGAATTGAAGATGAACACTAATTCCACGTAAACAACGCCGAAGGGAATCAATCCAAATACAGCAGTGCTTATGAGCGGGTTCAACAACCACGATCTTGGATAATTTCTCGAAACAGACTTTGAGGATTTGGAATCAGAATGGTCGTTGTTGGATGTTGAAGAGGTATTGAGGATTGACTTAGCTTCAAATTTCCGCTTGTTTCCAAAATACCCACCAACCATACCCAAGGGCAATTCAATGATGAACAACAATGTAAAGAGTACCAAAATAGTACCAAATGGTAAGGCGTTTGATGAATGCTTTGCCCAAACAAAGAAATTGAGGAATAACATGACCGACAACACCAAGCTTGGTAAGAATCCACTGAAGAGCATCGACAACACAAGTGTCTTCTTAGGTGAATATTCATAGTTCAAATAGTGGTTGTTCAAGAGCTTGTGTAAAATAATGCCTCCATATGCCGACACAGAACCCACGAGACACAATGAAAACATGGAGACCGAGTAGAATGCACCTTGATGATTGTTGAAGAAGGTGTTTTTGGCAGCTGCTCCACTGAAGTTAAACCTAGTGTTGATTACAAACAAAACAAGCACTCCAAAGGTAGCAAGAAACATCTGAGCACCACATGCTACAAATACCACCAATGGCAATGGCAAGAGTGGAGCCTTGTTAACTTCTTCCAAAAGGGCTCGTGAAATTCCTCCCTCATTGATGTTGCCATCTATGTCTTTGCTCGTGGGCAAGGAGGACGATGCAGTTTGGATGTCCTTCTTCAAGACTTTCACCAATACGGCAGCAACAATCAACGACAACAAAAACACTAACACGAGTGAGTTCACGAAGGAGAACCAGTGGATGCTGTGGTTTTTGGTGTTGGAGTCGTTTTCGTAGTACAAGTCCCATCTGGACTCGTAGTCGATGGAGTTATCTTCTCTCCAGTACACCGAGTAGGTGTATGGAATGAGGGTGGTTTCGGGTTCTTTGGAGGACTTTTGGTCGCTGAATTTCAAGGCAAAGTTCTTGTAGTCCTTGGAAGAGCCAGGGCATTCTTCGTTGCTCACACTCTTTGGGTAGACCTCGAAGCCCACGATAGCGGAGGCTCCGCTGGCACGGTCACGGTGGTACCGTATGACGAGCATGACGTGGTTGTAGATGTAGCTGATGTCGTTTTTGACGAATCCAAGGGGGAAGCCTGCAGCGTAGTACTTGTTTCTGCCGTGGGACGACACGAAGGTGGTGGCTCCTGGCAAGCCATCGAGCAACCAGTGGGCCACGTAGCCGTCTTTGATGAGGCTGTCAGCCTTCTTGATGCCCAGCTCCTTGGTTATGAGGTCGCAAAGACGCATGCATGGCATATCGACTCCGAACTGGAGGTCGTAGTTGCTTTCCCAGATCCTGTCGCCTCGCAAGATTTCGCCCAACGACAACGGCACGGGTCTGTTGTGGGCAGCGGGAGGACACACAAACGGCAAGTTGTAGTAGCCGTAGGGAAGCTGGGTTTTGTCGGACTCGATTTTGTTGACCAACACCTCCACCTTGTCGCCCTTGCGGTACAAGTTGGGGGAGCCGAGCTGTAACGAGAGACATGTGGTGATGAAGAAGGGGACGAGTGCCGCGACAAGCATGGTGGTGTAAGTGGGCTGTTTCCGGTGGGTGGGGTGTGTAGTGGGACTGTAGTGGGACTGTAGTGGGACTGTGGTGGGGGTGGCGAGAGGTGGATGGACCCTCCTAGCCTTGGGTGCAGTGAAGGTAGTGAGTGATAGAGCCGGCTAGTGTACGGTACGGCCTGGCTGGTGGAGCGGAGTTGTCTACCGGTAACGGTGGTGGGCAAGAATTGAAATGTCTTTTCCAGCGCCAGGAGCCATGGCGCGGGAGTGGTTGTGTTTTGATCCAGATTACTACCGAGATAGGGAACACTGCGGCTAGTGAGGTTACACGGCAGGGGAAGACCCTGGTAGGGTGATCAGCAGTGAGTAGTGACGTAAGGAGGCTGCTTCCATTACGAGTGCCGTCAGGCGGGAGACGCTGGGTGGTTCAGCCGTGCTAGATCTGGCGTGGTGTGGGAGACACCCTGCGTCGGAGATGCCTCGCTGGCGTGGTGGCTCAGGCGTGGTGGAGCGCGATGCAGCGCGATGAAGCCCGCACAGGACGATGGCCTGGCGAGCGCATGGAAGCGTAACGGGCTGAAACGGAGAGGCGCAAACAGGCATGAGATGGGGAGAGATAAATGTGTAAGTGGCATTAATAGGGAAGTATGGACGAGCCGGGTGGGATTAGGTCCACTACCGATGGCCAAACTAGCTTAGCAGCGGTGTGTTGGATGGTTAAAGAGTAATTGTACTAAAGATAATTCTGTATGACAGACACAGACATCAGATAATGGTTATTGTATCTTTAGTTAATTCTTCAAGACAGGCGTTGTCCTGAAGGTATGTGGCTTAGGGTTCCACGGGAGTACCAGACAATAGTACTTGAAAAGTGAAGTCCAATCGCACACAGTGCCAGAACAGCCTGCTGTGTTTCAGTAACTTGGGCAGGTGTGGCCATGCTCTGGCGACTGGCACAACCAGACCTCTTAGAGAGTCTTTCCACAAAACAACTAAGTTGGTCTTGGTCCAAGGCGATTTCAAGCTTCCAGAAGCTACCAGAACCCTCAGAGCAGCGATTCTTCGCTGGGATCTTGTGTTATGACATTAGTAGAGGTAATAATCTATATATATCGTGAATTTTACCATCAATGAAATGTAGAGGTAATAATCTATAGATCGTGAATTTTACCATCGATGCCATGTAGAGGAAATACGAAGGACCTGGAATATTAACCCAAGATTGGCACCAATGAAAGTAAGATTTTTTGAAGTGCTGTATTGAAAAGGATACTATCTATTGTATTTTGTATTTCATTCTATAATATGACCGAGACATACCCTTCCGAGATAGCCCTGGTCAAGTTGTTCTTTCAAGCCTTACGAATAAGTTGCCAAATTCAGCAACGGCAAATACAGGGAAACCCTTCTGGCGAGTAATATCATGATTGGGAACGATTCAGGGATTCATAGATTATAGTGTCATAGACTTCTGCACTCTCAACCGCGAGCAAAATTGGTCTTATTTAGATCTCTATACTACCATAGCCTATTTCTCCTTGAGAGACTCCATGGCCTCCCGAATCAAGTAGTTGCCTTTGGGATCCAAGTTCATCGCAATGGTGAACTCCTTGATCGCCTGGAACTTATCGTTTTGGATGTTGTACAACTGTCCAAGGAGAAAGTGGACTGAGGCTTCGTCTGGAGCCAATTCCTTGAGCGTCTCAAAGTATTTCAATGCCTGGGGGTATTGTTGCATAGAAAACAACGATTGTGCCTTCTTGAAAATGGGCAATGGGTTTAATGGCTGGAGCTTGTTGGCCAATTCATACTGTCTTAAAGCCAAATTCTTCTTTCCTAGTTTCTCCAAAACCATTCCCACGCAACAAATCAAGATGACATTGATCGGGTTGATCGAAACAGCCTTCCGGAAATGATAGTCTGCTCTCTGGTAATCTCCAAGGTTAATATACACCATTCCAATTCCGTAGAGCGCATTGTAGTGGCGTGGATCAATAAGTAAACTCAACCGGAAGTTCTCGAGCGCCATTTCGTAGTTATCATTCCCGAAGTATTCGTGTCCTTTTAATGTGTATGCATATGTGAAGTTCTCATCCAATTTGGTAGCTTTGTTGAAGCATTTAATAGCCTCGTCGGGCTCTCTCGTCAACGAGAAGAGATTACCAATCGCACACCACGCAATTGCAGAGTTGGGGTCAAGGTCGTGGAGTTCATTCGCCAAGTACGTCAATTCTACCTTCCGATGCAAATGCCACAATAACGTCGAGTAATACTCCATATCCTCCATTCTGGTTCTATCCAACTTCCGGAGTTTCACAAAGAAATATTCGGATTGCTTATAGTTGACGATTTCGTAGTGTAGTCTTCCAAGCTTGCTCAATACCCATGGGGTTTCCTTCTCTTTCTCTGACAATGACTCGAGGATCCTGATTGCCTTATAACAATCATACTTGCACATACACTTGAATCCCTTTGCGAATATCACATAAAGACCAAGTAAATAATTCTCACTCTTTTCGATTTCTTTCATTGTTATCATGGAAACGGTTGTTGATTGGGGATCCAGCTCGTTGTTGATAGTTGGAATAATTCCACTAGAGTTGTTACGTTTCAAGCTTGCTCTTATTCCAGGCTTCTTTGAGGCTGGCGTATCCACTGACTTTGAAGAAGAATTGGTGCCGGAGTTTCCATTGGCACCAGTTGGCTGTGAAATAAGTCTTGAGGTGATCCGTGAATATGTGCTTTCCTTTTTGAGTTTCTTTTCATTAACCCCAGCATCTATAGGAAAATTGGGCTTGGTGAACTCAAAATGGTTGCTGGTATTGCTTGCGTTGGGGTTAGTCTTTCGCAATGGGGCATCTGGAATTACGGTTGGTTTCACTCTGGGGGTTGATACTGAATGGTTGAAACTGTCGTCCGGATGGATCACAGGCGTGTCCATGCCTCCTGTAGCGGCAGCAGTTCCAGTGTTGGAGAAAGGATTGGATATGTTGTCATTAAATTCGTTATGGTTGATGAAGGTGGTGCTTGATCCCGGAAGAATATCTTCGCTCCCGTTCGTCGAGCGGTTGAGGATATTGGTGTTGCTCAAGTAGTTTGATTTGTAGATTGACTTGACCTTGACGTTGACTCCGAGCTTGCACAATTCCTGGAAGGCCTCGAAGTCGTACTGGTTGTGCTTCAACGCTTGAACATAGTTGAGGGCGCTGTTCTTGGTATCGTTGATACCCTTGTATAACGACGCCAACAAGTGGTAGATGGTGGAGGAATCAGGGTATATGGATCTCCTGTGCTCGTAGTTGAACTTGTTGTGGTTGGTGGTGAAATAGAACGGGTTTGCTGTCGAATTGGCAGCTTCCAACGAGGACTCGCTGTACAAGTGGTTCAACCGGAAAAGCTGGTAGATGCCCTCCTGGTACTTCTTCAAGATCAAACAACACTTGGCAAAGAGAAAGGCAAACCCCAAGTGGTTGGAAGAGAGCAAGTCCACCAAGCGAGCGTAGCACGACTTGTGCTTGCCCTGGCGGAACAACGTGAGACAGTAGAGGTAGATGGACTCGAGGTTGTCGCCGTCCATGGCGAGGAGCCGCTCGCTGGCGAATTCAGCATTGGAGTAGTTGAAGTTATCTAGCGAATGGATGATGATAGATCTGAGGTGCTGTAGCACGTATGGGTCTGACGACTGTTCCGACTGCATGGTGGGGCGGCAGCTTCTGTTGGGAGGAGTGACGGAAGTGCTTATGCCGTGGTATGTCTCTGTGTGGAATAGGTGGTGATCTCCTTGGTGGTTAGCGTGGATTTGTAAACAAATACTGCGCACCAGTGGTGGAAGAGGATTGCGAGAGGGTGTACTATGAGAGGAGAGGAAGAGCAGGTAAACTGCGATAGGAGGCTTAAGAGCTACTAGAGGGAGAGGGTACTGGTTGGTGGTAGGTGATTTGTGCTTGAAATCGACAATCTTGCACTGTTGGTGTGATATACATTTATCTGTACCATCTGGTTCTACAATTGAATTAGTGAACTGTTTCGCTCGAAATTATACTAGGATCTAATTCCCTGGTTTGTTCACTCGTGTAGTGAATGTAGATCTGAACAGTCACAGTAGTCATGCTATTATTTGGTACGCGTTTCTGATTCACTATGCTTATGGAATCAGAATTGTGCAACTATTAACTAGATCCCAGGAGGTTTTGTAACAGGGCTGGCTAGCCCAGCTGCTTAGTTTAAATAACTAGGCCATGGAAAATACATAAAAACTCAATTTCCTTACCTAGGTATCTAATATGCTGTCGCAGTCATCAAAGGATTGGATATAAACTGATGGCCATAAACTTCTACGCCGGCGCTTGCGGCATAATTGCAACCGTCGAGAATGTGGTAACTTGCCATTACATCAAAATGGTATCATTATACATTAATATACACTTCACTTCTTAGATTTGATCACAAAGGTGTGATTACCTGACCCATCACTGGTGTAGGCCAACATTTTCTCGGATACTGACTTCTTTCTTCCAGACATCACCTTGCCATTGCTATTCGAGAAAACCGACTTCGGCGTGCCTTCAGAGTTAGCGGTGGCTGTAGTGGTGCTAGAGGCAACAGGTGTGTTGCCAGTTTGACTCTCTTGGAAATAGTCTGTGGTCTTCAGGTTAGAGTTTGGAGTACCTGAAGGTGACGAAGTGTTGCCACTGTGACCCAGCCTTGGAGACAAAAGTCCAGAAGCAAGCAAATAAGGAGAAGCGAACCCACCCTGATTCGAGGATATTTGGGGCGTGGATGGTGTTTTGGTGTTAGACTTTGAGAACGACGCACTGGTATCAATTGAAAGCTTGGGGTGACCGTTCGAATTGGGTTGAACGGACGATACCGTAGTCTCATCAACCGAATCAATGATTGGAGAATTGTTGGAATCCAATGAAGTCTGAATGTCAGTGTTCAATTCACTCAAATACAGACCATAATCATCAAATCCATCACGAATGAATCCCTTGGATCTCAATTCTTCATCCTTCAATCTGGTTTCCTCTCTAGCTTTGGCCAACAATTCTTGGGCCTTAGCCAAACTGACGGTAGGGGTAGAGCAACTGCTCACAACAGGAACCGAATCGTCAATATCAATAGTTGCAGTCATCAATGCTTTTAACCATCCTCTCATTTCTTCTTGGGTATCGACAGCAAAATAGTGGGTTTTTGGTTGAGTGAACATCAATCCCTTCTTAAACCCAGGAGCAGGTGGTACCAACTTAAAGCAATATCTACCGAAACCAGTAGAAGAGGCATACAAAGCAATATACTTGTCATTGGATCCGGAACTGTTGTCTGATTCAGCATGTACTGGAATAACTTTGTGAGCTGTGATATCAATCAATCCCTTCTCCTTCTTGTCCTTCAAGGAAGTGAAGTATGACAATCTTGTACCGTGTAAAGTGAAATATCTAGATCTCCAGCTCAATGTGTTTCCAGATCTCTTTGACATCCAACCACTGTGGTTTGCACTCTTGATCGCTTCATCCGGGGTGACTTCCCTTATACCTTCCTGGAATGCAGACGTTTTCAGTTTCTTTGAAGAGGTCAAGCTCTTGAAGTTTTGAGTAGAAGTAGTTCTCAAATTCTTCAACCTCGAAACAGGATTTGTGCTTGGTGCCACTCCAGTAGAATCTGATGTGGATCTCTTTTCATCGACTTCATGCTTCCTCAGATCATCAACCTTGTAGGAGATTGACTTCAGCTTCTTTGGAGAGAAAGAAGTGTTATCAATATCAATTATATCTTCATCCTCTGCGTTACCCTTTCTCTGCTTAGGAGAAAACAATGAATTCTCTCTCTTGACTTTAGCAGGGGAAATTAACTTAGGGACAGACACCGTATCATCATCATTATCTGTATCGATTGCAGAGTCGGGATCAATATTGCTGTTATCTTTCACAATCTTATTGGATTGCAACTTGTTGCTATTCTTTGAGTTTGTTGGCTTTTCATCGTTACCAGATAAGAACAGAAACAAAGAGGAATGTCTTCTATGGCCAGTTATGACAGAAGAGTTTCTGCGATGGTGATAGTGCTGTGAATTCTGAGAAGCATTACGATTATGACTGACCATTGAAGACTCATAGATAGATGAGGAAGGTCTAGATCCATTCACTAATCCCAAACCAGTTGCGTTAGTTCGGGTGACATATAATCCACTTGTTTGTTCTAAGGGACTGGCGCCACCGAATTTGTAGTTCTTATCCACTGGGCTTGGTTCGTTGGGTGGTTGAGGGGCTTTTCTGGGAGAGATGAAAGACAGATCAGCGTTTACAATAACACTAGATCTATTTTCATGGAGGTTGTCCAACGATTGGGATCTCTTTCTTTGATGTCCCTTGAAATATGATCCAGCTTTCAAGTCGGCTGAAGGCATTAATTGGCTTTGATGTCTTGAAGAACGCTTATCAGTTTCAGATGATTTGAGGTTATGGAAATTAGAGATTTTATTAGGGGATGTGTTTGACGAACCTGGAGGGCTAACGAATTCATCTGTGGTATTTGATGACTCTGGAATTGATTCTTTGAATGAATTCTCGTTCTCAGTGCTACCCACGGTCACGTTGTTCTTACTTGTGGATCGACTTAATGATTTGTGCTTAGCACTTCTGGAGGAGATTTGCCGCAATTTATCAATTTCCTTGTGGACCTCAAACCTCGTTCCGAAGGAGTCGATATCCAACTCCTTCAAATGGGCCAAGTCTAACTGGAAGAGAATTTCACCGGTGATCTTGTGTCTGGCAAATTTACCAGCGATATCCAAATCAAACCCTAAGACTATAGCAAAATAAGATGAGACTTGTTGAGGAGTCCATTCAGCAGCCTTCAAAGGATTTAAATCTTCGGTCAAGGATTGTGCGGATGGATTCCTCTTGTGTGTGTTTTCATTAGACTTGAGACCCTCAAGTACTTCTGTTTGGCCAGAGTCGTTAGCATCATTATTATTAATGTCCTCTTCAAGGGAGTTATTCTTTGTGGACGTTCCATTGCTTCCAAGGAAGTTTTCAGTTTGGAGTTCCTGTAGAGCCTTGTCAATGTCACTTAAGGTCTTGTTTGCTTTGTTGGCAGGGGAGGATTCTTCGTCCATTCCCAACTTGCCAAATTTGTCGGTAAGCTTGGACACGTTATTTGGGGTGCCAACCGGGGTATTGCTGGAGGTACTGTTGCTGCTGAGCACCCTTCTTGACCTTGATCTCAATAGGGAGGGCTCGGAAGTCTGATTCTGCAAAATTTGTGTGAACGACTTGGGGTACAAGCCGACTTCGCTGGTCAATAAGTTTTTACCCATGAACCACCCGTCGTTGTACTCGCTATCGTCCGCCAAAACCTCGACCTTGTCGCCTATCTTCAAGCTGAGCTCGTCGCCTAGCCTGGCGTTGAACTGCTTTATACAGATGTACACTGTGGCGGAGGAGGCCATTTTGGGAATGAGGTGGGATGGCTGTGTGGGAGCTCGGGTGAGTTAAGCTCTGTTGGAAGGCTCGTGTGGAAGGCTCTGGTGGGAAGCTCTCGTGAGTTAAAAGCTCAGATATGTAAGCTCTCGTGAGTTGAAAGCTCTGGATGCCTGAAAAGCTCTGGTGCTGAGTCCGAAGTGGATGCTCGTGACGGCAGTCTGGAATCAAAGAAGCGCAGAACACAGGCAGGGGACCAGGGATGGTGGCGATGGCAAACTGGCGCTGGGGACGGGACGAGAGTGGTGATGCTGGCGGTTATTTACTTTTTATTTGGCTGTCCCATCGGCACGTGATGCGCTACCCTGGCGATTGTCGCTGGCACGGCCCCGTAGTGAGTCTGGTTCCCTGCGCGGGGCGTCGTCACCAATCCAGCCCTGCGTACGCCGCGGGCTTTGTGCCAGGTTGCCGCCATTCTGGTACAACGTCTGCGCCAGCAGGGAATGTGGATTCTGGGCTGACACCACAACCTACTGGCTGGGGGCCGTTTCAGACACGCCTGGTGGAACGCGTAGCCCCTCGCGGAGACGACAGGCCTAGGCTAGCCGAGCCAGTGCCCCCACGACTGAAAAACATCCCTACTGCTTCTCTCTCCTCTTCCTACCAGTGCTGGCTTCCAGCCGTGTCCGGTGCGACCCACGCTGGAACTGCCTGGAACGGTGCGACGCTATAACTGCCCCACTGGACCTTCCGTGCGACACCCACGCAATGCGACATGTTGCACGCCCGCGACATTGGCTGCTCCCTCTGGTATAACCGCTACGGGTGGCATATTCCACCAACCACTATTCGTTGCCAACCCCGTCTCCAAACACCCATCCCACACTAGCCACCACCACTAGTGCGATGTCGCCACCTCCCACGCCCTTGGTGCCGCTTTCTCGTGCTGCCTCTGGCCCTGACCCTCCACATCCTCCCCCCTCCCAACCGACCCAGCAACACCTCCTGCCCCCTGGAGCCGATCCTGCCCACGAATCTAGTGCTGGCACCCTCGCGGACGCCCCGCCGTCCGCCTTGCCCCCCATCAGGCCGCTCAGCTACATCTCCACGGCCCCCAACGTTAGGGGGATAGGCTCTCGTCTCAACTCCCTAAACATCATCTCCGACTACTACTTCAGGCACAGGCCACATCCGTCCCACGTCGCCACCCTGGCGTTCCACCCCAGGAGCTGGGTCCCTCCTCCTGACACCGACTTGTCTGTCAACGTCCTCCCGTCGCCCTTGCGCAACGTGGGCTCCTCTGCCCCAGAAGATACCCAGATGTCGGAGGAATCCGACCTGCGCTACTCAGAGGCAGAACTCAACCAAAGCGACGATGAAATCGATATCAGCTATACCGAGCTGGAAGCCCAGCGCGCCATTCAATTCATTGATTCCATCGACGTGGCAGGTGATTCCAGCGAAAGCGAACTGGAAATGCCACCAGAGAGACCCTCGGACATCGACGCAACCGAGCGACTCTTACTCTCATCTGCAAGGCAGAATACCTCGGGCTCGAACCGCTTGATAACTCGCCTCATCTCCTTTAACAGTTTCGATCTGCGTAACAACCCCACAGGAAACGGATCGGCAGTCCCCCTCCAAAGACAGAACGCCATACGAAGCCGTACTAGAAACTCCAACAAGTGTGTTTTCTACAGAAATGGTGCAGATCAGCAGACCGAAGATTCTAAGAACGAGCTCGAATCAACCATGGAGCGTATCAAGCAAAACTCCGCTAATCTCATCAAGGATATCGATCAGTTTCTACACATCATTCGGGGTCAAAAATCAAACCATAATTTATTTCATGGTGGTTCCGAGGAGTTAGATTTAGTGTACGCCTTCAAGATGACAGGTTTGGAGCACAACTTCCATTTGGAAGGCAAGATGGACGCATTTTTGAGACTTAGACAGAGTCCGGCATTGTGGTCTCGTAAGTTGTTGGGCAGGGAACCGGAAGAATCCACCTCTACTGCAAAGAGAAGGTATGTGTCCCAAAGCCCATTCAAATCAAACAAAAAGAGAAAGTTAGCATCAGCTGGTCCTGGTACTGAAACTGCGAAATTCAATCGAGAGTCCACCGCTTTAACATTAATGCATCAATTGTCCCCAAGTGAGAAGTATAGGATATTAAGTGTGCAGTTCAGTTCGTATTTCAAATCAGGTTCATGTTTTGGGGTAAGGATTTCCAATGAGGAGAATGCATACAGTGATTTGTATCTCACCAACGTTGACTATCACCGAAAATCTATCGATGGTGTCTTTCGAGTTATGGAAGATGACAAATTCAACCAAATCGACTACTGGAAGAGACTTTTCAAGCATGCAAAGTTTTTCTGTGGAGAAAACAGCCTTCTTCAGGATAAAATACTGGGCTGTTCCGCATTGGCAAGGAGACTATTTCTCTTAGAAAGAGCTGAGTATGATTTAATATTGAGTCTCGCAACTAATACTGATTGCAAAAAACCAATGCCGTTAAATTTCAATATTCCATTCCGAGGTCGAATTATTGATTTTAAAATGAATGACTTGAGGTTTCTATCATCTAATTCCAAAAAGAACCCAGTAAATGATTCTTACGCATTTACGAAGCATCTGTCGCAAACTTTCAAATACAATTTAGCGAATTTGCAATTGATAGAATGGATGAGGTTGCAGCCATTCCAAGAGTATAAGGATTGTTATCTTGAGATGTACGCACAGGAATTGAAAGAGCTGCTTGAGAATATTTCTCAGGAAGGGCCCAAGTATGGCCTGCAACAGACAATTGACTTAGCCAAGGAATTCAAAAGCACAGTTCATTTACTCACCAAGTCATACACAGTGGATGATTGTTGTTCTGCAACTGCCAGTCAGGTAGATCCCAGACATACCTCGGACAGATATTATCACCAAAATTGGGAAAAGCGCTTGAGTAAGGAATTGTTGGAGAACTTGACTAGTGATGGATATGAAAGCTTGTTGAATGTTCAACTCAATTACATTTTATTCACCTTGAAAGTCGACCTTATAGAGTTTTTGGATAATATACTCAACTGCATACTTGAAACATTCAAAAATCAACATGTCAACAACGAGAGTAAAGAATTCAGGTATTTGATGCAAATAACTCAACTATTTGACGTCGACAATGTTACAAATGAGGATATTCTGGCCATTCTCTTATGTTCGATGAATAGGAAGACAGGCAAAGTACACATTCACAATACATTGCCATACATCAATTATAAGAACCAGAGTTCTCGAAGAGTGATCGGAGTAGTTGATAGTGGTGTTTCCAGATACAATTCTAGCGGAGTTCCTTCTTCGTTCAATTCTGCTCCATTCAACTCGTGGCTCGATAATGAGGATATACGAGAAAGATACATGAGAGAAGATCGGCATCGATTTGACCAGGAGCGTCCTCGGGTAGTCGATCCCTATATTGATGGTCAGAATATCGATATGTATGGATATTCCAAGCAAGAAGGTGCTTTGGGAGGGGGAAGTCCCAGCTTCGATGTTTTGTAAAATATTAGCTAGAGGTCTAGCATTTTTTTAAGGGTTATTTTTTATAGGTCAGGTAATGGTATTTAATTCGTATCGACTTTGTAAGATCTTTGGAGCGGTGGTACAGGATTACAGAAGTAAGGAGTCCAGAGTATTGACAGGATTGTAGACCCCGTGGCTCGCAAGATTGGCGAGTGTTCTCAAGTGTCACTTTTGCGTTCATTAGCTATTTACAAGTTTTGTTCCAATTGCGGACTAATTTTTACAGATCAGGATAATCCTTTGAGCTGGCCATACTGGATGCCCAAAATGAGAGAGGCACCGAGCGTGGCTTACCAGAATCCCCAACCTTTCTTTCCTTCTCTTTTGTCTTGCTTCTTCTTGGCAAAGAAATCCTTCTTGCACTCCTTGTAAGCATCGAAAAAGTCCTGACAAACCGTTCTATCGTCAGGGTTTCTCAATAGGCAGTTCATGGATGCTTGTCGACTTTCTTCACATGGGTCGTAGAATTTGGAGGCTCCCTTCATGGACCATCTGTATTTGTGTCTGTGATTCTCAGGATTGTCTGGGTAGAACTTGAATTTGTCCACTCCACCCTGGGTGAAGTCAACCTTGTCCAAGTCCTTCACCACTTCATCACTTTCAAGCTTGATAGGGGCCTCTGTCCTCTTGGGTGTGTCAACACTCTTAGATGTATCTGGGGAGGGTGTGGCTTCAGGAGTTTCTGACGACATACTCGGTTGGGAATGTATTACGTGCTATCGTACGTCGCTTGCGTGGTACACCAAATCCGGTGGTATAATGAAGGTAAGTGCTAGCCCTTTCTTGGTTACTTCTCTGACTTGTCTATGCCTAAAGCGCGGTTTGCAGTTTGACCGGGGTAACCTGCACCTGTCTCGTGATCCGATGCCGATGGGATTTGAATAGGTGATACCGAACAAGCACTAGTCCCAGTCATCAGAAGAAATGGCAGACAACCAACCGATCAAATACTTAGACTCGGAGGCAGAGGGTGCTGTGCTCTGCCAAAGATGCAAAAACGAAAAGGCGTTATTGGTTTCTCGGAAGGAGCCTTTCTGCAAGAACTGTTTTATACGATTTATCAGAGGCAAGCAGAGAAAGCAGATGCAAGACGATAAGTATAAAGTGAAGTACGGAGCTTTGATCGAAAAATTGGGTGTGCAAAAAATCCTCTTGACGTTATCTGGCGGCCCATCTTCTCTCGTTCTCTTGGATGTCATGGCATCGTTGTTAAAGGAACAGTTCGAAGGTCACAATGGAAAGCAGGGCTTCGAGTTGGTGGTATTAAACATAGAAGAGTTTGAAATACAGGCATTAAATAAGAGGCTCGACCAGCTCTTGCCTCAGATTTTGAGTCTCTACGCCCCCATCAAAATCACCTATAAGGTCTTATCATTGAGCTCATACATCTTGGACCAAGAAATGTTGGAGAAAATTCTGATCAACAAAGAATTTACGGGATTCAGCTCCCCAGCACCCAAAGCTGAACATAGGCTTGAAGACTTGTTGGCATTATGCCCAAATAAATCCTCAGCGGAGGACTTGTTGACAATTGTGTACGATGAGCTCATATTGAGAACAGCCTATATCGAATCTTGCCAGACGATCCTTTACGGCCACAGCATGACCAGAATAGCAAACGAAATCATTGCCTTGACATGCAAAGGAAGAGGTTCCACCATTTATAAGGCCGTGGCCGATCACTCCATTAATTTCAGAGACAATGAATATAAAATACTCTTTCCCTTGAGAGACGTGCTTTACTCGGAAGTGTTGGCTTATAGCAAGCTCAGTGGTCTCGATGCTTATAGAGTTGAGTCCACCATCAAAAAGTCCAAAATCACCAAGAACCTCACCATCCGTGACTTGACCACTAACTACTTTGCTACGTTAGATGCTACCGGGTATGCATCGACAGCATCCACGGTGGTAAAGACTGGTGAAAAGTTGGGAGCTCCGAAAGATAGTGTTATAGCCCATTGCCAGATCTGTGGAGTGGAGATTTATCAGGACCCTAGAGGCTGGTTGAGAAAGATCACCGTGAACGAGGCTGCTCCCATCGACACTGAGGAAGAAAAGGATTACGCCAAACAATACGAAGCCACTTTTGGCACCGAATATATTCCCGATGAGCAGAATCCGGTGCATATTTGCTACGGCTGTATTGTGACGATCGGAGGAGTCAAACAGGACGGTGGCTTCGTGTGGCCAGTCAAAAGAGGAGAATACGAGGGGGAGATCAAAAATACCTACATCAACTCCGAAGACCAGGCAGTGTTGGACGAGTATATTCTTACGGACGATGAAGAGTAGATGGTAAGATGGTACTCTCTATCAGAGAATGTAATCCGTTCTTTATGGACGGTGGATTGGCAAGCAAGCTCATGTATAAATAAACCCCGGCTAATAGTGGCCTTACGTAGTTGTAATTCAAATATAGACAATTCTTTATTGTCGGATCTGATTCATGCCATTAGGTGTTCGTGTAAAATACTTCAGTACCTGGGTTCTCAAATGATACAAACTTCTGAATATATACTAGACACATACTCTAACTCAAAGAACTCAAAATTCTTGTAAAAGGAAATAAAAATGAAATTTAGTACCAGTCAACATTGCAACAGTCAGGTACATTTTGAAATAAGTCATCTCTTAGGACCCGAATGATACAACAAAGTATGCCGAAATTAGCTTGCAATTCATTACCCTGAAAGTACAGTTCAAAATGGACAATATATTGTCTACAAGTCCAAAAAAGATGCCAACTGGCAGCAAACCATTTCTAACTTCACCTCAGAAGCCTCAGAAAACATACTGAATGTGGCAACTGTTACACTTAAAGGCTGATCTAAACTGACGATTCGTTTTATTCGTCTCTATCTTTATTGAATTGTATTTGATCTGCTAATTTTGCAGCTCGCACTGCTTTTTGCACAATATAAATATTCAGGCGGCTACCAGATCAACCATCGACAAGCACAGATACCGTCAGGGCCCCACCAACACCATTGAAGGATCACACAGTTGGCTAGAGAGTTGATTCAACACATTATGTACTCGCCTAACTTGTTCACGAATGATCTCTACAAATTGTGGACCCACGACAGCGCCAAAGACTCGATCAAAGCGTTTGAGGAGTTCCGAAATGGAGGCTCCAACAAACCAAACGAGCCCCCTAGCAGCCAACCCAGCAGCAGCGCCAGATCCAATGAACAATTAATAGAGGAACAACGGAAATACTTGCGACTGCTCTTTGCTCCTCCGTTGCTGGCATATTCGGCAGATATACCGGGAGCCAGTCTTTCACAACTAGAGTATACAATCCAGAACTCAGCATCATTGCCTGGCTTGAGACCAAGTGTTTCCATTTCAGCGCTTGAAGTAACGACCACACCATTGACGCAGTTGAAGATGCACCAATTGGAGCAGATACAGAATACCGGCTATTCTACGATAAGACCAATTGGAATCCACAGGACTATGGAAGAAATTGAATTCGACGAAGCAAGAAGGTTTAACACAAGCGACCAGCAAATTGACGACCAATCATACATTCATACAGCCGAAAATACTAATACAGAGGGCCAGGGGGCTGGGGTAAATGGCAGTAATGTCTCTATGAGAGATGTTCAGGGCGAAGAGGTTGATTTGGATGCAGAAGTCCGCAATATGGATGATGAACAGAACGAAGATAGTTTTGCTGACGATAGCCGCTTGGACAGTTACGAAGACGAGGCCGATCTTCGGATTCAAAACCAGGAAAGGTTTCTTCATGACGAGTTTGAAGAACCAAGTGAGGGAAATATTGCCGCTAGAAGGGCAAACTTGGTTGAAGAAGGGTTCATGGCCGATGAAGTGGAATACCAAGATGACCACTCGTTGGCGGTAGACAACATTCAGATGCTCATGAACTCGGGAACGGTACGTTCGTCGCTAATGAGTACACTAGATTCAGGCGCTAGCTTGGCTACAAATGTTACTTCACTCACTGGTGAATCGGGAGTAGTTGGTGGCGGCGATGCAAACTTCTCTAGTGCTAGAGAGTGTGTCGGACAAGAAAACGACGAAGACCAGTCCGACCTAGACATGGTGATTGAAGAATGAGTATTTACATTAGTTTTTAGCGGGAAGTACCTGTGGTGGTGGAATAGATTTAATATTATCCACCTTAGCAGATTGTAAGTGAAGGGCCGGAACCATCCATTTTCCACAGGAACACCTTGAACCTTTCCACGAGTAGCCACCGACCTTGGAGTCGCACTTTGGGCACAAGAACTTTCCCTCGATGTCTTCTTTTGACAACTCCTCTTTCATCCATGTCAATGGCTCTTGCAAGAAGTAATGCGAGCACGAAGAACTGGCAGCTTGAGCCGAAATGATCCGTCTGGAATTAGGGGCTTTCTTGATGAACTTGGATTGGGTGGATGATTCGTCAGGGGGTAAGTGTGGTTCGAGATGAGCGCTTTTCGCAAGCACCCTTCTGCACCTCTTGCACCTTAAGTCAAAATCGCTTTGTTGGCTTTCCGGGGACGGAGCTTGGGCAAGCATCTGTGATCTGAGGGAATCACCAGAGGGATCGGCCTTCAAGCTGAGTTCTCGTAAGAGTTGTTTATATTCAGGGTTTGAAGGATCCACTTCACACTGCCACGACTGATAGAGCTCAAGCTGGTGTAAAAAGGCAGGGTTTGGTTCCGCATCGGGACACTTCCTCTTGATTGCGTGCAACGCCTGTTTCAATTCGAGTTTAAACTTCTTCATAAGATAGGCCACAATAACCGTGGCTGATCTGGATATACCTTGAGCGCAATGGACCAAAATTGCCGTGCTGCCACTGGGGCTATTTGCGAGCTCCGACTTGGAGTACAACGCTGTTTCAATGAACTGGTTGCATTCATCGAAGTGCTGGAGGATGTTGCTGGTCTCTTCGTCCGTGATATCGATCTGCTTGTGGATGTACTCGCTGGTGTATCGCGATGAGATGGTTCCGGGAAGCACCGAAAGAATGTGGGTTATGCCGTACTCCGAATTTAGGTCCACGTTGTTGTTGAGCGGCTCGATGGACGAGATGTATATGCCCCCTAGAATCCTTTCTATCATTGTGGCGGAATAGCTTTATCTGTGAAAAGTTCCAGATGGAGCCTGAAAACGAAATTAAAATGGTGGGTTTGTGTCACTTGGACCAACAAGGATGCAAAATGGGACTGGTGCCATTCATGAAGCAACCAACTGGCGTGTGGCGTGTGCCAGTAGGCTGTGGCACCGAGGGGCACGACAAGTATATAAGAGCCGTCATGGGACGCCAAACCACCATTATCATCAGGCACTCAACAATTACTATGCAGTTGAAAACATTTTTGGTGGTGCTCGTAGTGGCATTCCACGCAGCAGCCAGCGTCAACAAGGTTGATATTTTACCCACGATCACCGAGGAGGAAGAAGAGGGCGTGGAGAAGTACACCAATCTTGCTGCTTGAAGGGTGGACTGAGGGAATAATTGGGGGAAGATTCACACTGAATCAGGGAAGAATGAGAAAGGAAATAATTATTGAGAGGGAAGAGTTGTTGGGTAAAAGTTACTGAGAGGAAGCATTAGTGACTCTGCTACGGGTTGCCTACGCCTTTCACTCAACAAGTACGCTATCTCTATCTTGCAGGAGAAATCCTCTTCCTCAGAGAAATTATCTCCCCTGGAAAATCTCCCTCACCCGTCGAAAACTTCCCTACAAGTTACTCCCTAGAAGTTACTCCCTAGAATTACTCCCTAGAACTGCCGCACGAGGCACTAGATATGACCTGAATATACGAATCCCCAGCGCCGCACCACCGTCCAATAAACACCGCCCCAGGATCGATCCCGGGAGGCACGCAAGTGGGCTTATTTCTCCTGACACGGTCGCGGGTCGTGGCCACGGATGTTGGCCACGGATGGCACCGCTCGGAAGTAAGAACACACAAACTCCGAATGGGGCCAAGTCCACGGATCCTTTGTTCCGCAGGTTACCCGGCACATGTGTTACCCGGCTTCCGAATGCAAATTCAGGGGGCTCTGTCAAGGATAACGGCATGCCGGGGGGACCATGGGCACCCCCAGGCGTTGCCGTAGCTTCCATCCATTCCTCATCATCCCCGTGCTCGAGCAGCGTCGTCGAGCCCCGGCAACCGTGCCAGTTTCGGCCACGTCTTGTGGATGAGACCGAGCTTCACATGATCACGAAAAAAAATAATCTACTCCGAAATCTGGGGAATGGACGCAACACACCCAAAATTTTCATTAGCACCCTACACCGCCGTTAGCAACCCAACGTTGATTGGAGGATGATCAGCGGGTGAGATTGAACCACATAAATATGGGGGTCACGGAGTCGTGGCAGGGAGCACTTTTGTAGACACACCACCGATTGTGGGGGTGGCACATCTGGCACATCTGGCAGTCTGGGGAGATGTTCCGCAACCGGACGGTGTGGGGTAATGTGGCTAGCGGAGGGACTGCTGTGGTAGGGCAATTGTCGCGGGTGCCTCCACCAGCTGGATGACGACATTGGGGCCCGAGGTCTGTCCGAAGCCTCCTGTCCACACCTGGCACCGTCCTCACCCGTAGTACTTTGCCTCTGCGCACGACGCAAAAAGAAACAAGTCCGTACCATTCCGGCAGCTGCGCGCGTTTTGATTGGCCCGTGCCTTGGGCACGGGACGGCCCTCTGGCCCTACTACGACACCGCTGGGACCAATGCAGGTCTAGCATATATATTTGATCGATTTCCCATCTTTTTTTAATTCCCCATACAATCGAAAATGTCTTTGAGATCAATTCAACGTTCCTCCGCTTTCGCCAAGAGAGCTGTTCTTGGTGCCAGAACCATGGCCACTGGTTCTGAACCAGTAAGTGTCACTTCAACACGCCAGACGCCCATTGGCGTCTGGTTATCTCGCAACCAGCTACTAACAGTTAGACCTTAAAAGCCAGATTGGCTGAAATCTTACCTGAAAAGGCCGAAGAAGTCAAGCAATTAAAGAAAGAACACGGCAAAACCGTACGTCAACTATGAAGTGATACCAGCCATCAATCGGGCGGAATAGGGGTCAATGTGTCGACAAATGAGCCACATGGCGTGTCTTGATGGTCTTGATGGTATCGATCGTCTAGACAGCCCAGTCTCGTTGTTGCCCACACCCCAGCGGCAAATGGAGCATGCTCCCTTTTCCCTCGGCGCTCATTATTGGATGAGCCTCGGATGATCCGGTGAAAGAGTACCGAGGGCCGTGTGCAGTCCGCAAGATTGTGTGGGGGAGGGGCGCGCTCGACTCCGAGCGCCCCACCGGAATATTTTCAATACTAACTAACAGGTCATCGGTGAAGTTTTGTTGGAACAAGCCTACGGTGGTATGAGAGGTATCAAGGGTTTGGTCTGGGAAGGTTCCGTGTTGGACCCAATCGAAGGTATTAGGTTCAGAGGTAGAACCATTCCAGACATCCAAAAGGAATTGCCCCACGCTGAAGGTGGTGCTGAACCATTGCCAGAAGCTTTGTTCTGGTTGTTGTTGACCGGCGAAGTCCCAACCGCCACCCAAACCAAGGCCTTGTCCGAAGAATTGGCCGCCAGATCCGCTTTGCCAAAGCACGTCGAAGAATTGATCGACAGATCCCCATCCCACTTGCACCCAATGGCTCAATTCTCCATTGCCGTCACCGCTTTGGAATCCGAATCCCAATTCGCCAAGGCCTACGCCAAGGGTGTTAACAAGTCTGAATACTGGAAGTACACCTACGAAGACTCCATTGAATTGTTGGCCAAGTTGCCAAACATCGCTGCCAGAATCTACAGAAACGTCTTCCACGACGGTAAGTTGCCAGCTGAAATCAACCCATCCTTGGATTACGGTGCCAACTTGGCCGCCCTCTTGGGTTACGGTGACAACAAGGAATTCTTGGAATTGATGAGATTGTACTTGACCATCCACTCTGACCACGAAGGTGGTAACGTCTCTGCCCACACCACCCACTTGGTCGGATCCGCCCTCTCCTCTCCATTCTTGTCCTTGGCTGCTGGTTTGAACGGTTTGGCCGGTCCATTACACGGTCGTGCTAACCAAGAAGTCTTGGAATGGTTATTCAAGTTGAGAGAAGAATTGAACGGTGACATCTCCAAGGAAGCCATTGAAAAGTACTTGTGGGACACCCTTAACGCTGGTAGAGTTGTTCCAGGTTACGGTCACGCTGTCTTGAGAAAGACTGACCCAAGATACACTGCTCAAAGAGAATTCGCTCTTAAGCACATGCCAGACTACGAATTGTTCAAGTTGGTTTCCAACATCTACGAAGTCGCTCCAGGTGTCTTGACCAAGCACGGTAAGACCAAGAACCCATGGCCAAATGTGGACTCTCACTCCGGTGTCTTGTTGCAATACTACGGTTTGAAGGAAGAATCTTTCTACACTGTCTTGTTCGGTGTTTCCAGAGCTTTCGGTGTCTTGCCACAATTGATCTTGGACCGTGGTTTGGGTTTGCCAATCGAAAGACCAAAGTCCTTCTCCACTGAGAAGTACATCGAATTGGTCAAGAACATCAAGGCTTAGATTGATCCCATCTTCACTATAACGATCGAAAAGAGTCTCATGCCTATTTATCCTTTATTTATTAAGTAAAATATTATTTATTATCCAGTTTACTGGTGTATGTATCAATTGACGACTCGAATGCTTTTAACTAATAGAAGTGTAAGCTCTTTGGATTGGGGTGTTTAGTCACTAAAAGTAAAGACGTGCGCACACCGTATTGAAAAATTTAAAGAGTTATCTACTACCTAAAGTGTGCCCCATACTCCAAATATGAGGACAATGAGGGCAAGAATTTCCGCCAAACAGTCCTTCAGAGCTTTTCTGGGGACTTCTAGAGCCTTAGACGACAAGAAGATTCTGTATTCTCACACTTTACACCTTCCTAAAACGAACTTTGGCCCAAAAGTACCCAAGGGCGCTGAAAGAACAAGACTCATAGAGACTACTAGTCAGGACCTATACGACTGGCAGTTTCATCATAATAAAGAAAACCCAGAGTTTATATTACATGATGGTCCGCCTTATGCAAATGGTGACTTACATCTCGGCCATTCATTGAACAAAATTTTAAAAGATATCATCAATAGATTCGAGTTGATCTACAACAATTCAAGAATTAAATACGTTCCGGGATGGGACTGTCATGGACTTCCTATAGAGATGAAAGCTACCAATATGGAGAATGATATCAAGAAGGGTAAAGATCCTAAACCGCTTACAGCAGTGGAAATCAGAAATGCATGCAGAGAGTTGGCGTCTTCTATGATAGATCTGCAGAGAAAACAATTCAAGGAGTTTGCTATAATGACAGACTTTGAAAACCCCTACATCACCATGTCACACAAATATGAAATCAATCAGTTACATATCTTCAGGAAGTTAATGGAAAATGGTCTATTATCGAGGCAATTAAAGCCGGTATGGTGGGGTTGTGAAACCCAAACTGCATTGGCTGAAGCAGAATTGGAGTACAATAACGACCACAAATCAGTCTCAATCTTTGTGAAGTTCCCAATGGTTTATGGGAAACTTCATCAACAACTTCAAGCACAAGGCCACCAAGTCAGCAAATCCAATTTAAAATTGTTAATATGGACCTCGACACCTTGGACCATTCCACTTAATAAGGCAATTTGCGTCAATGAACAATTTACGTATACTTTGTTGCAGAACAAAGCTACTGAAGAATTTTTGGTGGTAGCCGACTCACTTAAAGATCAATTAGTTGAGCTTGACAATGATTGGTTAGCAATGGATGTGAAGTTCTCAGGAAGTGAATTGGTAGGGAGTCAATATATCAATTCAGCATCTATGGATAATGCTGAGCATCCAGTTTTGCACGGAGATCATGTTGTGGACAATGCGGGTACTGGTCTTGTGCACACTGCTCCGGCTCATGGAGGTGAGGACTATTTAGTAGCAAAGAAAAACGGTATCGAGATCGATTCGTCCGTTGATAACCAAGGAAAATACATACCAGGAAAGCTTTCTCCTGGATTTGATTCTTTACATGGCATGAAGGTGACTATTCCAACCACTATTTGGAAGTGTATTGAATTATTGAAAGAAAGCAATATGATTTACAGCATAAATAAGAATTTCAGACATTCTTATCCATATGATTGGAGATCAAAGACGCCAGTAATCCAGAGGGCAACTCCCCAGTGGTTTGTGAATGTTGAAAAAATCAAATCTTCAGCATTGAAAGCATTAGATGACGTCAAATTTTACCCTGAGTCAGGTAAAAACAGACTTCCCCTGTTTATTAAGAATAGAAACGAGTGGTGTATATCGAGACAAAGATCCTGGGGATTGCCTTTACCGATAATATATCATAAAGAGAGTGGGGATGCGGTGGAAGAATTGAGAATAATTGATTACATTATCAATCAGATCGATAAGTTTGGTACTGATGAATGGTTTGTCATCGAGGAGGACATTTCTAGATGGCTCCCGGAAGATTTGAAACATAAAGGAAAAGAATTTTATAAAGGTCAAGATACCATGGATGTATGGTTTGACTCTGGTACCTCTTGGAGTACTCTTTCGTCCAACTTGGATGACCTTTTAAAATCGGAGAATCCAATCGCTGATATTTATTTGGAAGGAAGTGATCAGCATAGAGGTTGGTTCCAATCGTCTTTGCTCAACAAGATAATTGCATCGGGTGATAAGGGGTCAAATTTTAAAGCAGTTGCACCATTTAAAAAAATCATCACCCACGGATTCACTTTAGACAGTAAAAATGATAAGATGTCCAAATCAAAGGGAAACATTATTTTGCCAACCCACGCTATGGAAGGCGGAGGAAAGCCATTTTTACCTGCTTTAGGCACTGATGGCTTAAGATTGTGGGTTGCATCTTCTAATTACAATTCTGATGTCAATGTAACCAGTGAAGTATTGACTAGAGTGTTTGAAAATTCCAAAAAGATCAGAGTTACTTTCAAATATATGTTGGGTAATTTGAAAGATTTTGAAGCTCCTCTCCCATACAATCAATTAAGTCCATTGGATAAGTATGCCTTGTCCAAGCTTCATAAACTCGAAACCAATTGCATTGGATTTTACAAGGAACACAATTTTTCCCGTGTTGTGTCGGATATTAATTTTCATATGAACAATGATTTGAGTGCTTGGTACTTTGATATTTCGAAAGATTGCTTGTATACTGATGAAGTATCTTCTACAAGAAGAAGAGGAATACAAACTGTTTTGCGTGAAATTTTGCGCACTTACATTGGATTGTTAGCACCTATTCAACCGCTTGTCACCCAGGAAGTTTGGCAAGAATACTCGTCTTTATTTGAGCACGGTGAGGCCTCGCCCTTCCAAATGGGAGGTTGGTCTAACTTCTACAAGTTGCCTGAGGAGTATATGAACCCAGAGGTTGAAAAAGAGTTTGAAACGGTCTGGAAAATTAGAGATCACATTTACAAAGAATTGGAGAGTCTCCGTGAAAGTGGTCAATACAAGAACAAGTTAGAGACTCAGGTAAACATTACCACCGATGGGGACTTGAAAATCCTTCTCGAAGCTCACAAAAGCTACTTGGATGATTACTTTTTGGTATCCAAGGCTAGCCTAAACTCACCACTCTCCAGCACCTCTACCCATCTCTCCGAGTCCAAGCTCCAATTGGACGGGAGTACGGTCGAGATTGAAATAGGTCTTTCCGATGATACTAAATGTCCCAGATGTTGGAAATATACTGCTCCACAAGAAGACGCTCTTTGTAAAAAGTGTGCACATGTTGTGGCATAAGTTGCGAAAGTTTCGCATCGTCTTTGGCAAAGGTTGCGGCCAGGCAAATGAAACCTAAGATAAGGTACTGCATAATGCAATGGTGAGTCAACTCATGTCCTGTAAATAGATGTACATATAGCGCTTATTTTAACGTTAATAGAAGAAATTTGGTATAGTGCAGAAAATTCATTTTTGTTTTTTTTGTTTCAGATTGAATCTCATCAGGAAGCAAAGTGGAATGAAAAGGGCGAATCCTACTTCTGTAAACCACCTCATTCAAATCAGAATCCAGTAGATGACTAATACCCAAATATAGTATCTAAGTCTGAAATACAAAATGAGGTCACTTTGACCAAGTAGAACCTGCTGCGCAAGCGATTTTTTGTCACCTCAAAAATCATTTTCCCACCCAACCCAAAACACCGTCAATGCGCAGAAGTTGAGACTGCACATTTTGTCAATTGATACATTTTTTGAAGTGTACGAGATTAATCTCAATCACCACAACACTCACACATGAGTTTATCTCGCAAAGTGGGCAACTATCAAAATCAAAAATCGGCAATCATTGCCGAATACCTCGATTTACGGAAGGAGGTGGACATTGTGGATGAGCAAGAGTCATTTGAACTACTTCTTTATCTTGATGAAATATTGTACGAGTATCATGTGGTCAAAGGATACATTGAATCCTCCAAGCTACAACTCAATGAGTTTGACTCCATGATCTTTGATCAAATACAATCTCTCGCCAAGAAGTTACTGGATAGTGTGCCCATTCCCGAGCTCTCAGAAAAGATTAAAAGGTTACCAATTGTTAGAAGAGAGCTCCAGGAGAATGCTCGAGAAGCTGGAAAGATTCACACTCTAATGTCAGCTGCAGGTTCTAATCGATTTTTGGAGCCATCCATAATACCAGAAGATTTCGATTTATCTACAAAGAAAACCAAGGGGGCTGGTTCCAAGTCGTCCAAAAACTTGGGAATATTCTTGAACGGACAATGGTCGAAAGAACACGTGCGGTGTGTTGTGGAAGGGGCGTCCGATCCCTCTTTCACAAGGCAGCCTGAAAAAACAAACCACGTCAAGAACTTATTTGAGCAGAGGTTTGGAATTAATGTCAGTCTCAAAGCTGTGAGATATCTCATGTTACACTATGGTTTCCGGAAAACTGGTTATGCTTTGAAAGAGTTTCATTCTGCTTTTGACGAGGCATTTCTAAGATATGAATTTAGCAGTCCTCCAGCTAGTTATCATAAGGTTCAAGCCTACCTATCCAGGAAGATTCCAAACGTTTTGATGAACGATATCGAATATGGCTTTCGGATGAGAAGGTTATTCAGGAAAATCTACGGTAACCATTTTGAGCCAGCAGAAAATTACGAGGAATTCAAGCATATGGTTCCTTATTTAGTACCTGCGAGGGGAAAATACAAGAAAAGCTTGAGACAAGGTCCAAATGCGACTTTCCAAGAAACATCTCCCAAGGATCTGCCCGATGACAGCAGGATGGAGACGACAATATAACAAATAAAATAGCATACTCTAAAATCAGTGGGCTACTACGAAGTAAAATACTAGAAAATTCCAGTTAGCCTACTAATATACATACCGATTAATTAAAACTCATCTCTTGCCGCTCATCAATTGGGTCAACAATTGCGAACTTGAAGACTGGTTAGCCGCAGCACCAAATCCCACTGGAGCTTGCTGAGGATCAGTGTAATTTCCAGGATGTTGTTGGGAGTGAATCTGAGATGGACTGATTTGTGACTTTGGTACACCGCCTGCGGCAAATAAACCTGGTGGTGGTGGAGTGGAAGTATTGGCACGATCATTCATTCTCAAAAGATTGATTTGGGCTTGGTTTGGTTGGCTACCAGATTGAGCTTGTTGTGCTTGCTGCTGTTGAGCTTGCTGCTGTTGTAATTGGAGAAGTAGCAATTGCTGTTGTGCCTGTTGTGCTTGTTGTTGTGCCAACGCACCATCTCCTCTTTGTGCTTGTTGAGCTTCTAATAACTTCTTCTGTTGCTCTAATTGCAACTGTTGAAGCTGAGTAGCCTGGGCGTTAGGGCTGACTTGGGTTTGTTGGCGCTGTTGCTGTTGCTGTTGTAATTGGGCTTGTAATAAGGATTGCTGTTGGCTTATTGGATGATTTTGATATGCTAAGTGGTAATTTTTGATTGGCTTCAAAAGGAATCTTTCAATTACTTGGCGAGCAAGGACAATTTCATCATCAAGCTTTGTATCGTTAACTAAGTTTGAACTAGTGTTAAATGCAAATAATGGAAGCCTGTAGGAATCACTGGACATATTCTTGAAGTGAACACGCAATTTCTCTTTCTTTTCAGTAAGATTTCTCAAATGTTCTGTAGTTTGCTCGATGAAAGTCACTGCAGAATCATCATCGATATCGATGTCATCAGGCAATAACACATTATCCTTAGTGGACTTGACTGTTTTAACCTTTTGCTTGTTGTCTTTCTTTTGCAGCTGCTTTTGGTTGTTAAAAATTTCGCCCAAAGTTGGGAATGCAGCAGAATTAGCCAATGGAGTATTGTTACCAACTTGAGGAGAACTGCCAGCAGATACACTATCACTCTTTGCCCAGTGTGCAGTGGCAGGAAGAACTGGTCCGCCGTTTGGTTGCACAACGGTTTTAGCAACCTTCGGTTCTGGTTCAATTTCAAGTGTATCTTCATCTCCACTATAGTTTGCATTTCCATTTGTAGATGATTGGCCATTGAATGATTGAGAAGAGCCATGGATGTTAGAATTACTGACTACTCTGGAGCCAGACATTCCCATCATGCCCATCTTAATACCCTGTTGAGTAGATAAGTCCTTTCTAGTGTAGGAATCGGCTTCCTCGCCTGGTTCGTGGAGGAACATACAGTTTGGATTAGGACAAGGATGGCCTCTCAAGTATGACGAACAGTACTTGGTAGTACCGTGAGCAGCCCTCAAGATGCGACCATCACAAAGGGTGCCATCCAACTCGTTGATGCACTTCAAGGCATCTTCCTTCTTAGAGAAGGTCACATAGACGACCAAGCCTGGGTTCAGGTGATGATGGGATGATTGACCACTTGGGGTTTTCTTGTTGATGACAATCTTCAGGATCTTGCCATACTGTCCAAAGTACTTATCCGATCTCAACACCGAGTGGAGGTCGTCGGGGTTACATGGAGGATTAAGACCAGTGACGTAGACTAAGTTCTTTTGCACCACTCTCAACCCAGCCAAATGTTTCTTGTTGGCCATTTCGGTCTCCTTCTTCTCCTTCTCTCTTTGTTTCTTCTCCCTCTCTCTCCTATCCCTCTTCAATTGCTGTAATCTGTACTCGTCTGCGCTGATTGTTTTGTATTCGACACTTTCATCGTCGTACAATCTTCTGCAACCAGGACATCTTCCATTAAGCTCAGGGTTCTGGCGGATGTTGTTGTAGCAGAATTGACAGATCTGATACCCACAAGGACAAGGTTTGAAATTCTTATCGGATATGTCCATTTCTTCCACACATAATGGGCTATATGTTAGTATCAAGGTCATTGATTTCTACCATTCGGGACTATTGTACATACCAGTATTCTTCTTCATCGTCGCTGATGAAAGAATCGTCAGTAGTAACCATTTTCGAGTTTTCTTGGAGTGTATATGTTCTAAAGCAATTGGAATGTGTGTTTTATTGCAACACTTGAGCAGGTATTGGTAGTGGTGAACCAAAATCTGACTGTCATCCAACACATAGTTGATGGAAAAAACCGGGGCGTGCGCCACCCATTGCTGGCGTTACGTAAGTGCTTACTAGCTCGACCATCAACCACTGATTCCGTACAGGATCAAACAATTCCAATCCAGGAGATCAGATCAGCATCACAATGGCCTTTATTGTTGAATTGTGGGAATCTGTGTTCACGCCAGGAACCACTCCTGCGTTGATAACCGCTACACATGCCTCCTTCATATTGTTGATCATATCGTTGATCGTCTTGATTTTCCTTAGTAAATCGATCCACTTTGTCAATTTATTGGTGATTGCCATTTTATTGTATGGATCGGTCATCTGGTTCATCAATGAATTGAAGAACACCCAGTTGAAGAGCAATGAGGAGTTGGAGAAGGACTCGAAAGAAGAAGAAAAAGGAGCGAAAACCGAGTCCCAAGACGAACCAAAGGTTGAGAAGAACGTCGAGAAGAAGCCCGAGTCTTTGGCTACTGGAGTGAAGGTTGCCAGCCCAGTCAAGAAGAGAAAGGTCTAATTAGTTTACATGTGTTTTATCAGCTACTTCTATTGGTGACTAGCTGAACTTAGAAAGATGGAGCCGATGAAGTAGAGAGCGCCACGGCTGATATCCCGCAGCGCTTATCAGAACCACTGTTCAGTAGCATCCGAGACTACGTTGTACTGATGCTCATTATTAATCATTAGTCCAGCCAACACTTATATAAAGAACATAATCAATCGCACATACTTAAATGCACACCATCATGAGTTTTCGAGATGCCTTAAACCAATACATCGAGCATCCTACCAAGTACGACGATGTTATCTTTCATGACGATAATGTGGTGATCATCAGAGATAAGTTTCCCAAGTCAATTAGGCATTTCTTGATCATCCCGAAGTCCAAGCTGATAACTCATATCCACCCATTGGATGTGTTCAACCGGAACTACATCGACCAGAAGGGAGACGAGCTATATGAGCTCATGCTGGAATATGTGGAGAAGGCCAAGGACTTAATAGTTCAGGACTTGAGTACTACTTTAAATCATTTGGACAATATCAAGGCAAGTGAGTTCAAGAACTCATTCATTCGAGCTGGTATACACTCTGTACCATCGTTACGTAACTTGCATATTCATGTGATAACCCAGGACTTTCATTCAGACCGTATGAAGAACAAAAAGCATTACAACTCTTTCACCACCAAGTTTTTTGTTGATTTTGAACAGTTGGACCCCATGCTTAATGAAAAGTTCAACAAGTTGGTCAATCGAAATGAGAATTATGATTCGAGCTCAGCACACGAGAGCGAATCTGACGATGGGATAGAATACGTTAGGCATGTGCGCAATGGAGCAACCTTGAATGAATTTCTAAAGTCTGATTTGAAATGTGTGTATTGTGGAGTGAATTTTGAGAAGAGCATGGTCAAGTTAAAAGAACATTTGAAAATTCACTTCAAAGAGAAGTACCAAGCGTTAGGAGACTATCAAAACTTGTTACCTAATGCAAGTAGATAAGGAACAGCATGTCAGGTTCTGAGAGAGGAAGAGATAGTCTGTTGATCTTTTGACTTCAGCTCTTTTAGCCCTGCTTCTTGCAATCTCAGCTACTATCATCGTGAATTTAGTACACTTCAAATCAAAAATAAGCTTGAGTAACTATAATACTACTTGCTTCGAAAAGTACACCATGAACTCAACGGCAAGATTTTCATTGGCATTTATTGTTCTTATATGTATCTGCTATGATGTTTCAGATTGTTCTATCCTATTCCTGTCTTCAAGAAACCGACTGATTTCTTGTCCTATGATTTTCCTATGATCAGAGTCGTCAGTCTTACCATTTGGAACTGCGCACCTGCTGTTGAACTCACAATATTTACATTTGTCAAGATCGTTGGTAAAAATAGGGGCCCGTTCTCCATTCCAGAACGAAGTTCCAGATTGGAGTTGGCTCTCAAGTTCTGATGAATTATAGGCATACTCGCTGGTATGAAAGCATCTTTGCGTTTTGACGTTGTGATATTCCACACTAGTAACATCGCCCATCAAATCTTGAAAAAGGGAGTAAAACTGGGCTGAACGAGCCGCAAAATACCTCAAGGTAGGGGGGTATTTCCATGCTGTGATTAAGTCACTAGTTAAAAGTTCACAATAATCAAAATTCTCTGCCAAACTGAGATTCTCAAAAGGTCTGTAAGTTGCCAGACCTTCTTGCATTACGTGATTTTCCAGGGTGATCTGCTTCTCAATTTCAAGCTCAAGTTGCACTAGTTGAGATAAGTCGTAGGAATCAAATGAGTTTTCCCTCATAAAAGTATCGTATGCCTCGTGACCAATGGGCTCCCCTTTGGCTAACTTAACGAAGTCTTTGTAGAGTATCTTGAAATTTTGGCGTAATAGCACGAGAATGGTAAGCATATTTATTGGTTCATCGACGTTGAGACCTCTTTGTCTGGCGTTTTCCAACAAACTGTTGTAACCAAAATGCTCATCCACGCGGTTCTCTGTGGCCAATAATCCAAACATCTTTCGATAGTAAATGGTTTGAAACTTTGCAGATTCTAGAACTGACTTTTGAGGAGGAATTTTGTTGTAGGACCTGGTTTTAACATCTGTTGTTCTGACTTTAAATGAATCCTTATGGTCGCCAAGTAATTTCTCTGTCCTTTTCAAGAACGAGGTGATGTCCACTAGTAAGGTATGATTGATAACATGATCACAATTATATTCTTCATTCCATTTTATTTCTTCGAATAAAGATAGATCGCTGGGGTCATGTTGGTTCGTTAAACTGAGGTGGTCTATAATTCCGCTCACAAGCACCTTCCTAGGATTGGCAACACCAGGATCTGTTTGGCCAGCCAAGAGGCTCCTGGTATTATCAATAAATTTTCCCTTTGTAAGGTCAACATAGCAGTGCACCAACACCTCCCTCGCCTCGGACGTGGTTATTAATGCATAGAGACGATTTATGATTTGATTCGACCATTGGCTTGCCATATCACTGACACCCACACTTCCAAACACAGCGTCCTCAAACTCCTCGACCGATACGGAGAGTCGCTCCAGACACGGGGGATCGGGAAACACCAGGTCGCCCTGTTCTTCTGTGCATATCAACTCTTCTCTTCGTACCACTTCTGTGTAGATCTCTTCAACGGTTTGTTCCAATGAAGAAACGTCCACCTTTGTGTGCATCATCTCTTCCAACTCCAGATGTCTTTCTACACCCAATTCGATGGCCTTGGATGGCTTGACACTCAAGGACCCCGAGTAGATTCCGTAATACTCTCGCAACTCACACCATCGGTCCACGAGCATTTTGGTAACTGCAAGCCTGGGTGTCTGGATGTAGGATGGGTCAGAATTGGTCTTTGAGTGGAACTGATACGGAGAATCCCTGAGGGGACTCTGTAGGGGGAGCGTTTGGGTCGGTGGGAGGGACCAGTTGTGGTAGAGGGCAGTCAACGTCTTGTTGGGAGGCTCGGTATAGGCTTCGGTAGAGGGCGTTGTAATAATAAATTTCTTGATAAGCAGCTGGACATCATTATGAGCGACACTACTGCCGTTGGAACCAGCTTTGGATGTTAGCCTCCTCTGGAGAAACACCGTTGACATCGATCTGTGGAGATCTAACAAGAATGGCGATGAGAAAGACATGTCGCGAGCGCTACCAGATATGAGATGGTGGAAATTCTAGAGTAAGAAATACACACGGAGCTAGTCGGCTAGCGATGGTGTGTTGGGTCAGATGGGGAATGGCGCCAATTGTCAGTGGCTGTAAGTTTTGGCGGTTTTGAGAGCATGCTACTTGGTTCGAGGTGGCACCATTATTGTAGTTTTCCAAGCCAGAGATAATACGACGGAATTATACGTCTGTTCATCTTGTTAAATCTGAGGCTAGCACACGCCATTCGAACATATACCATCTTTTATCCTTCATAACAAAACAGTCTGGATTTTACAGATAGCTACAAGGGACCATTTCAAACTATTCCGCACGAGAAATAACTAGCTACGTACATACAAAGAGTGCTTTAGCCGACGATGCTTGTATATTACAAGAAGTTGTACCAGTACAAATACAGAATAGAATACAATTAGATATTTCTATCACCACCAGTGGTTTCAAGCCATTTCAGAATTAATGGATTCCTCTCTTCATCTTCAAAGAATCTCTCTTCTTTTCACTCAAGCTGAACTGAGTAGGCAAGTTGATCTTAGAGGAGTCGACCAACATGGCATCATTGTTCCCGGATGCCTGGTTGACAGGACTCTCGGAAATAGAGCTATTGCTACTGCTGGCACCACTTCCTGGGTTCGGTATTGGTCCAAAGCCATTACTGAAATACCCATAGTCTTCGGAAGGTGTGGTGGCTGACATAAACGGAGAGTCCAATGCCAAGCCAGTGCCACTCCTGCCGTTCATGGAATTTGGCGTGGTCACTCCGTTCAAAGCATTGAGCGCCTGGATATTGGCACATTCGGTATTAATAGTCAAGGGACGGGGCAACGAATTGTTGCTTCTTGATGACGATCTTGATCTAGCGGCTTGGTGTTGGAGCAAAAACTCTTCGTAGTCTGAAGACGCAGTGTGTCCGCTATTTATGGTATTTTGAATGACACTGGCACTCGTGCCATTGGGAGGGGTCCATGACGAACCGCTCGATATAGATCCTTTGTTGGAACTTGGAGGTGTCTGGTAGTCCATCATCATGGTATTGAACCCATTCTGAGAGGTAGAAGCACCCGCAGACCTATTTATGAACGACTGAGGAACATAATCCTGGATCGACTGCAATGAGTCGGTACTGGCGTTGAACTGTTCATGGTGGATACCGGCAGGATGGGGTCTGATGCTGTTGATGTTCCCGACATGTAACCAGTTGTTGTTGCTGTAGGAATTGTTTCTGGTTAATGATTGTTTTCTCAAGCTCATGGACGAGGAGCGAGATCTGTTGTTGGAGTTGTTGGCGTTGTAGTTGGATATGTTCAACTCTGTCAACGACAAGTTGGAGATGGACGACTGCTTCAACCCAGCACCCACGCCGTTCATCACCACGCCGTTGTTGGAGGACGTCACCGACACCGTGGTGGACTCCGGCAACTTCTGGGGGTTCTGGCTGTGGGCAGCAGCCAGAGAGTTGGCCAGGTTGTGGAACGTGCACAAGTCGATGAGTCTCTTTCTGATCAACTGCAAGAATATTGGCTGGTACAAGTGGTTTCTGAGGTACTCTGAGTTAATGATGCTTTGGTGGTCGTAGGTGGGAGGATTGGAGTTGGTGGTGGACGACAACAAGCTCGCCATGGTCTCGTTGGCCACCTTGCTGACGAGGCCACTGGGAGGCACGATGCCCAGGAATGGCGTGGTTGTGGGGAGCGAAAGGATCTTGTTGTAGATGGACATCACCAACTGGTCGAAGGTGGGGTTGAATGCAAGCGTATAGTTCCGGGTGGTCTTGAACCCCAGGCCCATGGGTTCGTCTATGTCTGTGAGGATGTCGTCACTTTCGTTGTAGGTGGGGTTGGAGTATAACGAGTCTTGCTTGTTGGCGGGAGGAGCAGCGAAGTAGAACGCCTGCTGGTTCTGGGAGTGGTGGTGGGCCGGGTGGTCCACTGGGGTTCGCATGGTCTGGTCCAACGGGGTGTAGGGACCGTCGCAGGCCAAGTTCTGGAGCGACTTGTTGAACTTGAGCGACAAGTTCGGTCTGGGATTGTTCATGGTGGACTGGGAGAGTGGCAGCAGAAGCAGGGTAGAGACTAGCAGTGGTTGGAGCAGAAGGAAGAAGCAAAGGATGAGTAGCAAAGGATGGCTCGGCTGGAACGTTTGACGTAGAAGTGGTTAGCTAGCAAAGGAACACTTAACTGAAGGCTGACTGAGGGCGTATGAGCAGCTGGCGTTGAATTAACAAAGAATCACTAATGGAAGGGTTGGAGGTGCGACACTTTTATGAGACGTGACAGCAGACCGCGTCGCAAATAAGGGGGGTGGGCGCGACAATCGCGTAAGGTGCAGGGCCGGAAGTATCGGTGGGCGAAGCGACGTCCAGGGGTGGGGCAGGGACGCGAGAGAAAGGCTTTCAGAGAGGCCAGGCCGAGGCGATGTTGGAGGGGGTAAGAGACTGGCGGATGGTGGCGGCTTCAGCGGGCACGATTGGCTGGAACGATGGTGGAAATGTCCATCCACTGGCTGGCATCTGCCCCACTATATATGAGTCCTGAAATAAGGTTGCTACATCGCGCCAGGGCTCCTGGCCCTGCGCGGTGGGGCATGTCTTGGAATGCGAGTGGCTGTTTTGGGTGCGATGCGACGGATATTGGCTGGGGGATACTACGACTGGAGCGGGTGGTAGGCATGCTATTTCGATGGCTAGAACTATTGGCGGGCGCAGGGGCCCTCTGGGACCGTCTGGGACCTTGATACGGGACGCGAGGCGTGGAGCACTCCCGTGGGCGGCCCGGCATTGGGAGCCTTGCCAATCGCTGCCCTGCGGGTACCTGCACGGAAACGCGTGTAATATACCCAATAGGGACATTTGCAGGGAATTTGTACGTTTTGGGAGCGGTTGGGGCTGGTCTGGGACAGACCCAGATGGAGGGTGGTGTTGGGTTTAGGTTTCCCAACGAATGGTCAGCCGATGGTCCCTGGCCAGGTGCGCTGCGTTTGCAGGACGCACTGTCTCGTAACACTGCGGGTGCACGTCGGGCCTCGCATGCTGGCATTGTTCGTGCGCCCACGCAGCCTGGTCTGACTATCGTATAGGCGGACGAAGATCGATGCCACTGGTGCAGCCGCTGCGAACATGACTGTGAGATGCTATCCAGGTCGACCCAGCCTCGGCCCACAGTTCTGTGGCTGCCATCGCGAGACTGCACTTTTTGGCATCAAGCACCGAGGGGAAGCTTGCAAAAGGCTCGTATTTCTGGCCAATTTTATTTTACATGAACATTAATGTGTTATCCCCTCCTATGCCGTCGTCGTTGACGCTAAAACTATCGTCGCGTGGCTCCAGCCCGGGCTTGTCGTCGGAGTCTGTGTCTTTGTGCTCGTTCCCCACAAACTGTTCTAGATCGTCTTCTAGTAGGTATTTTTCGTATTTGAGATTGTAGGGTAGTATTTTTTCCAATTCGGCCGACGGCCTGACGGTGGTGGCAGGGTCCACGTCCTCGCCGTTGGCTCCTGCATCGCCGTTGGTGTCGTCTTCAATGCTGATCACCAAGTAGTCGTACTTGTTCACGTTGTTCACCTGCTGCTTCAACTGCTGGTACTTGTCGGCCACCTCGTTGGGGTTGCTGGTGGAGTTTTTCATCACCGGGTGGAACTTGGGGTTGGTCTGAAACTTCAAAAACTCGTCATACAACGTGGTGTTGATGAACTTGAGGTCGTGCCCCAACTTGAGGTCCTTTTCGATCAAGTAGTTCAACCAGAAGAGCTTATCCTTCTCGGAAATGGCGTCGTTTTCGTCGTCATCCATGTCCTCGCCATTGATCATATTATTGCTGGTGGAATGTCCTAGCACGTCGTTGAGCTTCAACTGGTTGTAGTAGTCTTGCCTTTCCTTATACTTTTTCTTTTTCTTTTCTTGGTCGGTTTCCCCGTCATCGAGCACAAGCTTTCTCTTTTCCATCAAATTCTTGATCAAATTGCTGGGAAGCTCGTTCAACTTTCTTGATACCCTGAAGGAATCGCTATACTTGACCCAGTCTCTAAACGAGTCGAGCGACTTGGTGTTGTAGGCCGCCTTGCTCTTCTTGGTCAAGGAGGATGCATTTTGCCTTTCACTATCTTTGGTGTCATCGAGCTGCAAGTAGTTTTCTGGTTTTATGACTCCCGTAAGCTTCATGGCTTCTGTGATATCTTGGATTTCGACATCGTTGGATCGTTTTCTCAACTGAGACAATCGTGTTGATTGCTTCACGAGTCTGTCAAGGTAATGAATATAGATGTCTGTGAGGGCATTGAGGGTGGAAGGCTTGCACTTTTCAAAGCCGTTGGCCTTTAGGATCTGGGCTATCGATATCCTTAGCAATGCAAAATGGAAGGAGTCGTCCATATTGGATCAGGAGGGGATGAGGCGATGGAGGTATGGTTTCAATGGCCTAATGTAGTGTTGATTTTCCTCTGTAGGTTTGGTCGTGCGCGCCGCATATTGGTGATGTAGATAATTGAACCAGACCTCAAGAAGTATTAGGAGAAACATGCGAATAGAGCGATAGAACTGGCTATTTATCGTGTTCTGGGCCGAGTTCGAATGGGATTCTAGGCGTATGGAGTTTTTGGCTCCTATACGCCGACTTTCAGCTACGTATTCTCAATTGATACTTTTATTATTCATGATGGATCTACACCACAGCTATGGAATTTACGATTGTAGGGCACGCGAGCGTGACAACACTGGGCCAGAAGAATTGACTGGCAGTGGCAAACCCGCTGGCACGTGAAGCAGGGCCGAAGGAAAGGGATGGTCCTCACAACCCTTGTTGTAACTTGTCACCGATTCTCTGGGCAATCTTGAATGCATTGAAGAGGGTGTTGCTGTTGACCTCGATCTTAACGTTGGCTTCGGGGGCCTTGGTGACTCTGCTGACAATGATGGCAGGATCGATTTCGATCAACACACCGTCGTCCACGGTCTCGTCCACAGCCAAGGTGACCAAGTCATACTTGCTCAAAATGGTGCTCTTGTCCACGGTGTTGGACAACAAGATGTTCAAGCTTTCAAACAAGTTGGCCACCACCGAGTATATCAATGATTCGTTTTCGTTGATCTTGGACACCACGATCAAAATCACGTCGTTGGTCTGCTTGTAGGTGATCAAGTGGTTGTCGTACAACACGATGTCCTGGTGGACCTTATTTATCTTTGGGAAGACCGACTTTTCAAACTTCAATTGTTGTGCCGTGGTCTGGAACTCGCTGTTTATGACATGGGTGGTGTCCTTTTGATGTGCTTGGGGTTTGTTCTGGTAGTAGTTGGCGTACAATCTGCTACCCTCGTTATCTAGTATCAATACCGCCGAGATGGTGTATAAGGAGGTGTTAAGAGACATTGTGATGGGTGGTGAAAGGTAGACCAGACGTTGATTACACGGTGGAGATTGTTGATTTTTTCGGATCACGTGGCCTCCAGACCAGGGAGGCCAGGGACCACTGCTAGCCTGCCATGGGGAATGGAAGACTGAACAGGCTCGGTTTGGGGGAAGAGAGGAGAAGTTGATATATAGCGGGTGGTTATTCTACTGAATGAGGTACTAGAAGTGCTAGTGGAAATTCGGGGCATAGAGAGCCAACGACTGGTGCATGGCCCGAGTGAAAATGGCTGGTGCGGACTGGTGCAATTTTGGATTTATTCGCAGAAGTAGCGGCCATAGACTGGTATTAAATGGGTGTCGAATTCATGTCGCTACCGTAGCCTTCATCTCACAACGTCAATGGGTAGTTATTGCTTTGCAGTCCTATTCAATGCATTGAATTAAGGCTCGGGGTAGTATTACTTAAAAAAGAAAAATATTATCAATTAATGTTTGCTCAGACCTTTAAGGTTTGGTGGCTTTGAGTGGCTACAAATTGTTTATTATGTAAATATGATGTTCATTTCCTAAGTATTAGCCATTGCTTGCTCAGAGGAGGGTTATAATTTTGCAGACTCAATTGTGCACAGTGACACTTCTGGATTATCTTATCTGTAGAGAGTTCCAGATACACTGTAAATACTTTATCATACCTGTAAAAGATTTTTAGAAGAAATCGTGAAGAGTTCCAGAAGTCCCAAACTCAAGTTTTGAGGGCCAAATGGGCATAAAGTACGTCTTTCTGGACCAACCCCATCGATCAATCTCCAAGCTTGCGGTACTGGCAAGTGTCACATAGCTACGCCTTGGTCCTAGCCTAGTCAATATAGTTCCAATCCTTGACCTACTAATATCTACACAGTAGCAAAAATGATGCATCTAATTAAACAGACTGGAGAACAAACTCATGCACATACTTGTGGAAGGAGTTGGTTTCGTAGAAAGGATCGTTGAGATCAACGTTCAAGTTTCTCCAGCCAAAAATGAAGTTGAAGATCAAAGCGAAGACTAATCCCAAGGCAATGATCAATGGTCCAATAATGTTGTCCAAATGCTTACCGGATCTTTCCATGATGATACTTCTTCTTCTCAAGAAAATGTAGTATCCCCAGACACCAGAAAACAAGGTCAAGGCGAAGTAAAAGTACGCCAAGTAGTCAGAAATGCCACTAAAGTTGGACTTTTGGGAACTGGAGTAGAGAACAAACGTAAGTGATGACAACAAGGTGGTGACATGTAACCAACGGTTGAAGGTTCTTTCGTTGGCTAACCAGACCTTTGGCTCGATCTTAAGAGGACCGGCATTCTTGATCCAGCTATCTGGCTTGGTCACGCCCATTGGCAATTCGATTTCCTCGTCTTCGGAGTCGGCATCGATTAACTTGGAGAACTGGTTTGGAATGTTCCAGATCTTGGCCAATGGCCCACGCTTAGACTTGGAAAGAAACTCGTCCTCGTCATCCTCATCGTCGAAATCGGACGATTGGGTGGTAGCATTAGTTTCCTCCACAATCTCAGTAAGAGCGCTGGAAATTGGCTTAGAACCATCCAAGTTTTCATCCTTAGAGTTCAAGTTGAGCAAAAGTGATCCCGAAAATGAAGCAGATCTTGGTTGGAAGGTGCTGCTGTTGTTTTTGGAGATCATATCCTTGAACTTGGACAAGTTGTCTTCGTTTGTAAGACTGTCCCTCGACTCTTCCTCGCTTGCAATTCTTGCCTTCTTCAAGTATAATTCAGGATTAAATGAAAGGTCATTCTCCAATTCGTTATACCATAATGGAACATTTTCCAACTTTTCATCTTCAATGAACAATGCGGCAATACCGTGAATGAATTTGGAAAAATTTGGAATCTCCTTGATCAAATGAGAAGAGCTGATCAATTCGTTGATCCAGTTCAATTTTTTGGAAGTCTTCAAAGCGGACTTCTTAATCTTGATTTCCATGACAGAGTATGGGAACTTGGAGAATTCACCCTTTCTCAAATATTGAAGAGGGTTCGATGCCTTGGAATCGATATCAGTTCTGTGCCAGCTAGAAGGATCTCTAATTGGCAATTGCTGATCAAATGAATCTTCTCTGATGAAGGTAAGATTGGAATCAATGATAACTCTAACCTTATCATCTCCAGGGATTTGGAAAGCAGTTCTCTTGTAAACAGTTCTCAAGACTGGTTGCAAGTTGTTTTCCTTGATGTAAGCAAGGACATTGTTTAATGACTCTGGGTCGTTAATTTTTTTCAATTTGGTTGGAATTTCCTTTTTAATAATGTAGTCACCAATGTATTTTTGCTTCAAAGAGATTTTGTCATCCAAATGGAAGTTGGAGTTGGAGTCAAATTGCTTCTTCTCCAAGGTGATGTTTGGCTTGTCTTGCAACTTACCAATCCACTTCAATCTTAAAGTAGATGAGTTGCTAATTTTGGTCAATTTACTGTTGTACACTTCGAAGTGGTCGTTATCGAAGTAAAGACAGTTGACATTTTGCTCAGATTGAGTGTTTTTGCTTTCACCATCCTCTTCATCCTCGTCGTCATCGTCCACATCGTCACCATCCATGCGCTTGTTGTTGTAAACAAGTACTGGCAAGTGTCTCAAGAGGGTGGTCTTGACTTCCATCAAGTTTTCAGGATGAATCCAAAACTTGAAAGATTGGTACTCGGTGTTAGCCGAAGACTCGGTGAAGGAAGAGAGCTTTGAGATGGATTGGTCCACGTTGTAGTTGTCTCTCAAGAATTGGAAAAGGGCACCAATCTTGTACAACAAAGGCGAGTAATCCTCGGAGTGGAAGGGCAATGACTTCAATCTGACGTTCAAAAGAGGCTTGACGGAGTACGATGGATGGAGTCTGTCGTGCTTCTTGACAATCTTGATGAAACCGGTGTAGTTGAGTCTCTGGAAGTGCTCCAAGTCCTGGGCGGCGTTGAGGAGCTCATCCAACTCGGTGGTGAACTTGTCGACTTCGAACTTGCGCTCGGCGTTTTCGGTCTTGCTCTGCAACTCGTTCAACTTGTCGTTCAACTCCTCGTACTTGTTGTGTTGGAAGGTGTAGACCTTTTCCAAGTCCGAGTCCAAGGCGCTGACGAAATTCTGCTCGTCCTTGTCCGACCAGTTGTTTTGGAGAATCACGCCCTCTTTCAAGAGCTTCTTCAACCCATTGTAGTTGAGGTAGTACTCTTTCCAAGGCTTGTAAATCTCGTGCTCTAGCTTGTTTGCGAACAACATTGGCTGGGAGTCGGAGGTGGAAGGCGCTGACATAATGACTGGACCCAGGAGAGAACTTATAGCAGATGGAAACCGAGATATTTATTCAGTAAACCCGAAGCACTAATTAGGACTACCATCTAGATATTCCCTACACGTGGGGTGGCGTCGTGTACGCACCAATAGCACACGGCTGGCGATAAGAGCCAAGACTGGCACTGGGCGCCCAGTTGACAGCCTGGCGATAGCAGAGCGCTTGTGCATGAGGAGGTATCCAGTCCTATCAGAGTGGGTGTTTTTGGCAGCCACCGTTGTAGGGCACTGGCAGGCCTCCATGGTGGATGTATTAATTAGACAATTAATTATCAGTTTACGAGATTGGAATGCGACTTTGTGTCCTGAGAAACCCAAAAGAAACATGGCTGTGAAAGACGGGGTGGCAGTAAATGGGGCTTATGGGGAGTAGGGAGGTGGGTACATTGTATGGACTAAGGGAGACAAGACCAGTTGTTGGAACTGGGCTATAGTTGTCTGTTCCAATAATAATATTTCTCTTTTGGCCCCGAAACTAGCGCAATAGAGATTGTGAGAAACGAAGTATTTTTGGTTTTGGAACCGTTACTATAGTGAGGATCGGCTACTGTGGAACGTTGACAATTTGGGCTCATCGGGTTAGTTGGTGAATATGTGGATGGAAACTAGTGACGTCTAAGGAGAAAGTGGTCTTCATGTAGAATACTTCATAAATTGCTTTAAGCTGCTACTGTACCCTTCGGTCAAATTTAAATTTTGAAGTAATTTGCATTAAGTTGGTAAAAATGCTTCCCTGTTTAGTAGCAGTAATCCGTTGTTCAATCACACTAGTATTTCTCCAACCTACTATGCTGCTTGAAATTATGCCTACTACAGCAGGGAATTCTTTATTTGTCTTCTTTTTCTCAGAGTCGTTCAGCAGAGTATGCAAGCGAAATGACTTTATTGCCAGGGATCTGAAGAGTTGAACAATTAGGTACTTGTTAACTCATAATGGACTGATCCAGTAATCCCTGTAACTGCACCCTTCAACTGGGCAGTGAGACCACTAAATTTCGCATAGTTAGCCTATCCCTGTGATGTGGCAAACGAAAACGTAGCGACAGAACCACAACACTTCATGGTGTTAATGGAGTAGTCCTAGAAGCACTTGGAGACTGGAAGGAAAGGAACGAATGAAGCACAGATCTTGACCAAAATACAGAATAGGCAATTATGCCCTAGAGTAGAGGCATATTCTTAAAGAAGGTACTATAGTACTCTTTCCCGGCCTTGATACACTACTTCGGTTGATGAATACAACCAAGCAGAAGTAAAACACTAGGAATCAAACATGAACTGGCCCCTAGGTTAGATTCGCAGCCAGTGCAGAACTGGTGGTGCGCCCACAACTGAGTCCCGCGAGACTGTAGCGAGAGTCGTCTCCCTACTGCGTCGCTACTCGCTTGCCGCGGGGAGAGCTGGTGAGAGTGCCTGGAGCCAGGAACCACGGATACTAAGCACTACTTGGGGTCTCATGCCTCCTGCAACCATGTAGAACGCATTAAGGTCTTCTATAGCTCCAGAAGCTATCCATAAACTGCCAGAACCTCGAGTAACGTGTTCAGGTTCTCTCTAGTCCACCGACTTGCTCATCGGTACAGCAGTACCTTCGCTCGCTAGCTCGCACCAGCATAACAAAGTCCGTTCTTCCGCTATCAACACCCATCAACATGGCGGACCATGACCATAGCCCAGTAAGCGGGGTCAGTTCCCTGGGCAGTGCCTCGCTGATCATCGTATACATCCTCAGCTGGCTCAACATCCCATTGCATCGTGTGTACCTCTTATTGTCAGGACTTCTACACACAGACCAAGCACCCCAAGAGGAGTACCATTCATTCATTGAAGCCAAAGAACCCACCCAATTGGAAAACGAGTCCGACTCCGATTTAGAAATCATCGCAGTCAACCAGTTGGGTAAGGTCACGAACGATTACCACATTCTCCACCATCACTATGCAACACCCAACCCCATTAATAATAGTATCCTCGTCGACGACGTGTCAGACCTTCCCGACATCTCGACTTCTACTGGGGTAGACCAGCCCTCCAACAGGAACACATTACGGTCGTTGGTGACGAAACGCATCCAGGAATATTCCCACAATTCCACCCCCTCCAACTACCAGTACGGAACCGATTTCCTGATCTCTAAAACCTTCCTTCAAAAGTCAAACTACCAGGATCACTACCGGCCGGTACGACCCCAGCATGATGAGGATGCGGAAGAGGAGGCCGAAGACTACGACGATCTCTTGAATCTAACCATACACGAAACACCCACAAAAAAGTACCACCAGTCCATCCTCAATTACTATGTGCCTTCCAAACCTATATCGTCTACCAACTACTCAATTTTGGACTCGTTAATATCCAACTTCTTCATCGATAAGCAGGCCTCTTCTCAGTATGAAAAGTCCCATCTTAAGACGCAAGATGCAGTAACGAAGAACAGAATCCAATCGTTATCCAAAATAACTCCCTTGGATAACAGCCAACTATCCCAAGTTATGAACATCTGGAACTCTCGTATTAATAAGCAATTGTTCAGTATTTTCCAGATCGATGTGTTTGTGGACGATTTAAAGACCTTGCGTGATGGAAAATGGCTCAATGATAATATCATAGATCTCTACCTCAACCTCATAACAGATTCGACTCCAAAAACCTATGCATGGACTACCCACTTCTTCACCACTTTGCAAGATAAAGGATACCAAGGTGTTGCTAGATGGGCAAAACGTCGTAAATTAAACGTTTACGAAAAGGATATCATTTTGGTGCCCATCAATATCATGAATACCCACTGGGCGTTGGCGGTTATCAACAATGTCGAACAAAAAATCGAGTACTTGGACTCTCTTTCGAGCAATGGTAACATTAATGCAATCAAATTGTTATCGAACTATATGTCACTGGAGGCCGATCGTTTGGGAAAGCCAAAAATTCAGTATCAATTATTTCCTAGCGTTAAAACTCCTCAACAGGCTAATGGCTACGACTGTGGGGTATTTACATGTACCGCCGCAAGATATGTGGCCGAAAAGTCCGCATTGACGTATTCTCAGAGTGACATGAAAGTAATCAGAAGAATCATGGCATACGAGATACTAACCAAAAAGTTGATAGAGAACAAGTAGTATTTGTATAAATATTTGCATGAGACGATGTTATTTATGTTGAGTTCGGATAGCACATTTTACTCACAATATACTGAGGTGTCTAAGTAAGTAGGGGCCCTATTCAACGTGAACAACTCGAAGACCATCAACGACAGAAATATCGCAGAAATTGTGTTAGAACTCGTAGCTAATACTTCATGCTTGTATTTTGACTAAATACTAATCGCAAACGACAGACTAGCTGCGTTTACATTGTAATTAAAATAATTTAAAGAACCCTCTTCCTTCAGTCTTTTCTTTCATCTTCTTGATTTCAGCAATCTTGGATTCATATTCAACAACGGTGGAATTACTACTTTCTATCTTCTTGGTCAAATAGCTGAGTCTGTTTTCCACGCCTCCAACAGTACTAATAGCAATCAATTCTTCTTCGTGTTTCTTGATTTTAGCGTTTTCCACTTTGATCAAACTTTGAAGTAAATCTATCTCATACATCTTATAAATTCTGAGATCTTCAATCAAGTTCTTGAAAGCAGCGTTAAACAATGGCCTACCCATTTGAATCTTGTCGAGCATTCCCTTATCTCTAGTCAAACTGATCAAATCAAACTTTTCCAAGGTACTCAAGGTCGACAAAGTGTCATCGGAATTGTTAAACAATGGAAAGTTCACGAGTTTCTCGTAGTTAATTTCACCACACTCCGTTAAGAGCTTCATAATTGTCCAAATCTGGGCAGGGGTCCAGTTGTTATCCACATCTTTATCCAATCTATGATTGTTCAAGAAGAAAGTTGTAATCTGTTCGGCAGCTTGACTAACCATTTCCTCGATGGCATCTTGTGGAGCTTCGCCTGACTTAATACGTCTCACAAACGATTGTAAATCCAACATTCTACCACCCAATGGCTCCAAACAACCCTCGATAGACCTAGAGTCTTGCAATTTCAATTGGTTGAGCAAGTATTGTTTAGCATTTTGCCTGGAGGCATCAGATAATGAGATTGTCTTGAAAACCTGGTTTGGTAAAGAGTCGTTCAAATGTTGGATACTACCAACGTCCGAAGTGATGTAAATGACATGGGCAAGGTTATTTTGAATTAAGTTAGAAGTCCACTCCGCAACCATGGGATAAATGAAATCATTTGCTGTGGACTCCGACTTTCTTGCAAAGTGATTGACGACGATAATAGGTTTTACTTCAGGGAAGTGTTGCAAGTATTCGTCTTCTTTGAGTACTTGGATCATTTCTTGTCCCTCAGGAATTTTACTATTCTTCTTCACTACCGACTTTTTGTACTTTTCATAGTCGGCCAATGCAACCTTTCTTATAGCTTGGCTTGTTAATGAGAACATGTTCTTGATTTGACTCTCTTTACTTTCACTCAAGCCAGACTTCTGCCCGGTTAAACCTTGCACACCTAAGTCAATGAATTGAGAGATAGAGTTCGCCCAGGTGAAAACTGGAAAATAACCTAACTCATTAGAAGCATTTCTAATCAATGAGGAATCTGACCTTGACTTGCTCAAGGCATCACAATTGACAACAAGGTAATGACGGTTCAAGTTCTGATCATCAGTCAATGCATGTTCGAGCACAAACTCTTCCTTTCCTGAGCCCTTTGGTCCTTTAATGACGATATAAGTGTTGATATTCTCATAGATCCACAACTTTAGTTGCTTTGCCTTCTCAAACCGCTCGCTCCATAAGGTGCCCATTTTCAGCTCTACGGCAGGGTCTGAATCTTCCTCGTGTTTATCCCCTTCCAAAGCGTGGATTTGCTGATCAATATAGTCGTAACTGTTGTTCAACCATGATTTGATAGTTTTAAAAGGACTGGACATACACTTGACAAACTTGTTGTCTTTGTAAGAGCTAAGGTAAAATTTCTTGGTGATTTTTTGTTCAATACACCATTCTCTGATCGGGTCAAAAATCAAGACGGCAATTGTAGCTAACAAGGCAATGATAACTGGAATAGCGATTCTTTGATGGTTGATAACGAAGTCTGCGATATAGTTAACTCTCTTGATTGGAATGTACTGCAAGTGCAATGTGGTTTCCGCCTTGTTAAGAGTGATGCCTGTGACACAATTCTTAGCACAGATGGCAGATCTTATCAGCCGGAAAATGAGAGTTGCCGATTCGGATCCGGGAATGATATCGACGATAAGCCCGTATCTTCTGAACAATACGTATAATTCTTCCTCGGTCAAGGAAGGGCCTTCGAAAATGACCTTCAATTTCAGACTGGGAAACCTCCTCAAGTCCTCGATCCACGGAGTACCTTTGACCGCGTAGACAGAAGGAAAATGGTGGTACATCTTGTTGAAGACCTTCCTGAAAATGTTCTGGTTGTACTGGTCACGATGCTTTTGCAAGTTGCTCTTGATCTGAACAATAAAGTCCTTGGTGGTCACGTCCTTGGGGACCTGGAACTTGACAAAAGCCCCACAGTCCCTTTGGAGAGGAACCAAGTCGGTAATCTTGGCACCCAGGGGCAAGGGCGACGAGAGTTTTGTGATCTTGTTATGAACATCTTCCTTGCTGAACCCATTTTGTATTGGCGAAAGAACGAACCTCAAGTATTGCTTGATGTTGCTGTTGGAGGTGCTCCATGGATAGACATGGTCAAAGTACAACACAGTCTCGCTCAGCTCCTGGTCAATCACTCCTGTGGTGGATGCAGAGTCGTCAGACTCGTTGGTGTCGGCTTCTTGCTTGAATTCCTTGACGTCGGACGAGTAGTTACGGGTCAGCAGCGGGCCTGCCTGTGACAGGGCAAATCTCCAGCCATTGGTGCGGAAGACAGCTTGGGCCACCGGGGCCCTGAAAAGGAGCATCCGTGCTGGCGTCCTTGCACGAGCCACGGGAACTAGTCTGTTCATTGATGTGTTGTGTGGAACGGTGTGGTGGTGGGAGTTGTGCGGAATTGGCGATGGGATGTAGCCAATGGCCAGGATAAATCAGGGCAGTACTGCGATAGAACGCCTGAGGCTAAAGTAAAATTATTCCTGGAAGCGACAGTGGCAGTAGCCGACGGCAAGCAGGATGTTTGGATGCTTGTGGATGTGCTCGGGAAGTGGCAGCTTTCTGGGTTTTATGTGCTTGCTATTGCTACATTTGCCGTCATGGGTGCAACGCGGCAGTAGCGCCACTGGGTGGGGCAAATGGAGCTAATAGTTAGGAACCCTTCGGCTGCGGCTGGCCTGGAAAACTACCTGGCGCGAGATGACTATAAGGTAATATGTTCAGCTTACGGTTGAAGGGGTTCCTGGGGAAAATGTGCTCTTCAACTGTCAGTGAAGGGATGAATGAATATTACTAGAAGTGGTCTCGTATTGTGAAAGGCATAGAATGAGCCTTGATTGCTGGAAAAATGATTCTAGGTTACTGTAGAGATGGACTCTTGGTCACTCTAGAAATGGACTCTTGATCACTGTTCAGATCATAAAAATGAACACTGTGAAGGTAGTGGACTCATGATACTGTAGAAATGGACTTGCCAATACTACCAGGGCATAGAATCGTGCTTCGAAATGGACATTTTAAGTGTTCAGGCATAATGGACCATCGAATGTATAAAAAATGACCCATCATTACTGTTCAGACACAACTCGCTCTGTTCAGGCGTAGACTCGACATTACTGGTCATCGATTCTCCATGGCGAGGCATAGACCAGTCTTTACTCCTAAGGTGACCACTGTGGTGGGCATAGAAATAGACTAAGAACTGTACTAGTATTCAGTCTTCAGGACTCACCCTCTTCAGGCATACGCAGATGATACTTACGACTGTCAGGATCCCCCGACGCTCATTGTGGCTACATTGTCTCAACCTAGTCAACTAATAATACCATATTAGCTTTACTCCCCTATTGATGTTTTCTTGGGAGTAAACAGATCTAGTGCTGAATTTGTTCTAGGCTTCGCTTTGAATCATTATACTACCAAGTAAGTATAAGGATCTTCGAAGAGGCCAGCATACATTGGCTAATGCCGTTTCCAGAGTACGTGTATTATGTCCTATGTGGTTGGCGCCTAAAACTTGCGACCGGCGCTGCCTTTATACGGGTCCCAAGTCCGGGTAACGCTGGCGCTCCCGGCCCTAATTCCGGTTAGGGTTCGCTCACGTGACCCATATCAGTCGATATGGGATGCTGGTGGCACAGCGTCCTTGATGAAGTCCGAGGTTCTCAACGCCCGTACTGGCATCTTCTCGCCGCTCTCAAGCTTCCCGCTGGAGTAGTTGTAGTTCTCGCGAATATACTCCCTCACTGGAAGGATGGCGGCCTCCCGACACATTTCTCTGAGATCGGATCCACTGAACCCCAGGGTATGGGCCACGATGTAGTCCATGTCGAAGTCGTAGTCATCCACCTTGGTCTCCTTTAAAATCTTGGAGAGAATGGATGCTCTTTGTCTTGCATCTGGCTTGCGCACAGCAATAGACTTAGGCAAACGACGGAGGAACGCCTCGTCGATGTCGTTCTTTCTGTTAGTAGCTCCCATGACCACAATACGTCCATTGGCCTTGAGACCATCCCAGAGAGTCATGAATTCGGCCTTCAACATGGCACTGACTTCGTGGTCATTGGACGATCTGTCCCTCAAAAACGAGTCAATCTCGTCAATAAATATAATGCATGGCTGCAACTTGTTGGCCAACGAAAAGATAGCATCTGTAATCTTGTTGGACTCGCCGTACCACTTGTCCATGATGGTGGACATTCGGATCAGCAAAAAGAACGCTCCACTCTCCTTTGCGATTGCCTTGGCCAACATGGTCTTACCACACCCTGGAGGGCCGTGGAACAAAACTCCCTTGGGCGACTGTATCAAGCTCAGATGTGCCGCAAAGAGCTCCGGTTCCGTCAACGGAAGAATCACCGTTTCGCGCAACTCGTCGATGATGTCTTGGAGCCCACCCACGTCCTCAAACAGAACCGAGATTTCTTCGGGTGTCACCAACGAGTTCAAGAGCAGCCTTTCATACTGGTTCAAGGAGAGGTCCTTGAGGTGTGGGTTGCTAGCTTGGAGCTTTTTCAAGATGGTTTTGCCCTTTTTGTCCGAGTCTTTGTTCTTGACTCCCAGATCAACGTAGTCGTTGAGAATGCTGTTTAGCAAGTAGTACACGGAAAGTCCAGCCCCTGCAAGCACAACAATATCCCCAAGGAGCTTGAGGTCAATCTTGAACTTGCCCAAGTCCAATTTGAAGCGGTTCATGGTGTAAGGATAGGTTGATAGATTGCCTCTGATTTTGGTTCAGGTGCTCTTTTCGGACGGGTCGTGCGGATCTCCGAGGTATAAGATGCGATGGTCTTCTCAAGTGCAATCCACCACCACCAAGCCGATGCCTAGAGACAAGACCAGAAACGCCGAGGAAGAACGAGAAATCAGGTTGCCTGGCCTGCTTTTGGACAAAATTAAGCAGAAGGAGGACAGCGGAGAGTACGACGAGGACTCCTCCAGATTCACCCAGTTCGAGAACAAGAAGAGAAAGGGCCAGCCAGTCTCGAGAAAGGAGAAGAGACAGCAGGAGAGACAGCTCAAAAAGCAAAAGAGAATATCCAGCAAGACTTCGAGGAAACACGATGAGACTGCCAGCAACAAGACCCACAAGCAAACACCAGCCAAGAAAGAGGTCAAGAGTATCTTGAAGAAACCCACCCAGCCTGAAGAAGACCCCATGGCTGCGTTGGCGGCGTTGAAGGCCAAAAAAGCCAAAAAGTCCCAAGATGAAGATCCAATGGCCGCATTAGCAGCCTTAAAGGCCAAGAAGGCATCCAAATCAAACGAAGATGACCCCATGGCTGCATTGGCAGCCTTGAAGGCTAAGAAATTGGCTAAGGATGATCCTTTGGCTGCTTTGGCCGCCTTGAAAGCTAATAAGAAAAAGAATAAAGTCGAGGAATTCAGAGTGGTCAAAGAAGATGACTTGGATGATGAAGATTTCGACGAAGAGGATTTTGGAGAGGAAGATGATGATCTTGACGAAGACCTTGAAGGTTTTGAAGATCTTGATGAAGAGGGCGATGAAGATGAAGAAAATGAGGACCAAGACGGCTCTGATTTTGACGGGTTTGAGCTGGAAGAAGACATCTCTGAACTCGAAGTCGAGGAGGATCCGTTAGCAAAATTGAAAGCAATAAAGGAGGCCAAAAAAGCCGGCGAAGCCAAGAAGGAAAAGGAATCCAAAAAATCCAAAAAAGATACTAACGCATCAGAAGCCACTGTCTTGACATCCCAAGACCGTGCTCTTTTCGAAAAAGATGATGAAGATATCGAATATTATGCCAAAAAGTTGGGTATTAAAAACGGTAAAAAGGGAAAGCTTTCTAAGCAAGACGATGATGATGATATTGGAGGATTGCTCGATGGGCTTGACTTGGACTTTGGTGATGGCTTTGAAGAAGGTGATGAAGATGAAGACGAAAGCGAGGAGTACAGTGACGTCAGTGGAGAAGACTCTGACTCCGAAGAGAGTAAACCCAAGAAAGAAAATCCATTCGTTGCACCCACCCAATCTGATGATTCCGAAGGCTCAGAGGATGAAGATTCTCAAAAAGAATCAAAATACATCCCTCCAGCATTACGTCGTAAAATGGCATTGGAGAATGATACCTCCGAGGAAATACTCAACTTACGGAAGGCAATCAAGGGTCCATTGAATAGATTGTCAGAGGCCAACATCAACACCATTACCAATGAAATTAATGGTTTGTACTTGACTTACGCGAGACACTCAGTGAACGAGCAATTGACTAATTTGATATTGGACAGCATTATCCAACAAGGGAGATTATTGGACACTTTTGTCTACTTGCATGCAACCTTGGTGGCAGCCATTTATAGATTACAAGGAGTTGAATTTGGTGCTTATTTTATACAGACTTTACTTGAGAAATTTGAGAGCTGGTACAAGGACTCTACTAAAACCAAAGAAGCATCTAATTTGATTTCGTTGTTATCTTCTGTCTATTTATTCTCGATAGTTGGCTCGAAGTTGTTGTATGATATCATCAAGTTGCTCATTTCCGACTTGAATGAAATTAACGCAGAACTTTTGTTGAGATTAATCAGAAGTGCTGGTAATCAAATGAGATCTGACGACCCAAGCTCCCTTAAGGAGATCGTGCTATTGACCAACCAAGTCGCCACCACCTTGACAAAAGACAAATTGAATCCAAGAACCCAATATTTGATTGAAACCATCACTTCCTTGAAAAACAACAAGCTCAAGGTTAATAACGAAGCCAACCACCAATTATCAATTCGTCTTAAAAAGTTCTTGGGGTCTATCAACAACAACAAGTTCAATGATCCCATTCAAGTGAGTCTTGATGATATTCACAATATAGAAACTAGAGGTAAGTGGTGGTTAGTCGGTTCTGCCTGGAAAGGAGTCGAAAAAGAAGAACCTACGGTAAATGTTGAAGCTGTCAATGACATCTTGGACAATGCTGAGCCTAACTGGATGGAGTTGGCTAGATCTCAAAGAATGAACACTAATATCAGAAGAGCTATCTTCATCTCCATCATGTCCGCGAACGATTATATTGATGCTGTGACCAAACTTGACAAGCTCAACTTGAAAAGATCACAAGAAAGAGAAATTCCAAGAGTTTTAATCCATTGCACTGGCGTGGAACCAGCTTGGAACCCATACTATGGTATTTTGGCAAACAAATTATGTGAAAACCATTCTAATAGGAAGACTTTCCAGTTCATGATGTGGGATATCATCAAGGAGTTTGAAGGTTCTACTGGGGATGATTCTGAAGGGGAAGAGGATGACTTCTTGGGTTTTGATAATGAAGATGATGAGACTAAACTTAAAAGAATCCTTAACTTAGGAAGATTTTTTGGCTTCTTATTGTCCGAGGGTGCTTTGCCATTGCACATTTTGCGAACTGTGAATTTTGTCACTGCAAGCAGTAACACTGTCTTGTTCTTGGAAGTTTTATTCTTCTCATTCTTGGATCAAATTGGTAAAAAATCTCAACTCAATTCTGTTGGTGCTGGGTTGGGTAAGAAACTGATGAAGATGTCTGAACTAAGATTCGACGACAAGTTACTTATTGAAAGGACCTTAAAAGCTCAAGAACAACCCACGTTATTGAGAGGTATTGAATTCTTTTTGACAGACAAGGTAGCAAAGAGTGACTTGATTACTGGGAGAAAACAGAGGAAGAGAATTGAATGGGGTGTCGAAGCATGGAGCGTGATCATTGAGGAGTTCCTCAGAGGAAAAGAAGATTATGATTAATTAAATTGTGGTCTTATTGGACATGACTAACGAAATTATGGTCTATTAGCTTTGCTATTCAAGGATATGAATACGGTTCTATTTATAGTTATATACAAGATTAAGTTATAGAAATAGACACATATAATAATTTCTAATGCAGATGATATAATGATGTATGATTTCCTCTAGAATTGATCAAGAATAATGCATAATGGAATCATATTTGAGGCAACAATGGACTGGTACGGTGTAATATTTTCTTGGTTCATTCTTCATCAAGTGCTCGACCAAATTAGCCAATTCTCTCGATTACTGCAACGGTCTCGACATGTTTTGTTTGTGGAAAGAAATCAAACCCAACCAAATCTCTTACTTTGTATTCGTTATTAGTACCCTGTAACTCAAAAAAGTCACCCAAGTCTCTTGCCTGGGTGAAAGCATTGCAACTGACGTAAATGATCAATTTTGGTTTAAATTCCAATAATTGTTTCATGAATGAAATATTCGATCCTTTCCGAGATGGATCCATGATCACAATACTTTCATCACCCGTAATTCCTGATCTCAAGAATTCATCGTTTTTGAAGAGAGACTCTGAGTTGCCCTCAATAAATTGAATTTGCTCTGGTACTTTCAAGCCATTCAATTTTGCGTTATGGGTAGCATACTTGATAGAAAGTTCTGCCAATTCTATGCCGAATATTTTGCCCTCCTTGGCTATATCTTTGGACAATGAAATTCCAAAAAAACCAGATCCACAGTAGGTATCGATTAGATACTTGTAACTGTAGTCTCCAATATGGTACCTCATGTAGTCTAGCACGAGTGGGAGAATATGATTATTGTTCTGAAAGAATCCAGATGGCTCGAATTGGAAAACAAAATCCTCAACCTTCTCTGTGATGACCTTGTTCTTCGACTCAGAGATACACGTCCTAGAGTGGTTGCCAGTATTATTGTCAATTACGAGACTCTCCCTCAAGAAGAGTGTTTGCTGTCTGCCCTGTTTATGAGCTGGGATATTTTCAAGGCTGTTTTGGATTTCCAGTCTCTTCTTCAGCAACTGTTCATTGATAATTGGAGTTGCAATTTCGCAATGGTCGATATCCACCATGCCTTTAGTGGGGTTGATGTGTTGCATTCCAATCTTGATGTCTGTGATAGTGGGTTCATCCAAGTCAATGACATCGTCGTGGTTTCTTCTGACTCTTGGATACTTGAAATGAGGGGTGATCTTGTTTCTGTACGAGTATTCCATGGGAGAACCGTAGACAGAACCAATACTCTGATTCAACAATTCTGGATAGAAGAACTTGTAGGCCTTCTTGATTACCGACTCCTTGAATTTCAACTGGTCATCGTAGGTCATCATTTGGAGCTGGCACCCATTGCATTCGTCAAACTTGTTGCAAACAATTAAGTCGTTGTTCCGTACGCTTTTCTTGGAGAAAATCACCTCTTGAAGGACCCCTTCGGCATAGTATCTTGTGTGTAATGCAAGCTTGACATTCACTTTGTCTCCAACCACGGTCTTGGGGACCTGGACCACTGTGAATTTGTTGAATATATGCTCTTCTGATTCGGTGAATGGGGTAATGTACATAGATTTGGGGATGATACCTATTCCATTTCCTTCAAAGGTTTGATACACGATTTCCAAGTTTGGGATGATGATTTCTGGCCTTTTCTTGGAGAACAAGAATGTGTCTATGATTTCCGATGGATTTGAAACTTGGTTGATGTCAATATTGAGGGAATTTTTGGCGTTGAACACCTCTATGGCTTCCTGAACTTCGAGGAAATTCAAGTTTTCTTTGCTGGTATTGTCGCTAGTGTCTCGTTTTGTCTTCTTCTTCACTTTTTTTAAGTCTCTTAGCACTTTCTGGTTGGATCTGGCCCTTGGCTGTTCCTGCGATGAGATCACTGACAAGTTATCGGTAAGCGATTTTCTTCTAGTCACATAGATGAGATTTGACAGACTGGACCCAAGCCGCCTCACAGCCGTGCGGACAAGGTTCCTTGTGGCAGCCTTCATGGTCGGAGAGAGCATTAGTCTCGGAGTACTATGATTTGAAAAATTTTGTGCGATGTGAATCATCTGTGGGGAAATACGAGATTGTGGAGCCAGAGTAGACCTTTGGAAGCTCGCCAAGCACCTACACCAGATACTTCAAGTCTGATCAAGATGAATCAAACCATTTGAAATATCTAAGGCCTTCCACTAGTCGATCTGGTACACTGCATTTGGCCCTCTTGAGTAATCTACATACTACGGATCCATTAGTACATCTCTATCCATTCATTAATTTCATATTAAATAGCATTTATAGGCACATCCTCCACTGGATATTCCCTCAAGTCCAAGGTTAAAGTCCTCGAACTGTTTTCCCTTTGCTCCCTATAAATACCGACTAAGGCATCAGACTTTTCAAATAGCGAATTCTTCAAACTGATAACAATAAATTGGAAATCAGGACCTGCGTGCTTCCTGATGTAATTTGCAATCTTGCCAACATTGGAGTTGTCCAATGCAGCATCTACTTCATCCAACACAAAAAAGGGCGATGGTTGGTACGAGTGAATAGCAAATAACAAGGCTAAGGCTGCCATGGTTTTCTCTCCTCCAGATAACAATTCCATATCTCTGAATCTCTTCATTGGAGGCATAGCATGGTATTTAATTCCCGAGTTGTAAGGAGAATCTTCATCTTCAAGAATCAAATAAGCAGAACCACCCAAAGGTGAAGCATTTGATTTGGTAAGCTCCTTGTAAATGGAGTCAATCTTACCAGAAATATGCTCAAAGGCCTCCATGAATAATTCGTGACGTTTGTTCCTAATATCTTGGAATTTAGCACCAACCTTGCGCTCTTGCTGTCTTGCCAAAGTGTGATCTCTATCAAACTCCTTAAGCTTCATTTCAGCTTCTCTTAATCTCTCAATAGCTTTGGAATTGGGTGTAAGTCTTTCCAACTGGTCAATGGTGTTTTGAAGCTTTACATCCAATTCTGCCTCCAATTTACTAGTGAATGATTCCTTATACCTTTCATCCAAGTCACTAGCATAATCAATTTCTATATCATAGATTCCTTTCACAAGATTATCCGAGTTCTCGCCTATAGGTATGGAGTCCAACAATCCATCCTTCAAGGGAATATTCACATTCTGAATTTTACAATTCTTCAAAATATTCACTCTCTCAGTATCAATCTTCAATGTTTGTTCTTCAATCGAAGTCATGGCCTTTCCTAAAGTTGAAATATCATTTTCGGTTTCCAGTACTTCAGACTCGACCAATTTTGATGATTTTAATTTGGACTTCAACAATTTGGCTTGATCCACCTCTTCGAGCTTCAGTACATCTAGTTCGGCTTCTAACTTGTCCAAATTTTCTTCAAGATCTTGTTTCAGAGCTATGAGTGACAGTAATTCTTCCTCAAATGAAGCAACCTGACTCTCCAATTTAATCTTACGATCCTTCGTTTCCTCGGCCCTTTCATTTTCAAAGCTGAGTTTATTAGACAACGTAGAGATTTCCTTGACAAACTGAGCACGCTCTTTTGCTCTAACTCGCAAGGTTGAACCATGAAGATTCTCGTAGTCCTCAATTCCATTGCTAAACCCGTAGCTAGAACAGAAACCTGAATAGACATCATTCTGTAAGCCCCTAATTTGAATATTGATTTTCTCGATTTCTTTATCGAGCTTACTCAATGACTTCTTCTTCTCGTTGATTGATTCTTTGTAGCTCTTGCCAAGGTCCTGTTGGAAGCTAATCTCTCTCAGTCTATCTTCAATAACTCTTTCAACGCTCAGTTTTTGATTTCTGATAATAGGTAACTTATCATCCAATGCACTGATTTCTTCTGCGATGATATTTATTTCTAAATCCTTTGGTCTGCGTTCTTGCAAACTAGCCAATTTTGACACCAATTCTTCTCGTAATTCATTCAAACTATTCCACTCATTCTTATCCCAATTCAAAGAGATAGGTGATCTGTGGGTCTGTTGTCCACCGGTCATCAATCCGGATTTATGAATGACTGATCCTTCTAAAGTGACTAATTTATTGTTAAGTTTATAGTTCAGATCCCACTTTAACTTTCTTGCTAAATCGATGTTATCAACCACCAAGGTGTCCCCAACCACATAGTGTATAGCTTGCTCCAAGGACTTATCGTCATATTCTAGGATATCAATACCTGGTTGAACAGCATCATGGATAGATCTGAGGTAATTCAAGTTGGCTTGATCAGCAACAACTGAATCCAAGGGAATAAATGTCGCAATACCAGATCTTCTCTCTTTTAAAAGCTCGATACACTTATAAGCGACAGAAGTAGTTTCAACTATAATTGCATCGAAGTTTCTTCCCAAAATAGTCAGCAATGCCGTCTCGTACTTTTGCTTGGATGGACGAACAAGGTCATAAACTAAACCCTTGATAGCATCTTTGGGAAAGAATCGCTTCAACATCGAGACATTCTCTCTAAGCTTCTTCTGCTTATTGGACTCTCTCTGTTGGGAAGATAGTTCTTCAAGTCTTAGCAAAATATCACGTAATTGCGAATTAAGCTGAAGCTCCTCGTAATTGAACTGTTCCTTAACCTTAATCAATTCATTCCGAGAGTCAATTTTCTCTTGCTTCAAAGTTAAGATATCATTTATCTCGTTTGTATAGTCTGAAAGCTTTGACTTAAGCTCAGACGAGATAATTCTTTCAAGTTCAGATACTCTACTTAAGGAATTTGTAGCTTGGTTTTCAAGACTGGTAATATTAGCCTTAATTGAGTCCTTATCGTTCTCCAAAAGGGCTAATTCCTCTTCGAGTTGAGACCCTCCGCTTGTTAAAAATTGTGCCCTAAGCTTTTCGTATTCCTTTTGACCTTGACTAGTAACCGATGAGGAAATAGATGAGGCAATCTTATCTTGAAATTCGTCAAACATCTTTTGGGCTTCTCTCAATTGCTTTTCGATAGATGAAATCTGATTTTTCTGTTTCTTGTAATCGGTGATAAGATCATTAATCTTGGTCTTCAAGTTACTTATCTTGGAGGTTAGAGATCTCTTGTTGGCTTCAATTGGAATAAGCTCTCTTTTAGTTGAATCTATTTGGCCGGAAATTTCCACTATCTTAGTTGAATATTGCTTTGATTCTAGCACAAGTTTGGAGTACTCTGCCATCAGTGCCTTGTATGCGGATTCTTGAGTCGATAACTGTCTCTGAAGCAATTTCAATTCCTTTCCCTTGTGCTTCAAGTCTTGTATCAATTGAAAATGTTTCTTTTCGTTATGAAATAGTTTATAAAGGTTTATACTCTTGATTATTTGTGCCTTTTGTGTTAACTTATCCTCGAACTCAATTTGTTCGGCCATTTGTTCCTTATACTGCTTGGATTCCGAGTTCAATGTTCTTCTCCTCGAAAACACAGAGTTGGAAAATTCATGAGCCTTCTCGTGCTCTTCCTTCAAATTCTCGTACTCCTTGGCATACTCGTTGGAGCCACTGATAGTCTCAATCAACTTGGTCAAGTCTTTGGGTGACTGAGACGCTATCTGCTCCACATCACCCTGGAAAACAAGGAAGTTTCTGGCCTTGATCAAAATGTTTTCGGCCTTCAAAACCATCGAATAATTGAGTGAAGTGACTGACAGATCGTTAATACGATATTCACTGTTTCCACTGGCAGTTATCGATCTCTTTAACTTGAGGACATCGCCATTATCCTTCTCATAAATAGCCATCACATGAGCTCTTGTCGGATCCTGATCGATATCCACAGAGGTGTTAGCCTCGCTAGCAGACTTTCTACCTCTGTAGATCAAATCTTTGACGTTGTGTGATCTCAAATGTGTAGACTGGACTCCTAACACGAAGGAAATGGCATCCATCATATTGGACTTTCCGGCACCATTAGGTCCAATTATGGAGGTGAAGAAAGATGAACCAAACCCAATGGTGGTGGTGCCACGGTAGGACTTGAAGTTGTGGAGCTCGAGGCCAATAAGTCTACCCATGATGAGATGGAGTGGTGATGGAGACGCGTTTGTATCTAGCTGAATCGCGTATAGACGTGGGTGATCATGTGATTCGAGGTCACGCTTAAGGGTTTTGCACCCACGGAAGGAACTACTAGCAAACTGTTCCTATATGTAGTATTGATGAGCAGTGGAAGTACTTAACGAATGAGTAATTAGAGGAAGATATTTCATTTAATTGTAAGGATTAAAGTACGGAAGGAGGGAGGGAGGAATCAAGACTTCTCAAAAGCGGAAACCTCACACTGTATACTGATTATTTAGTGGGAGGAATGATCCCTTGTATGAATTTTTGAATTTCAGATTCAGTAGGTATAAGGATATTGGAGATTTTCGCTAAGACAATGGCATTTAGCCTCGCTGCTGTGCTTATTTGGCTGTGCTGTTTGCTCTTTCTACCCTCTAGTATTTGCCGTATGTTGCTCTTTAATCACCCCGCATAGTATTCTTGCCTATACTTGTATAAAACATATCCTAGAGGCGAGCCAAAATTCCTATCATGACTCAAAGTAAATTATTGGAAGGATTTAACATAAAGCTTACTATTAATGTATTTGTATTTGCAATTTTGAATCAAGTTAGTTGGACAAAATTTACTCCACAGTTGATTACTGGGTTTCATGCGAACTGTACTTTTCCTGCAACAAGGTTGGGCTCATCAGCATAGTGATGAAATATTCGACTCATTTCAGGTGCTGTTAAGCGATACAGTCGATCTTGTGGCAAATTTTTGGATTTTAAGAACCACTAATATCTCGGACTTATCCTCAATCAGCTCCTGCAGATAAACTAACCCCCGGGTTACGGAATTGAATCCTCAAAACTACTTCCAGCACTAAATTACCCAATAATGGTGTATTCGGAGAAACAACCCCTCCTCGACAGTCCTATTGCGGACTCCGAGACTTCTACGATCGGATGTCCTAATTTCTCGAGTCTTTTGAGCAAACCATTCCAATTCCTTCCTCTGTTAACTCGAACTCATCTTACTGATAACGAAAGCGACGACGATTACGATGACGACGATATTCCAGAGATGCCTGCTTCCTCCTTACCTCCTGTTCTTCCGCAGTCTGAGCTTTCCCCAGCGGAAAAGCTCCACAGGTTGCGTCAGCACATGAGAGCCCATAAAGTTGGTGTCTACATCATTCCTTCAGAGGACGAACATCAATCTGAATACACAACTGTTGCCGATAGGCGTAGAGAGTACATCTCTGGGTTCACTGGTAGTGCAGGCATTGCAGTGGTCACGTTAGACGATGGCGAGAACTTAACTGGAGAGGCTGCCCTTGCCACAGACGGGAGATACTTTTTGCAAGCAGAGAAAGAACTCGATTCGGACCTCTGGTATTTGATTAAACTGGGACAGCCAGGGTACCCTAACGTGAAAAACTACGCCATTGAGAGAGCAGTTAACAACAAGTTTAGTAATGTTCTTGCGGTGGATCCCAAATTGATTAGTTTGAGTATGGCTGAGTTCTTTGAGAGGGCACAAAGTACCAAATCCAAAGGCAGCTACGAGTTCAAATCCATTTCGGAGGTCAATTTGGTGGATGGGGTCTGGGGGGCTGACAAGCCAAAGAGGTCCTTGGAACCTGTATACCACCTACCATTAAAGTATTCAGGTGTCCATACCAATGACAAATTGGAGCAAATTAGAACTATCTTGAAGAACGACTACAATGGTACCCATTTGGTGGTTACTGCACTAGATGAAATAGCTTGGTTGTTCAACTTGAGATCAGACGCAGATATCCCATTCAACCCGGTCTTTTTCGCATACGCAATCGTCACCTTGGAGCTGGTGACCCTATTCATCAAAAGTTCCAAAATAGACAATGGGTCAGAGGAGCTTCATTCGTACTTGAAGTCGATTCGAGGTCTTCAAATTAGAGAGTATGAGGAATTCTATACTGAGTTAAAACTGTTGAAACTGACCGTCTATGAAAGCAATACTCGGATTGTCTTGCCAAGTAGAGCCTCAACTACTTTTGCAGTCTTCAACAGCATTCCTCAGTCCGCAGCCAAGAGAACACTTGTTTTTGAGTCGATCATAGCAGATCTTAAACTTACAAAGAATCCGACTGAGCTTCTCAACGCAAAAATTGCGCAGTACAAGGACTCTTTGGCTTTTATCCTATTCTTCTCGTGGTTGGAGCATACTTTGATCGTAAAAAAGAGAAAAATCACTGAATACGAAGCTGCTTGCAAGATTTACTCAATCCGAGAAAAGCTCCCTAATTTCAAAGGGCTTTCCTACGAGACCATTTCCTCCACAGGTGCAAATGCCTCGGTGATCCACTATGCTCCTCAGAAAGACTCTAGTTCAATTATTGACCCTTCAAAGCTCTTCTTGATTGACTCAGGGTCTCACTACTTAGAAGGTACAACGGATATTACCAGAACTTGCTTGTTTGACACCAGAAAAGTCACTCCTAGAATTAAGAAGTTGTTCACTTTGGTGTTGAAGGGCCATTTGGCTGTTTCTCTGGCCAAATTCAGCCCAGGTTTTGGCGACGCGGGGGCTATACTTGACTCGTTTGCTAGACAGCCATTGTGGAATCAAGGGCTTGATTTCAACCACGGTACTGGGCATGGTGTTGGTAGTTTTGGGTTGGTTCATGAGGCACCGTTATACATCAACAGCGGGGATGGGAAACATGACTACTTCCATAAAGGAGCAATTCTTACTATCGAACCAGGGTATTATGAGGATGGCTCTTTTGGAATCAGGATCGAAAGTGAGCTTGAAATCATTGAGCATGACGACCGATTTGGGAAAGCCAGAAACGGGTCTAACTATTATGGATTTAATTACTTAACCAAGGTTCCATTTTCTAGAAGTTTGATTGACACTAAGTACTTATCAGCAGTTGAAGTGAACTGGATCAATGAGTATCACAAGAGCATCAGAGAAGAATTTGGGGAGAAAATCTTGGAGTTAGGTGATAAGCGGGCCTATAAGTGGTTATTGAAAGAGACCACCCGTTTGTAGGTTTCGATGTTACAGTACTAGATAGTTTTTATAGATGGATTTGATCACTTACTGTTTGTCGTTTTTTGTTTGAAGTCTTGGCTGGGCCTTGCATACATAACCTCTTTTAATCCACTTGAATACACAAATAAATTAGCACAATTTTGATCGAAATCATCTACAGTTTACAAGATAATATTAAAATCTGAATGTTGATATAATTGTCTATTAGTAACCAAATCCATATAATACAAGAATTAAAGTGTAGAATGTACGGGAGGGGCTCCGAAACCTTTTCTCTCGGGTTTCGATATTGGTCTTTGAAAGCTACCAGGCTTTCTTAAACCAGTACTAATTGGCTTGGAAGCTCCTTTATCCATACCAAAGTTTGCTTTGTTTGATATGAATGGTGAGGGGGCCGACGAAGTGCTGGCAAATCTTTTTGGCCCATAAGAGAACCCTTCTGGGTTTTTATAGTGTGGCATCTTCAATACTGGAGTACTCCAAGGCGATGGAGCCGTAATCGAAGTATCGGGAATTCTTGTCCTATCTCCAGTATCTAGTTTGGATTTTTTCAACTCGTTATTCAAAGTATCCTCCGGCTTCCTTTTCTCATAAGAATTGGGCTCGCTAGTTGGTCTTTTCATGGCTGGCTTTCTTGCGGGTGTTCCCATAAGAGGTTTGTCCAGTTTTGTTCTGTAAATGTTGGGATCATAATTTGATGATATACCCTTTGTAAGACTTGCCATCCTTTGGTGTTGGCCTACTGTATCAATCTTCCTCATTATATTTGCCAATATTGTGGACACAGCAGAGTCGACCTTTTCAAAATCGGTAAACTTGTTGCCCGTGGCATATACCGCAGCCATAGTTGCTGTTGCAGCAGATGTTGCTGCCAAGGCTGCTTGTGGGTCTTCGTGATTAGTGAAACTCGACACGATATTGAATATATCCGTTACAGGTTTGATGAACTTAGGATCATTAACCAAGTCTTCTTCCTTCTCATTAGAGACAGGTTCTTCAGGTTCACTTTTTACTGTTTGCTTCTCCCTTCTTGCGATCCTTTTGTCTCTGCGCTTCTCGAATTCTTTATCCGCCCATTCTTTCTTTTCTGGAGTATCCTTCTCACCGAATAAAATTGCGGCTCTTCTCCAAACACGAGATCTTAAATCATTATCTTTATTTCTTTCAGAATTCTCTTCTCTCCATCTCTTTTTACGAGCTCTATTTTCAAGACGTATTTTTTCTCTCATATCTTCCTCTTCCTTTACTTGATCATTAGTAGAAATCGTAGTTCTGTTGAGTTTATGGGATGATGAGTAGTTCGAGATTGCAGATACCACAGATCGACTGATGTTCGAAATGACTTCAGATTTTATGTTAGGTAAGTGCGACAAGGATGTTCTACCAATAATGGCATCCGTAGATTGATTGAATTCTTGAATCACTTTATCAATTAAGGAGATGGCCCTGATGTTATCTGAAGATGAGGAAGAATGTTTGCTGAGATAACTCTTGGTTAAGAATAAGGAGTTCACCATATTTTCCTTGTCCTCAATTTCTTTATAAGTAGAAATGATTTCAGTTACGCTAGGAGTTTCTCGCAAAATGGACAATAATGCAGAATTATTAATACTGGAGTCAGATGTTAACATATTTGTCATTTGCTGGATGGCCCCAAGAAAATCAGAATCATTTGAGGATCTTACTCTATTGTTGTTCATACGTGAGTTGATTGAATGGATCACACTTGAGATCTGAGAACGAATAGGTTCATTACTTGATCTGCTTGACTTCAATGCCTCTTCTAAAGATTCGATAGTCGAATAGTCCCTTCTAGGGCCGATATTCATGGAAGACCGATGCAAGGCAAGAGTTTCTGCGATCGATAATGACTTCCCTGTGCCTAAGTCTCTATTAGAGTTCGTAATCTCACCACTTTTTCCATACGTTGCTGAAATGTTATTTGAACCAGGTACTCTGTTCCGGCTTGCATTATAAAGCTCGGAGGATTGGCCTTGCCTAGGCTGTATCGTCGAAGATTCGGGAGGCCTGGTTCTGGAAAAAGTAGACGTATTCAAAGGTAACGCACTTCTGCCTGAAAGTGGAACTTCTTCATCTATTTCCAAATCGGAAAGTAGTTCATGTGGGTTTTCCATTGCCATGTTGAACGCATTTTGAATAATATCATTCATCAGCAACTTATCTAATTCGGCATCTGTGGGTTCATGTGATACAGAACCATGTCTATCAGCTTGTGAGTCGGTAGTCCTAATGGCGTTTCTGACAACTTGAGCAAGAGCAGTAGGATTTATCTTGCTTTTGGTAGCTTCTTTTTTACTCCATCTTTCATCTTTATGGGCTTCGTTTTGAAAGTGGGCGAGCACGTTATCTTCGATTTGAGGTAAGTCTGTCATAGTGTTCTGTTTTTTGACAACATCATCTTCTGTCAAGTGGTCCTGCACTTGACTTGTGATTTCCAAAGCAAGCTCTTTCAACACATCCTGCGAGATGGGTAGCTTTTCAGAAACCAGTGTCTCTTCTTGAGTGGCCATTTGGGTAACCAAATTCTGCACTAGTCTTGAAAGATCCACCGTACCCTCTGACATTCTTCTTTCTGACTGAAGCTCTGATGTTGGAATTTTGATAGCACTATCCGAGTTTTGCATAGCAGACATGAATGCTTCGGTGATGGCACTCTCCATGAATTTATCGTCACTGATGCTAGTATTGGAATTTTCAGTAACCTCTGAGTTACCTTCAGCAGGCTGGGAGTTCTCTGGTTTGTCCATTACCTTTTTAAATGAAGCAGAAATCATTGCACTTAATTCATCATCGTCTAACTCATTTTCAGTGGTCACAGGTGGTGCCGGTTCTGCTGGAGCTTGTGGAGCATCACTCTGGGCAGTAAGAGATTTGAAGGCCTCGCCTATTGCATTTTCAAGGTCAAGATCTTCTTCTTGGCCCTTATCTTCCTCGTTGGTTGCTTTAGGCTGTTCGACAGCTTCAGTATGCGTGTTAGATTCACTATGCTGTGTATTCTCCTTTTGAGCTTCGCCGGAGGGGAGAATACTTTTAAATGCGTCACCGATGGCTGCGTCTAGATCTAAATCATTATCCATTGAGTAGTCCTCTTCGGCTTTATTCTGCGACGTAGGGGAACTCAGTTGACTTATTAGGTTTTCTAACACTGAATCTATTGCCTCAGCCAGTTGTTGCTTTTGTTCATTCTGTTCGGGAGGTTTGGACTGGTTTTCTTGAAATATGTCATTAAATGCATTTCCTATAGCATCCTGCAACGAGTTGTCCTCGTCTTGAGTCTCTGTTGGAAGTTGGCTTTCGTGGTTGTTGTCTTGAGAATTCGTGTCTTGGGCCAGTCTAACTTCATAATGGTGTGCCTGCTCCGGATTCGGATTTGAGACATCTGTTTGTGGTTGTTCGGACTTGGACACTGTATTATCGGGTTGGTCAGGGCCATTGTCGTGTACAGGGCGGGGGCTCTCCTGAGGCTGGTGGTTCTCAGCGTAGGAATCGCCAGCTTCGTGTCCACCCAAGAGGTTCTTGAAGGCATCGCCAATTGCCTCGTCGAGATTGGCGTCGTCGTCCTGGGTGTTGGTGTCGTGGGCACCCTCAGGCTCATTTGTGTCGTTGATGGCACTTTGGAAAGCGTTGCCAATGGCTTCATCCAATGCTTCCTCGGACAATTCCTTAGTGAATGCATGTGGTTGGTCGCCCAGTGGTTCGAGGTATTGGTGGGTATCTTCCTGGTACTGGTGGGTATCCTCCTGTGACTTAGCATCCTGTGACTGGTACTGATTGGTATCTTCCTGTGACTTGGCATCCTGTAACTGCTCATTTTCGGGCTTGTGCTCCTTCAACTCTTCCGATTGCAACGGATGTTCTGCACTGGAGCTGGCCACTTCCGACTCCTGTTTGGCGAAATCAAACTGGCTGAAAACATCGCCTATGGCACTTTCCAAGTCTAGGTCTTGGTGCTGGTCCTCGAAGTGATTTTGCGGCAAATCAGACTGCAAATCGGCGTGCTTTTGCAGCACGTCATCATGGTGGGGGTGGTCTTGGTGGGCAAGAGTGGAGATGGACTCTGCTATGACCGTACTGAGATCTATGTCCAGGTCCGAATGGGGATGCTCGTCTGTGCCTGGCATGATTCACCTGGTGGGGTAGACGTGACCTGTGTGACTGCTTTTTGGGGATGTTGTTGTGACTGCTTTTTGTTGTTGGTGGAAGTGTTGATGATGAGGCGGTGCGCGCACGACCTGGAAGTGGTGTCATATCAACGAGCCAAGAGGGGCTACAGAGTATGGTTGGAGCCCTTCTTTGGGACCAGTGGCCTCCCTGTGGCTGTTGGGGTTCCACCCGCTACGGCCAGCGCCACTTTATTCGAATGTCTCGTCTTCCTGTCAAAGTCATGCGACACGTTACCCCGGATCTCTACGTCATAATGCGGTGATAATGTGCCAATATTTCTAAAAAGGTATCTAACGTGTCATAAGCGGGGTCCTGGGCTGGCCAGGATCCTTGTATAAAAAGAACGCACGGATTGCGGTTCGTATGAGGTGGTTTAGCAAGGTGGGTTGATCATAAGAATTTCCATCATAAGCCTTGATTTCAGGTGGCTTGCAACAACGGCAGTACTCTGGAATTAGCCGTGCTGCCATACTGCTGACCCACGATCATCGTCAAGATGCCGTTTGAGTTCAGCCTGACTCGGGCTGTTGGCTCGCCTACCCACTGCCAGTCTTGGCCTCCTCGTCGAGCAATGAAAAGTTCACCACCAACGCCAATACGCCGTGGCCAACACCCTCGTAGCCTCCACGCTTGAGGGTCCAGTTGAAGTTGTTCAAGTGGTCGTTGGCGTAGCTGGAAACGTCAAAGTCAAACGTCTTGCTGCCGTAGGTGGGAATGGTGACGGCGTACTTGGAGTCAGCCATCTTGACGGAGGTGGTGTCGAACTGGAGCAAGTACGAGTGGTTGTGGTTGTAGGTGAACTTGTCGCAGTTCTTGATGTCGCCAAAGAACTTCTTGCGAGCAAACGAGTCTTCTGGTACATCCAAACCGTCACCATTGTCCTTGAGGTTCTCCTTAAAGTTGACCAAATCGGTGGGAGCCTTCTTGGGAGGGTCCACCACCTTCAACGCGTCGTTGGGGTTCTTGTCGACCGCAATCGACGTGATGCTGGACAACGCTGCTCCGTAGAGGAACGGCTTGTCGCCATAGATGTCGCCTTTGACAGTCTTGTTGATGAACCAGGTGAAAAATTTCAACCCAGTGGACAACAACGTGGTGGGGACGTACTCCTTGATGGGCACGAGGAAGTCGTTGCCAAACAACAACTCCGAGCCCTTGATAGGCACTTTGGGCAGGAACTTGATTTCCAAACGGAGGTTGGGAAGCACCGATTTGACGAGCTCATCCGAGTCCTCGACGCTGGAGTCGATGGCCTCGCCATCGAGGAACACCTTATCGCCCACATTGTACAAACTGTTGGACAAGTGTGGGGTGGAGCCGTCAAAGTTCTTGATGTTGATGCAAAGACTGATGGTGCCGAGGTCAGACTCGATCACCACTGGACGGTTGGTGTTGACGGGGACGATTTTGAAGCCCGACTCGTAGTTGTTGGACGCTTTGATGTGGAGTCTCTTGACAATAGGCATGGTTGGGGTCGACGAAGATGGTTGCGGTGGCTGTATGTACGGTAGTTGTCGCGTGATGAAAGTCACGTGCGCGAGCACGTGACAGATGTCATGGCCAGTCTGTCAGTAATGTGTCACCCGCCATCCGATCCGGTCCGCGCTTACATATTCCCCCGGTCAGCAGGGACCTTCAGGCACCACGATTAGTAATGTTTGCACCAGTAGCGGCGTCTTATTGGCCCATTTGCACGTCTAGTATGCAATTTTCGGGATGAGTGACCAAATATTTCTTGAAGATCCTCTAGATCGCCGGAGTACCCACCAGAGAAGTGCACATTGGAGCCACTACAATATCCAAGCTGCAATTGGTCGGTGTTTGATCCGGTGGTATTCTTGACTGGACTTGCTCCCAGTAGCCCACATCTTTACTGCAATACTGTAGAAATCTCTGGACCCACCATGCCTCCACCAAAAGTAGCACACCACGTCCTGATCTTGGCAAACGAAGAAAGTGTCAATAACGGCTATCTTTATCCTGTCTGGCACGCTCTGAAACTTAACAGTTTAAGCGATTACAAATCGTATTTTTCGTTCTCACATTGCGTTGGGTTACCTTGGTAGTCCAATTGACCAATCTGGCTGATTAACAGCCAGACCAGACATCTCACTACACCTCTGAAACACCTGTAAATACCACGGTTGGAACACTGCCCGTCATTGTAGACGAATATTCGTACTACACTCGCACCATAAATCCGGTCTGTCCCAATATTGTACCACCCATAATGCTACTCAACCTATAAACATTCACTCCAGCCTGCCCTCTATTGTAGACGCAAGAAAAGTACTCCACTCTGGACTTCACCAATCTGTTCTTCCAGAGTGAATTCTCTACACATTCTGTCATTCACTCCGGCCGGCTCACTATTGTAGTACGGGTGCGCCTCCACCTTCCAGCCTTTTCGCAAATAGCCCGTGGCTAGACCAATCTCACTAATAGAATGCCATGGAACCACCACCACACCCATAACGACAGGCCCAGCTGGCGCTGGCAGGCCGTACTGGCCCATGGTGGCAGTACGGATGTTTCCACCTCGGTAGCAGCCCCGTCGTCGCCTCTACAGCAACCTATCCAGCCAAAAGAAACCCCCAGTGGTCACTAACGTGGGGGCCTGGCCGAATCCAGTCCGGCCCGCACAAAAACAAAAAAACTATATAAACCAGTCAGGGCCCACAAAGCAACCCGCATCCACACCCACCAATTCCAATGTCGTCAAACTCCTTAGAACAATTGAAGGCCACCGGCACCGTCATCGTCACCGACACCGGTGAATTCGAATCCATCGCCAAGTACACCCCCCAAGACGCCACCACCAACCCCTCTTTGATCTTGGCTGCCTCCAAGAAGGCTGAGTACGCCAAGTTGATCGACGTCGCCATCGACTACGCCAAGGACAAGGGCTCCTCCAAGAAGGAAAAGGCCGAGATCGCCTTGGACCGTTTGTTGATCGAGTTCGGTAAGGAAATCTTGAACATCGTCCCTGGCAGAGTCTCCACCGAAGTCGACGCCAGATTGTCCTTCGACAAGGACGCCACCGTCAAGAAGGCCATTGAGTTGATCGAGTTGTACAAGTCCGTGGGCATCTCCAAGGACAGAATCTTGATCAAGATTGCCAGTACCTGGGAAGGTATCCAGGCTGCTCGTGAATTGGAGGCCAAGCACGGCATCCACTGTAACTTGACCTTGTTGTTCTCTTTCGCCCAGGCAGTTGCCTGTGCCGAAGCCAAGGTCACCTTGATCTCTCCATTCGTGGGTAGAATCTTGGACTGGTACAAGGCCTCCACCGGCAAGGAGTACGACGCTGAGTCCGACCCAGGTGTGGTCTCCGTCAGACAAATCTTCAACTACTACAAGAAGTTCGACTACAACACCATTGTCATGGGTGCCTCCTTCAGAAACACCGGTGAAATCAAGGCTTTGGCCGGTTGTGACTACTTGACCGTCGCACCAAAGTTGTTGGAAGAGTTGTTGAACTCCTCTGAAGACGTTCCAAAGGTGTTGGACGCTTCCGCTGCCAAGACCGAATCCATCGAAAAGGTCACTTTCGTCGACGACGAGCCAGCCTTCAGACTCTCCTTGAACGAAGATGCCATGGCCACCGAAAAGTTGTCCCAAGGTATCAGAGCCTTCGGTAAGGATGCTGAGACCTTGTTGGCCCAATTGGAATCCAGATTCTAAGTCTGTAATGTTATAGATGATTTGTGAAAACATGTGTACGTAATGTGTTGTAGCAGAATTGATTTCGCTGATGGTTCGTATATGAGGCATAGCTGTATGGGTTTTTTGTAAGCTGGCTAACTGTGAAGTTAGTTACGAGAATTGGAATGGAAGACTCATGTGAGAAGTCTATTTCAAGTATCTAGGTCAAGTGTCCTACAAATCTCACCCAATGACTCAGTCTATGTAGTTAAGTTCTGATCCCAGCTGAAATCAGTGATGACAATTACATTAGTAAACAACAATGCCGTACTACCATCTCTCGAATTAATTACGTAGCTACCAGAATTAATTATTGTAATACATTCCATCTGGAGCATTTTACAGTTACCATTCGAGTGCGATTTTAAGGGTCAATTTTCAAGATTACCATCTTTCACCAGCACATCTTCCCATGAGGCCCGACGTCCCCATCCCTCCATCACCGCAGCCACCATACCCGCTCCGTCAGGAGTCCACCATCATCAGCGGCTTTGGTCGTGGGTCGTCTGAGCTTGGCATCCCCACCGCCAACATCCCCATCAACGACGACCTCAACGGATTGGAAACCGGAATCTACTTTGGATGGTGCCAATTGGTCCCCCAGAACGGTCCCAACACCACTGCTGACCGCAATGGTGCCACCATCGTATTCAATCACGGCCAGGAGCTCACGGGGGCCGAGTTGGAGCCACTTCCCATGGTGATGCTGATCGGATGGAACCCATTTTACGCCAACAAGTCCAAAGCAGCCGAGGTCCATATAATCCACAGCTTCAAGGACACCTTCTACGGCGCTGCCATCAAGTACACCGTGTTGGGGTACATCCGACCCGAGTTGGACTACACCACTAAGGAAGCATTGATTCAGGACATCAAGCGGGACATCGAGATCGCGGAGGCCACCTTGGCCACCGACGCGTACAAGGTGTTACCATAGCCCTGGGAGTGCAGGGGGGCACCGGTGGTCCTGGCAATGCATCTGTTAGAGAGAGATTCTAATGGAAATAGTCATTTTTACACAATATAATACCAGAAAAAACGGGAGTCATCCCCTGTAGATGTGGCTAGTGCAATAGACGGGAACGATAGTAGGAGACGGATGGAATAGCTCCACTGCAGCAGATCAATTAACATAAAAGAGAAGGATATAATGACCAATATTCCAAGATTGATGTCGCAGATCATTAGTTGACAATTTAAGTCAATGTGCTATTGCTATAATCACTTGAAAAGTGAATTCGCAATGAACGCTTCCTTTTTGTAGATTTGGGAACTCAGTTGGAAATATTGGGTCTTGAATTCATGAACTGAGCCAAAATTCAAATTGGTCTTTGTGGAGATTTTACTATGAACCATGATTGCAAATCCCGGAATTTCGTATGAAACAGCGTGCTGGGCATATTGTAACAAAGCCTTTGTCCCAATTATGCCCCAATTATAACATTTGACCACCATCTCCGTTTCCAAAATAGTCACGGATCTAACCCGCATAGAGCTATTATCGTACATATTGGATGAATTTCAGCAGGACAGTTTCTACTCCGTTAATCACAACGAATTTATCCAACGCCTGGTCACTCTCCAGCATATAGTCAGTTATCACACTTTCTGTACTGGTTGTCCAAATTTGCAACCTGTAAATGGCCATCCATCCAATTTTTCTGTTTCGCCTCTAATTATTGCAGCCATATTTGACTACAATAGACTCTTCTTTCAATAGCAGCTTAGACACCAAATCTTTGTACTATCACACAGATAGATCTATTGATCCTTCAGACAACAGCGATGGTTTTTAGGCAAAATCGCTATGGTTCACCAGAAAACAGTCCCACCAAACTACCCAAGAACGCCAATACCTAAGAGCAGAATCGGGCCACCATCCTGGGCCAGATCAGACGCCAGGTGTTTCACCGTCTCAATTCTTCTATTCCTAGCACACCATGATTCGTCTCCCTGATTGCGAGATCCATCACTTTCTCTCGGATGGTACTCTGTCAACGGCGCTCGCACGGCTGTACCATTCCCCACGAACTGAAGACGACATCCTCACATCGCTACAAGGCTCAGCACCCGATCACAAGTCGCCTAAACGCACCAGGGCAATTATACCAACAAATTCGCTCTACCTGGGCATATAATACTATCGAGTCAGGCCCCTCCCTCCAGCCGATGCTTCCCAGTGGGCCCATCGGCACTGCGCCACCGTTGCTATTGTCATCTGCAGGCGTTCCAGCCGCAGTCTAGGTCTGCCCCACGAAACCGAACCGTCCTGCATCCATACAAAGCATTCGTGTGACTCTAGATAGCGTTCCACACCTCCACCATCTTGCAGCCTGCTATCCTATATTCTCGTCTTCTCCTTCGCTAGTGCTGCATAAACAAACCTCGTTGCCCCTGCTTGCCCCACCACCTCCGCACCACGCCTCAGTCTTTACTAAGTCCCATTTCGTCGTTTGCTCCCTGGTGATCCAATTCTGTTGCGGCACATTTAACCAGGCCTGTTTCCACCGGCCCCTTGAGCAACTCATTGTTTGTGGTCCTTCTTGAGATTGCCCGCCTAGTCCCTCTCTTGTCCTCCTGAGGTTCTAAATGCCCAAGCTATGGTACTTTGTGGTGGCAGCGGTGCTTCTTCTCACGTTCCTAACGCCCAAGTCCACAACCAGCCTGCTCCACCATGCTAATTCCTCTCCCCAGGCAAATACATGTGAGATACCCACACACACCAACGTTTGCGCCTACATCAACAAGCAATGTGACTCCACTTACTTTTTAATAGCCAAGCTTTACTACTGCGCCAAAACTCCATCACTTCCACTTTTACTTCTCATCCTGTTGGGAATTCTCTTGTGTCTTATTGTGGTATTGACATCTCTCAGTGTTGTGGTATCTAACTTCCTATTTCGCAACCTTAATGAACTAACCACCACTCTAAAGATCAACAACAAGATCTTGAGTTTCATTCTCATCCCATTGACAAACACCTTCCTGGACTTGATTAATTACTACGTCATTCTCGACTCTGGCTCACCTAACTTGGTCTTGGGTCAGTTGGTGGGTTCCATATTGATCATGTTCACTGTAATCATAGGCTTGATCAGTATCTTGACAAGCCCTTACAACGTTCTCCATCACAAAATGTTGCTCATTGATTTTCTATGGGTTCTCTTCGTCCTCGTCATTTTCGTCTACATATTGTCAGACTCCAAAATCACCCTTTTTGAATGCTTGTTCATGGTCACCTGTTACGGGTTATACATTCTTTTCTTAAATTATTTCGATAAAGAAAAAATTAATCATTCAAAGGACTCCTTAACCATAAGTCCTTGTCACAGCAACCAGGAACACCCATACAATATCGAAGATGCCTTGGATTTATTATCAGATGACGAATGTCCCAAGTCCCCCGATGTCGAGGCGTCTGCGGATTCTGACGATTCTGAGCGTATGTATCCAGAGAACTCACTCCCCCTTCCACCAGCCTATGGCCATTCAACTTCTCCCCCACCTGCTTCCGCGATCACATCCACTGAGAATTTGATAGTCCACGAATCCATTGATATACTTCAACTCGTACTCAGGGTCCCCAACTTCCTTTTCTCCCTTCTTATACCTATCAATTTGACAGAAGCAGAATTGGAAAAACTACAGTCTAATTTTGCCAAGGTTGACGTAGTTGAGTCCATAAAAATATGGTTTTCTATCGAGATCCCATTACTCTTGAACTATCAATTCTTACACATTGAATTGCTCAACATTATTCCAGTGGTATTATTGACAATCATATTCATGCATTACATATCCAGGTTCATTTCCTACAGCCTTGGAACCATCATTGTTAACTTTCTTGGAGTCTTTACCAGTATCATAGTATTATCAAATATTTCTGTTTTGGTACTACAAATACTAAAGAATTTTGGGATGTTATGGAAGATGTCGGACTATTTACTTGGATTGCTTGTTTTCTCTATCAGTAATTCAATCACTGATATCATAACCAATATCACCATCTCCACCAAAATTGAACCAATTTTAGGTATTAATGCATGTTTGGGAACCCCAATACTAATGATTTTATTAGGTATTGGGGTCAATGGGTTCGTCACTATATTGAAGAGCGGCACCCGTGCACCTTTGGAGTTCACACTCAAGCTCGATGTGGTAATCAGCACTTTGGCCTTGACGGTCATTGTTGCATTCTATCTAATATACCTACCATTGAATGACTGGGTATTTGATAAAAGAGCAGGAGCATTCGCTCTCGGGTGGTATTTCTTGATCACGGGTATGAACTTTTATTTGGAAAGGTAGCCTTTACAAGTATCCATTCAATTCTTCATCAAAATCCCTCAGTTGCTCTGTGTCTATCACTCCCATCAAACGCTTTAGTCTTCTCAGTGACGACTTGAATATTGGGGAATCTTCAAATCTTTCCTTAAATTCATTGAATAATTCAAGTTTCTGCTCATTGTTGACGTCGAACAATAAGAGCTGGTTGAACCACCAATCCTGATTGGTTTCAAGTATTAATTCTTTGAATATTTTTATCAAGTATGCATCATCCCGGGGATTTATTATTCTTTCCAACTGTATTAACTTTTCGTAAATGGGAATAGGCACAGAGACTGTATTCTTGACATATGCCAAAATGAGATCTCTAGCCCGTATCCACTGTTTCATGTAAATGTGAAGATCCACTAACTCAATCAAAAGCTGGTAATCTCCATTCATGCTGAATCCTCGTGATAATATCTCGACAGCCCTTTCCAAGTTTCCATCATTGATTTCGAAATTTGCATACTTCGTCCAGAAGTCCGAATACAACGCCGTTGCCAACAAGCATCTCTCGAAGTTGAAAATGACGTAATCCCTAGGGTAGTCTCTAGACTGTAAGAAGTTCAAGTATGAGTTCCATGCTTCTAATTGTTGTCGAGAGATGTAATTTAAATCAAAATAAGGCTTGGTCAATTTTCTCTCAAACTTGAAAAGCTCATATACTTTGTACTGGGTGGTTATGTATACGTCAATGAACATCTTCTTGAGTTGATTGACGGCATTCTTGGGGTTTCTGATGGAGGACAATTCCTTTTGCGGAATCATCAAATGCAAATCAGCACCATTCAAGCTGGCAAGTATACTCATTATTTTCTTGAAAAAGTGTTCGTAGTGATAGATGGGTAATTCGATGATGATTCTCAATAACACATGATATTTGAGGTGGAACCCGTTGGACTCGTTCTTACAGTTCTTGAGAAATGATAAATACAAGTCGTAGAACTCGTAACTATGAAAATGATAACCGATCTTCCGCCTGGCCGTTTCAAAGAGGGTTAGAATTTCGTCCTTGTTGTGATTGGTATCGATTTTGAACTGCAAGTAGGTCACCCAAAGGTCGATGCAATAGGATAAATGCACCATGCTGGAGCGATAGATGGCCTCTGCGCGGTCGATATGACCCAATTTAAACTCCCAGGAAGCGTATTTGATCCAATACTTGAAGAGTAACGGGTACTTGTCGAGGATATTCTGATAAGTGGTTCTCAAGAGCTGGATCTCCTCTGGTGGAGTTGATTTGTTGATGCCTTTCTTGTTATTTGATTCCGCTTCCTTGACCAAGTCTTGCCATAGTTGGAGATTGTCGGGATTGTGGACAAGTTCGGTGGAAATCGAGGACCACGCCTTGTTGGGAGCACTCATCGTGTGGTGGAAAGATAGCTGAAAGTAAGTCGAGATGAAGTTGAGAATATCGACCGCGATGTTAGATCACGTGACTATGGAAGTAATCAGTTGCAGCCAGACCGTGTTAGCATCTCTAGAAGTAGCTAGGGATACTTTGCTTGGTGGATTACAAATAATGTCAAGCTAGTTCGAGTGCATATAAAATGGTGTTTTTAGAAGTTAGAATGAAAAATTGGATAATGCAGTCGTTTTCCAATTCGTTCTTAAATTCCGGTATTCGCTTCTCAAACAACGCAATTCTAATCTGTTTATGCAATCTTCTTTTCTTGCTATTTCGATTAACTATTTAGTGATTTCTTAAAAAGATTCTATCTCTGCTTGACATCCAAACTATTCATTTTCCTTTTGAGACAATTTTATCAAATCCGTGCAAAAACATGGAAAAAATGATTGAACAATTTAAAGCACAAGAAGAGAACGTCACAACATAAAAATCAACTTGTGATTGATTATAGGATTGTGAGTTCATCTAATGCATAAGGCGAACACTTGAATGGATCTTAAACAACATGGATTAATTTCCTTAACGCAAAGATTGGAACCCTGATCTGATATATTTCTGATATATTTGTTACCTCTATCGATTATAATTAATTGAATTCATCTTGAAAGCAAATAATGTTGAAGAAGTTTTAAACTTTTTAATACACTGAAACCTAAGCTCATACGAGTTGCCTTTTATAACCGTAAAGAAAAATGGGCCAAGTTAGCCAACAATGATATAAAATATGAGTAATTTTATTCAAGTATTCATCACCAGATCCTAAGTTCGGTCTACATACCTTTCCTGTTGAACACCCTTGTCTGAAATACAAATCAAGGGTTTCATCCAGGGATGCATAGTAAATACCACATAATTTCCTTTTCGCAGCTAGTAGCTTAGATTGCAATAAACAGTCCCCCAACAATTTGGTCTTAACATTGGTTGGTAATTTTACCAAACTTTATCTGCTCAAGCCCCATTCCATGTATACTTACTCTAGCGCAGGAACCTCCGTGCCTTGCCTTGTATAGGCCCAAACACATACAACAACTTTTCCTCTACACTACGCTCGCTCATTATAGATGAGCGAAGTTGAATTTCTGAAAAATTATCGCTAGCAACTTATCCAGCATGTCTGATGACGTTATATCTTTAGAGGGAGGATTGTTCGAGGAGCCAGAGGAGTTCGTCCAACCCCCACCAGAGCCCCATTTCGCCCACTACCAAAGAAAAGAAGTGAATGGAACTGCCCCATCTCCATCTGAAGTGACTTTGAGATTGGTGGGCAAGTCTCCGTTATGGGGACATCTTCTCTGGAACGCAGGCATTTTCACTGCCGACTACTTGGACAAGAACGCAGCCAGCTTGGTCCAGGGCAAGAGAATCCTTGAGCTTGGAGCTGCTGCTGCATTGCCATCGTTGATAGCATCTCTCAACGGGGCTAAAGAAGTGGTGAGTACCGACTACCCCGATCCAGAACTTATCCAAAACATCGAGTGGAACTTCGACAACTTGGCCAAGGAAGCAGAGGTGTCTCCCTACAGTGTCAAGGGCTACATCTGGGGGAACGATGTGGGAGACCTCATCAGTAGCACCGAAGACGAAGACAACAAATTCGATTTGATCATATTGTCGGACGTGGTTTTCAACCACACCGAGCATGACAAGCTCTTGAAGACCTGCCGTGACACCTTGAAGAAGGACGGTAAGTGCTTGGTGGTGTTTTCCCCTCACAGACCATGGCTCTTGGAAAAGGACCTTGAATTCTTCACTAGGTGCGAAGAGCACGAGTTCAAGGCGGAAAAGATCGACTTGGTGGTGTGGAAACCCATGTTCGAAGAAGACGAAGAAACCGCCGAGATCAGAGCAAGGGTGTACTCGTACTTCTTGAACCCACAGTGGTAAATCGGGGGTAGAGAGGTGACATAGGATGCCGAGAGTAGCACAGCAAGGGTTCTGCCAAGACAGACTGTTGCAGAAGGGTAAGTATAGATATAGGAATAAGCACCAATTACGTAATACATGACTAAGCAATATTATCTAGACAGCAGCGGTATAGTAGCTGCCCTCTGCCGGTTGTAGCACTCGTTACGGTTGTTTTTAACGATATTTATTAGATAAACGAACTAATGTAACATGAGAAATATGTTTGTTATAAACTACCAACATTAACCATCATGAAAACTAGGGATTAACTAGCTTATTGGGAGGCTGGGGATGGGTTCATCTTTCTCTTACCGTTGGTCAAGGTGACGTTGATGAATCTTCTGGTGTATAACAATCTCTTGTAAGCTCTACCCTTTGGTTGCTTTGGCTTTTCTTGCTTGTCAACCTTTGGGGTTTGAGATTTAACTTTACCAGCACGAGCTAAGGAACCGTGAACTTTACCCTAGAATTGTTAGTATTGAACCTGTTGGACACTACTTGATGGATCATAATGGTGAAAAACTGCCTTGTAATAGAACTGCTGACTGATGTGATGGATGGACTTTACGCTTGCCTGGATGGGCTCTTGACATCGGAGAATATTTGATGGTGGTTGTATCGATTTCCACTTGCGGTACCAACGGCTTTCTTGATATAGGTCATTTCTTGGTCAAATTGAACGGGGACTTCACCATTATGCTCCAGCAGGATCGGAGGGCCCTCTCGTAGGGTCTATTCTATTCCCACATACCATTTTTGATTATTTGTGTATAGTAGTAATGAGCAGACTAAGGAGGAAGAAGAAAAATTTTTAAACGCACACGGGCGTGAGTGGCGAGGAGGATCGGGGAATTGCAGGTTGGGCCGGGAGCCATGGTGCGGGCAAGAAAAAAACCTGTAACCCAGCTCGCACTGCAGGTTGTGGGAAAGTTTACAGGTTATGTTTTCATATCACGTGTATTTCTCATTTACTAGGGTTCCAGCCCTCGGCTGGTTTAGGCAACTCTGGAGATTAGCCCCCGCCTCCTCTATCTGTCTATCTATCTGTCTACTCTAGGTCGAGCGTAGCACCAACGCAAACGTCGCCACCACCACCGCAAAAACCACGGCGATCAACACGATCACCAGCAACCGTGACGCTGGGAAGTAGTTCTTGGTGAGGAGGTGCTGGACCTGGAAGAACCGCACGAATCCCAACACTAGAGTGGCAATGCCGAGGGCAATGAACGTGCCTCCCAACGGCTTGCCGTACTTGTTGATTTCGCTGTGGTGGGACAGTTTGTCTGGAGATTCTCTGGTTTCCAAGCGGAAGAGCTGAGTCACGCCAATTCCGATTGTGATGAAGGAAAGCGAGGTGCGGAGCCAGGCGAGGAACGTTCTCTCATTGGCCAAGTGGTCTCTGGCGACGGAGCCTTTGTTTTCCAAGGGAATGGAGCGGAAACGGACGGGCCCAAACGAGTCCCTGAAGGCGATACGAGGGAGCTCTGTGGAGGTGGAGGAGGCCGTGGGGGGCGCGGGAGCCGTGGGGGCCGTGGGGGATCTGGTGGGGGGTGGGTTGGAGGGAGTGCTGCCAGCAGCACCGGGGGGCGTGGAGCCTCTGTAGGTGGTGATGTTTTCGTGGGAGGAGCGGGAGCCGGTAGGAGCTTTCGGGGCAAGAGCCAGACCCTTCCGGGAACGGGGGGTGTCTGGGGTGTCCGCGTGGTTGGTGGAGTCGTAGGACGCCTGTCTGGAGGCGCTGAGTGGTTGTGCTGCAGACATCAGGGTGTTGGTTCTGGAGGGGGTCGAGACGAGCTGATATGGAGGGTGCATGGTCGGTCACGTGACCTGGCGTTACCGAGGCCACCACACAAGCCACTTTGGTGGCCGAGGCGGGTGTCAGGCCCAGGGCGCCAGGGGTCCTCGAGGGGTTCCCGAGGGGTTCTTGGGGCGCACCGGCCCGTCTGCCCCAGTGATCTGGCTCCTGGCTATACCATGTCCCGACTCCTGTCACCTCCGATGTCTGCATCCCTGCAGCGTGGCCGGCTCTGGCAGTTCCGGGCCGTTGTGTGCGCTGTCAGTGGTGTCGTAAACATCGTGCATCACGAGAAAAACTGTCTGCTCGCCCCTTCGCCAGACCAGTTCTTGGCCTCTCAGCCATCGTCATCGCCCTACCGTTGTTACTTGGCGGCTCAGCCCTCATCTGCTTGGCAAAGAACATCCTTGCTACCAGACTCTCCGCACAAATCGTAGCGCCTGCTTTTCTCAGACATCTTATTGTCTGCTAGCTTGCATTGTCTGCCGTGTCTACAATACCGCATAATCGCAGATGTCTGCATTGCGATCTATTAGATCGAGTCTATGAAAAATGAAACGAGATGCCACGGATTTACCGGGCCCACCACGGAAATGAAGGGAGCGAATGCTCATGCAAAGAGGCAGAGCCACTGGCCAGCCAAGGCTGAAACAAGCGGCTCGCAAGAAACGAGTTCATTATTAATGTCACCAAGAACTGTTCAATGTAATTTCTGTGAGCGAGGGGCAATTAAATGCATACCACCCCGAAGCCCATCGCCAACACCACTGCCACCAACGCAAAGCTGGTGCGCTCCACGGACCCGTGGGGGTGATGTGACGACCCAGAGGCTCCGTTGCGGCTGATGGTGGTATGGGTGTAGCTTCGGATGTTGCCCACCTCGCCCGACAAACTTCCCAAGCCGACAGAGCCACTGCTGGCAGAAGGAACATCGGAATACAACGTGGAAAAAGTCTGCGAATACGCAGACTGAGTGACGGTTGTTTTGCCGTCGGCATCGGTTCCGGTGACCCACACCATGGTGGGACTGACTGAGGAGGAGGATGAGGATGACGAGGACGAGGAGGAGTCGGCAGCGACTGCCGTGTGAAGCAATGCAAGGAGGAAAACGAGGAAGTTCATGGCAGTCTTCATGGCGGTATGGATGTGAGGGCGGTGGTGACGGCTAGTGACGGGTGATGACGGTTGGTGGTGGCAGTAGCCGAAGAAGAGCTATGTAGGAGCGATGTAGTATTTGGGAGCGGTGTCAGCTATTTATATGGGACGTCAGATAGTTTCAGACAGCCAGGCAGGAGGCAGGTGCATGTTCTGACGCACGTTACTACCACGACCCTCGGAACTATTTTTACGGCGAAGAGCGCCAGGGTGAGCAACACTTGCCCAGCATAACTTATATATAGAAGCGACACATTGACACAAACTGCACCGACGCGCAAGTTCCGAGGGCAGCCATCGATTGCAAAATTGCAAATACTGACTAATCTCGTCCGACGCGCGATTTCTTTTGCCAAAGGCTGCAATTGCAGGCCGCAGGCCATCGCTTCTATTATCATGCAGGAAAAGGAGGGGGGCGCGACTGCCCATGCCAGTGTCTGGTGGTGTCTGACGTGGAACTAGCGGAATGGATCGGCCTTGTTTTCCGTGCTGGGGTGCGGTTGGGAGCGTAGCCACCGGCACCAAGCCCACCACTCCCGAGAAACATTTACTTCAACACCCTGGGGTGCAGGCGTCGGTGGCTTTCGCCAGAAGCGTTCATGTGGTGCTCAGCCCAGCTTGTGAGGTGCTGTCTGAAGCCAGTTTTGCCAACGTTCAGGTGACAGGCTCATGCAAAATAACCTTCGCAGGACACGAGCCCGCGCTCGCTTCCCTGGCAACGAACCCCGAAATGCCCTCGGAACTGACCGGCAACCGATCCCCCCTCGGGGCTCACATTCCAGCCCTTGTTCGTTGCTATCATGCAATCGACGCAGACAATCTGGTTGGTGGAGGATCCACCATCTAGCGTCTCGTGCGTCATGGCCTCGCTGCGCACGTGCCTCCTCCACCACTGCTACATTGCTTATCTCAGAAGTCCCCCGTGCGCTTGCTACACCACACCACCACCAGCGTGCTCCAGTATTCCCGATTAGTCATGTATTAGTTAATCGTCCACCACCGTTCCAGAACTGGTCCTGCCGGTTTCGGCTCCGTGGGAATGGCTCCCACCGCCGCTTCCTCGACTATGACCAGAACGTCGACGCCATTACCACTTTGGTTCTCATAAGCCTGCTCGGTGGGCTCCGCAGTGCGCCCAGGCTTCCCACAATGCCCAGCCAAGCCCACACCAGCCACTGCCTGGTTATCCGCCTGGTTATCCGCGAGCTTCCTCACGCGAACCATCCCGGAACTGTCGTGGGCCCCAGACAGTTTTCCGGTGCTGCTACCCAAAGTTGGCCCCTCGGATGCAATTGTGTCCAAACCTGGCACTCGGAGGGTCGCAATGTCCCGGGCTCATGTAGATGTTTTGATGAATGTGGTTATGAAACATTGAAAGACCGCGACGAATGTTCGTCACTGATGGCCAGAACCCTGGCCCATCGCGAACCCACCGCGAGCATTGGCCTGCTCGTGTCTTGACAATGTGGAGGTGCTGTCATTTCGGTGCCATCTCCGCCTTGGAAGCTAGTCTTTATCTCAAACTCTATCACAATAAGTCGGTTAGCCTTTTGTGCATGAAAATCCGCTCACTTTGGTATGGATGGATTCAGATGGGCATCTAGACATCAAAGTAGGCTTATGTGGGGGAACTCGCGATTGAGCAGCGACACTGGATTAGAGTTGAGTTCACCGATTGAGAAAGATACTTTAATGCAACTGGTGTGGATTTTTCAACAACTCCACATTTTAGCAGCGAGGATACGCCATTGCCGGATTACACAGAGAACTCTCCACGATAGAGTTTGCCATACCCACCAATGGTAAAGATAGCTTTCTCCAATGGGTTGAGTTTGCACCCCTCTCGCAGATTGTCGAGAAACTTCACGCTCGAGTCCGTCTGTCTCGAGCACTCGTGGGTAGTTCAAATGATTGAGTTTACCTATTCCACACTGGTGGAGTTACTTATCCATACGCGTGGTTTACCGTGAATTGTTGACTAATCCAAGTCCTCTAATTCCTTCCGCATCAGATAAAGTACTCCACCGCCGGCTTCTTGGACGGAATGGCCCCCACGTCTTGTGTGGCCGCCTCAAACACCTTGTATTCGCGGTTCAAGTCGTCGTCGATCGTGAGTACCGACGCGATGTTGCCACACCGATAGCAGTAGTTGGGCGCCAGCCACACCGTCACCAAACCCTGGTTGAACATCTCTTTGTAGCCTTCCATCACCAACTGATGCGCCCGCGCAATCAACAGGATGTTGTTGTGGTGCAAAAACGTATTGACCTCGTTCTCGCCAAACAAGAATCCAGCGCCTCTGGGACTAATAGCCCATCCCTGGACGTCCTCTGGATCCGACCAGAGCAAGTCACACATGCCACCTTCGTGGGGCACCTCCTGCTTGCGATCCAAGATCCGGATCTGGTCCACGGTCTCGATGTCAGGACTCAAGCCTCCGTGGATGCAGAAAACACCTCCCTTGCCTCCCACAATGGCTCCCAACGAGAGGTAGTCGAACACCTCGCAGCAGTACCGCCACACGTTGACGGAACCATACTTGCGGACACACTCGTCGTAGAATCCGTACACGGTGGTGATCTGACGGGACTCGTGGTTGCCTCTGACTAGCGTGATACGGTCTGGATACCGTACCTTGAGTGCCACCAAGAGGAGGAAGCTCTCGAGAGAGTAGAATCCACGGTCCACAAAGTCCCCTAGAAAGAGGTACTGGGTTCCAGGACACTCGCCTCCGGTCTTGAAAAGTGTCAAGAGGTCGTGGAGCTGGCCGTGGATGTCGCCACAGATAGTCACAGGCGTGTCCACATGCTGGATGTTGGCCTCCTGGATGAGCAACTCGATAACCTTGGAGCAGAGCTCCTCCACATCCGCCTCGGGGATGTGTTTGCACTGCTTGATGTTCTGGATGGTTCTGGCGTTAGTATTTGGGGAAGTATGGATGTTTAGCCGCTGGCTGGTGCTTGGTCTCGGTTCAAACTTCCAAGGCAGCTCGTCGTAGCGGCTCATCGTAGCCACGAGCACCACAGGCTTTTCAGACCAAGAAACAGTACTTGAAGTGCCTCATTGGGGCCTATTCTCTGCATGTGGCGACGAACGACAGTTTTTGGCCTTCTTTTGGCCATGGCGTCAACCACGGTCTAGGGGCCAAAAATGCTCGAAAAACCTCGTAATTTGACACAGAGACAGCCCCAGCCGACTCAAACAGCTGTATGCGTGCGTTTAAAGCACAATTGCAGTACGTACTCGTCCAAATTTAACATTCTTCTGCAGATATATCGAGCAGTCAGTATGAGTGAAACGCGTTGATAGCTTCGGTATTGTGTGCAGGACAATGATGATGGGATTTGCACCATTAATCTCGACCGGCTGGTAGGTAATCGAGACGTGCACGATGGAGAAATCTGATATTTATCCATCAGGTGGTGATATCTGAAATTGGAATGAAAAGAATATATTATAATATTTAATAACCAATCACCATTAGTAGCAAAATAAAATGGAGTATCAATCACTACATTAGAAGGGTTTACCACAGATGCTTCAGCCAGCAATGAAAATAGTCGTCCAGCTACTGGAAAACTAGTGTTTTAAATTTAATTGCTTAGTCTCTGCTTTTTAACATGTCAGAATAGAAACTTTCCCGTTGAAAACATCACCAGTGGTTTTTAAACAGGTATTAGCAAGCATCAAAAAGAGCTATGCTGTTATTAATCTTCTTTGATAAATTACCTCAAGTTATTCCTACGAATCAATCTAATTTATGATGAGGAATTTTTGGGGATACTGGATCTCTAGTTCTGGGCAGTTCTTTGGCTTTGCTGGCACATAAAAACTGCCTGTATTCTGTGTAGTCTACAACGGGAGGGCACCCCTTCCCCCAGAGTTCATTTAAAAATACATTATCCAATAAACACGAACAACTTGCTGCAGCTTTCTCCTTACATAGTGCTTCCTCTTCCTGGAGCTTCAGTTATTCATGAATTATTATTAGGCTGCAATCATTGCCTCCGGGCTTTTCGCAGCATCAACTAATTCAATGGAATGCTCCATACCATAGACAGATAATGTACTAAATTTTACCATGTAATTCTAGCAATCAAAACCTGGAATAAGTTTTTAATCTGCTTTTTCCAATTTCAAAACCAATTCTAATCAAACCAAGATGGGTATTTACTTCTGCTCTAGAAATCCCGTTGGAATGTATGTGGGAATCGAATGCAATTTTCTGCCATTTTAATTTATGGATGTTTCCAGAGTATGGTAGTAAGGATATAATTAGACTTGTGTTACTTTTGCTTCGTAGGTATGTATAAATTCCTATGTGGAAATTCCTTGCCATTTGACCCGTCGAGAATAAAATATTGACTCTCAATGGTATATTAGACCATTTCCATTTTTTAAAGCCAATTGGCTAATCATTTTCCTTCCAGATCATCACATACTCCTCGTTGATGCCTATAACAACAATACGCTTAATACATGTTACTTACAAGAAACAATTATCATACCTCAAATTACAAAATAATATAGCTATAGACTCCTCAACGGAGCAAATACCCTAGTTATAATACACACAAGAACAAAACCCACAGGTCCTCACCTAGTTCACCAAGACCCCATCTACTCTCTTCTGCGGGTAGGCAAGGTGTACTTCTGGAACGATCTTTGCAACTGTCTTCTGACAGTCACCTTCTGGGCCCCCACGAAACTGTCGATGCTGACCTTGATGGCCCTGTTCAAGTCGTTCTGGCTGACGAAGTCGCTCAATCTCATCTTGGCAAAAGCCTCGGCGATTCTCAAAATACTTTCCAAGTGTCTGACAGTGATAGGGAACGATCCAGTGCTGATGGACTCCTTTCTCAAGTCCACATACACCCTGGACACCTTGTCCATGTCCATCTGGTGCAACTTGGGTTGGACCTTGACTCTGGCGTAGTGGATGTATTTGGCAAGCAAGTCCTGGGGAATGGGCGAGATTTCGCTTTCCTTCTGCTGGTTCAATCTTTCTGTCCTGGCCTGCCTGGAGTCGGTGTTTTCGTCATCCTCGTCGCCTGCCTCGGTGGGATGCGATCTCATGTGACTATCGATGACGAAGCTGGCCAACCTTTCGTCCAGCTCGGGGTTCACCAAGTCTCTGACGATGCACAAGATGTCAAATCTGGACAAAATGGGCTCAGTAAGATCCACGTTCTGCGACAATGGTAAGGTGGAGTTGTACTTACCACCCGTAGGGTTGGCAGCAGCGATGATCGAGCACCGAGCCTGGAGGGTGGTGACGATTCCCGCCTTGGAGATGGAAATCAGCTGTTGTTCCATGGCTTCGTGGATGGACGTTCTGTCCTGGTCGTTCATCTTGTCGAACTCGTCGATCAAGCAGGTGCCCTTGTCGGCAAGCACCAAGGCACCACCCTCCAATGTCCACTCACGGGTCACAGGGTCCTTTCTGACGGATGCTGTCAACCCCACAGCGGAAGCGCCCTGTCCGGTAGCAAAAACGGCACGATTGGCGGTCTTTTCGGCGTACTTCAAGATCTGGGACTTGGCTGTTCCGGGATCGCCTAGAAGGAGCACGTTGATGTCACCTCTGATGGATAACTTGCCGTTGACGTCTTTTGGCACTCCCCCAAACAACGAGCATGCCAACGCGGTTTTGATGTCCCTGTGGCCGTAGATGGACGGAGCCATCGACCCGATGATCTTGTCGATGATACCTCTTTCCTGGGCCAACTTGCGGAACTCCCGTTCCTCCTCTTCCGTCCAGGCAGCAGAGGCGCTGTCACCTGCTGCTTCTTTGCGACGGATGGAGTTGGCCTCGATGATAGTGGCAAATACGGGAAACCCGTTCTTAACGTTCAACTGGCCGTCGAAGTTGTTCTTGTACACACCTGTGACCTCGATTTCCTCACCTGGCTTGGCCTGGTCCACCAAGTCCGACAACATGATGATTTCTCGGTGGCGAGGAAGTCTTCCAGCTGGAACCGTGCCAGGACTCTCCTGGAGGGTGATGCGCTGGTAGTTACGGTAGAGGGTCTTTTCCGAGTTGATCTTGAACGGGCCCTTGGACTGGCAGTTGGTGCAGAACGATACCCTGACTTCAGTGTTGGAGTCCTGGATAAATGGACCCAAAACAACCCCACACTTCAAGCAGTCGAACTTGACGTACTTGAGCTGGGGAAACACGCCTGTACGACGTGTAACCACGCCTACGATCTTGACCAACTGGTTCAAGTTGTTCTCCCGCAAGTCTCGAAGGTTGAGCTGGTTGGGAAAGCCTGCGATTCGGACGTGGATCTCCAGGTGGATCTGCGAGTAGTTGGGGTAGTGCAACTCGGTGGCCTCCATGGCCACGATGTCGAAGATCTTGAGCATTTCCGTGGGTGATGTGGCCAAAAAGAGGGCCAAAATGGCCTTGGAGTCCGCAAGGTGGTGGTAGGTGACCTCCAAGGACTCTGCGTTGATTTCACCCAACGTCCTGATTCTGGCACCGTACACGGAACGACCCTTGTCGTCTGTGTACTCCAACAAGAACGACTTGAGCTCCCTGGCGATGGAACGGGACACTGCTGGCTGGAGGATCCACTCGGTGATGCTGGGAGCCTTGATGTCCGTCAAACTCTCCAACGAGAGCTCTTCATTGAACGGGTCGATCTCGATGTCCTCGGCCTCGTCGTCGTGGTCGAGGTCGTCGTAGTCTCTTCTTCTTCTTCTCTGGATTGGCAATCCGTACTGGTCCATGGAGTCGTCCATATCTTCATCCAAGTCCTCGTCCAAAAACGCGTGTCTTCTGGACCGTCCCGAGCCCCCGAGGATCTCGTCCCTACGGTTCAATTGCTCGTCAATCCGTCTTCTGCTGGCTGCGTCCATTTCCTCGTATTGGTCGTCGTCGATGTTTCCGTCGCCTAAGTCATAGTGGTCCTGGTCGGCACGCTCGCGATAGTCACGCTCGAGGTTGTTCATCAAGTCTTCACCCTCCTCCTCGTCCGAAGGATTCAAATCCGCAATGTCGTTGTGGATCTCGTCTTCTTCATCTGGCTGTTCGAACGGAATTGCTGGCGACGAGGGCGGAAGCTGGGGACTGGAGCCTAGTATGGGTGAAGAGGGCTGTGTGTCGTCATCTGCTTGTCTCTTACGCGAGGGGGTGGACATGGTGGAGGTGGTGGAGTAAGAAAGTGGTGGTTGGTGAAAAGTGAAAAGTGATGGGGACGCGTGTAATTAGCCCGATTGGGCAAGGGAGCGGCGCGACATTGGCCGCGTCCGGTGCGACAGGGCGACATGTCGCGGGTGACATTTGTGTCACCGCGACATTCTCCCCCACTACATGCCTGCCCTGATTCTGGCGCTGGTGCAGCCCGATTATTATCTCGGCCTCTGCATCGGGGTGCCTCGTGCTCATTCCACTGGTGTGTCTCAAATTCCGTGTCATTTCTGTGCAGCGTCTCCCAGAGATAGCGACAGACGACGAGGTTCGGGAATTTATGCCGAGCTCGAGGACGTTTGGAGTGCTGGGCTTCCAAGATGCCGCTTGACGTCGCATCGTGCCATTTTCTTGCCATTTAGGGGGCTGACACGCCTTTGTGGTTGCTCAGTTAGTAGTTTTCGCAACCAAAAGTGATTGAGGTCTATGAATGCTCGAGAAAGCTCGTGTGAGGGCAATCGCCTTCAAAATAGCCCTTGAAAGCATAGGGGAAACAAGTGGTTCTGGTAGTAGTTGGATCCTAACACGAACGAATTTTTTTTATTTTTATTCAACAATTATGTAATATTAATTGGGAAAAGAATATCACACTGGTTGCCCTTGTTTCTTTTCACCTATCCCCTAATTATCATGAACATATACTCCAATGTAGATGACCTTTAATTTTTTTCCATTCCAATATGAACTAACATTAACACATTAACTTAGTGAACTAACTCTGACTATACCCATGAGTTCACAATGGTACGTTTTCTTCAACCCATTTAGTTACTACACACATTCCTCCCAACAATCATAACGGAGCATTCACTTCTTTAAAAACTCTATCTGGGGGAGCCCACTCGAAATAGACTAGCCCTGATAATTTACGTTGGGTCCACCCAATATAATTGTAAACATTTTTGATGGAGATCCAATAACTCCATATTAATACTACAACCGAGCGAGCCAACCTGGCTGCTCCATTCTTCGACTATATCCCCATTTTATTTCCCCTATTTCCAATTATTAATTATTATGTACATATTTTACAAAGATGATGACTTGATGAAGTATCCGCTAGTGGCTTCTCAGTAGCCCAGAACCACACAGACAGGCCTAAAGAATACCAGTGAACTGCCTGGTTCATCATCTGGGCCAAATGCAACCCTCGGGCTAGTCTGGGCCTCGAAGGAGAGGGGCTCCCAAGCCCACGGCGTGCACGTCGTGGTTACTGCCTTGTCCTGGCCCGTGGAGGTGGCCGCAAGGACACTCCTGGGGTTCCTGCGCATCCTCCATCACCCAGTCTGGCGCAGGGGTAGCCAGCATCTGGTGCATGGCTCCGTCTACCGATGGGGATACGGTGCCTAGGATGGGGTTGACGATGGTTCCATGGAAATTGACCTGTCCGTGCTTAGTTGGCGTCGGGTGCTCGAGACGTCTCCGCTTCGAGGGGGGTTCTGGATGGGTCTCAGCTGGGTTTTGGTGATGGTTCATGGCAGTGGTTTTTACAATAGACAGTGGTGGCTCGAAAAGTAGGCCTCCACAAGACGATGGAACGGTTCTGATGTGTCACACACACAAATCTCAGTGCTTATAAGGAGCCAAGAGGTACCGGCGGACTGTCACGGCACTGTCCCAAATCGGTGACCAGTGCCTAGACTGGCTCGTTTTTCATGTTGGAGGAGATGGCCCTGGGTCTGTGTGCAGGAGGCTGATGGTTCTCCCCGCGTTTGCTGGGGGGCCCTGGCCACAATAGGAAGCAATTGTCGAGCCCTGGGGCAGCCAGGGTAGTGCAGTGGGGGTGAAGGGTTGGTGTAGTACGGAAGTTGTTTGCTGGTTGTGCTTGGCTTGTCGGAGAAGTCGGGCTAGAAAGTGCAACCTGGTTGAAGCTGGAGTTGGAGTTGCAGTTTGGGGCTCCATGACGTCATCAGAGCACGGACACGTCTGGGTGTCTTCAGATCTACGCCAGAATAGCCACGAGCGCTCCGAGTGTGCCAGTGCTGCTCTAGGAGCATTGGGAATTGATTTATGGGCCCATTGGAGCGGTTTTGGGGACGTTACGTGCCGTTCCAGCCAGTACCAGAAAATCCGTGCCGCAGTAGTGTAGAATTACCACCACAACCACCGCCCGTTGCAGGGCACTGCTGTGACCTTCGAGACAGCCCAATTGGCGTCTGCCGTATAAAGCAGCCCAGGAGCCGTTCATTGTACTGTCCCAGATCCAAATTGCCTAAAAGGTAGTCCGCTTACGTAACACTCGCATTCCCGTGATAAGCAAGAATCAGATAAGACCCGTGGCTATTCATTCGGTTCTCCATTCCAGACACCGTCCCGCCAGTCAGCTTTCGTGACTCGCAGCTCCAGACAAGCACCCCCGTGGCTAACTTCACATTCCACCGGATTTGCTCGAAAAACCCCGGTTTCCAACCGCGTCTTCGTCAGTTTCTACCAAGTGATTCAGTGTTCCAGGCCATTGTCAGCCCAGAATCTGCCTAGAACTTCGTCCACACCTTCTGTGACTCTCAGTCGTCTCCAGAACACACTGAAGGTGCAATTTCTGCGATTATAACGCTATTTTCACGCATTTCAGGTAATTCCAGCACCCTAGGTGAAAAATACTTCAATCCATCATGGACCACCCCCACGTCCAGATCAAGGAGTCCTGGCTCGTGGGCCGGGCGCTCCTCAACTTCACGTCGATTTTTGTCTCGCTCGGAGTGTTTCTCTTCGGGTTTGAGCAGGGGTTGATGAGCTCGCTCTTGACCAACAAGTTCTTCAAGTCCTACTACAACAACCCCACGCCAGCCGAGGTGGGAACCATGATTGCCATCCTTGAGATCGGCGCCCTCTTCTCGTCATTCGTGGCTGGTAAGGTAGGTGACAAGGTGGGGCGCCGCAGGACTATCCGCATTGGCTCGTTTATCTTCGTGGTTGGCGGCATCATCCAGGCGTCTTCCGTTAACATCCTTAATCTCGCAGGCGGTAGGTTCATCAGTGGTATTGCTATCGGCTTCTTGACCACCATTATCCCTTGCTACCAGTCGGAAATCAGTCCCCCAGACGACAGAGGGTTCTACGCGTGCTTGGAGTTCACAGGCAACATCGTGGGATACTCAGCCAGCATCTGGGTGGACTACGGCTTCTCGTACATCCAGAACGACTTGTCGTGGCGCTCTCCTCTCGTGGTGCAATGTGTGGTGGGTTTGGCGTTGTATTTGGGGTCGTTTGTGATAGTGGAAACGCCACGCTGGCTCCTCGACCACGATCACAACTACGAGGGCATGATTGTGATTGCCGATCTCTACGCTGATGGTGACGTCGAGGACGAGAGCGCCAGAGACGAGTACAGAAACATCAAGGAGTCCATTCTTTTGGCCCGCATTGAGGGTGGTGAACGCTCCTACCGCTACTTATTCACCAAGTACACCAAGCGGCTCTCTGTGGCATGCTTCTCGCAGATGTTCGCCCAGATGAACGGTATCAACATTATCTCGTACTACGCTCCCATGATTTTCGAATCTGCTGGCTGGGTGGGACGTGACGCCATTTTGATGACAGGCATCAACTCCATCATCTACATCCTCAGCACCATTCCACCCTGGTACCTCGTGGATGCGTGGGGTCGTAAGCCGTTGTTGTTGTCGGGAGCCGTGTTGATGGCAGTGCCATTGTCGTTGATCTCGTATTCGCTCTACTTGAACAATCAGTACACAGCACACACTGTGGTTGCGTGTGTGATCGTCACCAATGCAGCTTTCGGTTACAGTTGGGGACCCATTCCGTGGTTGATGAGTGAGGTGTTCCCCAACTCAGTACGGTCCAAGGGAGCAGCCATGGCTACCGCTACCAACTGGTTGTTTAACTTCATTGTGGGTGAAATGACCCCCATTTTGCTTGACTCCATCAAGTGGAAAACCTACTTGATTCCAGCGCTGTCGTGCGTGTTGTCGTTCCTTGCAGTCGAGTTCTTGTTCCCAGAAACCAAGGGGTTGAATTTGGAGGACATGGGGTCGGTTTTCGACGACAACTCGTCCATTTTCTCGTTCCATTCCAGTGGAGCGTCCAACTACGGCTCCACAGACGGTATTGACGTCCACAGAACCAGCGTGGCCGTGGACTCGCCCAACCATGCCAGCTCCATCAACGAGGTGTTCCGTCAGAGTGGCACACCCTCCAGCGCAGCATCCAAGGCTAGAAACCCAGCTTTGATGCGGCCTGAGTATGACGGAATAATCACTGGCACCCCACCTCCCCCTCCACCTCCTCAGCTGGCGCAAGCTCCCTTGAAACCCGTTCAATCGGACGCCTCTTCCGTCAGCGATGGCTACACCCAGTTCGACCCCAATGCGATTCCACAGGAAATCCAGCCCCCAAGCCTCGAGGAAATTCTCCACTTCAAGCTCCAGCAGCTGAAGGAGCCAAATGGCTTCGTGTCGTTTTATCGGTCCATTTTTGGCCCTAGGAGCAGTGCTCGTGCCACTGCCAAAAACGCCGACGAAGAGAGCCAATTGCTACAAGCAGGTCTGTCGTAGTTGAACGGTGTATTAGATATATACAGCTAAAATGTTAGAGTGATTTGTGAGTAAATTAATATGTTAGAAGTTGAACTAACGGTGTACTAGAATCTACTGGTAAAATGTTAGAGAAATTTGTGAAGTAAATTGATTCTTCAATCTCGCGGAAGCAAGGAATTGAAACCCAGTTTTTAGAGTGGTGGCGATGAAGAAAAACAATATACTGGTGTTGAATTATCCAGGAACAGTAATTTTTACAAGTGATTAGTGAAAAGCAAGGATTAATTTATCGCCAATATATTTAATACTCCAAACATCAATTGGATATTTTACAGGCGTACAACGTAGTCTTATCAACTCTGACAGCATACCAAGACTATATAGGTATTGATCCGATACTAATGCAAGTTAGTTTTATCTTTGATAAAGCTCTAAAAACGAAATTAATAGTAGACAACTTAATAATACAACAGAGTATAATAGCTTAGAAATTCAACGATTATCAATAAACGCAAAAAATGCAGAGATACTCTTATTCATTTGACACGTTATATCCTACTTATCTCCTCAGATAGCTAACTATAATTCAGGATACATTAACTAGCACAGTCCTTACGCTGAAAATCAGATGCATCAATAATATGTACAGGCAATGAAATGCAATTTGGAGATCCAGTCCAACGGCTACTATTTCTTCAAGTGGATATCCATCTGAATTGGGCCCTTGTCCTTTCCTTCCTTGCCTTCCTTCAAGTTCTTCTTCTCCTTGAAGAGCTTGCCGAGTTCCCTTTCAATCTCACCAATAAGTTCATCGTAGCCGCAGCTCTTGCTCCTCACTCTAGACTCCCTCAATAATCGTTCTGCTTTTTCATACTCCGCAAGATGGAGATGAACCACCCCAAGACCGTAGGTGGCCAAGGCCACAGTTTGGTTGATGTTACCGTTGCTGTTGGCGACGTCCACAGGCAAGCCCCTGGCGAAGTCTAACACTGACTCGAACGATTTTGTGGCAAGCTGGATACATTTGTTCTTCGAAGAAATCGTGTTGGCATAGAGGATTTTTTCCTCGTCCGACACTCCCTGCTCCAACACTTCCTGGGCCTGTTTGTTCTGGCCCAACAAGTCCTCTGTCTTGACTTGCTCGTACTGGAGGCCGGCTGATTCAGCGAATTTGCGTCTCAAAGCCACCTCCTGAGCCTCAAACTCGTCAGCTTGAAGATAGAGCAACGACCCCAAATTGCACTGGGACATCAAGATCTTGTGGGGCTCGGCGTCTGCCAACAACATTGCCTCTGTCATGGAGATCTTGACCCGGGAGGCCATGGCCAAGTCACCGATCTGGATACAGATGGCTCCTAACAAGTCCATGGCGTTGAAAAATTCGTCTGCAAACGGTTCCCACACTTCAGGAGTCTTCTTGATGGTGGTGGTGACGCCGTTGTTTGTCAATACGATCGAGTCGTTCTCCACGGTGGCACGGTAGTCGTTTGGGGGTGTTGCGCCTGCTGGAGAGCCATTGGCTGCTGCAGCCATTCCACTGAGCCCGATCTGGGTGAGACGTGCACCCTTGAGCTGCCTGTTGACCTCATCCTGCGCGATGATGAGGTGAGTGAGCAAAATAGCCTTGGACAAGTTAGGGTCGTTGCGGTTCAATTCCACCAATTTGATGGCGATCCGCAAATCCTTCTGGATCAAGTGGCGCCGGTGGTCACGATCGCGGATCCGCTTGTGCTGGGGCGAGTCTGCTGGCGCTGTCAACACCGTCAAGTACAACGTGCCAATCTCGTTGTAGACAAACGCAGCGTCTTGCAACATGTTGAGGCGCTCGAACATCTCTCCAACCTTCAACTGGATACCCGTGTACTCATCCGAGAGCTTGTCCACGCCCACATTGTTGCACTCGTCCAATGCCTCCAAGTAGTGCTTGAGCGCTAGTTGATAGTCGTTTTCACCCTTGTCGCTTTCTGCCCAGAGACCTTTACGTAAAATCTTGGCTACTGACGACGGGAACGTGTGGTGGGGCCAGAACATGTAGAACGAGTATCCGCCAATGGCAGAGAGGACCACAAGTGACGCTAGGATGCGAGGAAGCCACGAGTGGCGAGGCTGGTTGGGGGCCTGGTACTGGTGGTGGTAGTTGTACTGTGAGTAAAGTCTGGTAATGTGGAGCTGGGGAACGCGCCTGGGAGGTGCTGGAGGGCGGAGAGCCCTTCTGGCGACGGTTCTGGTAGCAGGAAGCATTGGTGGTTAGCAACTAGCCGCTGGCAATGATGTGTAGTGGCTTAGATCATGTGATAGTAAGCACGTGACCATGGATCACGCGCGCTAACATAAACCCTCTCATCGCCACTTCCATCTCCCACCACCATGTCTAACATCCTCTCTGTGTTCAACCCGCCGCCCGCACGCCCGCTCTCCGACGAAGAGGTCGGAACCGGTTGCTTCCCCTGCACCGCCATGCAGGCGCTTACTGCGCTTGCGGGAGGAGCCTACTTGGCGTCGGGGTACGTGTTCAAGGACCTAGACACCGGTAAGATTGACCTCAAAAAGAACCCTATGTGGTGGCAGCGCAGCGTGCGTGGAATGGGCACGGTAGTGGTGGGGTTTGGCGTCTTTCGGGGCGCAGAGGCCATCCAGATGTTGGCAGAAGGGCTTGAGTGATCGGCCCGTAAGCAAAGGGCTATTGAAATATAAGACAAAGTGATTGTATCTGTATACGACACGGAGCTCTGAAGTATAAGAACAATTTATTTTGAGAAGAATGAGAGATATAGTCGTACAGCACATGGAACTTTCGAGTATAAGAATACTAACTATTGGAAGGAGAAATTTGTTTGCTTAGTGTCCAGGGTGGGTGCCATGCTGATTGGATTTGCTGAAACTGTTTTATTTGTCATTCAGCAACCTTATTATCAACGGCGTAGAATTTATAGCTCGTTGAAATTCTGGCAGTAATGATGTTTCAATTTATTGTGGTTGGCAAGTCACAGCGATATCTCTGGTAACTTATAGGTAATTATGGATAATAAAGGGCGACAACGGGGATTTGTCCTAGCACAATATAAATCTAATTGATGTTTTTCCGAAACTTCAAATGACAGCAATATCTGCGATAACTAATAAATAATATGTGGTCGCTACTAGTATCGTAGTATCGTGTTGCGATAATGGATAGATAATTAATAATGAATTAGTCTCAACGAGTTCCACTTTCTCCGAGTACCGTAGCTGAATAAAATGTTAATATATGGCAGCTACAAGCAGCGATTTCTGCGATTAGCTTATAGACCAAAAAAATAATGATGAACATCGTCCAGCAAAGAGAACAGCGGATAAACCCTGCGTGCTAAGTGTTAGTCTCACTGCTGAGGTTTTCAGCGTCCAATACCTAGGACATGGATATAGATAGTAAGTATGATCCTGATTTTATGACAGAGATCATCTTTCTCAATCACAATTAAGAGAACCCCGGAGGTTCCTAAGATACGTCTGCATTATTAGACATAAGTGTTGAATATTCGAGAGACATCCGTGTCACATCTCTGAGGGCACAAGTATGCCCTGCTGAAGCCGGATTACTTTAGACAGAATAAAGTCAGGCATGGTACTGCAATATTTGAGTTGAATTTTCCGTAATAATATGGGGATAAGGCCGTGAAGTAGTCAGGGTGTTTTTAGTAGCTCACCACGCAAGACACGGAGTAGTAGTGATCTGAATAGATACTATTTGAACAAGAAAGCGTACTCCAATTCTACTTCTCTTTTGGAAAGCGAGTTTTGAAGGAGTACTCGCAATTCATCTTCATTGAATTTGATCGTAAGTAACGGATTAGTCCAGCAATTGCACTTACAGGTTTTAAAGTGACAATAAACACTAGTTCCAGTTCCACCGAAATTCAGGTGTGGTTTCTCAAAATTATTATTTTTAATTGCAAAGACCGGTGAAATGGGGAGACAATGTGAATCATCAAAGAAAATCTATTGTAAGTGATACAACCAACAGTCGTTCTTCCAACTAGGGGTGTTAGTTCCAGGGACCTGGTTATTATTCCTAGTTGTGTTCGGTGCAATCACCACATCAGCGGTTATGGCGCTCCTGTTGTCCTTATTCCAACTAATGCGAAAATCTGGTATTATTTCTACCTTTAGTTCAGTACAATCCCAATACGATCAATGGTTATGGTGCTCCCGAACTATTCGCACCAGGGCTGGCGAACGTTGACTCGACAGACTTTAGCCTTTGGCTCCCCTTTCACACACGAACAGGGCTATGGTTGACAGGACAAGCGCTCCAACCGCGGTGGGGCGCAAAATAGGTAACCCTGGGCAAGTAGGAGCTCCCGACAGGTGGTTTACGAGGATCTGTGGCTGAGATTCAGGGCTAAAAGCCTTCGAGATTAGACAGTCTGGTGATAGTATAGTCCGTCCAGCTAGCGGTCAAAAATAGATCCCTCGGGAGTAGGGAAAGATATCCACCATGCCGAGGTCCAGACGGGATGAGCACTACATCCCAGTGGTTACTGTTGACGGTGTGGATATTTTCTGGTGTTTCTATGGCGTATGTACTGCGTGCTCCACTATCATATGAATGTGGCACATACTCGGGATAGTGAGTCTGCAAACAGTCTGGGGTGAGTAGCTGCTTCTCTGCGGCCCCAGGCTTCGGCGTTCTTGCATTCTGGCATTCGACCCATTCCAGGTGCTACACTGCCACCGAGGAGACAATAGTCCCCATGCACAAACGAAGGGTCCCGGAGCTGGGGCTCATATACTGGGCGTCTGCAAACACCTCCAATGGAGGGGGGTTACCGAGCTCCAGGGCTGCCATGGTCTGCCCCGCCCAGGTTATTATGCTTGTTCAAATCGATCTCAACAACGGTTAGGCTCCGGCTAGTGCATGGCGCCCTTGCAGGAACTTTCGCAATCGCTGTCATGTGCTTGTAAAGTGCAATTCGGCAGGCTACACCGCATGACAGATTTCTCGTCCCACTGCCTGTTCCAGACGGAACTCCACGGGCCCGGAGCGAAGCAAGGTGCGCATAGGCCACTCCCAGCTCCACCCCAGCTATCCAGCGTGGGGCGATCTGCCAAACCGGCGGCCTGGGCTTCACTACCAGTTATGGTCCCCCGCCGTCATTGCGCAGATGCAAATCAGGCACATTCAAACAAGCAGCTCTGCGTGTTATGGCGTGCAATCGGATAGACGTTCGTGACGCTCGTAGATCAAGCACCAGTGGAGCCAATGGCTTCGCCAAATTAAGATTTGGGTTAGGAGTAGCCCAGACAGATTGAGAGAGGGCTGATGAAGAATAGGCTGTGCGTAGAAAATAGAAGCAGGCTTTCGGGATTTTGGACAGCAGACCTGCCAGGTGTTAGTCCGGGAGAGGTCTGGAAGAGAATAGAAGCCAGTGAGAGCGGCACATCCTATTAGGGCAGGCCCCAGGTATGACGTTATATCAGACACTGGCATGTACATTTCAGCACGGCTGATGATGTACATCATTCACCGAAACAGTAGTGTTGGGACGTTAGCGCGCGGTCCGGGGGAACGGTACATATCGTGCGTGAAAGGTACAGGTTGGGGCTCGCAATGACACAGCCTGCAAGCTCACATTGGCCCAGTCGAGGGAGTACGCGAGGAGCCCAAAATAGGGGAAACAGACACGGTCTAGTTTCACAGTAGAGTAGGGATGACACGGACTGGCTATGGAAGCCGAGCCTCAGCCAGTAGAAGCGTGAAAAGGCGGATCGGGACTATTACGTCATGTAATCCAACTTTGTAGGTGCACCGCCAATTACACAAAAAATAATTTGAGTTGGCTTGTGGCAGTCCCGATCTGACCAGGATGGAAATCCTATTGATCTTGCATGGAAAACTCTTGTGGTGTGATATGCTTAACCTGTGAAAGCACATGCAAGCAAAGGTTATGGGGCTAGCAGTCACCGGACCCGCAAGCGCAACCAGCAACACGAACCAGGTACCAAAATGACTAGCGGCCGATGCTTTAGGTGGCCGTTTGTGCAGCTGACGTTGGTGCATGTTCTTAGTCATGCCCTCGACATATATGTACAATAGGCCCCTTATTTTCTTGTTCAGGGGAGCGGAATAATCGCCTGAACCGGAACGCTCGCCCACCGAGATCCCGACACTTGACACAGCCAACCATGATTGCAGGTAGAGTTTGACATCGAGGTCGTGCGAGAGCGCGTGGGCGAAGGTGCCGTGGCCAGAGGCGGACCAAAAGGTGAAAACTACCGGGTCAGATTAGAGCAGGAGAGGCGTAGTTCTCTGTCGCGTCCCACGATGACATAATCGATTGTTTGCCGACACTAAACTTATTACTGGTGCCAGTTGCTTGTGGTGACTCCGATGGTCAACACGCAGACAGATGCACGACCACTTGTGCGGCTCACAGATAGTGCGTCTACATTGCTTTTTGGTGCATGAGCTCGGGTTACATTGCAGCGGTATCCTAACCATCAGCAACTCCAAGATTGTGACCACTGCCCTCCATCAACCATCACAGCATTCCTAGACACGCGAAACGCCCTGGCGCGAGCCCACAATCGCTGCACGCGCTTGAGTCCCGGAAATAGTGGAATCATCCACACTCCACCGCCTGTTTGGAGCTGCCCCCAACACTTTGGCCCAGCCTCGTCTGGCTGCATTCCCATCCAGTCTACCTCAGCATCAGCTGTCGCTGGCCCCGCGGTTACATCATTGGCGGTTTTGTGTATCGGCGCACCTTTCATGCGTCCTAAAAAATATTTTATTTCAGGTTAATTTGTGTTTGTTTGCTGCCTGGCGCTTTGGACCCCCTTGTCAACAGTTCCTACACATTTGGCGCTATCTACATATAAGTGCGGGTTATATATATTGATCATTCCCAGTTATTCGAGATTCAAGCACGGCTAACCTGGGCTATTGAATACACCAATACCGCCCGTCCTCCACCCCCTCCTCGCCTACTGTCACCCCCATCCCCATACCCCGGTGACATCATCGTTTCAGAACAACCAGTCCTCACCAAATACTGCACCAGTTCGTCCTCCATCGACCCACCCGGCCAGTCCCAGCATTTACACCTTGCGGAAGCCGCGCTGCACACAACGCATGTCCAGCAGTCTTTTATGTCCCCCCTTGTATAATACCTCAAATTTGCATTTAAACAAACTTTATCGCCACCATGGAACAACCGTTTTTGGGAGTCGAGACCCAGATAGAGCCCCAGATCAACCCGTCGCCCCACCAGTCCCACGCCAACGCAAGCAACACCCAGCCACGCGTGACCCCCAACGACCATGGGACCAAGTCTGCCACCGACTTTGATCTCTCCAACCCATCCAATCCCTCCATCGCATCCGCCCAGGCGCTTCTACACACTGACGCCCGTTTCCAGCAGCCCTACCAGCAGCAGTACCCGCAGCTCCACCCACAGCAGCCCATGAATATGCCGGGGACGTACCAACTCCACCACCTTCCATCAGGGACGCACCTCCAGCAGATGCCCATTGGCGGTCAGCAGTACAACAGTGCGCTCCAGCAGTTGCCTCCGCCGCAGCTCCCGCTGGCGCACCACATGCCGCAGCAGCTCAGTCTGCGTGGCTACCCCATGGAACAGCGGTATGACGACGCAGGCGGTGCCAGCGCCCAAAGCTCGCCCAGCGCTACCTACACCGAGAAGGGGTTAGTGGCGCCCATTCCGCCACTCCACATTCAACAGCAGCTTGTGAATGGCGCAGGCGACACGCCTGCGCCGGTAGTGAAGCAAGACCCGCAGCCCAGCACCGAAAAGGCGCCAGCAGCAGAGGCTGGCGCCGAGGTGCCGGCCGACCAGTTGTTCCGGCTGTCATGCTCGCGGTGCAAGAAGGAGTTTGACCAGCCCATCATTATTCCTCAAAGTAACCAAGACGGCGGCCAGACCAAGTTTCTCGCTGAGCCCAAGATCTTCAAGTTGTGCCAGCACTGCCGGGACCTCCAGCGCCAGCGGTCGCGCAGGTGGCAGAAGAAGACCAAGGACAAGCTAGGCGCGTGCCGTCGGTGTGGCTCGGACATTCCGCCCGAGGAACAGCGGTACGTGTTGTGTCCGTCATGCCGTCTGAACTTGCGTAAGCGGAAGGCGAACCGTGCCGCCCAGGGGCGATGCGTGCATTGTTCCGGACCGTTGAGTGCCTCCATCATTACTGACGAGAAGAAGCGGTCGGTGTCGCCTCCTGGTAGCGGAGGCGGCAGTGGTGGCGGCACTGACGCGGCTAAGGCCAAGGACCGATCCAAGGTGGGCAACTACAAGGTGTGCGAGCGGTGCCGTGAGAACGACAAGATCCGCCGTACCAACTTGGAGAAGTTGGGCAACTGCAATCGGTGTGCAAAGTCTTTGGACGCCAAGGACATCGGCAAGCACAAGGTTTGTGCATCGTGCAGAACCCGCAAGAAGAAGCTTTCACAGAACATCAACATCACCAGTAACAATGGTCTGATCAGCCGCTTGCAGAGCATTTCCAGCGCAGGAAGCGCTGGTGCCAACGGCTCGGTGCCGTTGCCCATGCAGGCGCTCGCTGGTCAGGACCTGGCTCACGGAATGATTACCGCGTTGCCCCCTACCGCCAACGTCATTGCCCAGCCTCCTATGGGCATGATTTCATCTGATATGGGCATGATGTCCAACGGAAACGGCAGCGTGCCATATGCGTCGGTGCCAATGGCCCAACACTACACCACGGCGCAGTATGTGCAAGCTCAGGCACAGGTGCAGTATAACCAGGCAGTGGTGCAGCAGCAGGCGTTCAACCAGGCGATGGCGCAGGCCCAGCAGCAGCAACAGCAACAGCAGCAACAGCAGCAGCAGCAACAACAACAACAACAACAACAGCAGCAGGCAGTAGCGGTGCATAACGCCAGACAGCTCCAGCAGCAGCAGCTTCAGCAGCAGCAGCAGCAATATTCAGCCTTGGGCCAACCAAAGGCTGAGGACTTTTCGCCATACGCTGTGAACCAGCACCAATCATAGATGTATATTACTTAGCGCACTGGGTGCCGTGTGTATAATAAAAGTTAGTATGAAGGCGTGTAGTACAGATCAACCATCTGATTACTGATTACGGGGTGATTACAGGGTCCTCGACGTAACGGTTCGGAGACCTTGACCAGCTTGGTTCGGGGTGCGTGAATCGGCCGATGCCAGGGCGTCCTCTGTGCGCGTTTCGCTAGCGGTGAGCTGGAGGCGCCGGGGGTGCTAGTGGCAGCGCCCGCGTCTGCAAATAAGCTTTAGATCCACGGATCTAGTTGCACCACCCGCAGCATCGTGGTAGGGATCGCTTCCGCCCTACCCGCCACCACAGCAGGTTCGCTTGGGGTGTTAGGCTTCGCTGCCCGCGGCGCGGGTGAAATAATAACTTTAGCCAGGCCGTGCAGTTGATTTTTAATGCGCTAATATTATTAGCTCGGCCTTGACTGTATGCAGCCCTGTCATATGCACCCGCCCCGCCTGGCACAATAGATCAGCCAGATCAATAACAGGGCTAGGACAAGCGATCACCGGACTCCCGGGATCCCGTTACCACACCACCACCACCACCGCAACAATAACAACAACAACTACAGCAACACGCTGCGGGCTTGCCTTGTTGGGTCGAAAGCCGCAGCCATAGTCTGGCTGTTTGGCGTGGTTTGCAGTGTCTGCATCCTCGCAAGCGGTGTCTGACTGTCTGTTGTGCTTGTGGTGTTCGCGTTCACTTGTCTGGGTGCAGCGGGTCCCCCACGCGCTAGCGCCCCCGCCGCTGTTAGCGGCCAGTGCCTCGCGCGCCAACCTTCCCTGCCAGCCTTCTATGGGATGCGGGCCCCCAACCCCGTGGGGGTGCTTCAACTTCTACCATCCACCATCTACCGTCCACCATCGACTGTCTATCCTCTGCACCCTCCTCTAGACCTACACCACCCTAAAATCCGACCCTACAATAAACCCCTATTGCACCCCTAACACGTCACGTGACCGGTCACATGACGTGTTCGTGATCAAAACCAAATGCGCCAACAACTCCCACGTCTCCCCAGAATCACAGTCGCTCTCTGCCAGCCGAGCGTAGCCATCGACGTTCCCTCCAAACCCTCCAAGCCGCCGCCAGCCGCCACCAATCCCCACTCCCCCACGTTGCTCCCGCAATGATGCGTCTCAACAACAACTCGCTGTCCTCGTTGGGCTCCAACAAGGACAAGCAATTGCCGCCCATTCCCTCGCCCGTGCCGACGTCTCCGTACCCGTCATCGCCGTTGGCCGCTTCGAACGCCAGAAGAACTGCAAAAGACGGCTCCAAAGATGTCATTTCCCCGTTGGCCGACCCCAAAGTGACCCCCACGCCAGCGTCTCCTGTTTCTCCCGACTTGGAGCTTCTCCAGGCTAAGACGTTGCGTCGCAAGAACTTCAAGAAACTCTCGTTGGACGCTTCGCCCGTCAAGGAGTCCAAACCCATCGACGACTCAGAAAACATCCTCAATCTCAAAACAACCTCCTTGCGACAGAAACGCTTCAACATGAGGCCTGCGCCTGTGCTCAACTTGAACATCGACACAACGTCGTCCTCCACTCGCATCGTGCCCCAGACCCTCACCAGCCTCAACATCAACGACAGCAACCGCAATATCGACCCTGACTCCCAGACATCCCACAACATCATCATCGACGAGCTCTCCAACATGGAGCTAGCCACCATGAAGGACGCTGCGCCAAAGCTACCCGTCCATCGCAAGCGCCAGACAGTGATATCGTCGATTTCCCCGACCAAATCCACCGCAACCTCGCCTTCCGACGCGAAGTCCACCTCCGACATTTTCACGGAAACCCTGTCTCCCATCGCCACCACGTCGTCCCTTAAGCTCAACAACAACGACATCGTCACCCTCAAGAGCTTGGGGGCCGGAAACTCGGGCACAGTGTCCAAAATATTGCATGTTCCCACCCAGAAGATTATGGCCAAGAAAATCATCCACATCGACCTGAAGACCGTGATAAAGACCCAGATCATCCGTGAACTCCGCATCCTCCACGAGTGCCAATCGCCCTACATTATCGAGTTCTACGGGGCGTTTGTCAACAATAACAACACCATCGTCATTTGCATGGAGTACTGCAACTGCAGCTCTCTCGACAAGATCTCACAGCTCTGCGACGGCAGGCAGTTTCCGTTGTACCTGTTGAAGAAAGTAGCATATGCCATTTTGTCGGGGTTGACCTACCTCTACACGGCCCACAAAATCATCCATCGTGACATCAAGCCCAGCAACGTGTTGATGACCCATAAAGGCGAGTTCAAGTTGTGTGATTTTGGTGTCAGCCGCGAGTTGACCAACTCGTTGGCCATGGCTGACACCTTCGTGGGGACCTCCACCTACATGTCGCCAGAGCGTATCCAGGGACTAAACTATGGTGTCAAATCCGACGTGTGGTCCATGGGGTTGATGCTCGTAGAGTTGGCCAGTGGCTCGCCTGTTTGGAGCGAGGATGACGATGCTGACAAGTCCTTGGCAGGAAACGGTGGTCCCGAAGGGATTTTGGACTTGTTGCAGAGAATTGTCAACGAAACTCCTCCTACCTTGACCAATAGGACGAACCCATTGACCAAGGGTCCATTCGACCCCTCATTATGTGCATTTATCGATTCGTGTTTGATCAAGAACGATTCTGTAAGAAAGTCTCCATGGGACTTGTTGCAGGAAGAAAATGGTTTCATCAGTGGGGTCGCCGAGGGAGTCTATGATAAAGACGTCAAGTCGTGGGCCAAAAAGATTAGAAAGTTGCATAAGGATAAAACAGAAGGGGAGAAATAGCCGAATTATACCAGCATAAATATACGCATAACTTGATGAACCCCGGGAGACATACAAACCAGAGTGAAGACTACAATACAGGTAATGTTCTGGAAACACTGTAATAAATCATGTGTAGGATAGATGGCGATTGTTCAAAGATTTGTTATTTGCAGAATAGTATTTTGGAATTTGAGCAATAAAGTCATTAGATTTCACCCATCAGTGTATAAATGCATCAGGGTATTGAGGAATTCTACGAGGCATACCATCTAAACCTTAGAAATGCATAGGTGGGAAAGTTATAAAAGGCTGTAGCCATTGTTGATATAAATATTGTTACACCTATAACTCATTCTAAAACTCTAGGTGATTTATATGAACCATAGTATAAAGCTTTTCCTTTTATTCTTGGGATGATTTAGGAACACCATACACGATTGTTGCGATTGTGTAGTTATTCATTTTACGAGAATTAGGATTGGTATTCTGAGAGAATATATAATTTTGAATTTATAGTTGGTTATGAAATCAGCATCAGGATGGTGCTGTATCTGCTGAGATATTATACCACTATAATAAACTTAGCAGTTGGAGATCTAGCATTTAAATTTGGTTCCAGATTTAAAACTGGGTATCAAAATTATTCCAAAATGTAAGTAAAGAGTACCAGGTAATAGTTAGTGCTATACTTTTAGAAGGTACAGTGGTTTTAGTAATAATTAGTGGCGGTACTACTAGTAGGTAGCAGGATGTATGCGGTAGCTCTACTTTATCAAGAAATATTCATTGGCTATTCCCACACAATATTTAATAGTCCTACTTATCAGATAATACTTGGTCGCTATTCTTTACCAATTAATTTTGTGGCTATACTTTCCAGGTAATACTTGGTGGCTATTATTTTTTGTGGCTATACTTTCCAGGTGTAATTAGAAGTTATACATATACCACATAATAATTTTTAGTGGGTCTACTTTTTGCCAGGTAGTATTCACAGGCTACCTCACCAATACTATGCTTGTAGTGCCAATGATTTTACCTGCTTTACCATGTAACAGTAGTTTTACTTTAACAAGGTAAGACTTAGTGGCTATTCACAAGCACTATTCACCGCCTACTTTTACAAGGTAACATTAATGGCTACGCCTAGCCAGGATCCCAGAGAGCACTCGCCTCGCAATTGAACTTGGATATCATTTATTTGGACGCTACAGTAAAGTTCGATACTTAATGGCACTGACATTATACTCACTCGGGTCCAGGCCCAGGGGCATCCGGTGCGCTCTGGTCTTGACTATTTGAGGAATTCGCCGTTGGTCAAGGCCAACTCCAACTCGTAATCAGGCTGGAACTCCCCGTACATGCTCTCAGGGTCTCCCGTCAAACGGAGGGTGTACTCGGCTACGTCGTCAGGAATGATACACTTCTTGAGTCCCGAAGCATCCGCCAACAACTGGGCATGACACGAGCTCTCCAACAACGTGAATGCAGCCGCAGCCTCATCCACAGTGGAGCCGACTGTGAGAAGGCCGTGGTTCTGCAAAATTGCAGCCACGCCATTTGCACCCAACGCCTCGGCGATCTCCTCGCCTTCACGCTCATCCACAGCCACCCCACCAAAATTAGTGAACACGCATTGGCGCTTATAGAACACACACACGTCCTGGTTGATCATCTCGAGCTCCTTGCCAAAGGACGAGTATGCCTTGCCGTAGATCAGATGGGCATGGCACGCAGACGCGATGTCGGGTCTGGCCTTGTGAATGGCGACGTGGATGGAGAATCCAGCCGCGTTGACGGCAGCCTGGGCTCCGTCTGCTAACACGTTGCAGTGTTCGTCGATGTGGACAAGGTCGCTGACTTTGATCAACGAGAAGTGTTTGCCCAACGGATTGATCCAGAACGTGCCTGGCTGCACGGGGTCCTTGACGGAAATGTGGCCTGCGGTGCCCACCGAGTAGCCTTTTCTGCCAAACACCCTGAAGGCGCCAGCCAAGTGCTCAAGAATCCACTTCCGTTTAGCGTGGGGGTCCGAGAATGTAGGAATCGGATGAGGTGGGGGCAACCCCTTGGCGAGGTTGTGGGCGCCCTCCACCACGTCTTGGCCGTAGCCCTTGGAGGTTTCTGCGGGAGCTGCTGTGGGGGTCATTCTGGAGTGGTTGTGGTGTGAGTTGAAATGCGATGGATTCTGCCCCACATTTATAGCTTTTGATAATCGCAGTTTCGCTTGGCCGCATTGGGTTAGGCGCATTGACGTGACAGCTCCAGTCTGTCTGGCCACCGCAATAGCGACAATTCATGCGGGGACTGGCCAAGAACGGCACGGATGCGGAGCGGGCTGAGTCTGGGGCTGGCTGGAGGGTTCCTTTTGCGGAGGTGTTGGAGGATGGGAGTTGGGGACGGAATCTTGCCAGAATAGGCCGACGCGGAAAATCGCTGATAAGGCCACTAAATTCTCAATCAGATAGCCAAATAGTGAAATAAGGACCGTTACAGCTAGAAATGAATTTCAATGTTTTTCGCTTAAATTAAATCATGAACATCGTCTATGCATGTAAACACCTGGAGGATAGGTGGATTCTCGGGTATCACCAGGAAAATAGTGATAACCATGTTACTTCATAATTCGTTTACGAATTTAAGCACTTAAAGAGAGTGGGTGGGGTATATCATGTAGAAAACATAGATTCCGTAGCTCGTTTGAACTCAGAAAACTATATGATAAATCCACAGTAATACTTATTAGATTTCAATAGCCAATTAAAGGCTCATGAGGAAATTATGCATTTTAAAAGCTCTTTTAAATCATTAGTTCCTAAGCATTTTTGATTTTAGATATCTATACGTGCATATGTTGGTTTCTCGGTGTATAGCCACGTAGAGAATTAGCAAATTTCTTAGGTAATTATAAACTCCGATTCTGAACATGCTTTCGTTTAAGAATCGTGAGCTCCGGATCATGTATGAATTTTCACCTATAGGAGGTTTGTTTCTTGAGTACATCAACATGCAGTGGAATAGTGACCCTCATAAAGTTATAAACTCCTAAACGTTTGTGAATATTGATGTTTTTTCCAATAATGTATTTAAACCATTCGTCTGTGAGTTCTAAATTTCTACTAAACATTTGAATTTATTTAAAGCGATAGGAATGTATTCTCCAGTGACTTGGGATTTTAATGACAATATTATGTCTATCCGCTTTATATTCACCAGTGGCATGGAATTTGCCCATAATGACACAAATAATGCCTGTCTGTTTGTTTTCCCAAGTTTAAGAATCACTCCCGAGCCATTTTCCACTTAATGTTGTCTCAGTTCTGGAATTACTTGCACCATGATAGATTCTGTGGTTGATCCTTTAGGCCATTCTCAGCAACGCTAGATCAAAAAATCTTTAAGCAAAATTCTCATCTCGATCCAGCGGTGAGTTGGTTTTCTGGAATTCTATATTCGAGCTCTACTCCTCGAAATCTCTCCAATTCAGTGTAGGCTGCTTTTCTTTGTTCCATCACCGCATGATTAAAGTTGCTATTTTGCAACCATCAATAAAATTCTATCTCAATGATTTCATGCATCCTAATACATACCCTGACGAACCCAATATACTTGGAGAGTGTAAGTACGAACATCAATCATTAATATGACCCAAAATTAACTCGGTCCAATCCTAGTCTACAAATAATTTTATGTTCCTTTATATTATCTTCTAGTATCGAACCAATTTAGGCCCCAGATACAGGGCTGTATATCTGTAACTATCGGTGTACTCTACATGTACAATGATCTACCAGTATGAATGAAGTAAAACCATTCATGTAACCAAATCCATTGCCTAGATTGGCTCTCTCTTCAAGTTCACTTATCAGCTAATATTTCCGTTAACAGACTTTGAAATTTCCACACCAGAAACCTTTTGATTGTAGCTGGATGTAGGCTGAAGCTTTCTAGTCGATCTAATTTCGTCCATAGCATACCCAGGAATTCTAATATTCCAGTTTCTCTCGAGGTGAAGTTGAACATCCTTGGCATCAATAGTGTCAACCTTACGATGCTTGGCTAATCTGCATGCAAACCCGGCAACAGAGTTGATAAATTCATCCGCCAAATCAAGCAACAATTCCTCCACGTTTCCATCGATGTTGGTCTTCCCATCACCCTCGTCTGCTCCTGTGGTGTTGATCAATTCACTAAGCTTTCTCTTGGAAAGCATGCGTCCTCCAGCCTCTGGCAAACTGCCGGAACCACCACGACTCGCAAGATCAAACATCGGAAGCTTTGTGATTGCAGGGGTATTCAAGAAAGCACCCAAACTGTTGGCAGATCCACCTGTGAGCGATGGTCTGCTATCACCAGTAACCTTGAGAGTGACGGATGCTGGGGGCTTGACGTTGATAGTGCTTGAAATTGGAATGGAAGGTACGCTTGGCTTAGTGATGCCGGATAAATTGACTGGAGGTGGCTCATTGGCCCGCAAAGACAGCGACGGCGTTCCTGATTTCTGTGGCGATGCATCCTCCTTGTTTGGGGTATCGGCTGATGCATTGGCAGTGGTGACAGATGCAGTGGCATTGGAAATAATGCCCACTGGAGTGCTTGATTTGGTGTCAACGTTTGTCACACCAACGGCAGAAAGTGGCCTGGCCAGCACTTGAGGAGACCCCGAGAGAGTGGTGGCACTGGGTGCAAATGCCACTGGAGTCTGTCCCTGGCTAGGAGGAGCAATCGATGCCTGTTTGACTTGGGCAGAAACTGGTGCCACTGGTGCTGGAGCAGAAATAGGTGGTTGCACCTGACCCTGGCCTCCCATCGAAGAAGGCACGTTCTGTCTCTGTTGCTGTTGTTGCTGTTGTTGCTGTTGGAGAATTCTCTGTGCTTGTTGCTGGACCTGCTGAATCTGAGTCACCTGGGGAACCGATTGCTGACGCTGTTGCTGAGGTTGTGACCCGGGCCTTTGCTGCTGGCCACCGATGTTCTGCAACGATGGTGAAGCCACTCCGTTGATTTTCTGCTGTTGTTGATTCGGTGTCTGCTGAGGCATGAATTGTTGTGCTTGCACTGGGATTTGTGTTTGTGCACCCAGCGAGCCAGGAGCAGAGCCCAAGCTACCGACATCCGTACCCGTGGCCCCGTTGGGGTTGTTGGCCTTGACCTGCTGCATGAGCTGGTTTCTCATGATTATACCAACTCGTTGGAACTGGGCGAACTTGGCCTTCCATTCGGTGATTTCCTTATCGATTGCAGTCATCTGCTCGGGAGTGACGCTCCCCTTCTTGCTTTGTTGCAAGATCTGGATTTTTCTGCCCACCTCCTGGAGCCTCTGCTTGACCTGGTTGAACCGTTCGACCGTCACGGCGTTGGGTGGGATTGAAGGGGTGCTCATGTTGGCCTGCCCTGTTTGTGCATTATTCCTTAGCTGCTGTTGCTGGAACTGCTGCTGAGCCTGTTGTTGGTTCTGTTGTTGCTGTTGCTGCTGTTGCTGCTGTTGCTGTTGTTGTTGTTGTTGCTGCTGCTGCTGCTGCTGCTGCTGCTGCTGCTGCTGTGGGGCCTGCTGTTGCATTAGTGGCGACTGTCTCATTTGCTGCTGCATCACAGGTGACTGGCGCTGCATTACTGGCGACTGGCGCATCTGGTCCATTGTGAGGCCCGGAGATCCCATGATGGGAGTCGCCTGGCTCGATGCCTGGCGGCTTTGCTGGTGCATGTTGTTGGGCATTGGCGACTGCACGCTGGAGGCCGTAGGCTGCTGGGTAAATGGCTGCTGTTGCTGGTTCTGCGCATTCTGGACCTGTTGTCCCTGCTGGTTCTGTTGGTTCTGCTGTTGCTGCATTCTCGACCGTTGCTGGGCCTGGTAGTTCAACAAGATCTGGCGAATGTTCTCAGCTTTGCTGTAGTGCTGCTGCTGTTTGGCTGGATCATCTGCCGACGCCTTGGCCAACGCCACTTCGTTCTTCAATGCCAGCACGAGGTGAGGCACCTGGCTGGGATGGACGTTGATTTGGCGTTGCTGGCCCTGTTGGGGTCGGTTCACGTTGGCTCCATTCATGTTTTGGGGGGGCTGCGATGGGTTGGAATTAAGCCCAGCACTACCTCCCTGCATGTTCTGGTGGTTAGGAAGGTTGTTCATTGGTGGCTATGGTTGTGACTTTGAATGGGAGGGGCAGATGGAGTATTGGTAGGACTACGGCGGTCAAATCGTATGCTTAGTTGGTTTTTGTTGGTGGTGCACAGCACGTGATCCGGATCATGTGATGCGGGTTGATCAGGGTGATTCTCCAATAAGGGTAGTCAGAGCCTGGCAGACCAGCAAGGCGAGTAGCCTTGGCTATTTTCATATAAACCCACTAGGTTATCCTATTTTCCAACCATTTCTCGTCTTTAAGAAATTACTGAGTAGACAAAACCGAAAATTACTGATTTGAGCAGTTTGCCAGGTTGACTTTCTTGAGGCTAAAGGGAAACTTACGGGTGGAAATACTGGGTCTACTCCGGTTGTTAATTCAACAACACATAATATTCTATGTGCTCTGATTGCTCCGATAATTCGTTAATTCTAAAAACTTCCTTCAGAAAAGCTACCATCCGTATCTATACTATTAAGTTGGTTGGAGCATCTATTATAAGAATTAAAATGCTATACAAGCAATAATTCACACCATTCAATTTATCTTTTCGTTTTCTGCATTCATAGCTTTACGACTGTCTAGCGTTTCCCATGCATTCAACCTAATACCACTCTTTCTGCGCTTTCTGCGATTCCATGTATTAATTAATTGTGTGCTGATTGCAAATTAATTATTCGGGGTTCAACTTCCTCATTGGACTGTTCATATTTTCGTGTTATATTCATTTTATCTTAGACTTTATTATATTATAATTAGTAATAACTCATACATCTACCAACTACATTCAAATAGTTCCATACATCCAACTACGTATTTAAATTCAAACTAATCTTAGCGTTGACTAATCCATTCTTGAGCCATCTATCTAAAGATAATGATTCATCTGAGTAGTTAGAGATACAAATGAAATATCACTGTAAAATTGAATATTAATGGCTCGATTCGGAAACAGAAATCTGCCATTTGAGGACCCACATTAGTCAAGTGGAACATGACCCATCCCGTTACGTACTTTCCAGCCTCTGTGTTTTAGTTGAAGAGAATATATCCATCTTGGGGTATATTTTTGTGGCTTTGTCCTATCGAATTAACAAGTTTTATACACGGAGTTATAGGAGCAGAATAAGGTTCTAAATTATAAAAAATACCGGCTATAATAACCGAATTTATGATGAAATTACGAGAGACGGAAGTACGAATGCATCATTATGACACGGCAATATCGAGGATAATAAATATCATTAAACTTCACTATTAGGAGGATTGACTATAGTATATTAAATATTAGGAAGTGTGGTCTATAATGTTCAGACGGAGTTGGAGACAACTTCTTCTGGCTTTTCGTTGGTATCGTCACTGTCAGCTTCTGGGGCGGAACCAGCAGCAGCAGCTTCTTTTTGGGCCTTTTCAGCAGCCAACTGCTTGAAGTAAGCAGCGTAACCGAAACGGGATCTGGCTCTGAAACGTGGGCCGAACTTTTCGAACACGAAAGGAACAGGAACCATAGCAAGAGCAATGAATCCGAACAAGGACGAGGCCCAGTCAATATGCAACTTGTGGTACATTTGGACAGTGAACAATGGGAACACAGAAGCCATGATGTAACGCAAAAGGTTGTTGGCGGCAATGGCGGAGGCCACCGACTTTGGTGGGAAAGCCATGGAGAAGTACAACAACACGGACAAGAAAACCAAGATCAAACCGAAACCGAATGGGAAACCAGAAGCAGTGGCGGACATCCAGTGGACTTCCTTTCTGCCGGTCCATCCCAACCAGAAAAGAGAGATTGGTAAACAGACGGCACCGATCTTACCAATCAACAACTTCTTCTCAGGTGGATCCCAGATCATGTTTCCGTTTTCGTCGAAGTTACCTCTGGTTCCGTCTGGGTTCTTCTTGAAGTAGTAGAACTTGTCCATGAGAACGTAGAAGAAAACACCGCTGACCAAACCCAAACCAACACCGATGAAGGGAAGACCAGAGACACCCTGCTTCATGTGGTAAACACCGTTGAAGATGATAGGGAAGGCCTCGAAGAAACCGAACAAAACGGCAAAAACGAAAGCGATGTAAACGGACATAACCAACACGATTGGTTCCAAAATCAACATTTCCAAAGGACGTAACAAAACGTACTTGGCCATTTCCTTGATGGCCTTACCGGTCATGGGAGGTCTATTGATGGTCTGACCTCTCTTGGCAGCTCTGGAAGACAAGATTGTGGGCTTGTAGGTTTCTGGAGCAGCAGCGATGAAGGGCAAGATGGCACCAGAGAACATGAGTGGAACCCATGCAGCAGCCCATTTCCAGCCCTTGTGCTCGGCTGCGAAATTACCGATGATAGGACCAACAACAGGACCCAAAAATGGGGCCAAGCAGAAGAGAGCAATGGCAAACGACATATCGGAAGGCGAGTTGGCCCAGAGATCTGACACAGTACCACCAGCAACAGAAAGTGCAGGGCTACAGAAGTAACCTGCGAAGAATCTGAGCACCAAGATGGTGTGAATGTTTTTGGACAAGCCAATTCCCATGGTGAACAACATACCAATAGGAAGCGAGAACACGTAGATCCATCTACGTCCAATGATTTCCGACAAGGGCGAGGTCATGAGTGGTCCAAGAGCCAAACCCAAGATGTAGAAGGTCAAACCAGAGATGACCAATTCTTGCGAGGCTCCGAATCTGAGCATTAATTGAGGTGTACCACTGACGTAGAGCGAAGAGCCCAACGAACATGTCAAGCACACGAGAGCCACCGTGAAAGTGATGGCCCACTTCTTCCAGGGAGCCCAGTTCTGAGGGTTGGCAGGGTCAGAAGGGTCGTCCCAGTCCAACGCAGCCAAGTCGATGGACTTTTCGTTTTCTGGGGTGGATGCATGGGTGTTGTGACCAGAGATGGTCTTGAGAAGGTCCTCGGCAGCGACGTCCTCGACGGTTCTGCGAGATGAGATTCTCTCGAGAGTGTAGCGACGGTTCAACGCGTTTTCGTCCATGTCGGAGTCCACGTTGTAGGGTTCAGGGTCTTCGTGCACACTCGAGTCAGCAGAGTTGGCTGCGTCCTTGTACTTGGATGAGGGAGCACCGCCATTGATGGTAGCGTCGTCGAGCTCAGCGTCGTGGGGGTGGTCGCTGGCATGCTGTGGGCCTGTGCTGGTGCGGTGCTCAGGATTAGGGTACTCCTCTGGCTCCGACACCATGTCGTCGGCAGTTTCGTATGCAGAGATGTTGGCTGACGAGTAAGACTGTCTGTGTTCAACGCCAGGCTGTTGCTGGACGTTGGCAGCCGCACGGAGCTGATCTTCTTCTTCTTTGGAGGCTCCAAACAAAACCATTGCTGTGATGCTTGGCTCCAAAATCCAGGGGATGCCACGCTACTTATAGTTGTGTGGTTGCTGCAGGCCACTTCAGCCGGTCACCTCATTGAAGAGCTCGGAGATAATTTGGAAAAAGCAATTTGACCACGGACAAAGTCGCAAGTGGGAAGCTCCGAGGCAAAAAAACCCACTAGCCTACCGGAATAGGAAAGCGGCACCGGTGCGACATCGTCCTCGGCTTGTTTGTTGTGCCAGAGCATGCGACGATGTCGGACGCACCAATCACATAACCGGAGGCTGACGCTCAGTAGGCATGCACGATGTGCCGGGTACCGATAGTTTAAATGGTAGGCGATAGTAAGGACGATATGGACTGGATCCACAGGGTCTGGCAACTTATTGTGAGTAGTCTAACACCGCCAATCCCAGGGTAGTGCCACGTGATGTGTCTGTAGTGCGATGAGGTATGAGAATATTCGCCAGAACGACATTTGGACCAGAACCGCATTCTTCAGCCGAGCCTGGACCTTCTCCACCAAACACCTCGACTGCAACACCCCTTGCTGCTTCTAGAATCCTAGTCTTCTGGCAGGTTCTGTCTGAGTCACTACCTACGCCAATTTGTAAGCTTGCCTCCGTGACCACAATCGCAGGCTCGGCTGGTGCTGGCGACATCGCTGCACGGCTGCGATGAGGCCGAGGGCCCAACATTGACGCACCGGCGTGAGCAGCCGGTAAAAATGTCCAAGAAGCTGGGGGCTCGCACTTTTCTACTGGAGCAGCCAGTAGTAGCATTACAGCCTGCCCTAGCCAATAGAACCATCACGGCCCATTGGGGTTCGGCTTGCAATCACAGCCTTTTAGCCTTGTTGTACCCCTCCCGGCGATAGGCTATAAGGTTTGGGTCTCGGCAAAATCCACCTGGTTGCGTGTGGTTGTGATATCTCAAACTCTATTCTTTCCTGCTAGTGCTGCCCAGCCCCTGCATCCTGGCCGTTTACCTCCGAGTATTTCCAGCCGTAGTACATTTTGGCCCTGATGTAGCCAAACGTGAAATTGCACCCAAATATTACCACCATGAATCCCGCCACCACACAGAAGAACTTGATCCCCAATGGCTCCACCAATGAGTTGATGAGAATGCCAATGGTCTGAGCGCTGATGGACGAGGTGTTGCCACGTTTGGCGGGGTCCTGGCTCATGCACTTGTGCCAGTAGGCACACTGGCGCTCCAACGCTGGCACGATGGTCTCAGGCATGCAGTTGTTCTCGTAGTAGGCACGTCGGCAGCTGTCAATTTCCACCATGAGCTGGCGGGTCTGCTGGGACACTTTGAACAGCACGTCTTGTCGAATGGACAGAACCACGGCATAGAAGAGGTAGGCAGCGTAGAGAGACACTGCTGCATTGATCAAGACCTGGAGATAGGACGATAAGATGTAGGGAAGGTGGGAAAACGGGCGAGAAGCTGGGGACCACGGCTGGGGAAGCGACACTGTGGAAAGGGTCCCTTGGTGAAACGAGTGAGCTGGCTGGTAAATGGTGGAATGGGCTGGTTGGTAGGCAGCGCTAGTCTCTGGCTGGTCGTGGGGGTGGTGTGGCTGGTAAACTGCGGTGGAATGGGACTTTGGCTGGAAAACAGCACTACTATCTTGTTGGTAATTGGAGCTGGCCCCAGTCTGGTAACTGGCATTTGAACGTGCCTCCCCCACCCGTTCCAGGCTGGACCCGGCCAGGTCTCCGTAGTAGTGGTGGTGGTGCACGATCGGCTGGGGAAAGAGCAGAGGCCGCTCGAAACTGAACCCCATCGACTTGCGCAACTGGTAGCTGTGGGTCATGGCGTTGTCGTGGACGGAGCCAGCGCTTGCCACCCTGTCGTAGTCGCCTCTGGCTGGATTGTAGGTGTACTCTTCCGAGTTGTCGAGGAACGCCGCGACGTCGGCACTGCTGGAGAACGAGCTGGCGTCACGTACACGGTGCCTCACAGCGCTTCCTAGCGTGTACTCGTGCTCGTAATCTGGCGTGGGTGGTGATTTTGTTGATCCTGCTGATTTTGGTGATTTTGTTGCTTCTGTTGATTGTGCTGGTCCATTTGTTGATTCGGATTCTCTTGATCCTTCTGGTGGCGGCAAAAGCAACCGTGGCCGCATGGCCAATTGGGCGCCTAGCGTGGTGGGAGAGAGGATGTTAGCCACCAAGCTCGATTCTGAACTAGGAAGTGTCTCGTCGCTGGCACTGGTCTGGTGGGGGTGATGGTGGTGGTGTTGATCTGACTCCACTGGCTGGAACTCAGCGGGGTCGTCGATATCCATCAAGTCGTCGTCATCGTGGTGGGGGTGGTGATGGTGGTGGTGCGCGTAGCGATGCAGTGCCTTCGTGGGAGTGTCTGCTAGCGAGAGCGACTGCAAGAGGCTGGCGTCAAAGTCGCTGGCAAAAGACATGGTGGTGGTGGTAGATTGATGGCTGCGAAGGTGCAGGAATAGTCGCGAGGTAGCGAGGCTAGCGAGCGATGAGTAGTGAGAAGTGAGTGAGAAGTGAGTGAGAGACTAGAGTCAGTGTCTACAGAGAGTGTGTCTACAGAGTGAGAGTCATAGAGAGAAGTATCCAACGGTCTGAAGTCGTCACAGTCAACAGTCCAGTCTAGAAATCCCACAGTCTGAAGTCCTCACCGTCCAGAGTAAAGCCATAGAGTCTGATTCTAGGCAGTGAACATCCGTCTGATTCTCAACAGTCAATAGTCCAGAGTGAACATAGACTTCGCCTTCCAGTATCCACTATCCCCGAGCACCCAATAGCCGTCCTGAAACCCCTGCACTGGTGATCTACTGGCTGAACGAATCACAGGAGCTAAAGAATACTTTAAAGACCACTTAAAAATCTGAAGAATCGTTTAAAGAATCGAGTAAGATTTTTTAGAGCCTAGGTTCCACTTCAAGCACCTCAGAACCACTTAAGAACCCCTCTACCTACACCACCATGGGCTCCAAAAAGAAAAAGGCCGACAAGCGCAAGGACTTCGTCAAGCCCAAGCTCAGAGTGGGTAAAACCGCTGCCAAACCCGACAATCACACCGACACCTCGTTCGTAGCCAAAACCATCCATCTTCCCAACCAGTCGCTAGCCAAGCCAGCTGGCCAGGCCCAATCTGACCGAGGCGACGTCGACTTATCCCACCACTTGTCGTTGACCAAGCACCACTCTTCCACCACCAGAAAAGAAGTTTTAGCCTACATCCAAGCCCATCTCCCCAACAATCCGTCCTTCTACAAGAACATCCTCACCGCTGTGGTGCCGTTGATTCTCGACCAGTCTGCTGGCGTACGAGCTGCTGTGGTCAGCTTGCTTGTGGCTTGTGCCCACAAGCAGCAGGGGTTGTTGGACCTCCATATGCGGACAGTGGTGCTCTTCATCTACTCTGCCATGACCCACATCCTGCCAGACATCCGCAACGACTCCACCAAGTTTCTCCAGATCTTGGTGGACCACGCAGGCCAGTCTGTGGCTCGTGCGTATTTCATCAAGACCATCAAGAATTTCTTTGGTTTGCTTGCGTGGACCTTGACCGATGACAAGAAGGCCCAGTCCTTGGCAATCACTACTAGTCTGTCGCTCGGGGGCTCCACCAAGAAGGCACGGATCTTCCACTTGATCGTGCTCCGCAAGTTCCTTGAAGCGTCGCTTTTTGAGCCCACGGGAGCTGTTAACGACGTGGAGCTGGCTGCAGCGGTGCACGCTCAGTCCTACAAGTACCAATTGTCACAGGCCCCACAGCCTTTTTCTCCGTTGAACCTTTTCACCACTACCCTCCCAAGATCCAGAACTGTGGAGAACAGCTTGTCTAACCAGGGCGTAGACGACGGAACCTTCTCGCTCAAGGATTTGGACTCCATTTCTTCGGAAGATTTGGAAACCCGTAGAAAGATTTTGAAGGACGTTTTCTTCAAGCCCAGTTTGAAAAATTTGAAGAGTTTGATAAAGGAAGGAGGAGAGGTCGGAAGAGAGGCCAACTCGTGCATGGCGGTATTGGAGAAGTTGGATGCCGAATTGGCAGAGTCGAAGGAGTAGTCGACCCCCTGGGGAATTTTATGTGTGCCCCAATAATGCATTGTATAGTAATTATAGACAATATAACGGATATGAGCAGCTGGCGATGTAGTTTGTGGTGATGAAATTCCAAAAACAAGAACGCTTACGAAGATAAAAAAAATAAGAAAAATTTTGATGCTGAAGTGAAGTTGTTGAGGATGCAATTGCAGCAAATGATATGTTAAGTAGGTCAATTATTCTTTGGATCGAAACTGTAGTGCAAAACTAGAAGATTTGACTAGTAGCAAGTATTTAATTTATTTGCAATTCGTATTTCTTTTTTTGCAAATGGGAAGTAAAATAAAATCCAACTTTAAACCTATTGTAACTAAGAGAACACTGGTCAAACCGTTATTATGATGACAATAAATCAAAATTTTGGTTTCTGATGATATCATGCAATGGTATGCGACAAAAACGCCCTTAGGTGGCAAACCATATTAGTTGATACTTTAGATGCATGTATTGTTCATTGAATGTCCTTCTTTTGTAGTCTCATCTACCATCATTCCTAAATTTAACAAAATGAAAACTTTCCAATAATTGTTTAGTTTTTTGACACCTTTCCAAATTGAATTTTCTAATAATTTGAACTAATCACAAAAAATTTAATTAAATCACGAATAGTGGAGAAATGATGTGTTACTAATATTGTCGTAATTACTATTAGCTTCCTTTAGCTTTATTAATCCAATAACCCGGTTACATTAGATTAGAGTAGTTAAAGTTGATACTTCTTGCTTCAAAATTAAAACATCAAAAAAGTTAAGTTTCTATTTATTGCCAATGGGAAGTATATTTTTATATGCTACCGCATTAATATAATCTAGAAACCAAATGACCCACAATGTTTCAAGTAGCTAGCTGGCTCGATAACGCTTTTTGTCCAGTGAACACCACTAATTTGCTCAAGCAAGATAATACCGTTATATTAACCGTTCTCTATCAGACGCATACGGGCCCGAAAATGAAAACTTTCATCTTAAGTTAAGGAAAACCACGTATAGTCATAATTAGAGATTTTACCATCAAGAACTTGAATCCCATACATAAGAAAAGTCGTGCTTATCACAATTATGTTTTGAATCTAGCTGACTATTTAATTTAGGGCTATTTCCATCACATGACAAGCCTGCGTAGCGTAATGGTTAACGCGTTTGACTTCTAATCAAAAGATTCCGGGTTCGACTCCCGGCGTGGGTTCGANTTGCGGTTTTAGCTCAGTTGGGAGAGCGTCAGACTGAAGAGATTCAGTCACAGTTAATCTGAAGGTCCTGTGTTCGATCCACAGAAATCGCATTCTTTTTTGATCCCCAACGAGCGCAGCTCCTGCAGATAATATCTCCCCATTCCACCACAAGTTGCAAGTTCTGGAATACTTTCACCACCACACCATGATTAGATCGTTAAGATTATGCTTCGCTAGACCCTTGATAGCCTCCAGGCTCACCCCACCCACCAGAGCGTTTTCAGCCGCCCCAATTTTGCTCAAAAAGAAGCCAAAAAAGGCAGTTGCACCACAAGAAGAAGACGTCGAAGAGCCATCAGCTTTGATAGATTTCGAGGATGCTACCGCCAAGTTCAAGCAGGTGCTCGAAAAGTTCACCAAAACTGCCAACGAGAGCAAATTGGGTAAGACTAATCCACGTATTTTCGACAAGTTGACTGTGAACGTCAACGACGAAGAGGTGCCATTCACGTCAGTGGCCCAAACTTCCATCAAGGGAAGAAACTTCATTGTCACCTTGTTTGATCCTGCCAGTTCCAAGCACGTTATCAACACCATTTTGGGCTCTGGTTTGAACATGAATGCTCAGGTCGACCCTGCCAACAAGTACACCTTGAAGGTGCCATTACCACCAGTGAACACCGAGACTAAAAAGGAGAGCGTGAAGCAGTTGAAGGAAGTATTTGAGAAAATGAAGAATGGGTCCTCCAAAGGCAGTTTGGCATCAATCAGAGCCGATGTGAAGAACAAGTTTTCCAAGCAGGTGAAGAAACAAAAAAGTGATGCTGAAACGAAAGTCTTGAACGACTTCGAGAAGTTGCACAAGACCTACACGGAAAAGTTGGCCGAAGCATTCAAGGCTGCAGAGACTGCCATCCTCAAGTAAGCATGTCTAGCCAGCCCAACCGATTAATGTTCATATTCCATGGTTCGCATGGAGGTTCTGAGATTGATGCAAGTAAATCTGGACCATTCTAGCAGAACTTCGGCACGGTTATTAAGAGAAATACACTTGTTAAAATCTGTTTGTTTTGCCTGTCTTTGGGGAGAAAAATATCTCCATGGTCTTGTCTAAAAACTGACTCCATTTCCTATAAACAACCGCTTGTAATTTTTTTCACACCATTTGATCACCTTCAAGCTATGGCTAATCAAGTCCTTGGAGTCCACCCCCTCTGTACATAAGCAATAAAACTCAAAAGTATCGTCGCATAGCATGAATCCTGTCACATTATTCCACTTCGAGTAGGTCAACTTCTTGTTACTGAATGGATGCATAATTTTGTGGCTGCCTTGGGGCTTGAAAACTTTGGTGACCTTGGTGTTTCTTAGCATGGAATAGAAGTATACCAACTGGATACAGCTATTTATATTTCGCTCACCGTTATAATGGGCTATATCACTCATAATATATTGGTTGGTCTTGGTGAGCTTGTAGACAAAATGCTTGATCACTGGCACCTTAATGTCATGTAGCACTGAAAGTTTCGTGGACAAAAGGAGCTCCTTGTACAACTTTAGTTTGAACGATTCATGCTTAAGCAACTTGCGAATGATGTACTTGGAGATTTCTTGCATTTCGAAGAATGAGTTTTTGTTGCCACTGATAAGAATTATCGTTATTGGTGGGCACTGCTTCTGATGTCCTGTGTCAATGTAATCGCTCAACATGAACTTTTTGACAAACACGTAGAGGAAACCATTCTGATTGAATTGTGGCATACACAACGGCATCCATAAATCGCCCTCGCCACTGTCCGGTTCATGCAATTCCGTAGATTCAATCATCGAGATAAGCAACGAAATATCTTCATTGGATAGATTGTGATTTTTTGGTTTCAAGTAACTCAAGATCTTGCTCGAAACTGCAAGGAAAGAGAAAAGAAGATCCTCAGCAATGTATTTTTCCTCATCATCTCTCTTGATATTGAAGAAACTGCTTAATTTATCGGATTCCTTCTTATCCTCTTTGAGTTTTTTCGAAGAAAGAAGTATGTTGTTGAGCTGGGTTCTTGTAGTATTGGTCATTTTTATGTTTTGCAAGGAGGAGCCTAATAATTGGCTCATGAAGTAATCAAAACCGATTGGGTCTGATCCATGAGGTTGCAAGCCGTAAGTCATTTTGAAGCACAAGCTGTCAAGGTTGTGGAAGTCTAGTGGAGTGAGGACCTTCCTTAGGTCATAATTCATTCTATTATGGAAATTCTTCTCCAACGTGGGCCTGGATAAAATAGACAACAAGTAATGGTAAAGATTGTTAAGTTGGTTCACTAATATAGAGTCTTCCTCATGGTTATTTGAAGATGACATCGACTCATACCCAATTTTGGTGATGGCGACAAAGATTAGTTCATGCTTCGTCAATGCAACTATCTTCACGTCTTCACCCACTGTGATAGATTTGATATCTTCCTGCATGTTTTCCTCGAATGTGGATATGATGGTTGTTATTATACCCATGTATCCAATGATAATATCATCAGAGCCGTTCATAGAGTAGACTGGCTTTCCAGCTGATGAAAGAATGAAAAAATGCTTTAGTTTGCTATGAAAGAGCGGTTCGTCATTGCCCTTGTCAATCTGAATGTATCTGTCGAAGAATAATTTTGCGGACTCTTCAGCCAGTATCGAGTTGGTGTCGGAGTCATGCTGGCTACCCTCTTCATTCTTGAAAATGTTCAACTCCAAGAAGTCTAACGGTGTTGATTCTACTTCTCGATGCTCGTGTCCAATCAAGTCATTCAATATGTTATGCAAATCTTCTTCGTCTTGGGTGGTGCTATGGTCGTTCAGCTCTTCAACGTTTTCATCACTGCTGTACCCACTGATCATCAGACTGTGGTTGTTCAGCTGGCTGATTTGGAGCTCGTTCCCACTTTCGTTGGGGCCATTTCCCACCGTTTCAAGATTGACTGCAGTGGTTGGTTGGCTCAGCAACTTACTCGTAAGCAAGGGACGCGAAGAATCTTGCGAGAACGGGCTTGGTGACCTAGGAAGGAGGATTCTAAGGTCAGAAGGGATGCGGTGGAGCAGGACATGGTCGTCTTGCTTGGATGTTGTTCCATTGATATCTGTTTGAGTCAAATGACCCGAGGATCTGGATATAGCAGGACTGATAGAAGGGGTCTGCACGGAGTGATACACCGTAGAGGAACCAGCATCAGAGCCGTCTATGGGCAATTGGCGACCATTGGTAGACATTGGAGCTGGTGTAGCACTGGTCGATAAGACCGATTATCTAAGAACAAGACGATGCTTACGTAATACAACCAGATGATAAGTGGCCCACTGAGGTTGACTGGTGGTTCCCTAGAGTTTACGAGGGCAATGAAGGATCGGATGTTGGTGCTATGTGCTACAAGTCCCTCATGGTTGCTCTAATTTGTCATTAATATTAAGCATACTCGAGCTGGGTGATGATATTTCTAGGAATATTACTAGTCATTGAACATATACAGCTGGTGATTACATCATGTGTTACACACTAGCAGCAACAGCTAATTTAACTGCCTGGCAGCCTCTGACGCTTCGGCAACGCGTGGTCCCCTACAAGAACTTGTACCAAATGATGAATACAAAAATCAAACCAGCCCCCACAATAGGAATGTACTGTCTGATTAAGGCCTCCAAGTTGATTCTCTGGGCTCTCTTTCTGTACTTGAGAGAGTCACTCTTCAAGCTCGAGGACAAGTCGCTCATCTTATCCAAGGAGTCACCTCTGTAGAGCAAGTCCTCGATATTCTTGGTCATGACCTTCTTGACGTCGGCCAAGTCGTTATTCAATTTGTCTAAGTTGGACTGTGCCCTTTGATCTTGGTAGATTTTCTTGGTTTTACTCAAGAAGTTGTCAAAGGAACTGAATCCAAACGGCCTTGCACTACTGCTCAAGGCCTCCTGGCCATGAGAGTGCTGAAACTCGTTGGAAATCTCTTCCAAGTACGAAAATGCCAATTTGCGTGGGTATGACTTCTCACAGATCGAAAGGTAAATGATGGAGTTCACAATCAAGTAGTGGATGTTGTATGGTCCTGATTCGACCGTGGCCTGGGGCTCCGAGTTTGGTGTGATTCTGCTGATGAGGATCTTGCACTTCTTCTTTTGGTCCAACAACGCTGGGTCGTTGTTGTCGTCTACCGATCCACACAAAGGGAGGGCTGATGTTAGTATATCGGAAAGAAAGGGCGATTCTGGGCCATATCAAGCAACTAATCGGAGATGATGTCCATCGTAGAGACTGGGAGCTCACGCTGAAGCCAGACCGAGAAACAGGCCTCCTGGTGGAGTTCTTTCTCGTTAATGATTCGTGGGATTGGTGGTCCACCAGGCATCTATTCGCTGGAAAAAGGCTGGTGTCGACGGCCAATTTTGGGCGACTCCAGGCTGCTCAGACCAAGAGGCCATACGTACCATCGTATCTGTAGATTAACGTGGATTGCACCATGGTGGCTCTGGGGGTAGAGTCTACGTGTAACAAACAGTTCGGCATATAGCCGGGATATTATGTCACGTGACGCACCATCACCAGTGCGGGTGATCTTACGCCTAAAATTTTTATAGCCACTCCTATTTAGACAATACCCTCCACCCATCGAAACTCCCACGGCACCACGCAGCCACCCAAGATGGACTTGTCAAATTTATCTTTTGATCTCCCTCCCACAAAGCCCGTCAACCAGACCGCAATCGATGATCTCAGCAGGGATCTCACCACCGAGTTCAAGAATGCTGCCAAGTCTGTAGCCAAATTGTACAACTCATCGGTGGCTGGGAATAGCACGTCGCCCAACCACAAGGCTGAATTTGCTAATGCCGCCAAATCAGTTGCTGCATTGTACAGAACCACCCATAACGCTACCCTGTTACTCCAATACAACGGATACTTGAATTGCCTAGACGACTTGCTAGAAATCATCGCCAATGACGGGGACGTCGAGAACTGGGCGTTGACCAAGCGAGCAGAGATCACCAACATGAACAACGCCGAAGACAAGGCTGAAGTGGCCGACAAGCCCGCAAGTGCATCGTCGGAACTGTTCCAGTTTCCCCACGAATTCAAATTCTCATTCAATCATGATTTACAGCCCAAACGTCCGTTCGTGCCTGGGATGGCCCCATTATCGGTCGAGCACCGTCACTACAGATCGAACGCTCGCAGATCCGACTACCCATCCAAGGAGTCCGTGGTGCTGTCGCCTCTGAAATCGAGCAGTAGCTCGGACGAGGACTTGGAGGATAGAGTCATCTTGAAGAAAATGAAGCACGAGGGAACGAAGAAGAAGTGGAAGAAGACTCTTTCCGACCATAATAAGGACAGAGCAAGTGAACATACAAAGGGCGATGCTTTTTGATCCGCTCTGCTCTATCTAAAGTTCTGCATTTCCCAGGCGTCACTTGTCCACTGGCATCATCTTGCATTGCATTTCATTTATAGGTTTATTTCGTTGGTTTTAGGTTAGGTTAAGAATATATCTACTAGGGAACAATTGTAGAAAGGAATATTACGAAAACGAAAGAAGATCTGGGCCAAGGTAGAATATCCATACCCCAAAACCCTAGGTTCAGTGGAGATACTAAACACTATGAACATCCATACTCCACAACTCAGTAACGTCTTCGAACATATGTGGATAATTGAAAAATACAGGGAAGACCTACGGAAACTATTAAAAAGAACGTCTATGACGCTCTCCAACCTGGTAGTTCTGAACCTTGTTCGTTATGCATTTTCTAGTGAGTAAAGGAACTATCTACGAACACCTAGTAGCCGAATGTCATATCGTAGGAAATAGCTATCCAGGGCCACTAATAGGCGAATAAACCATCCTCGTTGTCTCCATACTCGTCATAGGCCTCGTCATCGTATTCACTATCGGAGTCGTCATCGGAATCAGTTTCCAGAGAATCGTCTATAACCGAATTGTCTCCTTCCACCAATCCCTCCAAAGTGAAGCATAATAATGTTTCGTTCTTGGCTTGGGTGCCCTTGGCAACTTCATGGGTCGATTCAACATTACAGTTGGTAAGCTTCACCTTGGAGCGCAACACCACACCATGTCCTATTATACAATTCTCCAACTGGGCGTCGTCCTCGATGGTCACATTGTCCAAGACGAGGGATCCAGTCAATTTGACTCTCTTTCCGATGGTACAGTTCTTACCCACCACCGTTCTCTTGACATTGGTCTTTTCGCCCAAAGTGGTGTTTTCACCGATCAATGAGTCAATACCCACGTTTGCCGCAAGCTTATCCTTGGCTTGCGCTCCTTGTTGGGCCTTGGTAATCGCTTGCAATTTCATGAAGTGACGGTTGGCTTCCATCAAAACAGGAATATTGTTTGCTCTGAAGAAGGTGGCTTGGTGTGGTATTATTAAAAAGCCAATGGTTTCCTTGCACTCCACATGCCTCCACGATCTTCTTGCCAAATCACGAATCACCTTGGTTATGGATCTGTGTTGAAAGTACGACTCATTGAATTTTTCGGGGTTCTCTTCGAACACCTTGAATATCTCCTGTGAGCCAAAGAAGATCGAGCTGTTCAAGAGCTTGGTGCTGATGGTGGCCTTTGGGTATCTCCAGCACATTTGCGTTCTGATTTGTAAAGCTTGATGGAAGTCAATGTCCTCTGTAGAGTAGAAATCGAGAAGGTCGTTCTTACCGTCAGCTAACTCGGCATAGACAGTATAGTTCTTGGGGAATATCTTGGACTTTTTGTCTTCTATGTCCAATTGGTTACGGTAATGGACCAACAATCCTATGTCCGAGTCCTCCTTATTTCTATAGGCCTCGATCAACACCTGGGGCGGAAGGTTGGTGATGAGATCACAGGGCAACAACACGAAGTGGGCGTTTGGCTTCAACACTGCGTTTTTATGTAAAGCGTAGAGGATTTCTCCACTGTTCTCACTGTCAATTTCAAACGTGCTTATGTTGGTGACATATTCAGGGTCGTCATCGGTGCTTTCTTCGGCATTTTTGGCTTTGAGCGCCTTGGCCTTTTCCTTGTATGCGGTCAAGGCCTTGTCAATTGCGTCTTTGCTCTCGGAATCGGTGACGATAGTGACTTTAGGGAAGAAGGCCTTTTCACACCATTCCAAAACATATTCGATCATGGGCCTGTTGGCGATGGGCAACAACGCCTTAGGGGCACCCGAGGACCGGGCCTGGGAAAACGGGGTCAAGGCTTTGCCCTTTCCACATAGTAAGATGGCTTGGAACTCCATTGGATACGGTGATAGTTGATCCTGGAAATTTTTGAGGATGAGGTTGGCGAGTGTAGCACGTGAAAATAGCCACGTGACCATCACTCGCGCCGACCATCTATTTGCCACTTTATACTACGCCAACAAGACCATCCACATTGCCATCCTTATGAGTGCCGAAGAAGACCCCCTTTTGGCTGCCTTGAATTCCGAGGAGCCAGCCGCCCCTGCACAACCCACAGACGTCGAAAGAGACAGAGCATTGAACAAATTCAAGGAGAAGTTAATCGAGCATAGAAAATGGGACTCCCGGTTGAAGGAGCTTCGTCTTAGCATACGAGACTTGGACAAGGACTACGAAAAGACCGAGAACGACATCAAGGCGCTCCAGTCGGTAGGGCAGATCATTGGTGAGGTGTTGAAGCAATTGGACGACGAGAGCTTCATAGTCAAGGCATCCAGTGGTCCCCGTTACATTGTTGGATGCAGAAACACCATCAAGAAGGAGAGCTTGAAGAATGGAGTGAGAGTATCGTTGGACATGACTACCTTGACCATCATGAGAATTCTTCCCAGAGAAGTTGATCCATTGGTCTACAATATGACTACCTTCGAACCAGGAGAGATATCATTCACTGGAATTGGTGGTTTGACCGATCAGATCAGAGAATTGCGTGAAGTCATCGAATTGCCTTTGAAGAACCCGGAACTATTCACAAGAGTCGGTATCAAGCCACCCAAGGGTGTTTTGCTTTATGGTCCTCCTGGTACAGGTAAGACCTTGTTGGCCAAGGCCGTTGCTGCCACCATTGGTGCAAACTTTATCTTCTCCCCTGCTTCTGCCATTGTCGACAAGTACATTGGTGAATCAGCCAGATTGATCAGAGAAATGTTCGCATACGCAAAGGAACATGCTCCATGTATCATTTTCATGGATGAAGTCGATGCTATAGGTGGTCGTAGATTCAGTGAAGGTACTTCTGCCGATAGAGAAATCCAAAGAACGTTGATGGAGTTGTTGAACCAAATGGATGGTTTCGAAACATTGGGCCAAACCAAGGTCATCATGGCTACCAACAGACCAGATACTTTGGATCCCGCCTTATTGAGAGCTGGTAGATTGGATAGAAAGATCGAAATTGGGTTGCCCAACGAAGCTGGAAGATTGGAAATTTTCAAGATTCATACTTCCAAGGTGGCCAAGCAAGGTGAATTTGACTTTGAAGCTGCAGTCAAGATGAGTGACGGATTCAATGGTGCTGATATCAGAAACGTGGTGACCGAAGCTGGTTTCTTTGCCATCAGAGATGAAAGAGATTACATTCTTCAAAACGATATAATGAAGGCTGTCAGAAAGGTTGCTGATGTTAAGAAGTTAGAAGGTAAATTAGATTACGAAAAGTTATGATCTAGTTACGATTAGTTGAATGGGTATAGATCCCAGTCCGTCACTTTCAATTAACAAAATAATTCGATTTCAATTGTAGCTTGAACAGATATTGTTCCCTTCTTAGGATTTGCAGAGATACAGGTGGGATGCACAGATGGCCTACAATAATTAACGTATGTACATGAATTTTTACTAAATAACCAGCCTAAGCTTGTTCTGACTCCTTGATATTCTTCATGGTCTTTTCAAAGTCTGGAATGGTGGATTTAGATAATGCTTCCAAGTGAGTAAGCATGGCTGGATTATCGATCTTGCTAATATGTTCGGCCATCTTCGAGCCAATGAAGTCTTCAATCTCTGGAGATAAGTTGGTGTAAGTTTTCTTTGGTTTGTTGGCGTTCTTAGCCAAGTAGATCTTTTGCTCAGTAGATAATGGCATTTCTGGGGCCTTGAGTCTTCTGGCTTGTAATTCGCTGAGAACTCTCTTCTTGTACTTGGAGTGTGGGTTTCTCAATTGTGCTAATGCTTCGGCAGGTACTGGTGGTTTGGCGATGGTTTGTAACTCGTAAGTTTTGTCCAAAACTGCGTCTCCTTCCGTGGACAACTCGCCCTCCTCGAGCTTTCCTGGGGGGTTTGGCCATGGGATTTCGATGGTTTCGTGATGCTTGACGTATCTTCTTGGTAACCATTTCTTATATCTGTCGTCGTAGTACTTGTCCTTCAACACAACCTTGTCGGCAACCAAGTAGTTGGTGGCACCACTCTCGTCCTTCTCCTTACCAGCCAATCTGACGTGGCTTCTGGGGATGAAGTTGGGGAAATCTATAACGTGACTGGTTTGTCCTTCCACCCAGTTGGACTTCTGGAACAATCTCTTCGATGTGGAGTTAGTGACCACGAACGAGTCGTAGTTGGAGAGGTATTTGGTGACAGTGGTGACAGTGCCCTTGTTTTCACCTTCAGTGATGTAGATTAAATCACCTTCTGTGATTCCAATCTCGTGCAGCGATTTGATATCTTTGTTCTTGAGAAGGGGAGGTGTTTGGACGTCGAAGGTTGGTAATGCGTATTTGATGGCCTCCCTTTGGTAGTGGTCACGGAGACGCTTGGGGAGACCCTCTATGTCTCTCGTTAGTCTCTTTTTGGCAGTGTTCCAGGACATGGTGTAGCTGAAGACTAGAACTAAGTGTTGAAATTTTGGTTTTGGTGAAATTTTTGTGCGGTAAATGGACGACTATTTGGCGTGGTGCGCTAACGGTATAGATTGTTAGATTGTGCAAAGTGAGACGGTGCGATGAAAAGAAGTCGATCGTTACTAATGGGAGGTGTTTGGTCTCCGTGTAAGTATTGTAGAATGTTCCGGATCCCGTCCATTTTTTTTTCAGAACATTGAAGTTTTGGTTGGAGAAATCTTTAGTACTTGATTCTTGACTGCGATGGAGAGCCTACTTTAAATCTAACCTGTCATATCTCCTGATAACCGAGCTAGTGTTCCTACGATTAAATTGAACAACCACTAATTTACCGTGCCAAGGATTTCTTTGAATGCAACAACCAATATTTTGATGTATTCTAGAATCAACTTGAAGTATATTTGTGGTCAATTAATCCCCGACATCCTACTTGATTAGTTACGAAGAATGCTTCATTCACGAAACAACCATCTTCAGAACAACAGTAAAATCACGAAGAAAAATACTAATAGATACACCCTCAAAAATGGGATATCCAACACACGTCTCTACAAAAATTTCATTATATAGTACATTATTGATATCTAGAACCAGTCAAGAGTCCAGTTCAATGGTTGTTCTGATGGGTTAGAGATTAGACCCATAAGAATTATTTTGGGCAACAACCATACCCTCCTGTTGAATGTTTTGGAGTGCTTTTTAGCATCAGAAGCCCATGGAACTGCCGCAAATACTTGGGCTGCGTGCTTGATCCGGCTTAAAGACCTGACATTGATGGGTCTGAAATTATTGTGTACTGTTCTTGACCTCTATTGCTCCTCACACGTACCCTTGCTGCATCTGGTCTGCTCACGTTGTTGACACAGTTTCTTCCTCCTGCTATCGCAACATCTATAGTACACCGTCTTCAATTCTGTCTGAACACCGATTCTTCTCTGATTAAATGATTTAGCGGCTACAGCATTGGTTGCACCAAGTCTTGAAGCACGAATGTTCCACTGCCAAAGCATGATTGGCTTACTCGGTGCAAATGTTGATAAACTCCTGTTCGTTGATTTCTCCATCCTCATCCAAGTCAAACTCGTCAATCATGGCCCTCAAGTCATCATCGGTTAAATTCTCTCCCAACTCCTTGGAGACTCTTCTTAAGTTTCTCAAGCTGATCTTACCAGTATTGTCGTCGTCGAACAACTTGAATGCTCGGCGTATTTCGTCCAAGGGATCACGGTTTACAATTCTCTCCCCAACTAGATGTTAGTAGCACATTCTTCAGCCCTGCTTGCGGACCATACTCGGACTGGTTCTTGTAATTAGCATCCTGTATGACCGTGAGCCTCCATCGCGTATGTTTACGTACCTGCTTGGAAGAAGCTCTCGTATGTTATCAAGTTCCTGTCATCCGTGTCATACTCGTGTATCACATCCAAGACTTCTCGCTTTGTCAAGTCGAATCCGAGGGCTCTGAAAGCCACTTTCAATTCGTGGTAGTCCAAACATCCATCGTTATTCATGTCGAAAAGCGAGAACGCCTCCCGGATTTCTTGTTTCTGTTCATTGAGCAATTCGAGCTTGAGATTTCCTAACGCACGCTTGTTGGCGTTGTTTCCGCTGCTCGACACGGATGAGTTATTCTGGTGTGACATGATGGTGGTGAATTGGTCTCGTAATGTGAAACATTTGTTGATATTTTGTGGTCACGTGCCCGAAGTTTGGGGAAACTTCTTTTCACTCTAGTTCAGCCATCTTGGAGGATGGACACCCAGAAACTGCGATGGGAGTACTGACCCCCCCATAATATTTGAGTAGCTTTCCAAGACGGCCGATTACTTGCAGTTTTACTGCTTTTCTTTTGGCCTTTACCACTCGAGCCAGATGGTCGGAATTGGGCTTCACAGCTCGCAGCACGTGCGTTGCAGGTAACGCGTCTATTACGACCTATGATTCGAATCACCATCTCCATCTATACTTATCATTACATCTCCCAACCCACATGCTCGGCCAGCGTGTGAGCGTAAGAGACGAACCAGGAGTTGTTCGTTTTATCGGTGACACTCAATTTGCTCCAGGCACCTGGTACGGCGTAGAGCTTGATAGAGCCGCTGGAAAGAATGATGGTTCAGTTAATGGCATAAGGTACTTTGATTGCACCAAAGAGGGTATGGTTGGTGTATTCGTTCGTCAGGCATTGGTGAAGCCTGCCAAGTTGGCCAATTCAACCGGCTCCAGAAGCACATCGAGACCTTCGTCGCAATCATCTGATATCAAGGATCTGACTACCAGTACCGCTAGACCTGGAACTTCTCCTGGCCCCGACTCCAGTGATCCGTCTCCATCCACACTTCACAAAATCATTGAAAAATTGCAAAGCAAGCTTCAGACAACAACGAATGAGATCAAGAAGTACAAGGAAACTGTCCAGTACCATAAAGACAGGATGAGCGAACTTGAGGGGCAGGTGGAAATGGTCAGCATTGATAAGGACTTTTTGGCTTCATCTAAAGATGAGTTGTCGGCTAAATTGAAGGAGTTACAACTTAAGTATGATGAGCTTAAGACAGACTATCAAATCATGCACGAAGAGACTGAGCTAAACAAACAGATAGAGAACGAAATAAAGTCACAATTTGAAAGCTCAGGGACCAATAAGGATGTACAGATAATTCTTCTGCGAAACAAGCAACTCGAGTTGGCGTTACTTAACCTTCAAAAGTTAAGCGAACAGTCGGAATTGACATTACAACAAGAAATTAATTCCTTAAAACAAGAACTTCAAGGTAAACTGGAGATGGAAAGAAATATAATAAGCATTAATAACAAGTTGCGTTTGGCAGAGGAGACTATTCTGTCTTTGCAGATACAACTAGACTCGGCATTGTCACTGGAAAAGATTATAGAGCACTTGAACCTTGAGAACGAACGACTCATAGAGCGAGTTAATTATCTTCAGAAGTCCGTGGATGAATTAACCGAATTGCATGAATTGGACCGAAGCTTAGAAGAAAATCAAACACTAGTGGAAACCGAACTCAGAAATGATTTGAAAAATTTACTGGAAGTGATACGTAAAGATCAGGCTTTGATCAAGGAGCTTGAAAAGAAAAATACCTATTTATCATCAAAACTTAAAAACTCAAGCACGGATCCTTCGATTGAGGAATCAAATACGAGTACTTCGGAAAGATCTGACTTACTCAAAGAGATTGAAGCATACCAACTACAAATTAAGAGCTTAAAAACTACCAGCTTTTCGGATTCAATTTCTTCTAAAATAGCACAATCGAGGGTTAAATTGTTCCAGGAAAGACTCGAGTGGACAGATTTACGTGATGACCACCCCCTCAAGAAAGCTTCACAAGTACTATACATGATCAAGTCAAATATATCCAATTGTTACGTATTGGAAGAGGTTATGGTTATGTTGGAGAAGAACCAAATTGATGAGAGCTATAAAGCATGTTTGCTACATTCAACCAAGACTTTAAGGTTGTTTCTAGAGCTGCTACTTCATATTTGGGAGTACCAATATGAGAATAATGCAGACGAAATGTTGACCATTTTAGAGGAATCAGACATGGCCATAACCTCAAAAATCTCTATGATCAGAGAGTTAAACACTGAGGGTGATACAGATTTGATTGGGAACACGATTACTTCAGTATCTGCACTCGTACGATTTAATTTTGGTATTTCTTCCCATGGTAAGTTCGTCTATGAATTTGTTCTTAATTTTATTGTCATCACTGATGAGATAAGTGGTAATTTAATCCCTAGAGCAAGGCAGAAACTAGATGAGGTGGAAGAGGGAATGGAACTAAGAGAGCTACTTTCCGAGTTGAATCACTCGATCGTTAAGTTCAGCTCCAAATCCAGAGATATTCTTTCAGCTATTTCTGTCAAAAATGGAACTCTACAATTAAAGGATCCCAATTTCAATGTCACGGAGTTTGTGAAAATAGGAACTCGCTTAATTGAAGATTTGTCAACGATCTTGGAAGGGCTAGCAGTGGACAAACTAAATCAGTATTCTACTGTTCAAGAAGTTATTCCTGAATTTACTAGAATTGCATCTAATATCATTTCCGTTGATTACCAATTGTCCGAGTTACCAAGTGCTGTTTTGATTTACGATGCTTTGAAATCCAAACCAGAACTCAAAATTCCAGATAAAGATGATTCCTTTCAAGAATTTCAGGAAGTTAAAACTAAGTACGCAGAAGTGACGCAGAGCTTACTAGAAAAGGACCGGATGTTAGATGAATTTCAACTAAATATTCAAATGCTCGAAGGAAACATGAAATCACTCAACCAGACACATAGCGAGCAATTAAACCGAATTAAGCTGGACTTGAAAGTAGCACAGCGTGACCACCAAGAAAGTAAGAAGAAAGCCGAGGAGCTCATGCTCAAAAATCTTGATCTAGAGGCTGAAATCCAGGGCCTTGTTAAGTCAAATCGTATTTTGGAAAATGGAGATCTCCTAGGAGCATTTGATAATTTAGAATCGGAACAGCAGGCAAGCCAAAAGTTGGAAATGATCGAGGAAATCGTCTTGTTGAGAAGGATGGTACAACAATTCTTCCACAAACAGGCTACTCAAGATAATTATTCATGGTTAGAGAATCCATTAATTGAGAATAAGAAAGCCCAAAGTCACTCGGATATTGTAAGAATCTCAAGAACTTTAAGGGGTTTGGCTCTTAATTCAAAGCCAGTAAAGATAACCCCGACGAACGAATGGGTTCCAAGAACAAGCAGGCAGAGGTTCTTGGCGTTGGGAATATGGGAAAATGCATTGAACTACTCATGTGAGAGGAATGAATTGCTACAGAATTTCTAAGAGGTACAAAGGAACATAGGTAAGGATGGGATAAACAACACTGCCAACTTGAACTTTTCGTAGTGTGTACACGAGTTGGCTAAGAATATGGACTAAAAGCACTGTTGTGTATTACCTTATATTATGGGTAGTTTGGTCATAATGCGACGAGTTAGTAAACTGGTTTTCTCTGTGAAAGTTTTCAATTGGGTTATTAAAATGCAGTAGGGATACCCAAGTCTTGAAACACGGGACTTCATCATTCTTACATTTTTGTGTCAATCCCGCGTTCACTTCACATAATTTTTGGAACTAATAAAAGCCGATTCTAAATAGGCTCCAATATGGAAACATGGTACTGATGGCTCCCAATCAGAGACTGTTGCTTTCAACAGCAACGAGTCAGCCCTCTCTTCCGGAAGGAACCTCAATTTGAATGTCCTCCAATTTTTCTTTCTTTAATTTGGGGTTCTTTGGCCATTTAGTTGCCAAATCGATATTTGCTGCTGGGTGGATGAAATCCAAAATCTTCAATATGAATATATCAATGATCACACACAAAACAAAAAACTTACCAGCTACCAAACCGCAACAATAGTACTTCTGAATCCTAGTAATTAGCGATTCATCGGGCTTCTCTGAATATAAGGAGTTGTAGACGTTTTCTGTGCGTTTGGCCACATCCTCCCAGCTGTACATTTTGGCAACTTCGTCATGGAAGCTCGAAGTATCTATTTTTCCGGATTCCATCAATTTTATAGCTTTATTTGCAGCCTCCACCAACGACTCTTCCTCCGGTTCGGCAAAGGTGGTCATATGTCCAGGCAAGACTTCTGGGATGCCCCCGACTCGAGTGGTAACGACATACAAGCCACACGACGCAGCCTCAACGATGACGGTACCAAACGCTTCCGTGACCGAAGGATGTAAATAAATATCTCCCTTCACCATGACATCTCTCACTTCTTCGTGCCTGACGGATCCCATGAGAGTGACTCTTTCCTGTAAGAAATACTTTTCTCTCATCTGTTCTAGATCGAGAAACTTGGGGCCGTCACCAGCCACAAGGAAATTGACGTCGGGGTTCAGCATGCAAATCCGAGGGATGACGGCCGTCAAAAGATCGGCTCCTTTGTTAGGGAACAATCTGGATATGACCACAATGGTGATGTTCTTTTTTGGTTTCAACGACTTGGGCTTATCGAGGGGGCGGAAATCCTTGGAAATGACTGCGTTCGGGATCACCAGAACATTGGACGGATCGATCGTGGCCCTCAAGACGGTGTTTTCTTTGCATGTGTGCGACACGCAGATGATGTGGTTGGTGTCACTCAAGGTGAACTTCAAGATCTTATTGCCAATAATCGTCAATAGGCCCGCAAACCCGAAGAGCGAGTGGTCTGTGAACACTGTCTTGAGTCCCATTGTTCTGGCATGAAGTATGGCTTCGTGGCAGATGTTGGAATACGACCCATGTCCGTGCACGATGTTGATCTGTTCTCGAAGGTAGATGTTCCGCAAGATTGGTAGGGCCAGAAATAACGACGGAAAGGTCGAGCTTCGGAAAACCGCAACGTATGGGATGTAGTACACCTTGAGCCCATTGGTGAGTGTCCGCACGCCATTGCGGGAGCCGTAGTCATGGGTGATAATGATGACGTTGTGGCCAAGATCAATTAGTTTTTGGGAGAGATGGTGGACGTGGAACTCTACCCCACCAGATTGGGGGTAGAAGAAGTCCGTGACCATAGCGATGTTGTAGCCCATGATGTCTGTTGGAGACAAGGGAGGAGGTCTGTTGGAGACTGGTGGTAGGAGAGTGTTTCGAGTTCTTGAATCCATCACCATGATCGATCACATGTTATCGATCACGTGTTCTCTGTTCAGTGGAGCCAGGATACTGAAGAAGGAGCTAGTGGGATGGGCAATCCTGCGAGCGATGCTGCAAGTCTCTACTCGAATAATAATGCCTCTCGACCCTAATTAAACTGAATTACAAGAATCTATTTGAATATATACCTCTTTTTCTTTATTTTTTTAATTATTATATGTTTTATCTTGATCTGATACGGTCAAAACGTAATGATCCTTAGATTAAATAAACTGCATCACTATGGATAACAATAAGGAATGCCCAGACTCTTTAGTGGCAAAATTTTACATTTACTGCATTCTGACCCGGTATGATAGAGCCAACATTGAAAATCAAATCCAATCAGCATTCCTATCTAGTGTCCATTAACTATACACTTATAAATAAGCCTCCCTGGGGAGCGTGGCCACCGAGTTTTTGAAATTTATAGTACATTGTTGGTAGTCCCAATTGCTTTGTTCACAGAGCATCACTCCATATTGCAAGTTCAACTTAGTCTCTAAAAGAATCTTTACCAACACTTCCTGTTGGATTTGATTAAAACTGGACTTGATCTCAGGTGGAAGATCGGCTGTGGTTGGTGTGGGAGCACCAGGAGCACCAGGTGCACCAGCACCAGGAACAGGGGTAGTAGACTGTGGGGTTGGCACGTTGCTTGCTGGTGCACTAACACTTCTGTCCGACATGTTCCAAGCATCAGTTCCAGAAAAGTTTCTGACAGATAACAAATCACTGGCAACAATCATTCCACCGTTTGGACCAGGAATCACCACGAACGTTCTATCAAATGACTTCTTCGAAAGTGGAATCTTCTTTTTGTTGTTGTTGAACCTTCCTCTGGGACCATTGGTGTTCAATGCGTCCAAATTGTCTGGTTGAGCCACTTCCTCGAAGGAACCATGGATGGTGATCATGATACCTCCTAATTGTGGATATCTGTAACTCTCCATGCTGAATAATTCGGGCTTCGTCATCAAATCGTGACGGGTCTTTGGTAATTGAGAGAACAACTTGAAGATTGCTTCCGGTCCAGTGGCAACCCTTGAAGCTCTAACTTTGGCTGAGCTGACACGGGTCAAGTTTCTAGATTGTGGTATGTAGTAACCAAAGTCAGTTCCACTGGCATAGGATGCGTTAGCGTTGGTTTCTATTAAATGAGGATGCGACGAGTCCACTTGCATGGAGAACTGGGATTCGTTTTGGTAAAGAATCATAAGTTCTGACCTATTGGAGTCCCATAGTTTGAAGTAGTTGGCAATGAAATTGGGGGCCATATTTTGGATTTCTTCGTCTTGGAAGAACATAGATGCAGGGGTTCCGAAAGGAAACGTCAAGTTGATTTTCAATGCTTGCTCGTTTCTTATTATTTCCCCGTTCAACACCACCAATCTTGGGAAAATCTTCATTAAATCAATCTTGACATTGCCATTTCCATTGGCCCCGTCATTTATAGGGTTTCCTACCAACAATAATTCACGAAGGTAGTTCAACTTGTTCTTCCAGATCTCGAAGCTCTTGACTCTGCTGAAATTGTTGTTCACCAAGGAGAGATTCTGTAAGGTGGGAAAGGTTTGGGCCAAGGTAGACACTGTAGACAAGTCCTGGAGCTCGTTGCCGGATAAGTCGACACTCACCACGTCCAATTTGAGGTCAGTGGCCACCTTCATCAATGCAGGGAAGAATTTGGACGAGGTGGAGTTTGAATTGAAGAATCCACCCGCATTGACGGTTGGGTCCTGCTTGACGGCACTGAGGTTCAACAACTTGATCTCCGGCTGGTACCTGGACTTCAAGAAGTGCGATAACGCTTCGATGGCATTACCGGTGTTGGGGTTGCTAACACCCATTTTGGAGGAAAACGAGTCCGCAGATGCTGCTTTGGTGATCCGCAAGGACTGGCCGGCGAATTTGACCCCCGACCAGTTCAAGAGGTCGTTGGCCTGGTTCATGGACTTGACGTAACCCTTGAGGATGCCGGTGTTGGGCTCCACCGAGTGGTTACTGACCACGATTTTGCATTTCCTGGAGATGAAATTGATACACTCTTCGGGGCTGGCTCCGTTCCATCCAAGGATCTCCACGCCCACCGAGTTCTGCTGGACAAAATCGTCGACGGCCTGTTGGCTGAAGTTGTTGCGGTTGTTGTATTGGTTGTTGTAACCACCGCCTCTGCCTCTGCCTCTATAACTCATGGCTGGTGATGAAGAAATGTTTTAATTTCAAAAAAGACGTGCGAAAAAAGGTTTGGTACGCCAGCCGCGAGTAGTGTGCGGTTTGGAGAAAAGGTGAGGGTAAGGTGCTATGCTAGAGGCTCTGGGGTAGTCTTGGGGTAATAATCTGCTACTGGATCTCAGGAGCTGCTAGCCCGAGATGATAGCTAAATAGTGGTAGTTAATGCGAGCTAGCATGTCATACAATTGATACTTCTTCCTCTTCGCACGGCGAGCTCTACACTTTTTCACAGCCGACATGGGTACTTTTCAGCCAGAAACTGGTCTACAGAATAAGCTAGTATGTGTTCTATATCGTATTGATATTTGCTATAGCAATGCGACGTATGTATTGATCGAATCGCCTCCATTGCCAATGCCTGAATAGGTGATTTCTGACGTCTTCCACTACCAATTCTGAAAAACTGCAACGCTGGGTGTAACCGTTTACAGGCCTACAAATGCCATTCGTAACGTAATATCATTATTACACAACCTTCCACTGGAAAAATGCCAATTGGGCCGACCGGGTCATCATTGTCCGGTTTCTCCGGTTTCTCCGTTTTCATGCAATGAGCCCACAATGGGGTACTTGTTCTCGAAGTGCTCCTCCCAGCCATCCAACGACTCGATCTCAGCGTCAGTCAAGTCCTTCAAGGTGTCGATGGGCTTGTTAATTGGGGTCAAAAGCTCGGCCTCAAACGAGTTCTTGGCCAACCCACGAGAAGCGTCCCTGCCTGCAAAGTTCTCGTAGGGTCCGCCAGGGCCGTAGAAAGAGGCTCCCTGGCTGACGTTATACACCTTTCCCTTGACTGCTATGAATATTTTGGGATCATCCGTACCGTTGTACTTTTGCAAAGTTTCGGGAGTGAACTTGCCCTCAACAATGGGTTCTTCTCGGACTTCTGGTTCCGCAAATGGGTTGAATACCGAAACATCCGAAAGGGTGTTTCTGAACAAGTACACAATAACTAGCACTAGAAGAATAGTGGTGATCATCTTGCAGAATCAGCACTGTTCACACACAGAATTTGTACCCCAGTGTGCGCACGTGATTGACACTGATGTTGGGAGCACCACAAGGAATATTGTGCAGCAACTAGAGTAGTTGGAAGTGGTGCTTTGGCGGTATGGCAGATGGTTGGGAAGGATTGTTTCTTCAACATTTGCTCCTCTTGTTGGTGGAGCTTGCCAGTCAACAAAACAGCATCAGTAATCTAGCCAATGCGGTTGCGATGAAATAATCTTGCTAGTACTTATCTAAGAATGTTAAGGATTGAACTTTCAGCTAGGTCAGGATTAAGCCTTCGCCAATTTCTAGCAAACGAACTGGAGTCGGGGGTCGCTAATCCGCCTTACTGTGTTCTTGGATGGCTTGTGATTGTGGAGAGGAGCAATTGCATGTGAGAGCATGTTAGAGTTTTCGCAACCACCGCGACTTACATTGTGTCAAGAATCCAAAGTGTCATGAACGTGATAAGTTCACCATGGTACAAATCCTCAAACAGTTCAGCTGCGGTTCCAGCCCTTTTTCGTACATTGGTGCTTCCACATCGAACAATAAAATGGAGCATTCCTTTCGTTTTACTCAAACAGGCTTCAAATTGAACGCAAATTGTTACTAAGCATTCAGTGACCATCAGTATGCTTAATTACAGGGCAAATAGCATTTGTTTGCAATTCTAGAGCCTAAAATTCTACTGTTCACTCAGGAAGGTTGGCACTTTAAACCATGGAAAATCCATAATTCTGGTACGGAGACTTAAGGCCAGGGAAGGAACATCCTCAACCCAGAATTTTTGATTATCCCAGCAGAAGTTTCTCTACCTGAATTGCTGCACTCAGACGCTCTTCCTGGTTGGCCCCATCCAACCTAACCTCGAAGGCCCAACATTCCAGCTTTGCTTGCACAAGTCAGTGTAGGTTATGAACATCACGTGATGCCATATTTCTCGAACTTTTCAATTCATCCAAGTTGATTCCAACCGTAATCACTTCAAAATGGGCAGAGACATCATTTCCTTGGACGATATCACTCCAAACAACATCGGGGTGCTTCAAAAAATCAACGAGGTCAGCTTACCAACCACATATTCCGAACAATGGTACAAGGACTCCCTCGCATCAGACCAAATAGTCAAGCTTAGTTTCTACTCGGAATTACCAGTTGGAGGAATTAAAGCAAAGTCTTTCAACAGTTCAAGCACAACCAACACCTACGAAACCACCCAGCAGTTACAGATCAAAGATCAGATTCCCAACGCAGTCTATATAGAGAGTTTGGCTGTTTTGGAAGCATACAGAGGATTGGGTATCGGATCCAAACTCTTGGAATATGCCATTGAAGAGACCAAAAAAAGGTTTGTTCACGAAATCATTCTTCATGCCCATGTTGAAAACCAAGAAGTCATAAGCTGGTACGAAAAACGGGGATTTATGAAGGGCTCCATAGTTCCTGAATACTACAAGGCCCAAGGATTAAAAAACCCGGATGCTGTGGTTTTGACCTTGAAGGTATAGACTACATAGATAATTCACTCAAGTGCATTTTATTTGCATTTATGTACTCTAATTCTCACCCTCGTCTTCAGTATCTGTATTTATATCCGTGAAGACACTCTCATTATCACTAACATCGTCGTCTTGTTCTTCAATCTTCGATGGCTGAGTACTCTGTCCTCTCAAGGCGGCCAAAGCTCCAGCCAAGGTGTCTTCCTCTGGGTCGGAGATGTCACTTTCGTCATCGTCAGAATCGACTTCTTTCTTTTTCAAGCTCATCAAGGATGGAGGGGTCTTAACTTCCAATTCAACAGGAATGTCAACGTCACAACCGAAGTATGCGTTGTTCTTTAATATGAGTCTGAAATGGTAGATACCAATGTTTTGTGGAGTTGGGACAGCCAAGTTAATTTTGAATGTTCCAATGGTAACATCTTCTCCCTTCTTCCAAGTTTCTTGATCTAAGGCCAAGTTACTCAAGTCGACATTTTCTAACTTGTATGATGTGGTACCCTCCACTAATTTTGCATCCTTCTGTGATAACAAGAAAGCTGTCCACGAATTACGGACATTGCTTGGGAAGAATGGAGAGTAACTATATGGAAGAACTGGTTGTTTTTCGTTGATAGAAGCTGGGTTTCTCATGTAATCCAATGTTTCCTCATCCTTCAATCTGGATTCGTCAATTTCTGGACATGACTTAAGCTTTGGAGACTTGACCAAGAATTTCAATGAGATGTGAGCATTAGAAGCAGGTGTAACCACGTCTTCGCCAGGAACTTTAAATTCTGATTCAAGTACTCTCAAAGAACCAATACTTGCTGCAACGCTGAGGGCAGCTTCCAATTTTGTCTTGTCTTCGATACCTAAAATTTTACCAGCTTCTTCCTTAGAGACAGCGAAAAGCTTACCCAATTTCTTGACACCAGATTTTTCCACGGCTTTTCTATCCACATAAGGCAACTGCAATAATTCTTGATACTTACCTTCTGGCTTGACAGCTTGGATAATCGATTTTTGCAAATCGCAAGCAGTCACGACAATATCAGCTTGTCTGAAGACCACGGCGATTTCAATCAATCCTTCAATCAATTTTGGTAACATGGCCACAATCTTGACCTTCTCGGCTTCCAAGCTTGGGTTGGTCTTGACGTACTCGAAGTTTCTGTTCAAGTGTCTAGCAATCAAATCTCTGACCTGGTTGTAGTCCAAATGCTTAAAAGTGGTTCTAACTTCGTTACTCAAACAAATCAAGTCCAATAAGTCGTAGACAGTGTAGATCTTGGTAGGGTCTCTGTTGGTCAATCTTCTGGTGAATAATCCGGCGGTTTCGATGTGCAAGCCCCTCTTGGTGTATGACTTGACATTGCCCCACCATGTGCCAACAATTGTTGGCAACAAGACACCGATCAACAAGAAATAGACAACGATCATCAACGAGGAGTACTTACCCTCGACCAAGAACTTGGGCAAGGCAATTCCGTGGGAAACATCCTGAGGGCCGTCAGGGTGGCCGTACTTCAAAAAGTTGTTTCTGGTGACCTCGTCAGTCAAGGACTTGTAGGCCAAATTGATTCTGATGAAAGCTGCTTCCATTTCTTGTTTGGCGGCATCAGTCAAGTCCTTTGGGAGCTTGTCAGGATGGAACTTGAGGGATAACTTTCTGTATTTGCTCTTGATGTCTCTTTCACTGGCAAACTGGGACACGTCCAAAATGGTGTACGGGTCGAAGGCGCCTTGCAAGTCGGCTTCCTTGACGAGATTGAGGGCCACGTAGACAAAGGCTGACCAGCCCACGACAATAAACAACAACGACCAGTTGAAGATCTTGGACGACTTCTTTTGAGCCTGGAAACTGTTGATCTGGGCGGCATTTTCCACTGCCACCTCCTGGGATATGGCGCCTTTGATGGAGGCGTTTTCTGACTTGGCGTCCGATGTGCTGCGCAAGTTGTACAAGTACTTCACGGTGACTGGCACCAATATGAACGACAACACAGCCAACAAGAAGAATGGCCATGTTTCGCCCTCTTCGTCATAGGTATATTCAGAGCCCATGGTGTATTAGGAACAGCCGTGTTTGCTGGTCTGTAGTAGGGGGAAGACCGGGTGTGGTGGTTCACGGGTTGTGTCGTTGACGAGAGGCAACAAATCCAGAATCAGTGATGCTAATTCCAGGTTCGAACACTGTGACTAGTACTCGGTGTCTTTATTTCGAGACTGGAGTATTGACGTGTTTGTTACAAAGTGCCACAAAAAGAATTTGCTGAGACCATGGTTGCAACTGGAGGGAGTGCAAGCACATGCTGAACGTGGTGGTGATGCTGGAGGGAGAGTGTAAGCACATCCTGTAATGTTGGATTCTATGTAGTATTACTGTCGCCAAAAATTTTGAGAATTGTGCCTCTAATTATGGCTACCCACTGGAAATTGCAATTGGAGTGGCAGGCTGTGGGAAAAATAGGTGTGAAAATATCCTGAAGCCAACAGCATGGTAATTCCCAGTAATTTTCCAATTGATTCGTGTGTATGTAGCAATTCGTTGAATGAAAAGTCCTACAAGTGATCTAATGTTATAAATGGCTATTTATATGGAGCTGTGAGAGATGTAGTAATTTTTCAGTTGGACAAACTCAATTAGAAGGCTATTATGAACCCACCAAGAATCCTGAAAGCATCAGGCAAGGGCATACCTACATCGCATCTCTAAAATTTCATGTAATTGAAAGAGGGCATAGAAGTAATTTCTCCACTGCAAGGGCAATGCCCTAATAAATATTGAAGCATTTATGCTTCAGGCTACGGCACACTAATGATGATCTTGATTAAACGTAACTAATGAAGTCTAGACTCCAAGAATTAAAATACACTAATGGTGGAACAAACGGATTGGGTTTTCGACGTAAACAATGTCGAAAGAGTCGGCAGCTCCGAAAACGGCCTTGTCCATAACGGAACCGGATGGGGCGGCAATGTACTTGACACCAGATCTGGCAGCTCTGTAGACATTGTCTGGGAATGGGAAGAAGGCATCGGAAGACAAGGCGACGTTTTCCAACTTGGCAGACCATTCTTCTCTTTCCTTTTGGGTTAATGGTTCTGGCAATTCAGCAAACTTAGATTCGTATTCGGTCTTTTCTGGCTCAGTGGTTGGTATTTGACCAGTCACATACAAGTCAATGGCGTTGGACTTCTCAGGTCTCTTGACACCCTTGGCCCACTTGAAGCCCAAAACCTTGGGGTGTTGTCTGAACCACCAGTTGTCGGCCTTGTCACCAGCCAATCTGGTACAGTGGATACGAGATTGTTGACCAGCACCTAAACCGATCACCATACCGTTCTTAGCGTAACACACGGAGTTGGATTGAGTGTATTTCAATGCAATGGTAGCAACGGTCAAGTCAATGGCACCTTGCTCAGTCAACTGCTTGTTCTTGGACACAAATTCCTTGAAAGAGGTACCCTTGATGATGGCGTCGTTACGCTTTTGTTGTAAGGTTATACCGTAGACTTGTCTCGATTCCAATTGGTCTGGGGTGAAGTTTGGATCGATTTGCAAAACACAGTACTTACCACCCTTCTTCTTCTTCAAGATTTCCAATGCTTCATCGGAGAAACCTGGAGCAATCACACCATCAGAAACCTCCTTGGAGATGATTTGGGCGGTTGGCAAGTCAACAATGTTGGACAAGGCGATGAAGTCACCAAAAGAAGACATTCTGTCGGCACCTCTAGCTCTGGCGTAGGCATTGGCCAATGGAGATAAGTTTTCGATGTCCTCAACGAAGTAGATCTTCTTTTCGATGTCAGACAATGGCAAGCCAACGGCGGCACCGGCTGGGGAAACGTGCTTGAAAGAAGCAGCGGCTGGTAAGTTCAAGGAAGCGGACAATTCCTTGACCAATGGCCAAGAGTTCAAGGCATCCAACAAGTTGATGTAGCCTGGGGAACCGTTCAAGACCTTGAAAGGCAATTCACCTTGAGAGACAAAGGCTTGTGCTGGCTTTTGGTGGGGGTTGGCACCGTATCTCAATGGCAATTGAGAGACGTTCTCCGAGTATTGCTTTCTGAAGAAGTCAGAAATGGCAACGTCGTAGTCAGCAGTGTGCTCGAAAGCCTTGAGAGCGTATCTGTTTCTGGCTTGGTCGGAGATTTCACCGCTCTTCAATTCTTCCAAGAAACCGGCGTAATCCTTTGGATCAGACAAGATGGTGACTCTGGCGTGGTTCTTAGCAGCGGCTCTCAACAAGGTGACACCACCAATATCAACTTCTTCGACGGCTTCCTCAATGGTGACTGCAACCTTGGAGACAGTCTCCTTGAATGGGTACAAGTTGCAGACAACGAAGTCAACCTTTTCAATTCCTTGGGCTTCCAAGTCCTTTTCGTCACTGTCCAAGTTTCTGGCCAAAATACCACCGTGAACGGCTGGATGCAAAGTCTTGACTCTACCACCCAACATTTCTGGGGCCTTAGTGATAGTGGAGACATCCTCAACTGGGAATCCAGCACCACGAACCAACTTGGCGGTACCACCAGACGCCAAGATACGAACATTGGCAGCAACCAATCCCTTGGCCAAGTCTAATAAACCTGTTTTGTCGTAGACAGACAAGATTGCTGTTTTAGTGTAGGTAGTCATAATGATATGCGATTGTATACCAAAGAAAGTAGAATTGGTGGAATTGAGCTCCTTGACAATCTTATAGATTCCAGGTCGTGCGCACGCCCGGCTAGAAAAATTTGGTACCGATTATTAGATGGAGTCAAATCTGACTCGGTAGATAACGTCAGCTGACCTGGCAAGATCAAGATAGGGCTGGGGGCAGCCAGTGGCTACGCCCTGGCGATTCCAGGCCTGGCCTTATCACTGGCAAACCTCTAGAAACTCACAATTGGACCTTCCATGTGGCCCGCGCACGTGATCTACACTATTTGATCTCGATATTCATTTACACAAATATACACTCCACCAGGCTCTGGCGAACCCAATGGCAAGCATCGCAGTATTAAAAACACTAACCCGCTTAAGATCTGTATCTCCACAAAGACAAAGTGTTTTGTCTCTTCCAGGTGTGACGACGACCAGCCTTGGTGTTGTTGTACAAGTGACCCTTGTTGATACCTCTGGACTTCTTACCGGTGGAAGTAAGACCTCTAGCTTCTCTTCTCTTGTGGACTGGGTTAACGATCCAGTTGTATCTGGCGTCGTTTCTGATAGCCTTGTGAGATGGGTCGAGCAAGATGACTTCGAAGTACTTGTAGGTGGAATCTTGGTTAACCCAGTAGGAGTTCAAGACTCTCAAGTTAGAAGCACGACGACCAACTCTTTCTTCAGCAGTAGATCTGGCAGATCTTTGGTACTTCAACTTGTTAACACCTTGGTTGGTTGGCTTACCGTAAGTAGCACCCTTTGGAACAGGTCTCTTTCTACCACCTCTTCTGACTCTGACTCTGAAGATAACGAAACCTTGCTTGGCCTTGTAACCTAATCTTCTGGCCTTGTCTGGTCTGGATGGTCTAGAAGCTCTGTGGATAACAGTCTTTTGTCTGTATTCCCAGCATCTAACACGATACAAGAAACGCATAACATCGGATTGCTTCTTTCTTTGCAATTCTTCTAAATATTTGTAGGCACCCATTTTTACTAACTTATGTTTGTCAACAAGGAAAAGAAGAAGAAACTTCGAAGCTGAAATATGAAAAATTTTTAAGGACCATACTCGATGTGGTGGAAAATGCCACAAAACGGTGGCCGGGTAACTCAAGTTTTTTTTTCGCGAGCCCCGGTCCCCAATTTTCCGGTCTGTAATCTACGCGTGGACTAAATGGAAGAGTCACGTGGCCACTAACTCTTCTAGGATGCAATGGCCCACCAGCCAACACCAACCGAGAATGGGAGCTCCAAAATGGTAAGCTGCCTACAACCAACTGTTCGTACACGTCTAGCCTATATCCAAACCGAAGGAATGGAACTGTGTTAAATGAGTTACTCTTTTTCATCTATCACAAGTATTGATTCCCAGTTCCAACTCTCCTTCAATATCACGTGATATTTCACCCGTGACCTAACATGGGAGCCATATCGAGAGATGAGCATCGCAAAAACAACACCACAGCCATGTCAGACGAAGCGAGAATTGAGACTCGTGAGAATGAATTCCAAGCGGATGGTGCGAATAACGACCCAATTAACCACAACCATGTGAATCCTGTTGAGGATGCCGTTATTGATGAAACTGCAACAAGCACTATCGATGAAACCAAGATAGACGAGACTGAATCGCAACTGAAGAGTACAGAGGATGCCATCGATACTGAAGCACAACCAACAACTGAGCAACAAGAAGTGCGTGTAGAGGAGGCTGCTCAACAATCTTTGCCACAACCGGAGAATCAGTCGAAAAGTGAAATTGTCAATTCCGTCCAGGACTCTCCAAACCAGCGTGAAGTACAAGCACCAACCACAGCTGAGACTGTTGAATCAGTCGAGCCAGTCGAGCCAGTTCAGCCAGTTCAGCCAGTCGAGCCAGTCGAGCCAGTCGAGCCAGTCGAGCCAGTTGAGTCAGTTGAATCGGCTGAGTCGACTGAGCCAGTTGAGCAAGCTAAGAAAGTTGAATCGACAGAGACAGATAAACCAGATCAACCGGCTGAATCACTGTCTGAAGTTGATACTTCCAAATCCCTTGAGGCCCCCCAAAAATCAGACATTAAGGATTTCATTAACCAAAAACCCGAGGAGGATTTACAACAATTATCTGACGACGACATAATCATTGATGGAATTAGCTCTGGATCAGATGATTCTGATTCGAGCTCTAGCTCCGACTCTAGTTCTGATTCAGACTCGGATTCAGACTCGGATGACGACTCGGATGGCGACTCTAATTCTGCACAAAAGGGGGACATTGATTCCGATGAAGAAGGGGAAGCAGTTAGTGGTCCTATCGCTTCGAAGAATGAGGTACTTGATGAAGTTGCTCCAAGCTTGCCCGAGGACTATTCTTTACCGGAAAATGCACCAATCGAACCAATCGGAGTAGTGACCGCCCTAGTGGAAAATAGTGTTATAATCAAGGCGACCATTTCAGGAGAGTTCAGAGTTTTAAAGGACCAATCTGTGTTGTGTTTCGAAGATCGTACCATTCTCGGTCCGTTGTTCGAAACATTTGGAAAATTGCAGAACCCCGTTTATCGTGTCAAATTTAACAGCACCGAGGAATTTGAAAAGTTCAAAGACTGCAAAGGAAAAGCTGTGTATTACGTTGTTCCTGATTCAAACTTTATCTATACTGATTCTATAAAGACCATCAAGGGTACGGATGCTAGTAATTGTCACGATGAAGAATTACCAGAAGAAGAACAGGAATTCTCTGATGACGAAAAAGAAGCGGAAGTCAAACAATCAAAGAAGAAGAAGAAGAACAAGAAAAAGGCCGAAAACCAAGAATCTCGTAAGAGAACTAACGGCTCTGCCGACTCTGATCCAAAGAGATTTCAGCCTTATGGTTATGCCCAGCCTCACGAAGAACGTACACAGCATCCAAGAGCACAATATTCAAACTATGCATCCTCCCAAGTCCAACATCCACAGCAAGCTATACTGCATGCACAACAACCAGTTGCCCAACAAAATTCACCATATGGGTATCCAAATCAAATAGGTCATCCCCAGCAATACGGTGCTCAGATTGGTCAAATGAACCATGTAGCTCAACCTTTTCATAACCAATCACCATATGGAGTTCCTTTCAACCAAATTCAATTTAATGGAACCCACCATGCTTATGGTCACCCGCAACCACCTTACCATAATGCCAATCTTCCACCCTACCCTGGCCAGTTCAATCAAAACCAACACCAGCAACCCGCAGGATACGCTCAACCAAACCAATGGAACCAACAAGTTCCCCAGCATCAAAGTTTCCAGGCACCTGGCCAATTTTACCCCCCAACCCACCAAGCAGTTCCTGCTCATGCATCTAACGATATGCAACAATCACAGTTGCAACAACTTCAACAGCTAATTGCCAATCAGATTCAACAAAACCAAGGACAGAATCAGGGACAAAATCAACCTCCTTCACAGTAAGTAAATTCTTAAGTACGCAAGTAATTCATGAAGTAGTATTGACCAGTCTGAATTGTATAGCAATATGTAGTTTTAAACTAACTCCTTTGGCAAAGAATTCAAAAAAACTCTTAACCAATTTCGTCTTGTTCACTGTAATGGTTGCGAAAAGGAATTCATTTTGAAAATTTAATATTTCGCAAAATTTTCACAATACTGGATATTCTTACAAAGATCGTATGAACAGGGAATGCGTTCACTTGTACATTAGTTATCAGAATGTAAAGGCTTACAGTCCATGCATGCCATATCTAAACTATATTATTAATTATTATATACTTGAAAGTGATATGTGATTTAAATAACTAATTTTTACCTACCCTTGTCTCTGTTTCCAATACCTCCAATGCTTTTTGAGCGTTCAATAACGCATGTTTTGGGAACCCGGCCATTTGTGCAACTTCTATTGCATATGAACGATCACTAATTCCAGGTTCTAAAGTATGGTCAATGATAAATCCCGACTCTGGTTCACCAAGGTTTCTCTCATGCTCCGAATTGAACAAGACCCTAGTCCTGAAGTATTTAATTTTATTTTGATTGATATTGTTTGCTACCAAGAGCAGCTCCAACTCCTTACCGAAATGAGTAGCGAACAAAGTCCGACATTTGTTGACTTGTAACAAACTTAAAAGTGTGGCATATGCTATCGCCAAACCTTCTTTTCCACTTGTGCCTCTTCCTATTTCATCAACAATAGCAAGAGAATTTGGGGTCGCATTCTTTAGAATATTGCTCGTTTCTACCATTTCCACCATGAATGTGCTGAGATCACTAAATAGATCGTCTGATGCCCCTATCCTGGTGAATATTTTATCCACAATACCGAGGCTCGCTTTCTCAGCAGGCACAAATGACCCAATTTGAGCCAATATGACAATCAATGCATTCTGTCTTAAAAATGTACTCTTCCCTCCCATATTTGGTCCCGAAATTATCCACAAATTCTCCGAAGTAGAACCGATTTTGGTGTTATTGGGTATGAACATAGACCCAATTTCTTTGAGGCCTGATTCTACCACTAGATGCCTTCCTTTTTTTATATTTAAACGTGGTGTTTTGGTAAATTTTGGACATACGAGATTATTTTCTTGTGCAAGAACTGCAAAAGAAGTAGTAATATCCAAAAAATCAACTAATTTGCTGACTTTTCTGATTCGTGGGATTGCATCAAGCACTTTAATTCGTAACTTATCGATGATTTCGTTTTCGAATTCTTTAATTTGATCACTTTTTTCATCAATTCTTGCTTGCAATCGATTCCATTCTTGAGGTTTATATAGTAGAGAACTTTTCCTCTTCTCCCGAATATCTGGCTCAAATAGCAGATGGGCTTCCTCAATCAGCTTTTGCTTTCCTGAAATATGTATCACATTGAGATATCTCCCATGCTGATGTTTTTTCTTCACCTTGATTTTTGGATCTATGGTAGACATCAGATCTTGAACATGACCTAAGAATTCATCTTCTTCCTGTAGGAAAGCGTCCATCTGCTGATGATGAGCAGCTAACTTCTCATTGAAATCTCTTCTGACACTAAACAAGAATTCACTCTCAATCTTGGGTTTGTCTGTTTCCTTGTACTTGTCCAAAGACAGATTCGAATATGATCCTGAATATCCAAAAATGTCAGATTCAATTTCGCTTTCATTGTATTCCTCGTATACGTCGGGTTCAACAGATTCTTCGGCCTCCACGTATTCAACGTGCAAAGTGTCTTGGATCTCTTTTGAGATTTCCCATGGAACCTTAAAGTCTTTTAATAGTGTTCCTAGAGTTTTGAACGACTTTGGATTCTGTTTGTATTCTTCAATCAAGAATAGTTCAAGCTCGTATAATTTGTCCACTCCATCTGCAATCAGAAGTAGGTGAACTACTGCGTCACCACTGCTTAGTGATAATCTTTGCAAAGACCTCACAAAATCTCCCAAGACTGACAACCTAGTTCTAATAGAGACTTTCAAGTATTCATTTTCAAGAAATAAATTAACGTAACTCTGGCGATATTTTATCTCATCAATATCAAGCATGGGGGACTTGATCCATTGAGTTAATAGGCGAGAGCCGGATGGCGTGACGGTTTTCTTGATTGTGTTAAGAAGAGTCCCAACTGTGGAATTTCTACCATTATTAGTTCTTTCAGTAAGTTCCAAGGCCTCACGACTTCTAGAATCAATTTGTAAGTATTTTTGATTCCAATACTGTGTGGGTAATTCTAGGGAAAGGTTCCTTTCAGGTAAATTAACGTTGATGTATGATAAAACCAAATTCATGGCAGCTTCTTCCCTCACACTAAACTCCTCTAATGATTTTCTAGTGGTTTGAATATTGGTCTTAAATTTGAACTTCAAGTCACTGTAACTGGTTTTATGGTACCTTAAAAAGTACTTCCTCAAGTCATGCAACGGCGCGTACCAGTTTCCATTGGTGATGTCTTCAGTTTGGAAGTCTTTGGAGATCAATACCTCGCTTGGATTTATCCTAGCAATATCTGTCATGAGTTCGTTGAGCGTTGTCTGCTGGACATAAAACTCCCCAACAGACACATCTATCCACGAAAGGCCAATTTTAAGGTCGGGATCAGCTGGGATCTTGGTACATTTTGGAGGAAGGGAAATGGCCACAAGATAGTTGTTCTGGGAGTAGTTGAGGAACGTCTCGTCCACCAATGTGCCTGGCGACACAATTCGTGAGATTTTGCGGTGGATTATGTTATCTACTGACTGGTCTTTGGAAGGGTACTGGTCGATAATTGCAACGTTGACCAGACAGTCTTGGACCAACATTTTGACGAATTTCTGGAGCTGAAAGACTGGAAAGCCAGCCATTGGGATGGAATACAGACTGGTTTTGCGGGTGGCGACCTTGAGGCCCAATCGAGGCCCGAACACAGAAGCCTGGTCGAAATAGAGTTCGTAGAACAGCCCCACCTGGATCAAACACACACAACCAGGGTTGGAGTCAATGAGTTTTTTCATGGATGCGTAGAGGGGCGTCAAACTATTCTTGTCAGTACGGCCTCCTCGATCCCACGACGGGAGAGTTTCTGGAGGTGTCGGCGTGATGGTGGTCAAATGGGGAGTTTCTGGTGGTTCGTGGATGGCCTTCAATGGTTTGAAAAAAGGCCGTGAAATGCTTAGCTGTCGGCGGAGGGTAGCACCCGTCGGCCAAAGCGGTCGTAAGGTGGCAGCTCGGAGCATTTGATGGTGCTAGCGACGCTAGCGGGACGTGTTGATGATGGGGCAGCTTGATCTGACGCGGTTATATGATAAGATGGCGCGCGATGAAAAGAGAGGGTACACTTTGACACCGTTACTTAGTTGGAGACTGGGGATTTCTTAGGATGTAGGCAGCTGGAGTGGTTCTCGTGCCAGAAAGCTACTGGTGCTCTACTAGAGAGAATCTTTGTAGTCGTTGACATTTTGGAATATAATACAGCTATGTACATGTTACAGTGGAAATAGAGTGCGAGAGGTTCTTCGACAAGAATGCTGGTTTCTATCACTGTAGTGAGCACTCAGTTCTTCCGAGTCTATCCTCATCGGAGCGTTCTTGGAACATCAGCATTGGTTCTTCGATTCTTTGTTGGGATCAACGATCCTCACTTCTTACGGGTACTTCTTCTCACCGGCATCTTAGGAGGGGGAGCGCTGGATCTGGTGTTTCTCCGCGTTGCAGGCTTGGGAGTCTCCTGCTCCTCGTTGTCGTCATCGTCTTCATCCTCTTTCTTTCCGTCAGAATCGTCCAGCTCCTCAGGAGGTGGATGTGTCCCTGACCGAGTTCGCCTCTTGGTTTTGGCCACCGGAGGAGTGGCAGCTCTGGAGTTCCTTCGCTTGGGTCCCGGTTCCACCAGATCCAACTTGGCCAAGGACCGGGTGCGCTTCTTTGTTGGCCGAGGCTTTTCTGGCAAGTTCTTCTTGACCCCTCTGGTGATCCGCCTCTTGGTGCTTCCTTCATCTTCTTCGTCTTCTTGGTTCAGGTCCTCTTCACTGTTATTAATCTCTTCTGTGTTACCTCTGGAGCCTCTGTTGTTCTTGTCAGTGTCTTGAGTAGATGCCCCTTCATTCGAGGAGTCCGAATCAACATCACTCAACCCAGACGAGTCATCCTTGGCCTCGTCTTTGATGCTGACTCGCTTCTTGTCACTCTTTACTTTGGACTCCTTCTCCTTGCTCTCTTTCGGCTCATCCTTCTCATCCTTCTCATCCTTCTCATCCTTCTCATCCTTCTCATCCTTTACTCCCTGTTCTTCTCCACTGTCGCCAGCCTTTGTATCCTCTTCTTCGTCTTCCTCTGCCTTCTCTTGCTCTTCATCCTCAGCTTCAGCTTCACTTTCTCTGTAGTCTTCGAGCGAATCGAGCTTGGGGAGATTGTAGAGGGTCTCCAATTTTGCCCATATATCGCTTGCACTGAACGGTTTGGGAGCATCCTTGTTGATGCTGTCTATGATTGACACCATATTCTTGTGCTTGTTTGCACCAGCAGGCTTATAGTCACAGATTAGACTGAGTAATCGTATCTCATCATCAAGACTCCATTCTCTGATTACAGACATGATGGACAGGTACCGTATTAAGCAAATACAGACCAAGAACGCCGCAGTTCGGGATAGGCACAAAGACAGTAGCCGATGGTGGATAGACCTGCTTATCCAGAGTGATGGAAGCCAGAAAGTGGTTTCAACGCCTAAACAAAGTCACGCGGAGGAGAGGTCACGTGAGAGCGCATTCGTCCAAATTATCAAAAATTTCACATCGCTAAATCAAACCCACACAGTCAGTCACCATGCCTAGAAAGACCCAGAACCTCAACTCTCTTAGTAGAGGTAGAGTAAGGGCCTCTATGAACAAGTACAACTTGTTCAATTTGTACAAAAAGGACAAGGTTTCATTCGACAGACTCACCCTCTTTCAACAAAAATGGAAGGCCAAGGCCGAAACAAGAGCATACCACGGAGAACATTTGACAGAGTCGAGATGGAAGACATTGTTCAACCCTTCGCTTGAGTCCGTTGCCCAGCTAGATGCCTCCTTGAAGGGATCCAGAGTGCAACCCACTCCAATGGTTTTACAAACATACGCTGCCCTCGAAAAGAGATTGGAGTTGGCCGTGTTCAGATCCATGTTTGCATCCTCCGTAAGACAGGCCAGACAGTTCATTTTGGGAGGCCACGTATCTGTGAACGGTGTTGTGATCAAGCATCCTTCATTCCCATTGCAAGCCGGCGATATCTTCAACGTCAAACCGGAAAAGGTTTTGTTGGCCATGGGTAGAGTCAAGCCAGGCTTAGAACAATCGGTGAAGGTGGACAACAAACAGATCATTGTGTGGAACAAGTACGTGAAGTCCGCTAAAGAGAATCCTAGAGATGTGTGGGAGTTGAAACAAGCCAAGCCAGAATCCTTGGACACCACCAGAACTGAAAACAATGCACAATCCATCAAGAGTTTCAATGATAAGTTGGACAAGGATATGATCAGAAAGCAGAAGGAGACAACTAGAGAACTGATCTTGACCAGAATTTTGACTCTTGCCTCAAAGCAAGAAGAAGTGGACGAGAAAGCATTTAAAGAATTCGGATCCCAAGCAAAGAAGTGCCACGATGTTTACAACTTGTTGTTTGACTCAAAGCACGATATGGTAGAGAACTTTTCTATTGAAGCCAGCACCGAGTTTGTCAACAAGAAAAAGCCAGAAATGGATGCTGGTGAAAAGCACTTGACTTCTAGCGTCAAGCAAATCTTGGGAGAAATCCAGAAGGTGACCGTTGAGTCGATCCGCGTCAAGGCCCAAGAAAGCAAGTTGCCAGAAGACGCGAAGACTATTCCATTCACTTCTCAGTTTGCTGAAAACTTGAAGACCCACAAGAAATTAAACAAGGATGAAATCATGGAAAACGAGGCAACTGCCGAGATAAGCTTGCCATGGCAAACTGGCTTGTTTGGCCGTCAAGACCCAACCAAGCCATACTTCACCCCATGGACCCCCAGACCATTCTTGGGTGCCTTTGCCATCTTGCCTTCTCACATTGAAGTTTCTTTCAACACCTGTCACGCAATCTACTTGAGAGACCCAATTGCCAGACCAGGCCACTCCGAGGTCATCACTCCGTTTGCCGAGGATGTCCACGAAAGAGCTTACATGTACTATGTTAGAAAGGGATTGTAGTATCGTTGTATATAGTCGCTGCATACCTTGTGTATTTAGGATAATAGTGAAACAAATCACGTGAAGTCAATGTAGTCGAGGACTTGCCAATGGCCGTTACATGAGCGTGTAGTCCCAGCGTGTTAAGATCGGTGTTCGATTGTAGTGCCATTTCTGGTGGAAGTCACGTGATGACATACCCCAGGAAGAGTCTCATCTCCAACCTAACCACGCTATGCAATGCCCCGAATCTCACCCCGCTTGGTGAGGGAAGCCTTGTGGCATTCCCGTTTGCTTCCACCACTTTTGCGTGCTAACCCAGAAATAGCCATGGCCAAGCAAGAGCTCCGGTGGATCAAAAATGAGCTTCCTCGAGATCAATGGAGAGATGCTATCACTCGAAGATCTAAACTAGAGCCCTTGCAGTACATCCTCGGAACACAGCCGTTTGGAGAACTTGACATAGAGTGTCGCCCAGGAGTGTTGATACCTCGATGGGAGACCGAGGAATGGGTTACGAAGCTATCAAATCTCGTGGCATCACGATGTCCCAAAAAGAATATCCATATCGTTGATGCCTGCACTGGAAGTGGATGTGTACCTTTATTGCTAAACCACCAGTTGAACGGACAGAGCGATATTTCTAGCCAAATCGTGGGATTTGACATCTCCTTGGAGGCATTTAACCTTGCAAACCACAACCTTGCCAGAATAGACAATAGCACACCGAACGTGAAGTTTAAGCAGTTGAATTTGTTCAGTGAGAGTTTGGTGCAAGAGCTAGCAGTTGACGAGGTGGATATCCTCGTGAGTAACCCTCCATACATTCCCAAGGAAGACTTCTACTCCTCTATGTACATGAATGGGGTCGAGAAGTCGGTGAGATTGTATGAGCCTGCATTAGCACTTATTGGTGAAAACGAATTTTATGAGGCATTGCTAGCGCAGTTGATACTTCCCATGAAGATAAAGGCATTTGTATTCGAATTAGGCTACCAGCTGCAGGTTGACTTCGTCAAAACCTTCCTTGAGGGAAAAGGCTGGGAGGTAGGCTCCATGAACGACGGAAGTGGAAAGATTAGATGCGTATTGGGTTGGAGAAAGGAAATGGATTTTATGCAAAAGTTAGCAGAAGAGAAAAGCTCATAATAGATAGATTATAGATAATTACATTATGAAGGGTATCGGAAGAATATTCATCGAACAAATTACAGGCAGCTTGTATGCTTAATTATCGTATTTGCTACATCTAAAGAACTAGGCCCCAATTCAATCAAGGTCTTGGATCATCTCCTAAATCTGGTAAAGGTTAGTTTTCAACTTCTTGCTTGCCTTCTTCCTTTGGCTTCTCAGTCTCGCTTTCCACCCCAACGGATTCCTCCTTCTTCTTCTTGCTCACACCCCTTCCCACAGCGGTGATATTTTCTTGGGGAAGAACTCTAGTACCCCACAACACGTAACCACCAAAACCTCTCATGGTCATCATAGGGTGCAATCTTCCAATGATGGTTTGATAAGGTCTAACCCTGGTCTCAAAAATGGATGGTGCTAATACTCTCTTATCGTTCGACAAGGAGTGTTGAGTTTCCAATAAAAGTTCTTTGAATTGACTGTATAATACAATTGGTCTTGAACCCCCAATAGCTGGAAGAACTTCTGGTAAAAGAGAAGGTAAATGAAGTGTGCTGACACTAATGAAGCCATCAAAATTGCCTGCTTGAACCATGTCAATTACCGAGTTAATGTCCTGACTTCTCTTTAATCTCTTTTCGTACTGAACTTGCTTGGTTGGCTTCAATGCATCGATTTCTTCTTGACTCAAAATTTCCAAGTCGATCTTTTCGTTTTCAGGCTCCAAAAATTGTAACCAGTTAATGGGCTTGACCATTTGATTTATTAACTCTTCGGGATAATCAGAATATCTTAATGCGATGTGGTTAGGATGCTCGTTTTCGTGTGCCAAAACGATGGTACCCTCACCATTCATTCTCTCCATCATGGCATATAGTATGACTCCTCCAGTCTCATCCACCAACAAGTATTTACCACCCGGTCTAACGTTACCATAGTTCAATATTAAACCCAATGTTTCTTCACTCAAGTCGAGCACTCTTGGAAGGTCTTTTTCGATGTAGTATTGAAGCAATTGTGACGAGCCAATGTATTCAACGGTGAATCTTCTCAAAAACTTTTGTTGCTTCCTTCTGAGGTACTTCTGTTGTGAAAAGATCGTCTTTTTATCAAATCCTCCATGTCCTGCAATGATCTTCTCAATGATCTGTTGGCCAATATTGGACGATGCTCCCGACTTTTTGAGTTCGTCAATCTCCTGGTTGGTGAGACTCTGTACCTTGGAGCCTATATCAATGATTTGTTGATTGTTTTCGGCATTGGTAGAGAAGAATGAAGTGAGATCTGCCTTGGAAAGCTCTCCCTCTGTCTCTGGTTCTGCCTCTGCCACTTCTTCAGCACCCTCCCCATCTTCTAATCCAGGAGCCAAACTTTTCACTGGCTTGACGTTGCTTCTGTCTAAAATTTCAAAACTTTGTCCAAAAGCATACCCTAAGATTGCATCTACATCGAAAGAGCCGAATTTACCCAAGCTAATGGTTCCTCCAGACCTGAGCTCGACGATCTTCAATCCCTCAGATGGCAACCGGATGAGGGCATGCTGGTTGGCAGTGATGATGGTCTTGCTTTTGACCATTGTGTATTGGTACTGATATGCTAGGTTGTGTGTCGAGTCTGAATCTGGCACAGTTGGCTCTCCAAGCTTAGCGACAGTATCGGGTCGATGAGTCGTGCGGCACCACTTTTTTTTTTCAGTCTCATCACTTCAGACATCTCAATCTTTCTATCAACCATATCAGCATAATGGGTAGAAGAGCCAAAAATAAGCAGGGTGTACCACCATCCTTTGAGGACTTCCAAGCAAAGAAGGAGAAGAAGGAAGCAGCAAAGAAGAGAAAGGCCGAAAATGTCGAAAAATCAGAGAAGCCTGTGAAGAAATCTAAGAGCGATGAGAAGAAGCCATCTAAGGAAACCAAGAGCAAGAAGAAATCAAAGAAGAACGACGAAGAAGAATATCAAGATCCCGTTGACTTACCGGAAGTAGACCTCGAGGAACTCTCTTCTGCAAAGAAGGCCTTGTTTGATGACTCCGATGGTGAAGAAGAATTAGAGGACGATGAGTTCGATGTGGGTGCTGAGGAAGAATTTGACTCAGATGAAGAAGCTCGTGCCAATCCAATGTTCTCTGACGACGACGAAGATATGGAAGAATTGAACGCCGCCAACATGGAAGCTTTATCCAGAAAGTTGGACGAAGAAGAAGAGTTGGAGGCCGAAGAAGCTGAAAAGGAATTGTTGGAGGGTGACAGAAACCAACCAAGAGCCCAAATTTTGCCAACCGAAGAGCAAGAGGAAGAACTTGCCAATGCACCAAAGGACATCACCGTTATCAGAACCAGAATGATCGAGATTGTGAAGGTGTTGGAAAACTTCAAGGAATTGGCCGAGGAAGGCAAGTCAAGAAACGACTACACTAGTAGATTATTGAGAGACATCTGTGACTACTTCGGCTACAACGAGTTCTTGGCCGAGAAATTGTTCAACTTGTTCTCCCCATCTGAAGCCATGGAGTTCTTTGAAGCTAACGAAATCTCCAGACCAATCACCATTAGAACCAATACCTTGAAGACTAGACGTCGTGACTTAGCTCAACACTTGGTTAACCGTGGTGTTAACTTGCAACCAATTGGTGCTTGGACTAAGGTTGGTTTGCAAATCTTTGACTCTCAAGTTCCTATTGGTGCTACTCCTGAATACTTGGCTGGTCATTATATCTTACAAGCTGCATCTTCATTTTTACCAGTCATGGCATTGGATCCACAAGAGAACGAAAGAATCTTGGATATGGCCGCTGCTCCAGGTGGTAAGACTACTTACATTGCTGCATTGATGAAGAACACTGGTACTGTGTTTGCCAATGATGCCAACAAAGCAAGAACCAAGTCTTTGATTGCCAACATCCACAGATTGGGATGTAAGAACACTATTGTCTGCAACTACGATGCTAGAGAATTTCCAAAGGTGATAGGTGGTTTTGATAGAATATTGTTGGATGCTCCATGTTCAGGTACTGGTGTTATCGCCAAGGATGAGTCCGTCAAGATCAACAGAACTGAAAAAGATTTCATTCAAATTCCCCATTTACAAAAGCAATTGTTGTTGTCAGCCATTGATTCCGTTGATGCCAACTCCGCCACTGGAGGAGTTATTGTGTACTCTACTTGTTCGGTTATGGTGGAGGAGAACGAAGCAGTTGTCGACTATGCGTTGAGAAAGCGTCCTAATGTTAAGTTGGTCGACAGTGGCTTACAAATAGGTAAGGAAGGTTTTACTTCTTTCCGTGGTAAGCATTTTAACCCTAAGCTTTCCTTGACCAGAAGATACTATCCTCACACTTATAATGTCGATGGTTTCTACGTTGCTAAGTTCAAGAAGATTGCTGCATCCCCACACGATATTTCCAAGGCTGGTGCCAAGGAGAAGGAATCATTGGCAAGAGCTGAAGCAGAAGAGGAAGGTATCATCCATGATGATTTCTCGGTATTTAACGATGATGAAGATAAAGATATTATTGACCTGGCCATTAAGAGAAGTATGAAGAGAAAGGGTATAAATCCTAACGCTAAGCGTTCCACCTAGACGAATAGTGCATCTCTATAGTATAAAATCAACAGAGATTGTATGAAAGAAAGTAGGAACACTCCTTAGATGTAACACGTAGACTCCAGGAATAATTGGAAAGTTGATATGCTAGTGAATTGATATAGCTGGTATTACTTCCTCACCTACAAATCCTACTCATGATAGTGCTAGCGTAGTGTACATTAATTAATTTACAAGATATTGAGACGTACTACCTTAAACAGACATTTCCTAACCCGTGTTCCTTGATGTATTCGGGACCATATTCTTCGTATTCAGCCTTAGAAACATAGCTGTGTTTGCTTTCTTCATCTTGAGACCATTTTTGCATACCTTTCCAAGCATCAGTTATAGGGTTTTTAGCGGTACGGACTTTCAAGGGTGCCCCAACAGGCAAGACTCCAGTGAGCTCAGTTTGGACCCTCTTGTCGAAATTCTTCAAGTTTGCCAAACCACCAGTAATGAGAATATTTTGGATGAGGTTATAGGCTTGACCACCGGGGTTAAAATTACCGTCTAATCTTTTCCAAAGAAGATCACTCAGCAACTCTATGATACCTGCCTGATCTAAACCAGCAGTGTGTGGTTGAAATAAAACTTCCGGCACACGTATTCTTTCGATATTCAAATGCATTTGATGATTTTTCAAGATAATTTCTGGATGATTTGCAATTTCTTCTGCTGGGATTCCTTCTGTTTGCAATGCCAAATTTAAGTTAGGACGGGGGCCATGAACAAATTTGTGTAACACCAGATTCTGCCAATCAAAAGTCTGAGATGCTGAGAAAGTATCCTCATGGTGGAAAGATGGATCGTAGTTCAATAAATCTTCTTCGATAGCAACAATTTGTTTGCTGATTTGATCGAGGTCTTCTTCCAAGCTGGAGTTTGTTATTTCCCTGTATACACCCCAGTCGTCATCATTTGCACCGAAGGTATCTGTTGGATCATTATCAATTGATGCAGCTGCTCTACGTCTTTTTCTATTACTGGCATTTCCTGAAGCACCTACTGATTGGTCATTGGCGAGATCGGTAATATTCTTCATTCTTTGTTGAGCAGCCATGGACTTCCTGTCTTTAAAGGATTCTAATAATTTGACCTTCTCCGTATGCTTTCCTATTAATTCTGCCACCTTTAATCTCTTACTATTGGACCAATCCTCCAAATCTCTTTCACGCCATTCGATTTCCTCCTTTTCACGTTGAAGTTTTGCTTCTTCCTCTTGTCTTTGGATCTCCTTGTTTCTTTCACGTGCATCGTAGTTACCCTTTAGCAATTTCTGCTTTCTTTTCTCTTTGATTTGCTCATCGTTCAATTGATCATCTGGAATGTCTACCAAGGGCCATGCTGTTGCTGGGTCTACTGGACCTTCATCCTCATCATCGTCTTTTGACTTTAAGGTCTTTTCCAAGTTTTTAACATACTTGTTAAACTCACCCAAGTCTTCGAATCCTTCGTCCACAACCCTGTCTAATTGTTCTTGCTTACTTATAGTAGCGATTTCATCTCTGAGTTTAGAATAGTAGTCCAATTCCTCTTGCTTTTGAATTTTCTTTTCTAGACGCTTCTGCTGTTGTTGTTCCTGTAACCTTCTGCCTTGTTCTTTCTTTCTTTGCAATTGCTTGGCCAATTCTTCTTCCGATTTCTTCTTGACTGTATGCAAGCTTAAATCGACTGGTGCCTGTATCACCACATCGTTCTGCTCCAAATTGGGCATATCAAGGAATCCTTTCAATTGGTCGCTGTAATTCTCCAGAATGTAGCAAAAGTCCTTAAACATGTTGGTAGTATGGTCGCTGGTGATCTTGGATGGGAAATATGGATACTTCATCCCCAATAATCTGGCCAAAAACTGCTGGGACAGATTTCCACCCCAGTCGATTCTCTTGGTTTGCAGAAGTATACCCTTTCCACCCACCACCGGAATGACGTGGGTCAGCTCGTGGCCGGTGCCAATGACGAGACCATCGGAGTTTGGCTTCGAATTTGCGTGAAATGCAAACAAAGAGTCTATTCCAAAGGTGACCTTGGGGGCCTGGTACGCTTCGAACAACAATTCGTACATGTTTGTTCTCTGGCTCAAGGGACAGCCCACGGGTTCGGTCATGATGATGGGGTTGTTCAACTTTCCGTTATTGCTGGTGACCCCCAAGTGCTCGAAGGTGTAGTCCAACATGGACTCAACGTAGTCCCAGTTGGTCAAGAGCGGACCATCGAATGGCGACTTGATGGACGTCTTGAGGAGTGGATCGCGGTACACATCATTGCCCACGATGGTCACGGTGACTGGCTTCTTTCTGTAGCGGTAACGCGCAAGCACCGATGGAAACACGTTGTTGGGCTCGTTGGCGTTGGTCAATCCCACTTTGAACGACGAGGCTCCGATGTCTAGGGCGATAGGCACGCCCTGGTGGTAGTTTGTGTAGAACGGCTCGGGTGTGAGCGGTGTGGGCGTTTCCTTGAGGTAGTACACCTCCTGGGGAGGCAACGCAGCCTCTTCCTGCTTAATCTTCGAAGGCGCCATGTCAGTCCCGGATAGATACTGAAACTAAATGGCTGTCTAGGTGATAAATTTGGTGGTCTGGCGGAAGTCGTGCTCGCGGCCACGCTTACGTAACCGCCCTGATCGTGATCTCAGCTTCACCACTCCACTACAACGCGCCAGGGAGACAACGAGGCTACGTCACCAACAATGTCTGCAGAAGAAACCAATCAATTCAACGTTCAAGGTTACAACATCGTGACCATCCTCAAGAGGTTGGAGGCTGCCACCTCGAGATTGGAAGACATCACCATCTTCCAACAAGAGGCTGCCAAAGAGAGGCCCAGCGAGCCAGCGGCTCAGAAGTCAATTGAGTCCAAACAGGCGGATGCAGCCGCAGCTCCGCCCCAGAAGGCAGTGCAGCAAGAAAAGGCCAAGTCCGTGGTCGCTTTCGAGCAGTTTTACAAGTCCATAGTGGAGCCATTTGTCACCAAGTCCAAGGAGATCGACCCCTTGGTGGCGGAAGCCGCCGAATCGTTGAGCCAATCGTTCGCCGCCCAGATCACCTTCCTCGACATCGTCAGCAAGGCTAAGAAACCCGAAATGAGCGACCCTGCCTTCTTGGAAATCTTGAACCCCATCAACGAGAAAATCAGCAAGATCATCGACTTGAAGGATAAGAATAGAAGATCGGAATATTTCAACCACTTGAACACCATCAGTGAGGGCTCTCCAGTTTTGGGATGGATTGTGACCGAAACTCCAGTGTCCTTGATCCCTGAATTTAAAGACAGTGCCAAGTTCTGGTCAGACAGAGTTTTGAAGGAATACAAACAAAAAGACGCCAAACATGTCGAGTGGGTCAAGGATTTCTCCAACATATTTGATGAGCTCAAAACCTACGTTAAGGAATTCCATTCTACTGGACCATCCTGGAACTTAAAGGGTAAACCCATTTCAGAGGTTATTGGAGAAGTGAGCAAGGACTCCAAGTCAAGTGCTCCAGCTCCAGCCGCAGGCGGTGCTCCACCTCCACCACCTCCACCACCACCTCCTGCCCTTTTTGAGGATCAACCAAAGCCTGAAGGTGGTATCAATGCAGTCTTCGCTGATTTGAACAAGGGTGAAAACATCACTTCTGGTCTTAAGAAGGTCGATAAATCTGAAATGACCCACAAGAACCCCGAATTGAGAAAGCAAGCAACGGTTCCAGTTTCCAAAAAGCCTTCTCCTCCAAAGAAGCCATCAAACTTATCTACCAGCACACCTCCAAAGAAGAAGCCAGCCAAGACCACATTGGTAGATGGAACTAAATGGATCGTTGAAAACTATACTGAAGCTGATATTCCTGACCAAAAGCCAATCACCCTTGAGGCCGAGATGCATCAGTCCATTTACATCGGTAACTGTACTGGAATTACCGTGCAAATCAAGGGCAAGGCCAACGCTATTTCTATTTCTGAAACTAAGAATACTGGTGTGGTTGTGGATTCATTGATTTCTGGAGTTGACATCATTAAGTCTTTCAAGTTTGGTTTGCAAGTCACTGGTGTTGTTCCAATGATCAGCGTTGACAAGTCTGACGAGGGTAGCATCTATCTCTCCAAGGAAAGCGTGGAGGCGGATACCCAAATCTTCACCAGCAGTACCACTGCATTAAATGTCAACGTTCCTGAGGGCGATGACGATTATGCCGAATTGGCCATTCCAGAGCAATTCAAGCACTCGATTAGAAACGGCAAGTTGGTTAGCGAGGTGGTTGAGCATGCCGGTTAGAACAACGCGATCAATGCCCTGTAACCCTAAATACACCAGCGATGCTGGTTCATTAGAGACATTACCTATGTGTTATTGTAGCAGTAAGCGTGGGGGTGATGTGTCACATGTCGCGCGTCACGTGCCTTAGAATCTCGAAGAATTTCAACGAAGCCTACGAAAAAAAAAGGAAAAAGGTGTTATAAATCAATCACATCACCGTTGAAAGACAGATCTATAGAAAAGTTCACATTTCAAATACAAGATGGTGAAAGATACAAAGTTTTACGACATTTTGGGAGTGTCTCCTTCCGCTGGAGACAACGAATTAAAGAAGGCTTACAGAAAGGCTGCCTTGAAATACCATCCTGATAAGAACCCATCGCCAGAAGCAGCCGAGAAGTTCAAAGAGATTTCTTCTGCTTACGAAGTCTTATCGGACGAACAAAAGAGAGAAGTCTACGACAACTATGGTGAAGAAGGTTTGTCCGGCCAAGGAGGCATGGGTGGCGGTATGGGCGCTGAAGATATCTTCTCCCAGTTCTTTGGAGGAGGTTTCGGTGGAATGGGTGGCGGTGGCCCACAACGTCCATCTAGAGGCAAGGACATCAAGCATTCCATATCATGCACCTTGGAAGAATTGTACAAGGGACGTGTTGCTAAGCTTGCCCTCAACAAGACCATCTTGTGTAAAGGATGTAACGGATTGGGTGGTAAAGAAGGCAAGGTCAAGAAGTGTACTGCTTGTTCCGGTACTGGTATGAGATTCGTCACCAGACAAATGGGTCCTATGATCCAAAGATTCCAAACTGTGTGTGAGACCTGTCAAGGTTCCGGTGACATTTGTGATGCCAAGGACCGTTGTACCGTCTGTAAGGGTAAGAAGACTCAAACCGAACGTAAGATCTTGCAAGTCCACATCGATCCAGGTATGAAGGATGGTAGAAGAATCGTTTTCAGCGGTGAAGGTGACCAAGAGCCAGGTATCACTCCAGGTGATGTTGTTTTCGTTGTTGACGAAAAGCCACACGACAAATTCACCAGAAAGGGTGATGACTTATTCTACGAAGCCGAAGTCGATTTGTTGACTGCCCTTGCCGGTGGTGAGATCGCCTTCAAGCATGTCTCTGGTGACTACATCAAGGTGACTATCATTCCAGGAGAGGTCATTGCTCCAGGTGCCACCAAGGTTATCGAAAACCAAGGTATGCCAATCTACAGACAAGGTGGTCACGGTCACCTTTTCGTCAAATTCACTGTCAAGTTCCCAGAAAACAACTTTGCCGACGAAGAAAAGTTGAAACAATTGGAAAGTATCTTGCCAGCAAGAACCAAGGTCACCATTCCAAAGGGCTCCGAAGTTGACGAAGTCGACTTGGTTGACATTGATCCATACAAACACCAATCTTCTGGAAGACGTGATGCTTATGACTCTGATGATGAGGAAGGTGGTCAAGGTGCTCCAAATGTCCAATGTGCTTCTCAATAGATTTATTTAATCAACCATTTGCTTTTTCAGAAGATTTTTGGGTATTGTATAGTTCTTTATTATTATTTATATACGCATTGAATAGAACTAGGAAGTGAATAGCGTGCTGGCGTGGTTTTGTGACCGGCTCTAGACTGAGCTTGGATGGCACTATTTGCATTACAAATAATATGAATTGAATTTATTCGCATCAAGTTTGAAGATTGCTTTTACTAGATTCATCGAACTAGAAATTTCACCTTAAGTGATAGCTGTCAATTTTGTAGGTATCAAGTATTGTATATTTTGCTACTTGGCTTCCTCCAGGGAAGCCTGAACATATCGCACCCGCTAGACATCATGTCAGCAGAAACTTTGCGAAAGCACCTAGTTGCGCTTCTTGACCACGAAAACTAAAGATAATCCACTCATCAAGCATAATCCGGCCATTAAAGTGTAAGTTCCTCCTTCGCCCATTTTGTTCACCATTTTCTGTAAAACACCTACGCCAATAGCCCCAATCCAGCATCTCAGCAAATTCATACAGCTCGTCGCAGCCGAGCCTTGACCAGGGTACATGTCAATCAATAAAGTGGTGGAGGCACTCATGAAGGATACAGCGCAGCAAGAGATGAAGAAGAGAGAGATCAAGATTGGCACCACGCTGAGCTTTTTGTCCAAACACCAACCAAAAACCACCGAGAATATTATTAGCAATATAGTCGGAATTGCTGCGAAATCGAGCCTGGCCCTCAAAAGATCGAATTCTGGCCTCTCGCTTTCCGACAAATGGGTGTACTTGTAGTCGTATTGGGCCTTGCGGCGTTTGTAGACCCAGTCGATGATTCTTCCGGTAAGAACAGCCCCCACCAAAGTCCCCAAACCTGGGGCCAAATAGCAAGCACCGACATGCATGGTTGAGTAGTTGTAGTCGGCCTGGAGGTTGGTTGAAAGGGTGGTCAAAGACATGGTCCAGGTGGCAAACTGGAAGCTTCCAGGTAGGAGGGCAAAAAATACCTCTTTTTCTGCAATGATTTTCCAGGAGCCAAAGAGCCTGATGGGAGTGACAGGCTCCTTAGTCTCCTTGTCGTCCAGAAGCCTAGACGAAAAGTACGACAGCGATAGAATAGGCAGCTTGTTCCAGAAGTTGGTGGGTATGATGCTCATATTTCCCACAAGAGACCTATTGGTCTCAGGTAGCATGAGAAAGGCGATGATCCCCACAAAACCACTTCCAATGGCCAAGAATACAAAGATTCCTCGCCAGCCCCAGTGAGTGACGATCCCAGCACCCAACAAGGCGCCAAACCCCTGGCCTAGAAGCTGTATTCCCGAGACCAAGCCAACAAACTTGCCTCGATGCGAGATGATCGACATATCGCCAATGACCCCCGAAGACACCGAGATCAACGAGGCAATGGTGCCTGCCTGGAGGCACCGTAAGAACGCCAAAAGCCAGTAGGCGTTGCATCGGGAGATCGCCACACAAACACCGCTATAAGAAACGAGGCATCCGATGACACACGGACGTCTGCCGTAGTGGTCGGAGACCGACGCTAACAAGGTGGGGCACACACCCTGGAAGAGCAAGTATGCCACCACCGAGAGGTTGACGGCTTCGGTGGAAACGTGGAACTTCTCAGCAATCACTGGGAGGGCTGGGAAGTAGATGGAGGTGGCCAACGTGGACCAGATTCCACTGGCACTCAAGAGAGCCACCATGAAGTACTTCTCACGGGAGGATAGAATGGAGTAGGGAAGCTTTGAAAACGAGCTAGTGGCTGCTAGCGAGGACGATGCCGTCTGGAAATCGACGCTGGCCTCGAAGTCCTTGAATTTGCTCGAGTCAAACGGGTCCACCATGGTGGGCAGGCTGGTCGCCAGCGACGTGGTTTCTTGCACATTTTCCAGCGATTTCTCGTCGACAGCAACAGCAGGGATAGCTATTGCCTCCAGGCCCACCTCGACGAACGAGGCAGGCCGGAACTTCGTGATGTGATGGGCCCTTTGCGGTGTGGTCATGGCCAGTTACTGATTGTATGGACCAGTTCTTTCCTGGAAGTGTTCCAGTTCTACAAACCACCGAGGGCAGGGGCTATATAAGAGGATCTTTGTTGTTGTGCATGTTGGTAATTGTCTTGATACGGTGGTGGTTTTTCGGCACTGGTGCAGGTCTTGTGATCCCTTCGATTGTTCTTTGGGTGAGCCACTGGATGGCATTGTTCGCAGCCATCTGGTGCGACCCAAAAGAGTTAAATTATATCGAGAATTTTGCGGCTTGAGGCCAAGGCTATTGTTGGACGATTTCGAGTTAAGAACGCGCACGTCTACTAGATAGGTGAAAAGGTGGTGGATGCCCGGAAACACTTGGCTCGGGTCAAACTATCCGTGGTGAAGTAACTGTGAGGGGTGCAGCACGTTCCAGAGTAGAGTGAAATGAGTGAAATTTAGAGCTTATTGGAAAATTGTCCCTGGATGATTCCGGAAAACACTGTAAGCGCAGTTAGTAGATGGAATTATTGGGAGGCCTTTGGGTCGATTCCATAATCGTGGGATCTATTCGAATTAGAGAGTAATATTGCAGTAATCAAGCTGAACAAATGCAGAGTTGTAGAGCGAAATGGAATCTTCGACGCAATTCATAACCCACCGTAAATCGTCCCTGGATCCTTGGTACCAACCTTCAAATTATGCTCAGATAATAGCTACAATCTACTGTGGATTTGCCTGTTAGTTCAGAAAATGATATGCTTATGATTAATGTATGTGTGGATTAGCTCAGTTTCGGCTGGCGATTCTCCAATAGTACGTTGCCAGTATCGATTGCCGACTCTTCTGCTTTTGATGTTGGCTGCTTTTCCGTTACCTCCTCGGACTCTTCCAGAGCTTGCTTCTCGGAGACTGTGTCAGCACTCATCACCTTTTTGGCTCGCACGAGGATTATGCACACTAGCATCAAGTCACTGAGAAGACAGAGGCCTGCCATAAAGGTGTAGCACCCTCCAAGCCCCATGGACTGGATGAGATGGTCCAAAATACCCGTGAACAACGCTGCCAACATGCAACGCACCAAGTTCAAACAGCTGATGGACGAGCTGCTCTTTCCGGGAAACAAGTCCACCAACAAGGTAGTGGCACACGAAATGAGCGACACCGTGGAGAAAGAAATCAACGTCGATGCGATAATGATTGAAATGGCAGCCTTGCGGTACTGCAAGCACCAGCCAAACATTAACAACCCTATCACCATGCTCGTAGCTGGCACTATGCAAATGTCAATCCTGGTTCTGGATATGTTGAAGCTTGGTCTGTTTTCGGGAGCAGTATCCTTGTACTTTTCGTCGTACTGGGCTCGACGGTAGCGATAATAGTAATTAAGGGCCTTTCCCGTCACCACCGACGAAACTAAGGTGGCTATACCCTGGGGCAAGTAGATTAAACCCACATGCATCACACTGTACTTGTACCTGTTCTCTAACTCGGTTGAGAGCGAAGTCAATGCAATGGTCCAGCCTGCGTAATGGATTCCAGACGGTACCAAGGACGCAAACACCTCGGGAACCACGAGGATCTTGTAGGATGATAAGAGGTCCAATTTGTTGCGTTTTCGCAAAGTGGAGTAGTCATTGGTGAGTTGTTTCCTGAAGTGGGGGAGCACCGAGAACAACAGCCGGTTCAAAATGCTCTTGGGCACGATCGAGCCGTTCCCCACGATCAGTCGGGACGTTTCTGGCAAGAGGAGGGCCGAGAGCACCATAGCAAAACCGCCCAAAATCCCCAAAAACACGAAGATGGCTCTCCAAGTGTTGAAGCCCAGAATGAGCGCAGCACCGATTATTCCTCCGAATCCGTTGCCCACGAGCTGCATCCCAGAAACGGTTCCCACAAACCCACCACGATCTCGTGGCGTGCACACATCGCCCGAGACGCTTGCAGCCACCGCCACCACGGGAGCAATTCCTGCTGCCTGAATACATCGCAACACTGCAAAAAGCCAGTACACGTTGGTCTGCGATAACGCAAAGCACGAGGCAGTGAACACCACTGCCGATAGCACCAACACAGGTCTCATTCCTATGACATCAGCCACGCTGCCCACAAAGGTGGGAGCAATACCTTGAAAGACGAGGTACGCCACAACAGAAAGATTGATCACAGCCTCCGACACTTTGAAGTAGCTGGTGAGCGTGGGAAGCGCTGGGAAGTAGATGGGACTGGAGATGGCGCTGCAGAACCCGATGAGCGAGAGGATTAGCATGAGGATGGCCTTCTCGCCCTTTTGGAAGATGGTGTAGGGAGGAGGGTCCAGCGGGGGTGAGAGCGCAGGGGTTTTCGGCTGGAGGGCGCTGGCGGACCCAGCACTGGGGTGGTTGGTGTCCATAGCGATGCCCGTTAGTGACTCGTGGAGACGTCGCTATTATATAACACTAGCGTCTTCCTCATAACCGTCTGTACGGCTCCGATGACTAATTTGGTGGTAAGGATGGTCGCATCTGCTTAAGTAAGCGCGTAAAGGGTCCAGCAAGCAGATCCCAGACAGCTGGCAGTAACCCGCTGGTTTGGATGAAGCAGGTTTTGCGGCTCGGGGTAAGCGGCCGTGGTGGCGTGTCAGGCAATGCTTCTGGAGCTCAGGCAGTATTTCGCTGCCCCTATGGGCTGGGAACGCCACTGTCATCCTGTCCTTGACGTAACGGGAGTGCACATTGCACCGGAAAACGGTGATCTCGATCTAAAGGGGTAAATCCGCTCGGAGTCGCAGGTTGTGGGAGAAACGCTTTTGGTTCTGGATGGAGCAGTGGCTCTGTTCAAGCCAGTGTAGTTGTTTGTAAGGTAGTTGGATGCAAGGCATTCGGCAGACGGTTTAGATGCTTATAGTTGGAGTGATTCGCTTTAATTAGCTGGTCACGTTCGTGCAGTTATACCCGGTATAGTTCAGATCACCTGATATGACCGTTGAAGCAGCATACTTACTTCAAAGGATGTGAGTAATGTTTTAATTGCATGAGATACCAACAAAGCGACTGTTGCCACGCTAAGCAAAAGCAATGAACTTGAAGTAGCTTGGCCACTAAAGAGAAACTAAGGAGATCCACTTTTTGTTAATGGGCTTGTTTGAGGTCGTGTGATAGCATGGCCAGGCAATAGAGCCGGATAATTATGCCAGCAATATTTCTATCGACTTTTAAAAGTCCATCTTTTCCTCTATAGGAGTTGTGCGTTCATTTCAGATAATTTAATTTGCCCCTAGTACGGATGTGACTTAGAGTAAGTTTCTATCACCAGACTTGGACACCACTTGGTTCCAATATATGGTTAACGAACACTCCACCTGGCATAGCATAAACTATAGTTAGTGCTAGTGCTAACTATACATAGTGAAGCTAGTGTCGATATTTATAGCATAATTGGTGGTCATAAAGGAATACTTTAGCTGGTGCTCAAAAATAGCACTTTAATGCTCACATAGTAGTTCTGAAAGTGCTATTAAATATTCTCCCATGGATGTACGTCTTGAATGCTCATAAAAGTCGCTCAAGAATGTGCTCGCAAATTATCAGGAGCCAAGCTGTCGCATAAATAGCTATATTACTCATCGCAATAGGTACTCAAGCTAGTACTGAATCTCAAGGCGAAGTTATTAAAAAGGTCGTAATTGACCTAGTTACCACACATAAGTGCGCAAAGCCTGAAATTTGCCACTTCTCTACACCCCCATCCCTTCTACAAACTCGATTGTTCGTCCTTTATTGGTGCACAGCGAATCCTCGCCATCCCGATCAATTCTGTTGCAAGTATACCTGAATATTCGTGCATCCTCGGTCCAAGTGCAAAACAATAGACAGGCATATTTATCGGCACCTTTCGGAGAATGATCCAATGACTGGAAAATAGCCCATCGTGCCGATTGCGAAAATAGAACAGGTTGGTGGCATGCTCACGTTTCGTCTATTCCATCGAAGTGATCACAATTAAACCTATTAGGCAAAAAGGATAATTATTCCTATCAGGCAACAGTGTCGGTAAAATAGTAGGCCTCCTTCGTAGGTAGAGCTAGTACTGCCTAGCAGTGCTACATCACTGGTGATTTTCTTCAACCCAATGCCAGATTATCTGAAATGTTAAAAAGTGCATGTGAAAATGCAATCACAGCCGCATTGATCCAGTCTGATCTCAGGGTGATTTTGCCACCATTGCATGGTGAAATTACCCAAATCATCTGAATCAAGCCCCTATCAAAAATCTTGCATTGCCCCCTCCTTTCTCTCCCCTCCTTTCAGGCCCAGACACGGGCAAGACCCATCTCGAAATGCACTATTCGGGGATAATTTCTAGCGATGACGGCACCAGAATGGATGTGCATACCGATGCCCCTTAGTGCAGTCCAGATTACTCTTCTTACCGCGTAAGGAAAATACTGCACTTCCGACTAATGCCTACTAGCCACCAGGATGCGTTTGGATGTCCAACAATACCACCAGCCAATTTACTATTTGCTACACTGGTTCGGAGGCCGTTTGGTTAACCTTATCGTGGGTGGCTTCCGTTGTTCGGAATAACTCACAGCAGCCAACTGAGAGTGGCCCGGCGCTTCCCACTATTCTGTGCGGCATTATCTCAAAGTTAGTCCAGTCATAGTTGGCGAGCTTGCTCGGTAAACATCCCTTCTAACAAGCCCCTGTACTCTGCTCATAACGGTGAAGAATACGGAGGCGTTGCCGAAGGAACGGATCTATTTCGGCAAGCTTGTGCAGCTAGAATGATCCCATTACCGCATTAGGTAAAGTGCACTGCGTCATCTGGACCAAATAGGAAGTACCATTTCGCAACTGTACAAGGAACAAACCACTCAATATTGACAGCAGAGAGCCACCATGTGAAACGACCCAGACGGTGCTACTTTCGTAATCTTGGTCCTGGTTGTGTGGAGAACTTAGGTTCTCCACAGAATGCGAACAATAACACTCGCACAATAGCCACCTCGTGATAAGGGGGCCCCAGCTCTGGCTAGGTCGTTACAAGGGAGGAATTTTCGCTGATAAACTACATCCGTTTGCAGTAATTTTCGATGTGCATTGCTATTTCTATAATTATAATCCAAGAGAAAAATATGTTACATTTAGAATTGAATAGTTACTTCTCCTTGTTGGGATTGTTGTACTTCCGGGCAGGGGGGTTTTTGGGCGTGGTGATCATGAAATTGATGTTGTTGGTTTTTCCAGTGGATTTCTGTTTCTTGTAGGGGCTGATGTCATCTTGGGGGCTCGATCTACTGGTGGATTCAGATGCAAATTGGTGGGTAGGAACCTGAGCATGTGAAGGTGGAGCCATTCCCATCCCAGCAGGTACTGGCATCATGTATTGCGAGGGTGGGCCTCCTGGGTTGGACCCGGGTGGCACAAAGTACTGGTATTGCGGCTGAGCAACGTAGCCTGGTGCTCCTGGGCCGTACTGTCCGTGGTGAGATGCACCATCGTACATTACCTGGTTGTACTTCTGGGAATATGGGGACCCCAATGCCTTGCCTTGCTGCTCCTGAGTAGGCTGCCCTGAGGCTGGAGGCCCCATTTGGTGCGCAGGGTATCCAGGAGCACCACCTTGCGGTTGGCCAGGACCAGGGCTATAATACACAGGATACATGGGTGGCTGGGCAGGAATCTGGGGCAGGTGCTGTTGGGAACGATGCTGGGGTGGGTGTGCAGATGGAGGCAATGGTAATTGGTAGGTGGGAGGGGAGGTAGTGTTGCTTCCTCTGTTGGTCACCTCGCTGCTGTCAGAGACCACTCTTCTGTGGCTGGTGACAGGCAGCTTGTTTGGCGATCTTAAGGGAGAAACAATGGTCTTTATGCTTTCAGCGGTTTCCGAGAAAGAAGGCAACTGGGTATCAGAGAATTTTCTCTTGCCGTTCGGTGGGGTGGTTTTGGGAACCTCGAGCGGAGGCTCCTTAGACTTGTGTAGTATTTCATGTATTATCTCGTCAGGTTCATTTCTCAATTTATGGATCTTGTCTTTCAAATCGTTAATAGTGAATTGTGGTGAAACAAATAACAAGGGTATCAAATCGCCGTTGATGTTCATGGACTTGGCTATTTTCAAGAGCTCGATGGCAGTGCACCCGAACTCGTTCTTGGCAGACTCCTGTCTAGTTTTCTCCTGCTCCACCTTGTATCTGAGGATTTCGTTCAAGGTCTCCACGTTGTAGGGCCAGAAGTCTTCCTCTTCCACCACTTGCTGGGGAAGACCAAGGATCTCGGAAATCCTCTCATCTATAATTAATCTATTGTTGGAGGTTGGAGTCGAGGATTTCTTAGCTTCGTCCACGATCTTGTCCAACTGCTGGGAGGTCATCAGCGACTGGTAGCCATAGTGCTTGTACCTGGACTTCTCGATGTTGAAGGTCTTGAGGGTGTCAAGAAACTCCTTGTTGGTGGGTGAAGGCTTCAACTCCTTTTTGTCTTGCTCCTTCTGGTCAATGGCGGGGGATCTCGGCTGGTGAGCGGAGTCCTTGATGTAGTCTTTGGAGATGAAGGATTTGGGCTGGGTGGATGGGGATGACGACAAAGCCAGGTCTTCGGCTTGTTTATCGTTCATGAGGTTGGTTAGAGATAACAACTTGGATACTTGTGACATAAGGAATAATAAGAAGGTGTCGAAAGTGGTTCCCTATACATAAACGAAAGACAAGAAGGAATAATAGTGATTGAGAACTGTCGGGACAACGGATCAATTTATGATGACGGATGTCCAACAGATAACGCCACGGACAAAACTGACCAGAACCAAAATGTGATGCAGAGTGGAAATATTTATAGTTTGTATCAGGATAGCCCCCAAATTCCGGCGTAAACTCCTTCCCACCGTGACAATATCACTTTGCAATCGGACCTGCAATCTGTGGTTCGCAAAGAACACTTCCTAAATAGGCAATGTTAGGTTATGCAGGCTTTGTCCTCAGTGCATTAGCCTGTTTGGGCATCCATGCTGGTGTCCCCATTGGGAAATTCCCACCTGGGCACCAGACGGGCCCCTACAGTTACTGTTCTGGGAGTCGGTTGACGGGATAGATAACATGGCTGAAGGCGCCAGGCGACCCAGGCCGCCGTGTCTCGTCTCGCCCACCCGCCGTTGCTGCAAGCACTGCCGGGTCCCGGTCCATGGACGCTCGCCTCCACCGAGTTCGCAGGCCCGCAGTACGAGCCCGCGCCCTGTCCAAAATCGTAGCTTGCATATCTGAATTACTGCAAAAGGAATAGAGTGGGATTTCGCAGGCCCATTTCTGGAGCGCAGATGGCCCTACCAACAGGGACACCAAATGCACCAGAACAGCATTGCAGATATGGCGCTCGTGCTCAGGTACAGCTAGCAGCCGGCTGGATCTCCGACACTTAAAAATATGCCCGGAAGCCACCTGAAAGCCTGGCCTGGCCCGGAAGGGCTCGTAAGTTCCCCTCTTCGCTGGCAGCGATGGCAGCTGGTTTTCTGCCCCGTCCGCCCACCTCCTTACTGAGATTAGGTTGTGATTAAACATTGCTACCCCTTTACCACTGCCACCCATTCTTATAGCCTTCTCCTCATCGTGGTGGAAGTGGAAGTGCGGCTGCGTGCGGGTGACTCGCTTACGTAATCGGCCCACCGTTGGCCCAACTGGTCCTAAATGGGCCTACACCAAGTGTCTCTGCCCCACCCCCCAGTCCTCCCTAGCTCCTCCTGCATGTCTGCCGTCACCTTGATTGCCTTCGGGGGCCCCTCGTCCTCCGGCAAAACTACAGCCGCAAAGGCTGTCCAGCTGGTCCTTTCCCACGCCTCCGTCCTTCATCTCGACGACTTCTACCTCCCGGATGAGCTCATCCCCGTGGATCCGGCCACAGGCGAACTCAACTGGGACTGTCCTGAGGCAATCGACTTTCCCAAGTTTATTGCCCACATCAAACGCCTCAAACATGAAGGAATAAGCCTGGAGTTGCACTCTATCCAGCCTGGAGTGGACATGAGTCTTACCCAGCAACAGATCCAGGCATTGGCAGACAAGGCAGACCCCTTCAAGGACAAGCCCATCGTGCTTGTCGATGGGTTCATGTTGTTCCACGATCCTGCGCTTCTTGAGCTTTTTGACGTCAGGTTGTTCTTCCATGCGCCATTCGAGACCCTCAAGCACCGTCGCGAGAGCAGAAAGGGCTATAATACCGTGGCGGGCTTCTGGGTGGATCCTCCAAACTACTTTGCCGACGTGGTGTGGCCAGCGTACCTGCAAAGCCATAAGTACTTGTTTGAAAATGGTGATGCCAATGCAGGTGTCAACCACAGGGTACAGGAACAATTGCGCTTCTCTGAGTTCAACAACGTGGACGGCACTTCCTTGCTGGAGTTGGTTGACTGGTCCTTGGACCGGATCGTGGACCATTTCAGCAGTTAATCGACTCGTTTCTTGCTGGTGGTTCCTGGGAACACGCAATGGTAATATTAGAGCTGTTTGAGTCAACTGCATAATACAATAGATAGATTGCTGACAGGGCTGGCACCTCTTAGAATCCAGAACCACTGTCTGGCACTTCATAGACTACAGTATTGACGGGCACGTAGATCTGCCTTTGGCACTTTCTGAACTTCAGTGTATTTTACATGTATTGCCATCAAGGATGTGATACTTTTCTATTTAATCCAACGGATTCCCTAACGCTTGGACTTCTTGCCCTTCTTAGGCTTCTTCAGGGCCTCCTTCATTTCTTTCTCATAAATTTCATCGGCATTCTCAGCTGCCTTTCTCTTGGAGTTCTTGTTCTTGACACTGACAACACCCTTCTTATCGACAGCCTTCTTGACTGAGTCGTCGGCTTCATTCCATTCAGCATCATCTGCAATGGTGTACTTGTCTAAGTTGATAGCATTAATCAATTCTCTTTGCTTCAATCTCAATTCCTTGATAGCCTCGTCACCAGCCTCATCCAAATCATCGTGCATTTGCTTTTCAATAAGGTCATAATCAATATGTTCGACTTCTTCACCATCCAATTCCTTCACATGGTCTTCTTTAAGTTCTGGCATGGTCTCTTCAATAGCCTTACTGAGAATAGTTCTGAAGTATGAGGAGAACTTCCTCACAATCTTGGCAAACATTGCCATGGACTGATTGGAAGGTAAGTTCAATTCTTTGGAGATTTCATCCATGTCCTTATGCTGTAAACCAATGGCCAACAAAATAGCTGACTGGATAGAAGATAAACTGACCTGGTTGGCAGTTTTCTTGGAGAAGTATAAGTGAGAAATTAACGGTAACATATCAACAATAACGTGGTAATCAAGTAAGTTGTTGGCATAGGAGTCTAATCTCTTCAAATCAAATGGCGACAATATGTCGTCCAATTCGTTCTTGGTAATCTCTTTGGTCTTCGAAGTTTCTTCACCACTTTCAATAGCTTCAATAATGTTCAAACACTGAACAGAAGAAAACTTTTTGAATTCGTACGATAAAAGCTGCAAGAATCTCTTGTGGAAATCCTTGGAGAATTCCTTCAACCAGTTGTTTTCACGTCCTTCTAACACATTCATCATGACCATGGTATGTTCACCAGTTAAGTCATTAGCAGTTTGTCTGAGGTAGACAGGTACAAATCCTGATCTCTTCCAGAATTTGTGCAATGGAGCAGTCAAACCGTATGACACACCCAAGTAATGTAAGTAGTAAGGAGCTTTTTCGGAGAGCTTTAACAACAAAGGAGGCAAAGACTTTGCATCTCTTAATTTAATTTCATCCTTGAGGGATGCATTTTGTAATTCAGCGTCAGTAACCCTAGTCAAGGTGTGATCATCCAAATCATTAGATTCGCTAATATTGGTGAACTTCCCTTGGAAGTAGTCTTGCAAAAGCTCCAAAGCTCTTGAACCGTAACCCATGGATGCATATTCCGGATTAGTTGCAATTCTGACAACTCTTCCACCAGATAATGAAGCGAATTCCTCGTCTTGGAACTGTTGGGAAATTAACCATGGGATTAAATCACCCCCAGATCTTTGACCTCTAGAAAGAGAGTTTCTCACGGATTCCTTCGAGATTTCACCTTCCAATGCTAACTGAATAACACACAAAGGATCTGGGATTCTATTATCGCCTTCTTCAATTGGTGGCAACAAAACGTATAATTGATGGGCAGGTGCATCACTCATTAATTGAAGATCGTTAGGTGTATTCTTGTAGTGGGATGAAACATATAATGACATCATCTTTTGAAGGAAAGATTCCGAAACTGGATGGTATGAAAACAAGGTGTCTCTGTTGACATAGAACAATTCACACTTGGATGGATGTGGAGTTCCTTTGGTCAAAAATTTAGAGTTCTTCAATGATCCAACATCTAAGCACAAGAGCTTGTTCAACCACTTTTCTACCGGATCTCCTGGGGCGTATCTGATTGGCTCATCCAAGACAATTTCCTTGAGCGATCTAGAGGTTGGAGTGCTGTCGGCAGTCTTGTTGTCTCTAGAAACAATTTCGGTGTCTGTTCTACCGGACAGGTTTGATTGCGTACGCAATTGTTGAATCAACTTCAATGATAAAGATCTACCAGTACCTTCGTAACCGTTAATGGTTGATGACATGAAGACCAAGTAAGGACCCAACAATCTCTTGACAATTGGTAATGGAATGGCAGCAGCTTCATCAATAATGACCAATTCAGCTTGGCCTAAAACATGATTATCGTTAGGCGAGATATATTGAATTGTTTGACGATGTTCTCTCTTAATATCAACTCTAACAATTGCCTTGTTAAAAGATGGGTTAGTGGATTGGATAATATCGTAGTCCATGTGTTCTGTGTAGCCTAAAGCATCGAATCCCTTGAAGATAAATTCGAACAAAGTTTTCAAATTCTCGGGAGAAGGAGAGGTAACGAAGATATTGGAGTAGCCGTGAGAAACAGCAGCTGCAATAGCAATACCCAAAGCAGCAGACTTACCACGACCTCTACCAGCAGTTAAAGTGACAGTAGAATTCAAAGACTTTTCACTGATGACATCCACAAAGGTTAAGATAGCCTGGGCTTGGTTGACTGTTTTGGCCAAGCTGACCAACGAACCAACTGGCTGTATATCGCTTAAGGAATCTTTGAGCTCCTTCAATTCTTGAGCCTTTGGTGACAACTCATCGTCGTCCTTAGGGGGCAAGGCCTTAATATGTTTTCCACCCGAGATTGGTAAGACGTTGAGCTCATCGTCAACAACTAAACAGTTTGCGCAAGAACCCAAAGATAACAAAAATCTTTCATTGAATCTAGCAACAACATCGTTGTGAGCCTCGGTTCTGTATCTGGAGTGGATATCCATAGACATAGTGTACAATTGTTTCAAAGAAGTCATAGATTTCAACAACACAATGACCAAACCACCACCCTCGACGGTTTCAATGGTTCTAGCAAGCAAGTTTGGAGTCAAACCTTCAAAATCTTGCAAGATCATCATACCGTAGGTGTTACCCAAGATCTTCTCGGTCTCTTTGTAGTACACATATCTGATGTTTTGGTTGGAGATGAATGCCTCGAATGGATCTTGGTCGTTTACTTCTCTGATTCCCCTTTTGATGTCCTTCTTGATCTTGGCTTCTCTCTTTTGTCTGTGGGAGGTAAATCCTAACAATTTTTTCTTGTAAGCCCACAATACTGATTTATTCATCTTCAAGTCAGCAGACATCATCAAGTAGTGCAAGTTTGGTAATTGGTTCCTGGCCTTGTCACCAACGATGAAGAAGAAACTTCTTTCTCTCAGCTGGACCCCATTACGGATAAGTGCCGGAATACGGGAATCAATAGCCTTCTTACCCATGTTGATAGTGTTCTAGAGAATGAATGGTTGTGATGAGCTCAATTTTTTTTGGTGCAGATGAGTAGTGCACCAACCGGGCACTTTTGCACCCAGATGAAGAGCACAGTTGATGGGACCTACCTTAATGGCTCAAGGGAAGGGCAACCTTTCAAGTTATGAGGTAGAAGTAGAGGAAGAGGTATGTGATGGGCTGTTAATGCCAGTTCTTTTGAGAGGATCCTTAGAACCTTTTTTTCTTGTACAGTCGACTTGCTAAGGAACAACTACGGCATGGCTAGAACGGGGCATTATGGCATCAGTACTTGCTTCTGGAGAATCATAGGAACTTATCTATCATGCTTCCACTTAAGCGTAACTCGACCATCCGAACATTACTTTTTCATATATAATATCATACCTGTTCCTTTCCAAAATTCATCAAAATGCGCATTTGTGGCCGATTGCAAATTAAACGCCTGGCAATCACTCTTCAAGAGTATGGGATTCGGCGAGAGGGTTTATAGCATCGCCGAATACGGCGATACTCTGGTTTCCTCTAATCCAGTGACATTCGTTAGTGAAAGTTCCGTTCAATCTAACACCACAAAACCCCGATCCAGAATTGCTCCCCGATCGGCCAATCAGTTCAAAGTCGGGCCACCATTCGAGTCGACCACTTTATTAAAACCCATTATACTGAGCCCATCACTCAAAAAGGTGCATCCATTAGTGACAGCAAGAATAGATAGAGGTTTTGACCTCATTGACAACGAATGGATAGGCTACAAAAGAAACTACTTCACTCTTGTAGCCGCGTTCGAGTTCAAAAACTATGACTTGGATATAGTCTGCAGACTGCTGTTCTCTACCATAGATGAAAGTGGAAAAACTGTGGGGATTCGCTATTTTGCAATCCAGTTGAAGTCCAAATGTTATGAAGAGGAGACCGAAATAGGATTGGTACAACACACGGCAAAGCGTGATAGGGGACCCCAGAATCCTCCTCCAATTTTTAACGCCATCCCTGGAATACTACCCAGCCATCAAGTCATCAAGCAAAGCTCAAACATCCGCAATGAAGATAAAATATCCTCTTTCCATCGAGTGTTTTACCTGGATATCGAGAATATGAAATGCAGTGCCTCCAGTATATTGAAGACCTATCCAACAGATTTACCGGTTGCTTCAGTTTCCAGGTACGAAAGAATCCAGTTCTCTGCAGCAATCACTAATAAGAAATCAGCTAATGCGAACGGTCGGTTCATACTAAGGGTTGTATTACTTGGAGTTTTGGAGAATGGAAAAACAGAAGAGCTTGCCCACACTGAATCCCGTCCACTTACTATCAGAGGAAGATCTCCATCAAATTACCCCAAACCGATGAACCCCAATAGAGACATCAATGTTCCCCCACAAAAATCACCACCCAGGCCCATGGAACCCAACTCTCCAAAGAAGATAAAGCACCGGGTGGATGCGTTACCGCACTTTCAATCTTTCAGTTCTTGCAACGATAATTTATCCTCAATTATTTTCAAAGTTGAAAGCCGGCACTCGGACACCTGTCATCACTCGGATAATGAGCTGATGATTCTTTTGGAAATGGCAAAGGAATCAACAGCAACAATAAACGAACCTGGCCCCTGTTCTTTCAGTACCTGCTTTAAGCAAATATCTCAAGCAAATCAATTTTTTGAAAAAATTGACAAAAAATTACAACATACTAAAACCCATACTGAGCACCAAGTAGATGGCTCTATTGATCCTTCGGTTCTTGTAAAATTTTCAAAACGCAAGAGAAAGAGAAAGAGGAGGGGAAAGAAGTATAGAAGAAGGCGCAGGCGGCTTTCAGAGAAGGACGAACAATCGTTCTTGGAATTTCAGCGAGAGCTCCAATCCCTACTGACTATGGTAGCCCCACCTTGTGTAAGCACGGCGTTGGTAGCGATACAGAATCCCGAAGGGTGACTTCAAGGCAAATGAACGGTAGAAATTATGGATAGCTTCTAGAAATTTTAAGAAAAAGAGCACTGAACCACAATTCCAATTGCATAGCACACCCCGAGCCTTCAGAACGTCGCCAGACCACTAGATTGACACCACAGGTCGGTTTGGGCCATTCTTGTGCTGCGCTACCAATAGGCAAACCTTTCACGCCTTTGTGTCACCTGGGCCAGTGCGGATTTTCAAAGTGAAATCCAACCAAGCCATAATCACCAACACCGATACACAGAATGTTATTCTTTAGTTTTTTCAAGACCCTTGTGGACCAAGAGGTCACTGTCGAATTGAAAAATGACATAGAGATAAAGGGAGTCTTGAAGTCAGTTGATCAATACTTGAACTTGAAGTTAGACAACATATCATGCGTCAATGAAGGAAAATATCCCCACTTACAATCAGTCAAGAACTTGTTCATAAGAGGATCTACTGTTCGTTACGTCCATATGAGTCCAAACTCTGTGGATTGCACTTTGTTGCAAGATGCATCTAGAAGAGGTATGTATGATGGAGAAGGGATAAAAAGGTAGTCAAGAGTTCAGGAACGAAAGTCGACGAGAAGCGACATCAGTGGGACGAAAAAGGAACTTAGTAGGAGTGGCAAAGCAGAAAGGTTCCATAATCCAGAACCTGATGGAAGTAACACTTAGCGGAAGGAGCATCACCAGGAGAGAGAACTGAACACGGCTCTAACACTATTCAGGGTAATAGTTGGTGGCAGTATAAGAAAAGAGTGCCGTATAATATATTGGGCTTGAAATCAAGTCAGTACGCCAAGAACTCTCTAGCACCTGACACCTGATCCTACTTTCAACAATTATCGAAATACTAACATTATAGAGGCATTGGCTCAATCAAGCAAGTAATGTATTTTAAATATGTAATATAGATCATTCCATCGTCCATCTCATGGTGTATTAGGCGCAGGTGTCAGAAGTCGTACTAGACACTTCGCCCTAGAGTGCCCCGGTTTCTTGCAATACGAGCAAATCTTCTTGGATTTAGAATTATGATAATGCTTGGTGGGGTTTCTGGGGTACTCATGGCCTGTAGCCTGTTCCTTGGTAGTAGATAACTTGAGTGAAGCAAGCCTATCATCGATTTCAGGTGTACTCTCTATCCCCAATAGCCTGAGCTTCTGCTTGGGTATAAGTATGTAGTCAGAGTCTGCGCCATTCAGATAGACTTTGGATTGACATTTGGGGCAGTCCATATCTGCAGAAACAGCCTCGAGAAACGCTTTCTCGTCAAGTTCATGCTTGCCCAGTCCTAGTACCCCATGTTGTGGTAGTTGCTCAAGATATGCATTGATGGTCTGTAGTTTGGCATTGTAGTCCTGCTTTAGCTTTTCGAGCTCTTGTGTACGCTCAGTGATCAACCTCGCCAAGGAGTCCACGGATTTCAGTAGCTCTACCACAGACATGCCGTCTGGTCATCTCGAGCATGAATTGATGAGGACGAACAACTCCTGCACATAACCCACTTCCACGACACAAGCAGTTGCGCAAAAAAACAAATTTTTCGGCTGTGATGGCCTGTGGCAGAAGCGCACTGATCGTTGAATTTCGAATCTTGAACAAATCGAGGTCCGTTTCGATCCTCGCGGTACGTCCTTAGTCGGTTCGAGTAATCAGCCTCGCTAGGACGGGCAATGAGTAACAATACCCTGGAGGGAAGCAATTCAGCACAGACTGTTACCCGTGAGTAGGCGAATACGGATGGCCTCGAGTTAGATCGGGTCGGAGTTCACTGGTGTGACAACTCAAAGATAATTTTTTTGAATAGAATTAACACCTAAAGAGTAGATTCGTTAAACATTACCGAGAAGAAATGGGCGAAGAGTTACTACAAATTAGTTTTTTTATTTATCATCATGGAAGTCACCCATGATGGTGTGTTGATTTTATTAATATTATAAAATACAATGCTGTCTCCAATTTATGGATTTGAGGTGAGTATAGAACGGGCCAATAATGGACTTCACGCACTCTTCCTCTTGATCTTCTGCTTGATGCCCACCAATTGCTTGCCGAGAAGGTCTCTTTCTAAGAAGCACAATCCGCCGAGGCAAAGAACGCAGATTAAAAAGCTCTGGAAAAACTGCTTGAAGGTAGTGGTGTACCATACTCCAGTGGTTACCACGTAAATAGATTGGAACACAACCCCCACAGAAATAGGTTTGCAGGCATAAACAAAGACTCTAGTGGCAGGAATACGGACATGGTTCTTCTCAAAGAACGCTTTCACAGATACACAAGAATACCCAATTCTCATCAACATGTTGATTGCATTTGACAAAATCAAACCACTCAAACCAAGTCCGAAGTAGTCAATAAACACGTACGAGCTCACTAGCACAACGACGCTCAGGAAAGTCATGAATACAGAGAATGCCTTGATATCCTTGGTGGTTGCAATACTGGTGAAGAATGCTTCAAATATGCCATTGAATGCCAACATTGGCAAATACATGATGTATCTTGGGAAAATGTCAAAAATATTGGTGTTAGCCCATTTTGTTGATTTTGATCCGAGGAGTATCTGCAATAAGAATGAGGCATTAGTAACACCAGCAAGGATAATAAGTATTGACAAATTAAGATAGAACAAACTGAGATTCCTCATCACAACGTAGGCATCCCCGATGTCTTTCTGGCCAGGCTTGGTGGATGATGATAGCAATCTTGTGAACAACAATCTGACCGACTCTTCTATGGGTTGGAACACCAACCTCGCAGCCATGGAACCATAGTTGGTCACCACCGAGTATACCCCCTGCTCCTCAACGGTGCACAAGTAATTGATCAAGAGCTTATNTCCCTCTGTCAAGAACTGCTTGAACAACATCTGAATAAATAGACTCTTCCACACGTTGACGATCTTGCTATTGAAGTACATGTATGCATTCCCCGAGTATATCTTTTGAAGGGAGAACTTCAATTGCTTCTCTGATTTGAAACTGAGATGGTATGCAATGGCTAAGGTCAGGGAGTATGCAAACTGACCCAATGCAAACGCCATTACTGCAAACCCATCGAAGTTAGACGAATTAGATTTCTTGGAGAGCAAGACTGCTCCAACAGTTACCACACACCGGAGGAATACGGCGTAACCTTCGAATTTGGATCTGGTCTTAAAATTCAACCGAAATTGATTGAGGGCATATATTGGCTCAGCACTTAGTTCAATCAATATTGATATCCAGATCAATGCTATTGTAATCTGGTGATGAGGCAATGAAAGAATCGATTCTTGGAAGATCCCGCTGTTATACTGCCAGTAAAATATTACAACTGATAAGGGCAACCCCACAATGAGAGGAATGAATCCAAAATTGACTATACTTTGACTCACACCTGTTGCGTTGTCTAGAGTGTATTTTCCACCCAGGGTCTTGGTCTCGCTGTCGACAGATTCGGTTCTTTGAACAGAAAGTCGGGCACCCTCACGACTGAAAAAGAGGACCGTGGACACCAAGAACTCCAAGTAGGTGGAAATGCCGAAGATCTTGGGCGAGATGAATCGTATAAGCACCTGGTTGAGGGTGAATGTGAGGAACTTGGTGAGGAATTGGACCAAAATCAAGAGCGAAGCTCCGCCAGACTTATTGATGAGTGCCTGGGAGCGGCCGACAGCCTCCCCCAGCGCGTTTCCGGGGCTTGGACTGCTCATTGGTGATGGTGTATGCCGTGGTACTATTAGTGGAGGTGCACTTAGTCTGGAGGTTTTGCATGTTATGACTGCAGGTTACGCTGGCAACATTTCGCTCAAAAACGGGTCCAGAAAAATTTCCAACACATAACTGTCCTAGCCATTAGCCATCGAGACAATAGTAATCACACATAGGAACGTGTGGTGAGTGTCATATTGCAAAATACGTGGTGTCCCGCAAGCCGTCACGATAACCGTCCAGCATATCATTTGCCCAAAAATCACCTATTAGGGCTGGAACACCCCTCACAACTCGCAGCACAGTCATCTAGTAAATAGTGCCAAAATGGACCCTAATATCAACCCCCATGATGTTGAGCTCAGAGAACAGGACCGTTGGTTGCCTATAGCCAACGTAGCTCGTCTCATGAAGAACACGTTGCCGACCACCGCCAAAGTGTCCAAGGATGCCAAGGAGTGTATGCAAGAATGTGTGTCTGAATTCATATCGTTCATAACGAGCGAGGCCAGCGATCGGTGTGTCAGAGAGAAGAGAAAGACCATCAACGGTGAGGACATATTGTACTCCATGCATGACTTGGGCTTTGAAAATTATGCCGAAGTATTGAAGATCTACTTGGCCAAGTATAGAGAACAACAGGCTTTACGCCAAGCCAGAGGAGAAACCCGCAGTTCTCAGAAACAAGCCAAACAAGCGGCTGCCGTGGCAGCCGCCTCCGCCACCGAGGGGTCTAGTGTGGGAGACATGAACGAAAATGGGGCTGATTTCAACCAATCCCAAACAAACTCACCCCGTTCCAACCTGGAGCACGAGCAAGCACATCAAGGAGCCGCTGCCGAGTTCTTAGAGGAGGCCAACCATGAACAATTCATAAACGATAACGACCTCGAACCAACCCAGATAGGTGCACCAGATCAACGCGAAATTGATTCCACATCAGTTACAAATGTCAGTAGCGCGGTGGGGTCTAATCCATCGTCAACAAGTTCCATCAACTCTCCTCAACACTTCTACGATGATTTTGGAGATGACAGGCAAGCAAAAATCAAACAAGAGGGTGAAGTTGCTGTGCCGAATCCAAAGGTGCTTCCTGAAGATTATCAGTACGATGATTTCATCAACGAAGAACCCAACGAAGAACAGCAAAGTAATAATGGCCATCATAACATTGATGAATTTACTAAGATCACTCATGACGAACCTGATATCGATAACTTGACGGCAGGTATAACGAACTCTACCTCTAATGGTTCATACTTCTGAGTTCATACTATCGATGGGCTTCCATTAAGATACATTTTCTTGCCAGAAAAGGACCAAAAAGACCAACCCTTCAATTCTCTCTATGTGTTAAATTTAACCGGGTATGTAATTTACTGAATGTACATTAAGCTAACGCACCATTAAATAATGTATCCCACGCCGGGGATGAAGAATTGAACTATTAAATATTAGTAAGCAACAGGGCTAGGTAGAATGAAACCAATTCAGATCTTTTCTCTGCAAATTGGGCAAGATGATGAATACTCGATCCAGTTTTTGAGACAGCTGTAGTGAAATCTGTGATTACAGCGTAATTGTCTTACCTCCGTGTTGATCTTCATCATATCATAACAGATAATGCATTGAACTGAGTCACCAGGCACTGATGGAATTTGTAACTTTTTGAGAGCAAATTGTTTCTTCTTGAAGTTTACAAGACACCTGGTATTATCTATTAATATCCTGAAACTTGAGTATGATGATGGGAGTATATGGAATGGGAATGTGTAGACGTATAGGAATATCAATGAGAACAATGCAATCATTAAGAACCTGAGTAAGTTTACGAGGAACTGACTAACATAAATGATTTTCAATTTATTCTCCTTCCAAATAATCTGGTCATAGTTGTCTTCTTCTCCTTCCTCGTCTTCCTCTCCGAAATGTGCTGACAACTGGGATTCAAATCGTAAGTATTCGTAAAAGTTCACTGCAAACTTGATGGTAGTCAATACGATTAAGGGAAACATGTAAAGGATTTCAAATCCAAAAATCGCCAAAAGAATATTATCCTCGATGTAGATTGTTGAGGTCTTGGAAACTGAGACTGGGGCAGGTACTGAAATTGGCCTGGATAACTTGGATACGAAGGTAGCGTTATATCTTTGACTCACTTCGTGGATGAAACGGACTAATAATAGTCCGTGAATGAAATTTAACAAGCACAAACCAAGGGCAAAGCGCAACCCCATGTACTTGATCTGTCGGCTAGTGGCATAGTGGGTATACCTTGAGGACGGGAATATGGAAGAAACTCTTTCTGCCGAAAGATGATGAAAGCCCTTCAAAAGTAGCACGCATAGAAATAAGCCTGCAAACTTGAAGAGTTCGCTTTGGATCAACGTGAAATCAAGGGCAAAGCACTTGCAGTAGAATATCATGAACCCAAAGCAAAATTCCCATATTGTGTAGGTGACTTTGTCTCGAAGCGACTGGATTTCGTTGGGGGTAAGCCTTCCAAAAATCACCCACTTGATACAGTTCACCATGACCAAGGCAGTGATGAGGAAGTACTCTTCGGGGCGGAGACTGGCGGGGATTTTGAGGACGTACTCCTCTAGAACTTTGCCAGGATTGTACTTGTTTTGGATTTCAAGCCGTTTGTAGGCAGATATGCCCACGAAGGCACCGAACTGTGGGTTAGTATGACAGAAAAATAGAAGGGGGGGTGGCATAGTGACGGCATTATGATGGCTAAAGCTCCATGGATATCTGAGAGGGAAGTCTGGGCTTGATTTTGAATTGTGCTCCATTCAGGTACTCAACAGTGAATCTCGGGACTTCCTTGATGGAACTCCAAGGGAAACTTTCAATATCAAGACTTGATGAATAGAGGCCTCGGTAGGACTTCATGGTTCCAAGAGAGGAACTCCAAGCTCGAGAGAGACTCCATGCAAAATATCCATAGTGGTCACAAGATATATCCCATAATGGCATCGGAGATATCCATCCTGTGCAAGTCCACCAAACGGAGACCACCGCTATTGACACACGAGAGAGTGTGTGATATACTTACTGCACCAAATCGTAGTCTCCACTTGGAGGTCATTTGGGTGTGGTGGGTAGAAACAGACGGCTTGTGGCGATGATGTGGAATGTGGTGGCAGGTGCACGTGAATCTGGGGATACCGATATGGACCGACGGTTACTCGGTTCGTCGCAGGAAATAGAGTGCAAGTGGCTGGAAACAGGCCAGTTTTGGGTGGTACGGCAAGTTGAAGTATTCCGTGTGGTTGAAGGGCAAGAACCGATTTTTGGGACCTGAAATTGCTGGTGGCTTAACGGCAGCCTACGACAGGTTCAAACCGTGACTATCGCCAAAACGCACAGATATGCGTGTGTCCTGCATGGTGAGGGATGGCTAGGCGGGCATCGATATTTGCGGGAAGTACAATTAGAAGAATGGGCCCAAATTGATATAAATTACGGAGGTTGGGGTGCATGGGCTGCATCAACAGTTCTGGAATACTTCGTAGACGTGAAAGCCCGTCCATGGGCTGCAACAGTCCAGACTGGTTCCGTGGCACAGCGGAGGCACTGGCAGAAGCTCTTCGCAGGCATCCCGGCTGTGTGCAGGACGCGTATAAGATATGAAAAAAATCGGGTGGCCTCGTGTGCATGCTCCTATCAAGAACCTACAGCTGGTGCACACAAGTAGTCAACATGGGCAAGAGGAACTTTAGAAACAACAAGGGCGGCGACAAAAAGAATTTCGGCAAGCGTGGCGTCCAAGACAGAGACGCCTCCTGGACCGACGCCGTCAGAGAGAATGAGAAATGGGAAACCTACTACAAGGCCATGAACATCATCCCCGAAGACGAGTGGGACAGCTTCAAGAAGCATTGTCAGGAGAACTTACCTATGACCTTCCGTATCACCGGTTCCAGGGCCCATGCCAACGAAATCAACGACATCTTCACCAAGAACCATGTGGCCAAGTTGCAAGATGTTGAATTCGAAGGAGTCAAGTTGCAGCCAAAGAACTTGGCGTACTACCCAGGCAACCTCGGTTGGCAGATCGACGTGTCCAAGGGTGTGATCAGAAAGAACAAGGAGTTTGCTGACACCCAGAGATTCTTGGTGATCGAGACTGAGGTCGGAAACATTTCCAGACAAGAAGCCGTGTCGATGATCCCACCATTGTTGATGGACATCAAGCCTCACCACAACGTGTTGGACATGTGTGCCGCTCCAGGCTCCAAGACTGCCCAATTGGTCGAAGCTTTGCACGCTGAAGAAGAGCAGCAAGCCCCTACTGGATTTGTGTTGGCCAACGACTCGGACTACAAGAGATCCCACATGTTGGTCCATCAGGTCAAGAGATTGAACTCTGCCAACTTCATGGTGGTCAACCATGATGCCCAGTTGTTCCCAAGAATGAAGTTGAAGGGCAGCAATGACTTCTTGAAGTTCGACAGAATCTTGTGTGATGTTCCATGTTCGGGAGATGCCACCATGAGAAAGAACGTCAACGTGTGGAAGGACTTCACCGTCAACAATGCCTTGGGCTTGCACACCTTGCAAGTCAACATCTTGAACAGAGGGTTGCAATTGTTGAAGAAGGGTGGTAGATTGGTCTACTCTACCTGTTCGTTGTCTCCAGTTGAGAACGAAGCCGTGGTTGCTGCTGCCTTGAGAAGATGGGGCAAGCAAATCAGACTTGTCAACTGTGACGACGAATTGCCTGGTTTGATCAGACGCAAGGGTCTCAATGACTGGAAGGTGTTCTCCAAGGACATGACCATCCAAGAGAAAGGAGCTGAGGGAATAGCCGAGTCTGTGTTCCCATCAACTGAAGAAGAAGCCAAAGAGTTCAACTTGGAGAACTGTATGAGGGTCTACCCCCACCTTCAAAACACTGGTGGTTTTTTCATCACCGTTTTTGAAAAGATCGACCCTGCTGGCTCTACCAAAAGATCTGGCGAAGAAGAAGCCGAAGAGGCTTCCAAGAAGCAAAAGGTAGAGACTGAAGACTCAGCTAAGCCTCAACAACCTGCCCTCAAGCACCACCCACAAAGAAAGGAAAAGATGCCTAGAGATGCCAACGAGGAGCCATTCATTTTCTTGGACCAAAACCACGAACAATTGAGCAAGTGCTGGCCATTCTATGACATTTCCGAATCCTTCGCCCGTGAGTGTACCTTGGTGAGAAATGCCACTGGTGAACCGTTAAGAACCATCTATTACGTGTCGCCAGTTCTCAAGAGAATTCTTGATGCCGAAGAGCAAAAGCTTAAGATCATCCATGCTGGGATCAAATTATTCGTTTCCCAAAGAAACGACACCGGTAACTGTCCATGGAGAGTCCAAAACGAATCGTTGCAAACCATCAAGCCATTTTTGGGCACCAACAGACAATTGACTTGTAACCTCAAGTTGTTGGAAATGTTGTTTGTTGAAGCTTTCCCAAAGATCAACGATATCCGTACATCTGGTATTGATGCTGAATTCTCTGCCAAGTTGGACGAAATGTCCGAAGGTTGTGTCTTTTTGACTGTTAACAGAGGCGAAGGTTTAGAAAACTTGTTCTTGCCTTTATGGAAGGGTAAGTCCAATGTCAACCTTATGGTCAACAAGAAGGATACTCACGAATTACTTTACAGAGTGTTTGGAATTTCCACCTCATCCAAGGATGAAGGCAAGGAAGCTATTTACCAGAAGAAGCTTGAAGCTGTCAAAGCCGCTCGCGAGTCTACTGAACCTGAGTCTGCCCAAGACGAAGGTGCTGCTACTGAAACCGAAGCCACTCCAGCCGTCGAAACCGAAAGCTCGGAAAAGCCAGCCACTGAAGCTTAGATTTGATCAGTGGCCATGTAAATTAAATCAAGTCGTAAATCATTAAATGTACACATCGAAAAGTGAATAGAATTCGCCACATTGGTAACACTGACATGCTATCGCTATGGAGCTGTAATCAGAAACCACTTGACCAAAATCAGTGGAATAGGCTGAATTATTGTATTGAGAATCGCAGCCTCGTACGTCCCTATTCAGAATCCTCATTCTCAGAAGACACATCCTCCTGTTCTATGTTCTCGTCAGTCTCGCCAGCCTGGTCGTCCAGATCCGTTTGACCAGTCGCCTCCTTCATGACTTTGGTCTCGTCAAATGCCAGATAGAGTTTCACTGCCTTTTCATCCACTACTTCGTCTACCCATTGTTCCACCAACATTCCCATTGCAAGCAAGGCAGTTTCGTCGAACCTTCTTGCCATTAGGGGCTCGTCACTGAACTTCTTTGCTGCGTAGTGATGTAGCACCTTGAGGAGTTCTGAGGGTGGGAGGTTGTGGCCTTCCGGAAACTCGTCTCTGAACTTGACTGGGATCTTTATGGACGAGGGTTTAATGGAGTCCAACATTTCATCTGCAGGCACCACATTTCCTCTTCTGTAGATCATTCTGTCCAAGTCATCGGCATCTCTGTCGATGACAAGCAGAATCTGCTTGTTGCTCTCTAGTACTTGGTGATGGGGGGACTTCAAGAGCCTGTCTCTGTAGTATGCTCTTCCCTTGGTGTACTGGCTATCACATGCCTGGTACACTGTGAGAGGTGACATGCGGCGAGTCTGCTTTTTCTCCTTGGGCATGTTGCTGACACTGAAGTGGGGGACTACCGGTGTAGAGTAGTTTGGACTGTACCTTTATTGGGTTTGGTGATCCAGGTATAAACTGTAACAGAGTGAGATGGGGTCTGTATGCAGGGCAATCCATTTTGCAGCTGGTGTGGGTAAGTTTTAGCTGCCGTTTACAGCAAGACGTTCTTTATCAAATTGGATACTTAGAAGTGATCTTTGGGACTCCAACCGCAAGCCTGGCTGGTAGGGAGCTGGAATGAGGCCTTACTTCTCAGTGACTATCTGAAAGGCTATCGCCCTTACCAGTGCAATTATCACACATAGCTCTGGATTCTGAAGCCAGAGTCAGCTTTCGGGTATCTTATCAGCAGCTGATCCCTTAGGGCCTTACCATCATCAAGGGAACAAGCTGACGGCGTACCCTTAGCTGCTGAACTTGCATTATCTACAATGTTGCAACTGTGAGTATACGTGGGAACAACACAACAACAAGCCAATACTAATTAGCCCGGTTGATCTCAGAAACACCCGTCACGTTCAACAGACGTTTGGCAACTCCTCAGCCATTTTTCTGCAGCTCCACAGCTCCTAATCGTTTCTTCTGTCCCGCCATAGCAGTCACCTCACTATGGCGCACCAGATCAAATCTCATCACATGAACGCGCTCGTGTGTTGTTTACTTATCACAACAAGACATGGCAGTGATGGAAAAGGTCTTGGGCCATTACAAGCTTAGAGATGAGCTTGCCGAGCTCCAAAGACAGAATGACAGACGAAAACATCTCGTGATGCTTGGAATCCAAAAGGTGGTGTTGTTGTCACAAGCACCCAAGAAAACCGCCAAGGGCACCAACGAGGCCACGAGATTGAAAACTCAGGTCAATGATTATGAGCTATACACGAATAAGCTCAAACAAGAACACTCCACGAAGATCAAGCTCCAAGAAGCAAAGTTGGAGGCCTTGAGAGAGGAGAACTCAAAGTTGAAATCACAAATAAAGTCGCTCAAAGACTCAGTTATCTACAACAGGGGCCCAGGAAATATCCTCTCAAGTAGAACGATACCATCGCCATTTACGTTGCCCAAGTTCAGCTTCAAACACGATGAGTTGAATCCATTGGGAATAGCAAAACCAATCCTGAAACTAGACAAAATCTTGACACCTGTGGCACCCAGAGTGAAAAAGCCTAAAAGAACATATATAACGTCGAAGAACATTAATCAGTTTGACTTGTTGATGAATCCGGGATCTACTCTAAACAAAAGTGAAGACATCTTGGCAGATTTACTGAAAACTAAAGATTCTTCTACCGAACCACCAGTACTGGAATCTACATCAGTAAAAACGTCAGTGCCGCCCTCCTCATCTGAAGGGAATACTAGTGTGGCAAATGATTTGAAGGCGAATAACTTTACTTCTACTAATGCTGCAGTGAAGCCTTCTTCGGAAATTTCGTTGCAACATGAACAGACTGACAAATCATCGAATGAATCACTTCCTCTTATACCCCCAGCATCGATTGAAGCCAAAAGTACTCCTTTGAAAACTCCTTCAAGGCAATCGTTTATCGAAAACTTTGATAAATCATCTGATTCAAATTCGGCCTCGCCCGAATTCACCCCTTCACGAGCCAAACCCCAGGTAGGCTCCCTCAAAAGGATAACTTCCAGTGCAGCGGTGTCTGAACATAAAATGACTCTGTTTTCGGTAACAGAAGAAGATACTTTCACCAGTGCAAATTCAACGATGTTGGGCATGAAATCCGATGACGAGACAACCAAAAGAAGGAAGAAGAAGTTACAGTTGTGGAAGTCAAATGCAACTAAGATAGATTTGGCTGCCGACAAGAAATCCAAAAGCTTTGGACTTGAGGATGAGAATTTGAATTCTTTGAACTACTATCAGGATGAGAATTTTGCCTTGAACGATGGGGATAGTCCATTGAAATCTACCAAGAAACGTGCTGCCGAGGACGATCCTTTGCCACGAGAGAACGTCAAAAAGAAGAAAAGAAACATCTTCAAAATAGATTAACTTTCAGGACTTTCTTGATACCCATAGATATCCGATTGAAGCCACGGTATATAAGAGGATATAATACTAACGACCTTCACGACCCAATTAGATACTTGAGACGCCTAGCACTGTCTTCACACTGATGATTCGCCTACGCAGTAGATATTCAACCTTGGTGTAAACGTACCGCGTAAAAGGGACCTTAAATTATGCCCAATAACAAGCAGTTTCTGCTTCGCCTAGAAGCAACTCCGCAACTTTGGTCTTCCCGCCATTCGGACAGCAGTTCCCAGAGTCGGCCGAGCAAGACCCTTCAACAGCCACAAGTGAGTTCCGGTCGCAAGAGCGGTGGTGGCGCACGTGACTTCACCGACTATCGCCAATTCCCAGGACGCCCATTGTCGATCTAGCAGATTACTAATTCCTGTTTCCCAATCCCACTCTGGCCATCCACCTTCTCAGACAAGACAGTTGCATCCATGAGGTCTGGGAAGCATTTAAAAAACCTCGCGAGGTTTCCGTCGAAATCACTCGTAAGTGTCAGATTTGCCACCACTGCATTGAAACCGTTGCCTTCGACGTACACTGTGAACGATTTCAATTCAAGGTATGAAATTGACAATTATGCCCATATCATAAAGCCTGAGCATGTCTTTGGCAGCGTCGCAGCCAAGGAGAAGGAGGGAGGTGAAGAAACTCCTGCCGAAAAGGCCCCAGAGGAGAAAGTTCCTAAAGACAAGGAGGAGAAGGAAGACAAGAAGGTTCCGGAGGAAAACAACGAGAAGAATGATGATGTTGAGACCAAGATAGAGACAACCGAAGCAGAGAATGAGGGCAGCAATGTTCCACCATCAGCTCCGGCAGGTGGTGCACCTGCTGGAGGTGCACCACCCACACCTCCTGGAACCCCTCCAAACGGTGGCGATGATCCAAAGGACCAGAAACTTGTTCCAAACGAAGTCACTGGCATGTACCCACCATTATTGGCCATCCCCATGAAAGATCGTCCACCTCTTCCAGGTAGGCCATTTGCAATTAATATCACCGACGCCGAAGTTATCAGATCCATTTACACTATTATAGACAAACGTGAGCCTTACTTCGTTTTGTTCCACGTAAAGGACCAAGGTGAGGCCGATACCGACGTGATCAGAAACAAAGACTCTGTTTATGACATTGGTGTTCACTGTCAGATTATTAGACATAACACTCTTAGGCCAGGTGTTTTCAATGTCTTGGCTTACCCTCTCGAAAGATGTAAACTCGAGAGCTTGTCCACTCCACATGACAAGAAACCAGCGGAAGAAGCTAAGAAGGACGAGGAAAATTTCCCTACTTCATACTTGAAGGGTCTTAAGGTCTCTTACGCTACTGTGAAGCCAGTCAAGGAAGACCCCTTTGACAAGTCTTCCACCGAGATCAAGTCATTGGTGGAGGCATTGAAGACCCTTTTGAGTAAAATGGGAGGTAAAAATCCTCTTCAAAAATTACAAATCAAAGAAATCACTGATTTGGTGAATGACCCTCCCAGGTTTGCTGATTTCGTTGGTTCAACTATTCATGGTGATCCTAAGAAGATTCAGGATATTTTGGAGTCGCTCGATGTCGAAGCAAGATTATCTAAAGCTTTGGAGTTATTGAAGGTTGAGATTAAGGCGAACCTGATTAAGGAAAGCACAATTCACAATTTGAGCAGCAAAGCTGATGAACACCAAACACGTTTATTCCTTAAGGAATTTATCAGAGAATTGCAAAAGCGTGCTGGCTTAAGTGACTCCGAAGACAAGAAAACTCAAAAGTATGATGAACGCCTCCAGCATTTGAAAATGACTGAGGAAGCATTGGAAGCGTACTATGCTGAGAAATCCAAGATTGACAACCAAAGTGAACACTCAAGCGAAGTAGGTGTGAGTGAAAGATACTTAGACTGGTTAACTTCTATTCCATGGGGTATCTACTCCAAGGATAGATTCAATGTCAAGCAAGCAAGAGAAATCTTGGACCGTGACCATTATGGTTTGAAGGATGTCAAGGACAGAATTTTGGAATTTATCTCAATGGGTAGAGTTAGTGGCAAAGTTGATGGTAAAATCTTATGTTTGGCCGGACCTCCAGGTACTGGTAAGACGTCCATTGCTAAGTCTATTGCTGAATCTTTGGATCGTAAATACGTGAGAATTGCTATGGGTGGTATTCAGGATGTTCATGAAGTTAAAGGTCACAGAAGAACATACGTGGGGTCTATTCCAGGTAGAATCATTTCTGCATTGAAGCAAGCCAAGACTTCGAATCCATTGATGTTGATTGACGAAATCGATAAATTGGACTTGAGTAGAAGTGGAGGTGCTGCTTCTGCATTCTTAGAAATTTTGGATCCCGAGCAAAACAACGCCTTCGTTGATAATTACATTGATGTCAAGGTTGATTTGTCTAAAGTCTTGTTTGTCTGTACCGCTAACTACTTGGGCAATATTCCTGCTCCATTGAGAGATCGTATGGAAATTATTGACGTTCCAGGATACACTAACAACGAAAAGATTGAAATTGCTAAAAGACATTTGATTCCTGAAGCCACCCGGAAAGCCGGTTTGGATGAAGGTAGAGTCCTCATCAATAGCGACACTATTTCTAGATTAATTGAGAAGTACTGTCGTGAAAGTGGTTTAAGAAACATCAAAAAGTTGATCACTAGAATATTCAGCAAGGTTTCTTTGAAAATTGTTGAGCAGGTTGAAGGACTTGAGGAGAAGGAAAAAGCTTCTGAAGCAAAGGAACCCGTAAAATCTGAGTCTGAAGACAAGCCTGCCGCGCCAAAGACCAAGGAAATTAAAGAAGAAAAGACTGCTACTGTGGAAAAGACCGATGCTGAGGAAACAGAGGTCTCCAAAGAAAATGAAGAAAATGAAGAAACGGAAGCTGAAAAAGAAACTGAAGAGGAACCTGAGAAATTGAAGATCCCAGATGATATCAAGTTGGAAATCACTACTGAAAACTTGAAGGACTTCGTTGGCCCTGAAATCTACACTCGTGATCGTGTCTATGACGTTCCTCCACCGGGTGTTGCTACTGGTCTTTCATACAGCACTTCAGGAAATGGTGATGCACTTTACATTGAATCTATTCTTACCAACTCAATCAGTTCTGGCACTGGACATTCAGGAATCAGTGTGACTGGTAGTTTGAAGGATGTGATGAAGGAGTCTGCTTCAATTGCATACTCATTTGCCAGACTGTACATGGTCAGACAGTACCCAGAAAACAGATTCTTTGAATCGGCTGAAATTCATGTTCACTGTCCAGATGGTGCTATTCCAAAGGACGGTCCTTCTGCCGGTATAGCATTTACTTCCTCTTTGGTGTCTTTAGCACTCAACCGCTCTTTGCCTCCAACCATTGCCATGACTGGTGAAATCACTGTCACTGGTAGAGTTCTTGCAGTTGGAGGTCTTCGTGAAAAGATCTTGGGAGCTAAGAGATATGGCTGTGACACTATTATCTTCCCTAAGGATATTGAAAATGAACTTGACGAGATCCCAGAAGAAGTCAAGGAAGGTGTCAAGTTTATTCCTGTTGAATGGTACCAAGATGTGTTCGATGTCATTTTCCCAAAGGTGTCGCAACAAGAAGGAAACAGCGTGTGGAAGGAAGAGTTTTCCAAGTTGGACGCTAAGAAGAACCTGAAGAAGAAGTAATCACGAGAAATGAGTTGTTAATAGTCATCATTACATTGTACATATTGATTATTACGAGCCTCAGGCTGTATAAGAACACCTGTAATAAGCACACAGATAATTTCTGGACCTATTTTTGCGTCCACAAGAATGATCCTTCATCTTACTCCATTTTTCTCTATACACATACACCATTCCTACTTCTTTTCCATTGAACCAAAGAAATCCCTTACCTCCTTCTCAGTAACAACCTTTCCCTGCTCTGCAAATGGTTTGAAGAAGTCTTTCAACTTAGACCTGATTTTATCATACGCCTGTAGGCCCTCTATGGCCTGCTCTCTAGGTAATGACAGCAATGCGTCAGTAGCTAAATCAAATATCGAACCAGTGGAAGCATCATCGTCGTCCTCTGGAGGCTCAAACACAGGATCATCCTCGAATAGGTACTTATGATTCTCAAGAAACTCGCCCATTCTAGACGTTTGGGGCACCTCCTTGTTCAATTCGGTGAGACCATCACGGAATCCGTTGCTCAAAAACACGGAATAAGGAGTTGCCCCAGCTTCGGTTTTTATTCTCTTCACTTTGGGCTCGTCGTCCTCATTCTTGACTCTGTACGCGTCATACTTTTTCTCCCACTCCTCTACCGAGCCCACTTCTTCAAAATGAGGAAGAACTGTGTATACGATGTCTGGTTTCTTTGCCAACTCGACGAATATATCTTTAAAGGCATCCACGCATTTCCAGCATATGAACAGATCGAAATCATCGAGATCAGGAAATCGCGGCACCGAATCCACCTCCTCTTCTTCGTCTTGGTCTTCTGGGGAAGTGGTTGGTGCATCTGTTGCATCTTCGCCAGGAGGAGACAACTTGTCGAGCATATTTCCTGAGTCTTTCACCTTTTTGAATAGTCCTCTCTTGTAACCCAAGATGCATTCCTCGTGATACCAGTCCTCGCCACAATTGAAGCCGAAGTAGCACTGGATCATGTTACCTGTTTCTTCTAAGGGGTTGTAAGGTTTATTGCAGCAGCAAAACAACCCGTGGAAGTTATGGTTGTATTCGTTTGACAGCGAAGGGATATCTTCGGCCTTTCCCAATGCCAGCGACTGCCTGGCCTCTGGCAACAGTGAGAGCAAGGTGACAGAACCCGTTCTCAAGCGTGGGGCTTCTGGGGTTGTGCCACCCTGACGCTGTCTCAAACCACACGCTCCATTCGTAGAGGCACCCATCTTGCTGGTGCCGCAATCACACACGAACCGTCTCTTGCTGAAAAGCTCCACTATCTCGTGAGTCGAATGGCATTGTATAGAACACGAATAGCACACTCCAATTGGGGTATTGTTGTTCTGTCTGGAACACGTCAAACAGGCAAAAACAGGCTGCCTGAGTTCTCCCAGGTGGTAAGTACACTCGTTGGGGTCATAAGGCATGATTCTGCGTGCCTCGTTCTCCAAGGTCTCCTGAGACTCGATGTACTCCTGGGCGGTGACGGAGTCAGTGGAAGACATGGTGCGAAATGGAGGAAGTAGAGGATGAACACAGCTGAGTCAGCAGTTGATAGGGTGATGGTCTTCAGTGAGGGAGACTAGCTATGGTCACCAATTGTGGGGTGGGCCAAGTGGTTCGTGTTGATCGATCTGGTGGATTATTCACTATACGCGCGAGTCTGTGCAGACTGATTGTGGGGGACTTGAACTAACTAATGGGGGGGGGGGGGAATGGTAACTGGTGGTAGAGGTAGCAGCGTAGGAGGGTAAACGTGGGCCAAGGTGGGTTTATTCAAGTGCTTAATGATCACTTAAACGTGTAGGTATGTTCTGGGCCACGAACCTTGAAGAATTAATCTGAAAATAAAAGGTAACACCTGATAGCAATTAGTGAGATCTACAACGTAAATGCCTGTTCCTTAAACCTATCCTTCAATTGCCGAGTGCTCTTTCCTTGGAAGTAGTCAGTAACCTTGATGAATATTTGTCAATGTCCATTTTTCACTACTTTTGGTGTACGTTAATCAAGTCCGCTCGTAGCGTAATACAGACCTGTTGATAACGCTAAGTCAGTGTTTGGCCATTTTTCACACTACGGCGCCGCTGAATGATCAGGACCATTTTTACCACTGAGGTGATCCTCCTCCATAGCCGGTACTTCAACCAGCCCTACAAGCATTTCGTAAAATTTTATTTAAAGTACAATCCGCCCTCGCGGCATATGATACACTAGTATCTACTGTGAACATGCAAATTACTCCAAAGCTGAAATGTCCTTGACGATTTCATCATAACCTTCTCTATACTCATCGGTCTTGTCAGCATTCTTCTTACTCTTACCTCCACCTGGGACAACCATGACACAGGAAGTAGGTCTCTTGGTAGCACCTGCGGAGCCCAAGTCTTCCTTGGATGGGATGAATACGAATGGAACAGCAGTGTCTTCACACAAAACTGGGATGTGGGAAATGACATCGGCAGGGGAGATGTCACCAGCAATGATAACCAATCCCTTTTCACCCTTTCTCAAGGCCTTGACCACTTCCTTCACACCTCTCTTGACATGCTTGGCCTTGGAGGCTTTCTTGACGGTCTTCAACACCTTCTTGTTTAACTTCTTTGGAGCAAGTGGCTTGGCAAACGGTAAGACCGCGCTCAATCTCTTCTCGTAGTTATCTTCAGCCCCGGCTTCTTCGCTCTTGCTAACCTTTTCCTTCTTGGCCATTTTGTTGTTGTAGTTGGTTCAGATGCCTTTTTCTCTGAAAAATTTATGGCGATGGGCTCCTGGGCTGCGCACGCCCGACCATCGATAAGGTGCGATTCGCTATAGAGGTTGAACTAATCCCGTGCTGTAGTCCCCTAGAACATGAGCTCATACGACCGCTATAAGAGGAAGAGAAAGCGTACCGCTCCCGTAGAGGAAGTCGGCCCCAAGTTGCGCTTAGAATCTGTCAAAAATGTGCCAAGCCACGACGAAATCCCCGAGGACGAGAAGGTAGCCAACTACCTCAACAAGCTCAGGAAGGATGTGAATTCCAGCACGTTTCTCAAGTTGGTGGTATCCTCGTCCGAAGCTGAATATTTTGATGCCGAAAGGGTCCAGTATATCAAGGAAACCTTTAAAATCCACGACATCACTGTTTCCCCACCGGTGGCTGGATCCATCGATAGATTCATCTCCTTGGTGGGAACTGCCCAGGAAATCGTCCGTGGAGCATTGTTTGTTGCATTCATCTTGAATGCCAAGTTGAATAACTTTGCTAAGAACCAATTGTACACCTTGAAGTCCAACAACTACAGATTATCACTATTGGTACCACCATCAATCCCTCCAGCCAAAGCCCCCTCTTCAGTAACCACGTCGATCACTTCATCTCATCACCGTAATGAAAGTGAGGTCCTCAGTTTGCACGCCATTTCCGGTGATTTCACAGGCTGTTTTCACGCATTAATGGGATTGGCTGAGGTGATGGCAAAGGCCAATTATCTTGAGGATGCTAAAATCACTCACTTGAGACTATTCGGTAATACCACAGACCCCAACTTTTTTCAAAGATCGGAGACCAAAGAATCCGTTCTAGTCAAGAACAAAAGCAGATTGTTGGAATTTGTGGGCGAGGCCAGGTGATGGGAATTCCCGTCCATCGCATCTAAGATCCTTGTATTGATTATGAGGCAAGCATAAACGCAAATAAATCCATCTGTATAGTAGCATAACTCATAGGAATGTATTTATCCCACTTTTCAAGCACCTTTTTCTCCGTAGTCTTACATTATGAGCCATCTCTATCGACATGAAGATCATCTAGGACATACATTCATCCAAGAATACCGACCAAGGACACTTGGCAGTGGATACTTCTACAGCATATTCTGAATTGACTAAAAACATTTTATGGCTAGGCCTAAACCCTAATTAACTATACCTTCACAGCGTCAGCAGTTTTGGCTTTTCTAGAAATAGATGCAACTCTGTCACCCAAGGACAATGCCAAACCTTGACCCTTGGATCTGATTCTGACGTGACCAATGATTGGCCCATCCGTTTGCTTCTCAATACACAAATTGGCTAATGCGTCCTCACCAAACGAAGATCTGGAATATAAATTAGCTGACAAAAACTGGCATTCTTCTCCGATGACAGCTCCTGGAGTCAAACAGTTCATGTTAGTGCCCTTCAACAATTCTTCCAAGTACTCCTTCAAAGAAGTAATTTGAGACTTAATGGTAATCTTGTTCTCCCATTCAAACTCATTCCACATCTTACGGAATTGACTTTCAGTACATGTAGCAGGTTTGATATAATCCATGATATCCACATGCACATCGTTTAAAATAACAATGGTTGAGTCATCTGAGTGTTGACCATCGTACACGATATTACCGAAAATCACACCAGTATCAGCAGAAGTAACCTTGACGGTAGTCTGAAGCTTGTAGAAACCATGTGGCCCAATGTTGGCAGTGGCTGGCTTGTCAACCACCTTCAAGTCACCAAGGGTAGCGAATTCAACAGATAAGTTTCTCAAGGTATTGGTAGTCTGATTAACCAACAAGACATCCAAAACAACATCGTATTGATGAACCTTGACGAAAGCCTCGGCATATATAGGGTCGGAGAAACCAGTCAATTGTAAAATCTTGTTCAATCTGGATGATAAGTTTTCCTTCTTCAAGTCATTACCAGAAGCCAATGTGATGTCATCAATGTTGGATGACTTGGATTTTGAAGCATCCTTGTCAAACTGTCTGAAAACGATGGAGTCGTCAATTTGTTCAACATGCTCGTTGAAATCCTTAGCTTCAAGCTCGGACTTCTCGAGTTCCATAGTCTCGATTTGGGACTTGAAAGCTTCCTTGGTGTCTTCCAAAAATCCTCTTTCGATGATTTCAGCATCTTCCTCATCATTCAAGAGTCTGATGTAGGACAAAATTCTGTCTGCAGAGTCTTCATCAATCATCTTAGTGACATATTGGGACTCACCGACTCTTAAAATAGAAACCATTATTAACAAGGCTTCAGCTTTCAAAGCATTCAAGAACTTTGGTTGAGTTTTGAGACGTTGTAATCTCAAGACAAGCTTCACTAAAGTGGAGGCAAGAACAGCACCGAGATAGAAATCTCCAGATAAAATCAATTTACGGATAGGTGGCTTTTCGTCATCATCAGTTGAGCTAGAAACCTCAGCAGTTAATGCATTTTCAGTGGCATAGGTACCATCTGGTAAAACCACTGGACCCTTCTTACTCTTCTCTGAGTGTTCATGTTCTTCTTCTGACTCCTTGTGAGTACCTTCAGCTGCTCTCTTCTCGCTGGCCAAGATTGGCACTTCACCAATACTTGATCTGATGTACTTCCAAGAATCTTGGATCAATTTTTCTTCCAATGAGTATTCACCGATGATCCATAATGAACCACGGAACACCTTGCCACTCTTGATGACTGGCAAGACCTCTATCAACTTGGTGACGATAGCTTCTCTTAATTTAGGGAACTTTTCGATCACTTCCTTGACGAAAGTGATAACTTCATAAGCAGAAGAGGTGTTCAAATCACCTAAGGATTCCAATAACAAATCCACAACATTAGTAGCCACTTCAACAAACTTAATGGCCAATTGATGTATAGCGTTGATCAATAATTGTCTGTATTCCGAAGTCTTGTCTTCATTAATGGATGCAGTTCTTTGAAGTTCGTTTTTCAACAATTTGACAATATCTTCGACATTTCTGTTTGTGACAAACTTCAAAGTGACTTCAAGAGCCTTTTTACGGACATCAATATCTTGAGAAGATAATACCCTCAAAATTTCTAAGGACAAGTCTTGTAAAACACCAGGGTGATCCTTGTGGAGCTGGTTGATTCTGTCCAATGTGATGATCTTAACGTTGTTGTTGGACTCTTTGATGGCAAGGTTAACAAACTTTTGGCCAACCAATAAGATGGATTGTTGGTTAGTGGTCAAGGTGGTCAAGGTGGTGGCAGCTTCATAGATAACAACGTTCGAAGAAGCACTCTCGATAATTTCGGTAACCAATTGGGTATATTGTTGCTTCAAGGAAGGGTTTTCCACCGAGTCCTTACGAATGAATTCAAGGAAAGCCAATTGTAACAAGGAGTCCAAGGTTTCGATCACTTCAATGTTGTCTTGGATGTATTGCAAAGCGGCGGTTCTGTTCAAGTCACCCAAACAAACAAAGGCGTTTCTCTTACACACCGAGTCGGACTCGTCATACAAGAATCTGTAGATCAACTCGTCGGTATCTGGGGACAAGTGATCGGAGACCTTGTAAATGGAGTAGATGGCAAAGATGGCGTTCTTTCTGACGTAGGCGTGACGGTGCTCAAGACACTGGCGCACGTTTGGCACCAAAGTCTCCAACAACTCAGGCTCCTTCAACTTGGTCAAGTATTTCAAGGTGCTACCTCTGATGTACTCGTTGGGATGCTGCAAGTCCCGTTGGATCGAGTTACACACCAAGATCATTTCGTGTCTCATCTTTCCGTGCTCGTCCAACTTAGGACACACTTCCCAGTAGAAGTATAATAATCTCTTCAACTCTTTGTTTCTGGAGGGCATGACAAATCTGATGATGTGCATCAACAAGTCGGGCAATGCATCCCCGTTGAGAAGCGTGATCAAGATCTTCTTCATCGTGGCGATCTTGAGCTCGTCCAGACCTTTCTCCAACGCATTTTTGTACTCATTGACTGAGGTCTTGGTGGCCGCATTCGGGTCGTGAATCAACGTGTAACCGTCCATGGTGTAAGGCGGGCGTCTGTGTCAATTGGGGATACGAGGGGAAATCTGCCAATTGGGGGACGTCGTGGCTGTACAGGTTAAGGGTGGGATGGAAGGAGGCGCTGAGGGAAGGGGCCGGAGGTTGAGTGTTTAGTTGATCTCAGTCGACGTGTTGGCTTTTTCGTTGTGCCCGCACACGCAGACGCGGATCACGTGACCTGTTTCTAGGCAAGCTGAGAGTGGATAGCTAGTGCCGGGGGTCATCTACATGGCCATGGGGCGCCTTTTTAATCGCATTGGTATCAGTGTATGAACTACTCTATGTGCCTGATTTTTGGTGGTACTCTAGACCAAAGGAAACTTTTTTACGGGTAATCTGAATGTACTCTTCACCAGCTGAATAAATGGACTGTCAGTGCTGGCACTCGCGCTGCTTAGTGGTACGAGCTAGCCACGGACCCAAACCTCAGACCTATCACAAAAGGGACACCCAGTTTTTCAGGCTTAATCACTGTCGGAGTTGTCTGGGTTGGCAAGCACCAACCGTGGCCGCTCGTCATACTCGTCCTCGTCATCCAGCAATTTTCTTGGTGCACCCTCCACGTCGGTATTATCTTCATCGTCCTCATCTCCCGAGGCTCTTCCAAATTCGTCCTCACCATGTTTGTAGCCTGGATGCTGGTAGTATCCACCCACCCCTGCGTCTGAAATACTGCCGGACGAGGAGGAGCCCACCGATCTTCTTCTCGACTCACTTCTGGTAGAACTGGTCACAACACTCTGAGAATCCGACGTTAAGCCAGATACGTCGGTAGTTGTTCTCACGAGGGAGTTATTCCTCGAGACGTTGGCTAGCGATCCTCCTGGTGCGATACTTGAGCTGGATGATTTAGAGTCGTTAAATGGACTCTTGCCTAGGCTAGTTGAAGTCGAGATCTTGGGGCCCAATCTGACCGATACCACGTCTCCATCGTCAATTTCAGACGCCAACAATCTTGGCTGCAAGTGACCGTGCTTCAACTCCACACCGCTGGCCTTCTTGGTCCGTTGCAAGCCCGTGGCTCTTCTGGCATACTTGCCGTTGGTGCTATAATGCGAATTAGCATCCATAGGTGCAATTCCGGTGGGAAGTTTCCATTTGCCAGGTCCAGTATCGTTGAAAGCAGTACCTGCATTTCTGCGGATATTCTGCACATAGTTGGACCTTTCACCCTCGCCTGGCAACAAATTCAAGCTCTTCTTCAACGAGGCAAGATTCACGTTTCTGTACGAATTAGAGCTCCGAAGCGAGCTAATGGAGGTTGACTGTCTGTGCTTTTTGATGGAAGACATACCCGTCAACGTGGAAGGCGTGGTAGCCGAAGTCTTGGTTCTGGTGATGAAGTCGCTCGAGTTCGTCGAAATAGCATCAAAGGTGCTGCTGTTGGTACGCACTCCCATCCTGGTTGGTGTCTGTGATAGCTGGTTAGATTTAATCAATGGCTTGGGGCCAACACCCGAGGGGGCATTCATGTGGAGGATTTGCGACAGGCTGGAGCTTGATCTTCTGTTTGACTCGATGGTATCGGCGCTGTTGCGGTGTTGATAGGGTCTATAAGGCGATGCTTCTAGTGGGTCTTCGTCCCGGGGGTTTCGTGGTATCTCTGCAGCGTATGTGTCGTAGGAGATGTCGGGGTTGAAATTAGATTGCACAGGAGACTCGAATGGATCACTAAGTGGATATGGAACGTCGGAAGTGGGAATTGAATTAGAGTTCGAGTTGGATTGCGAGAGCGAGCTGGAAGTGGTTTCGGTCTGGCCAATGGAGTTGGAGATCGAGTTTGTGTTTGAGGAGTCCTTGGGCAACTGGACTGAGGATGTGGAGTCGTAGAAGTCGTTATTGTAGTCGGAAAGCTCCATAAGAGGAGGGGACCGTGAGAGTCGTAAATGGGAGGTCAAGCTAGTGGTGCTGTAGTCATCGTTGTCGAACTTGAAAGGCTCGCCTCCGCTGGGCTTAGGGTCCTCCATCCTCAAGTAGGTATCTATTTCGTTCTCCAAGGTTCCTATTATATCGTTCATGTTGGTGTCATTGATCTTGGAATTTGAGTTCGGGTCGTGGACATCTGCTGACAGGCCCTGGCTCTCTAGCGGAGGGGGTTTCCTTCTGAGGCTGGGGGCAGATCTAGGTTGCGACACAGAAGGCTCGGCTGAACTGGCCGACGAGGGTGCTGGCGACCTGGCAGTGGTTCGTGGGAGCGTCAGTGGAGGTTCACGCTTCAGCCTGGGGGTGGAGGGAGCCTGTTGGCTGGCATTCAGCCGGAGGGAAGCGTTGGAGGCCTTCTGAGTTAGTGTTGGTTTCACCAGTTTCAGAGACCCAGAAGCAGGCTTGTTGGTGGGAGTCGACCGTGTGGGCTGGAGCGAGGGTCCGTGGGTGTGGTTGAACATGGAGGAGATCCTCGATCCGAAGATCAGTCTTCTATCTTTCTCCCCAGACATGGTAAAGAGTGTATGGCACGGGTGCTCGATAAATTTTAGCGAGACGCTCACCAGTGAGGTAGTGCGATTCCGGGGAAGATGAAGTAGGGTGAAAGGAGTGGTGGTAGTGCTGGTGCTGGTGGGAGTCTGGGAGGACTAGGGTGGTTGTGGTATGGTGGTGCTAGCCAGTGCTGGCCGGTGCTGGTGGTTTGGTTTCCTGTGAGTGCTGTTCTGGAACAGTGAGGTGCTCGGTTGTAGTATCTGGGCTAGTACGAATAAACAACCTAGAGAGATTACTCAAGTTTCTAAATACATGACTGTGAACAATCGCATCAGCGACTTGCAAGTTGCTACCATGAGCCAATTGGGTCGCATCCTTCCTGAAAGTCTGTTGTAGTCGTCTGTGGCATGTTCTATTCTACAGAACCGTCACCATTTTGCAGTCTGGAGAAGAAGTGTCGTAAAAACGACACAGCTACATTGACACCTGTCCTGACAGGCGGAGCTACCCTGGTAGCACCGCAGCCTCCTTCTCGCAATCTACACCACCTGATTATAATTACATGGAACCGCTTAAGCCACGAATGTTCAGTTGCAATGGACAGGCGAGACGAGATATCATCGTCAGCCAACACGAGCTTCGGGCCTTTCCATCGCCTACTCCCACAATGTCATTGAGGTCGCCCCATTGGGTCTCTCCATTGCAGTCTCATCGGTTTATCCCCACGATCTCCCATCCTCACCCACAAGCCCCACCCGGTAGTGCGCACTAGCGAATGTTCAACAAATACATCCCAGCACCACCACCATGAACCATGAAGGAAAGGTCCAGAATATACGGTCGATTTCCCTTCGCAACCTCTACCTCTCGTCCAGCCACCACCACGACGATGCCCACCGGTTCAAGGCGGTCGAAGACGTGCAGCCTCGCCGTATGAGTCTCATCCAGACGGTGCCTGAGCTTGAGCGCCCTGGCACCCACACAGAGCTCTTCGACATCAACAACCGCACATTGGTGGACTCGTTCGTCACCTTGCACCTCGCAGAGCCGCTGGAGCGGCTCCTCTACGTCAGCGAGGTCCGCCTGTGCACCATGAACCCCAGCTTCAGCCAGATATCGCTCCCGTTTGTGCCCAAGAACACCCACCGGGTGGTGCTCCGGGTGTGGTGCAAGCACCACTTCGTGCCGCTGGCGTGGGTGCTCCATACGGAGGCCAGGATCGACTTACGCAAGCTCGAGTACTTTGGCGACTCCACCGTCAACTTGGAGGACTTGTTCCAGCTCAACTCAGTGATCTTCGACCTCGGCGGCAAGTTGTTCACTCTCCCTCAGTCGCTAGCAGTCAACCCCGCGAGATTCCTGCCAGCGACAAAACACACCCGCACCATGTCCACCAAACAGGGCCACTCCTATACCATCGACGACGTGAGGGCATTGAGCAGCCTCTCGCGGTCGCTCCAGGAGTTGACGGTAGCAAAGCACCGTCTAGCACGCGACATACATCACCACATGGGTGTGCTCCACGACTCTTCATCCCTCAACAACATCACCATGGCCGTGGACAGGCTTCGCAGCCGGGTAGCGAGCCTCGATTCGGCTCTCGCCAGGCAGCGCGCGCGCAACGACACCTTGTCGTCCGAAATCCTCGCTAGCCGGGTGCGCATCAACCATATTACCGAGATGAGCCAGGGCAAAAAACGGTCGCTAGCGGAAATGAGCGCCCTGCAGAGCGAGCTCGCCCAGGCCCAGGTGGACCCCATCCAGGAGTCGCTCCAGGCGTCGGTGTTTCCGTCGATCATGGGCCAGTTGCAGGCGTGCACCGCAGTAGTGAGCCAGATGTTCCCTATCGCCAATGTCAGCAACAGCGTGCGGTTCACCATCATGGAAATCGCGTTTCCCGCCACCATAAAGGAGCTCTTGGAGATCTGCTACTACAACAAGGGTCCCAGTGCTGACAGTGCAGACGGCGCAGACGGCGTGCTGCACGAGTCACGGGTGCTGGCCATCAATAGCGCTCTCTCGTACATCGTCCAGTTGATCAACGTGTTGGCAGACATCACCAACACCAACCTCAAATACCCCATGGTCAACTGCGGCAACGCCAGCGTGATCCTCGACCCCGTGATGGCAGAACGGCTTACGCTGGGCGACGCCAGCGCCGACACTCTGGCTTCATACCCGTTGTACTACGACCCGTTGGCCACCGAGCGGTTGGCAGTGGACGCAGAAACCTTGGGAGGGCACCTCATGAGAAACGGAGCGTTTGAGCAGGGCCTCAACATGATGAACAAGAACCTCTTTCTCTTGATCAACAACATCACGCGACTCTACAGCGAGTTCCGCTGGGACAGCCACGGCGGCGTGGGCACCTCCACCGTTCCTATTGACTGTCCCGACAACTTCTTGTGGAATTTGCAGTATTTGGTGCTCTTTCTCACCGCGCCTGCGTAGGGGGCAGGTGCGACATTTCGCTGGGGAGGCCGTACTGGGGAACTTTCTGGAAGTGATATTTTCCCTGGAGGCAGTACTTCGGCCTGTCTAGGACTGCGACATTACCCCTCGAGTCAGCATGATGAGCATTGCCCCGGGCGCAGGTCCGAAAAGCATGTGGAGGGAGGCACAGCCAGGAGTGGCACGCCTGGGAGACCAGCAAGGAATGGCATGCCTGAGAGGCCAGCCGTGAGTGCCACTCTTGAGAGACCATCCAGCAGAACCCAGGATACTAGCCAGGGGGATTGGACACCATCAGTGTGTGTTCCACGCGGTGCTTGTCTACCCATCACAAACACTAATTACGCTTATACAATAGGCTGATCCGCATTGTTATGAAACTGGGGAAATTCGTGCGATATTCCAGTGACTGGTGCCATGCGCTGCTGCCACCATTGATCCGGTGCCATGAGGGGATGCTTCCACCACAAAACTGGCCCAAATGTAGCCGCTTCCCTGGACTCGGGTCGCCAAACTAGCATCCCTAGCCCGAGAACTTATCTACATGACTAACCAATCTTCGTAATGACCATACATTAATATACAAGGTATTTTTCTCGACCCTTACAACAAGGCAACGGCAACGGCGCCGAGAACAGCACCAGCAGGCGCAATGAATGCCACGCCTCCGTTGGACGAAGACGATTGGGCGCTGGACGAGCCCACAGACGCTCTGGTGGAGGATGAAGAGCCCAGTCTGCCAGCAGAAGCCGACGAACCGGAACGAGATGCAGCGGCTGTGGTGGAGCCGGAGGTGGCCACAGAGGCAGTGCCAGAGGTGGAGGCAGGAACGTCGGAATCAGAGGCCAAACGAGTATACCATGGCAACTGTTCAGCAAAGCTTCTCAAGTTGTTGACGTTGACAGCGGAGTTGTCCAACAAGGTGGTGTAGCCCAGATCGGTGTATGTGATCACGGTCTTGGCCAAGTCGGTAATGCCAGAGGGAACGTTGTTGGCGGTAGCGAAGAACCCGATGTACTGCTGAGGATGCTGTCTGAAGTCCGAGACGAAGGCAGTCAAGAGAGCCACGTCCAGGGAGTCGGCAGCGTGGACGCTGGCGACGAGGGCTGCTGTGATGAGATAAAGAAGTTGCATTTTTGCTGCGACAACTGCGAGCAGTTTGTCCTAGCTATATAGTGCCACCAGTTTGCAGGCATCATCACCAGGATCCAAATCCATGACACAAACAAAAGAAACACTCGTCGACGTGGGGTGCCTGCACAAGACTTGCCCGAAATAGCAAAAAATTAGCCGGCATGCCGCGGGCTCCTAACCGCATCCTGTGTGTCGCGCGACATGCGCCTCCTAATGGCCCATCGCTGGCCTTTTTAGTAGGCGTAACGAGCCTCGCTTAGGCCGTAGTGACCACCGCCCACCGGTGGCCCCTTGTTCTCTCCGGTGAATCCAGCCCCTGGGGCCCCACCATCCGGTCTCTGAACCCCTCCCAGTGGACTTATGGCCCTGTTCGACACGGAGCTGCACCTGCGCCTGCAGGAGCTTGGCACACTGATCGGTCGGACTGTGCGTGTGATTGCGGTAGGATGCATTTCCGTGTGGATCCTGAGGCTGTAATCGGTCACCAGTATTTTGGGGCCTGTGATTCTGGCGCCTGCACGGCCAGCCCCCGCTTTCACTGACTGCTATATGGTGGGAATGGCTGCGAAGTGGGCGCTGTCATTTCTGTCGATGCACAAGGACCCTGCAACGAAAAGTGCCAACGGCAAGTGATTTATCTTGCAGGACAGCCCGTTTTGATTGTGTGCTCCGAGCTGGAATTAGGTTTAGAGGCGAAAATCAGCACAAGCAGGTTAGTAGTGGTGGGGGCTCAAACCACCCAGATAAGCCCACGCTAGGTGCGCTCGTCGCTCTGCCGGGGTGGTACAGCGTAAGGAGCCATATCACGAAGTGTAAGGCAGAAAGAAACCGGTGGTAAGGTGATCGAACTCTGAGACTTTATTGTATGGTAGCGAAAAGAATTCTGAAGTGCTATTCCTAATTCAGCCACAATAGAACAACAATAATGCATGTCAGTCTACCAGTTCCGCGAGGTCGTAAGATTTGAATTAATCCGAGAAGATTCCGATTCAACTGGGTAAAGAATCAGAAATCCATCTATGTAGTGCACATATTGTATTCTCTCCACATCTACAATGCTGATGTCTAATTTTATGCATTTCGTGTTGAAAAAGTCCAAAATCGAGAAAATCTGAACTGTTCGAATTAGTGTATCGTTGTTTGAGGTAATAGATTTAAGGCATGTGGTGGTGTTTAGTGAACACGGGTGATTGAATTAGCCTGCGAAGTGTCATGCTACTAACAATTGAGTGAATCTCCCTTGAATAAATTCCGTGCAATATTACAATACTTGAACCAACCGTTCGTTGTAATCGTACTTAGTAGCCTCACAGTCCTGCTATCAGTCTGGCCCCTAGTAATCTTTGAAGCCCCGCAGCTTCCTTATCAACCGCCTGGACTCCAAAGTATGGCTTTGAAATGCACACCGCCTCCAGCAACGAATCCACAAAACAAAACACAATTAAACTATCTCATATCGCAGCCAATAATGTGACCAGATAAAAGGCGCCACATGGAAACTCCTTCAGCTCTGGAGGTTCTGAGGGATGGCTGGAACCTACGGAGCAAGAAGTATCAGATATGCTCGTTTCTTCTTTGCACGCTATCAAGCATGTATACCCAAGAGTATTGTAGTGTGAATATTGACGACTAGATCGATGCATTTGATCTCTTGGCTCTGCACAAGTCAGCTACACGACCAAGTATACGAGGGAACAGAAAACTTTGTTTACTATCGCAATTTCTTCCCTATATGGCTAACGATGACCCTAATTCCAGGACCACACTACTCTGGTTGAAAACGAACTGTTTTCTAGTGGAGAGTCTCGCCCGCCACATCGGCGTTGTCTAGTCTACGAGCCTAGTACGAGTGGACCTTGGACCACTCGCCACACCAGAGTTCGTGATATTGGCCGAAAACTGTCAAATTCTTGACAGCTCGCACAAAAATGACTCTGAATCCCATTCGCAGCTATAATGATAACATCCAGGACCAACAACAATTGGAGTGGTTATCTCGTAGTTCCCACAAACAAACCGCAGTTCCTGTTCAATTGCTCAGGCGAGAACGACCCAGTGGCTACGGTGTAATTGACTAGCATACGTATATTGATACCTAAGGCTTATAATAAAACAAGGCCGGCTAAAACGGCCAAACCGGAAGAGCCGTAGGCAGCAGCGGCAGCTCCATTCTTGGAAGAAGAACCAGACTTGGAAGCGGAAGCGGAAGCAGATGCCGACTTGGAGCCGGAGGAAGCAGCAGCGGAAGCAGAGGACTTGGCGGCAGAGCTCGACTTGGCGGAAGAGCCGGAGGAGGAGTCAGCAGCGATGGCGACAGAGACGAGGGCTAATAAGGCAATGGAGAACTTCATGATGAAAGAAAGACAACAGATAATGTGGAAGAGACGGGGGTTGGGGTGCAATTTATACCATTTCGCAACCCCAGCCGGGGTTAATTTTAGAACAGCAAAGCTCCCAAGCCACCCTCAGACGGCTGGGACACGGTGCTAGACTGAATCAGGGCTGTGGTCCACCACGGGGTTTCAGTTGGTACTGCCTCAGTACATCACCTGGAAAGGGCCAGGTGCCATTGGCTTCCAGACGCTCTTTTTGGCTCGTAGACATCTGCCAACAGCCACCGCACCAGTGATCTTAACGTGCACCAACGACGCCAGCAAATGCTTGGCAGGGTCCAGCCGTCCCGCACTATTACCAGGTAAACACCCACGGTGGGACAGGCTGGGGAATCCACACCACAAGGAGGCTGAAGCTCCAAAAATAGCAGGACACTGGATTATTTCACGGAACGCGAACGCCTGAACAATTACGATTACGACAAGTAGGAAAAGCTGGTGCCATTCCCACAGCCGAGGCGATTGCGGCTTAAAATAGCCCGGTGGAGCAGATTTAGGGGCCGGACTGGCAGATTGGTCGGTAGATGAGGCATTTAATAATACTAGAATACAAACAGACGGAGCTGGTCTACCCAGAGAACGCGCCTCCCGCGAGGCAGAGGTTTCTGCGGGTGAAGTGGACGTTGTAGACGGGGGTCTTTTTGGTGAAATACGCCGTCATGTGGTCGCTGGTCGCCACAATCTCCTTTTTGGCCTTATCACTGGCCTTGGGTCTGGTTTCACCAGAATTGGGCCCATTTGCGGCATTTCCATTTTCATTGCTTCCTGTGGCACCGCTCGTACTTCCGTTGGCGCCGCTGCCCTCGCTGGAAGCAAATGCTTCCGGCTGGGGTCCTGCATCGTTGGTGTGCCTCTTGACGTCCCACACTCTCACCGTGTTATCGGCGCCTCCGCTGACCAAAACTCCTCCATCGCGAGAAAACGCCAACGAGTAGATAGAAGATCTTCCGTGGCCTCTCATTGTCTTGAGACGCCTGCCTGAGCCCGCGTCCCAGATGTTCACCACGCTGTCCTCACCAGCACTGGCCAACCAGCGTCCATCCGGAGAAACAGCCATGCAATTGACTGCTCCGGTGTGTCCCATAAACATCCGCACGCAGTTACCACTTTGGACGTCCCACATCCGGCACGTCTTATCCGAGGACCCCGTGAAGACGTAGTTCGAATTGGGATGGAATTCCACACAGTCCACGTCGTTGATGTGTCCAGCAAAGATCCTTAATGGGTATATGTGATCGGTGGCCCAAAGTCTTGCAGTTTGATCATGTGATGCGGTAGCAAAATAGTGCCCCATGGGCGAGAATTTCACGTCCCAAATAGGTTGGTTGTGACCTTTATATGAAACCAAGGCGGTGTATGAGTCAAGGGACCATAATCTCACGGTTTTGTCTTCGGAACCCGAAATTAAGTATTTGTTATCAGGCGAGAACGAAACGCCATATACTGGTCCGCTGTGCCCAATCAACTTTCTAGTGTTGCTATTGTTGTTGGTATCCCTCTTGAAAATAGACTTCAATGGCTTGCCATCCAAGCTCCACAACTTAATGAAACTGTCTTCGAATCCAGCAGCAACCATATTCGAATCTTCATTAAACTCAATGCATGTCATATCGTTGTTTGTGTTATGGAATGTGTACATACACACCGAAGGGGCGCTGGCTTGAATAGCTCCCAATTTTATTTTGGATCTCGAATCCTCAACTGCTAGTATGGATCTCTTGATATCGGAATAGTCTTTAATAGGCAAAGGCAAGCTTTCTCTAGCAGGTGAATCGGCCTCTGGTTTTGTTATGTCTTGGAATTCTTCCACTAGGGTCTTACCATTCACAGGCGATGATTTTTCATCCTTGATCTTCAACTCAGCTTCAATTTCTTTTTGAATCTCAGGTTCCAATGGAAGTTTACCCAATTTAACAGGTTGTTCGTTAAATTTATCAATTTCATTAGTCTTGGTTACATATTCTGGGATACCTTCGTCAGGATTAGCTTCTCCCTCTTGGTCTATTTTATCTGGTTTGGTGGTGGAAATAACTGGATTTAAGTATTGGTTGATGATACGGATCAAAATGGCTCCTCCAACAGCTTCGTTCTCGTGCAAGAAGTACAATAACAAATTGATGGAAGTCTTGGAAACAATAATTCTATACTTGTTTCTTCTGTATGCCAAGGCCAATTCGTTTTCCTTCAAATGTTCAGGCAATGATATACCCGCAAGACTCTTCACTTCAACTCCATGTAAAATGAGATGGTCGTTTTTGAATCTATCATAAAACTTCTTTGATTGCTGGATGTAATTCTTGGAAACCAACTCGAGAAAGCAATGGATAAAAATTGGGTACAAAATCCTGGATAATTCTGGTTTGTAGAGATCCAACGAGGTGTCGACCCATCTTCTCAACATCGAATAGGCAGTATAATAGATATCTGGGTCATTCTCTCTCTTTTTCTTCTCTTCCAAGTCCTTGAGTTCCCTCAATTCTTTTTCTTTGCCCAACCTCGTTTCCCTGTCTCTGGTCTCTCTCAATTCACGCTCCACTCGGTTCTGCTTGTCCCTCAAATCTCTGATTTCACGTTCATGCTTGGATAACTTATCCTTCAAGTCTTTCTCTCGCTTGGTTGCTGCTGCAGACCCACCGATTTCTCCGGGGTCCGCCAACTTGGTATTGGCAGGAGTAACGGCTGGCACAGCTGGGGTCGGAGTATTTGAGCTCTCCAACCTCAACATCGATTCAGTTTTGTGATACCCCTTTTTGTTGAGATACTCCAACACAATCCGGTTCAATTCAGCCTGAGAGAACTGCGGTTGAGGCCCTCTGGCTTGAGCAGGTCTAGCGCCACTAGCGTTTGGTCGCACTCCTTGCGGTTGTGATGGAGAGCCCGCTCCTGACCCAGAAGAGAGGCCAGCATTTCCTGCTGGGACCCCTTTGCTATCGTTGCCTTGGTCCACCATAATTGCAGTATTTGATTGGCAGGATACTTTTGATTACGATGATGGAGGTCGTGGTGGTTGGGAGTAGTTTTTTCGAGTTTGTTGATGGTGTTGCGCGACACGCGACACGCGACATCGGTTTGGTGTGGTTTATGCTATGAGGACCAGGACTCGAACGGCATGTGCATGCGCTTTGGGAGAAGACATCGTGGTTGACTTTGGCGGCCCGAGTGCAAAAGATTGGAAAACGGCTTAGATATCTATTTTTGTTGCTATAAATTGCCCGTTGTCGCGTGCACCTACATGAAATCATTAGCTTGATGTTGATAACAATCCTTCATCCATCATTCGGGATTCACCATGAGCTTGGCAGGGTCCCACGGACCCTTGAGCTCGTTTTTGTATTTTTGAATGAACAAAAAGTACGCTGGCATTAGGAATAAGATGCAAAATGCACAAACCCACCAAAAGAAAAGGATCTTAAAGCCTAGCAACACGTAAATAAGCACATTCACGGTCTGGAAGTTCACAAAGAAAACAAATCGGTGAAAATTGGTGTAATTGTGACGTCTGATGTAAAAATCGAATAATGGAAGCAAGATGTTGCTCTGGATGGAAAATAAAATGAACGAGAACACCTGCGAGGTGGAGTTGAATCTGGAGGCCAAGACAATGGAATGCGAGAGGGTGATGTTGGTCGACACCACCGGTTTGTATTCAATTACTGTGGATGATGTGCGGGATGCCACTGAGGTGTTCATGCCATAATCGTGAAGAAGAGTATTGGCTAAAAACAATATTACTGACAACGCCCAGATCGAGTCGGATGACGTAGACCTTGTGAGGGATTTGAGTGCCGGCGATAGGATAGATAACATGAATATAATGAGACCGTACGACTTCACATTGGCGTTTTCTTGTTTTGCTCTTGCATGGGGACGGCTCTCCTGCTTGGTGTTATGGCCTATGAATAGCTGTATGAAGAAGGCTATGATTGTGAGTGCCGAACTGGTCATCGCAGGCACAAATGCGTTCCATTTGTGTAGATATATCCCTGCAAAGGTGAGCACCATGATCAACTGGCTACTTAGGTGGAATACTATGAGGGAGAAATCACCCAACAACTTGATATAAGAGTATTTCACCACCGTTGAGTTTCTCTTGAGCTGCGATAGAAACGATTTGTCGGTGTAATTGTCTGGATATGGTTGCTTCAAGTAGAGAAGCTTTTTCCAGGAAGGGAGTTTTGTAGTATGATTTCGTGGATGTAGTCTGTGCCGGAGCTCATCGTGAGCAGATCTGGAACTGGAACCAGTGGCAACTGGCTTCGAAGGCCGTGGGCGTTGTGGACTCCCCAGTTTCGGTTTCATTGGTGGTGATGGAATGCAGACGTGGTGTTTGAATAGTATGCGTCACGTGCACAGATAAGCTCCAAAAAACGCACCATAACCGAAAGCTGCTAGTGGTATATTATCGGCTATCTGGGTAGTTTTGGACCAAAACGTATTGGCATCTCACAAGAGCAGCATAGACCAACTGAGAATTTTCCACATTTAGAATAGCTACTACGCTAACCGCCGACGCAACCCTCCAAAACGTCACAGCAAGCAAATCCTTTCCGTTAGAGAAAGATACAGGTAAGCTTACAGCCTTGTCCAGCCCTTCAAATAAGTCTAGAACTACCAGAGGTCGAGCCGTATTCACATTACTGTTGAGCTATACGTTAGATACACCAGAAGATTGGATAACACCTCATTTCAGCATTATTGTCACAACTCTCAAGTATCAAGATGGAGGACACTAAGAAGCTTCTATTGCCAAGGCACTCTTACAATGCTTCGGTGTCGTCGACAGGATCCAACTCAGTTCTCCCCAAAAACCGCTCGGGCTCGAGGTTGTCACGTACCAACACTAACGTCACGGATGCGGGCGCCAGTGCTGCACCACCCAATGATTCACATAGTATAAGGACGGTGGACAAGATTCCCAGTGCCAGACCCAGTGTGTCGTACCTGGACAAGCTCTGGACGCAGATCGACGTGTTGGACGACGTCAAGACCATGTCTGGAGAAGTGCGTTCCAAAGGTTCCTTTTTCAACGACAAGTTTGATGCCGAGTTGAAGCGGTTGAAGCAGCTGCAGAATAGGTTGCTAGAGACGTTGGCTACACAGCAGTTTAACAACTCCAGCAAACTCGAGCACAGGAAGCAGTTGAGCAGGTTGAACACCATGAACGAGCCTATACCTCAGGTGTCGACCTCTACGTCAGCATCGGCAACAGGTGAGGACAAAAAGAGACAGGAAAAAGCTACCGAGTTTTTTGGAATGGATGATCTCAGCAAGTACTCACAGGATATCTTATACCGTAAGCAGAACTTCGAGGAGATGAACCAGTATGTTGCCGAAATTAAGGACAACTTGGATCGGGTTGGGGAGAACATGAAGAAGTTTGATGAGTCTACCAGGGAGTTGTGGTGAGTAAGAAATAGAGGATTTATCGGACTCCTCGAATTGGGTATCTGATGAATGGTATTAAACCCACCGAAACTAGCATGGGTTTACCAGTCACAAGAAAGGAGTATCAAGGACTATGAGTATCCGAGTCCAGACTCTATCAGCCACAATAGACGTTTCAATCTTATCAAAGCGTTCATCTGATGGACACACATTCACAAAGACTCAAGGCAAAACATCGCCAATAACAATCAGGGTGGCGATAGCCGCTGCCATCCAGCCACGGCTAGTGTTTCCCCTCTACTCGTTCATTAGATCTCAAGTCTTGTTGGCAATGATAAACCCCATTAGGGACTGTAATTCCTGAAGAACAGTGAATTTTGCTAGAAACAGGAATTACTAGCAGTATGAACACAGAGTCTGAACACGTACAGGTAGCAATGATCATGGCCTGACTATGAGTGGAGCACCACGAGGAAAGGTACCAGAAAGGACGGTTCTGTCAGAGGACCGAATATTCGTACATAAGCCCAATTTGTGTGGGACCACCATGAGAATATTAGTTAATGGAAACCAATTTGCGTGGGCACCACCTGACTCTCCCCAGACGGCACGGAATAACCCCCTGGGGCTATATGTGTGACGTGGGCTAACGTATGCAACGTTATGTATGCCCGAGTTTATCCGACGCAGTCATTTCACCGTCAGGGCTCACCCAACCAGTTTCCAGGGCAATCCTGGCATTTCTTCCGGCCACAGCTATCAGCTATGCAAGATTACGGTACAGTAGGTGCACAACGAAACAGGCCAACTTTGCTCCTACCAATTACCTATGCCCCTTCTGACTTCGCTACCCTTACTGGTCGTTGTGGTCTTTGTGCTCCATCCCAATTCTCCAGGCATCTCGTGATCCAGGCTCGTAATGCCACCAGCAGTTCTACCGACACTCATCGGGGATTCTCCACCCGCTGCGCGCACTGGCGGAAAAATCGCCCCCATCACTCACCTGAGTGCGCATCCACCTGCCTGGCAATCGACGAACCACGCCCAGAAAGGACGAAAAGGGAACTAGAGGGCACGGAAATGGCACCATAAGAGCACCCAAATGGCACAGAAATGGCACCAACATGGCACCAAAGAGACCCGTAGGCGGCCACAGTACCACGTGCTGGGTGTTCCAACCCATCTTGCGGTAGCAGGACGTTATCCCCATCCGCCAGTGATCTCCGACGTCTCCTCGCCGCACGACCACCATCTGGCACAAACGCGTTTGTGTGCCTGTTTCGGAGGAATGGTTGTCGGAGCCCACACCATATATAACCAGCGAAATCTGGTATTTGCAAAAACCATCACGCACAACAATCATGGTTCACTTAGGTCCAAGAAAGCCACAGCACAGAAAGGGTACCTTCACTGACGTCCCCGAGAACTTGCTCCAGCAAGTCCACGACATCGAGCAACAGTTGACGGTCAGCGGAGACACCTTGAAGAAGATCACCGAGCATTTCATCACCGAGTTGGAAAAGGGGTTGTCCAAGGAGGGCGGCAACATCCCCATGCTTCCTGGCTGGGTGTTGGACTTCCCCACTGGTAAGGAGAAGGGTGACTACTTGGCCATCGACTTGGGTGGAACCAACTTGAGAGTCGTTTTGGTCAAGTTGGGCGGAAACAGAGACTTCGACACCACCCAGTCCAAATTTGCATTGCCCTCCTACATGAGAACCGCCACCCTGGACCAGTTGTGGGACTTCATTGCCAAGTCGTTGAAGTCGTTCCTCGACGAGTTCTTCCCCGATGGCGTGTCTTCGCCTTTGCCCTTGGGGTTCACCTTCAGCTACCCAGCCTTCCAAAACTCCATCAACGAAGGTGTGTTGAAGGCCTGGACCAAGGGTTTCGACATCGACGGCGTGGAGGGCCACGACGTGGTCCCTATGTTGCAGGCTGCTATTGAAAAGTACGACCTTCCTATCAAGGTCGTTGCCTTGATCAACGACACCACCGGTACCTTGGTCGCCTCCATGTACACTGACTCTGATGCCAAGATGGGCTTGATCTTCGGAACTGGCTGTAACGGTGCCTACTACGACGTGGTCAAGGACGTTCCAAAGTTGGAGGGCCTCGTTCCAGACGACATCTCTCCAGACTCCCCTATGGCCATCAACTGTGAGTACGGCGCCTTTGACAACGAACATGTTGCCTTGCCAAGAACCAAGTACGACATAACCATCGACGAAGAATCCCCAAGACCGGGCCAACAAGCTTTTGAAAAGATGATTTCGGGCTACTACTTGGGTGAGATCTTGAGATTGATCTTGTTGGAGTTAGCCGAAGAAAAGAAGTTGATCTTCAAGGACCAAGACTTGTCCAAGTTGAAGGAGCTCTTCATCTTGGACACCTCGTTCCCAGCCAAGATCGAGGAAGATCCATTTGAGAACTTGAGTGATGTCCAGGAACTTTTCCAGACCGTTTTGGGCATCCAGACCACCGTTCCAGAAAGAAAGATTGTCCGTCGTTTTGCCGAATTGATTGGGGAAAGATCCGCCAGATTGTCCATCTGTGGTATTGCTGCTATCTGTAAGAAGAGAGGCTACACATCCGCCAACTGTGCTGCTGACGGTTCTGTTGTCAACAAGTACCCAGGCTTCAAGGAGAGAGCTGCCAAGGGTTTAAGAGACATTTTCGAATGGGAAACTGAGGAAGACCCTATCAAGATTGTCGCAGCCGAAGATGGTTCTGGTGCCGGTGCTGCCATCATTGCTGCTTTGACCGAAAAGAGATTGGCCGCTGGCTTGTCTGTTGGTATCAAGAAGAACTAGACTGTATAGTTAGCATGAGTGTATGAACTGAACTTGACAAAAGTAGAATGATTGTGTTTAAATTCCAACATTACCTAACATAGACTTGAAGAACTTACCTACACTGTTTAATGTGGGGGAAGCGTTTCTGTAATAGAAATTAGAAAATTTACTAGAGAGTGTGTACGGATTGTAATGGAATGAAGTACCTTTGGGTCAATGAACCAGGCCAGAAAGATTACAATTGTAACGGCCAAAAACATTCATTTATAATTCAAGACGGAAACCTCATTTCAGTGTACCAATAGTCTTCGTATTAATTATTTCGCAAAGCTTGTTGGTACTAAGAGAAGGAAGTAATTCCTCTTCGGATTTTCTTGCATCAGAAGTTTCTTTTTCTTGGAATGCTTGAGCTGAGTATAACCCCAACTTTCGCTAGTTATAGGAAAGAGAAAACCTTCTAAAGAAGCATTAGGTTTGTGGTTTTCTCAAATGATATTGGCCAAATTGCGGGGTAATGGTGCCATTGCATAAAAGTTCAGTTATCATGCCAGAAGCTCTGCATTACTGCTAGGAATTTGATTGCATGTTTGTAATTCCGTGATTGCAATTTGATACTGTATTTCCCAAGTGAAACCCGCATCACCAAGTACTCAATTTATAGAAATTAGTGTGTAATCCGTACACCCTGGATTGCGCTCTACTTTTCCCCAATTATCAGCTGTTTTGAACAGCTGGACTGGCGAAACTGTCTTTGGATTACTTTCGAAAACCAAGTACAATACTGACGAGCATTGTGAACCACCAAATTTTAAGTGAAAGGTAGTTCACTTTCAGCTGGAGGTGAGCAACTTCGTGATACATCCATTGGCGCTATTCACCTGGTGAATACTGTCCCATACCTCGACCATCCGAGACCATATTGTATCACGTGATTCAATGCCCCGTGACCAGAGCTATTAATCGTCATGATTCAGCGGCAATATCTTCCCAAGAATGGCTGCCATCACGAAAGAATCAGACCTCATTGAGGCCGCTGAAGTGGAAACCCCTCTAGCAAGCGTCGATGCTCAACTTCCCACCATCACTGGTGATGTATCAGAAGTGCACACCATTTTGCCTGGGTCAGACGGTGCCAGGGACTTCGCAGAGCTGGACGTGATAGTGTTGTCTTCCCAAGACACCACCGACTTTGAAGAGTTGCTGGCTGGGCTCCATGGCGAGGTTGCCGTGCCCCAGCACTTAGTGTCGTTCTCAGTGTGGGATATACTAAAGAAGTCTGCCATCAACTTGGTGTTGCCGTTCATCAACGGGATCATGTTAGGGTTCGGCGAGATCTTGGCCCATGAGATCGGGTTCAGGTACAACTTCGTTGGTGCCAGGGTTCAGCCCCCACGCAGGTTGCAGAAGAGACAGGAATCGAGGTTCTTGTGATGGGCAAACCACTCAAAAGAGGTCAACGACTTCACCCCTGAGCAACAAAGCAAAAACCGCTCCAAACAGCTGCTTGGCAGTTGATTCTCCAGGTACGTTCAGAGAACAGCCAATGGCCGTGACCGCGACTTCAACGGCCATGGACCACCCTCCCAGTATATAGCCAGCTACGGGTGTGCTGGCCCGGCTCTACAGCGTTCTAATACACATTAGTGACCCACGAGGTCCATCGAAACCTCGATCGGCCTCCACAACAGGCCCGGGACCCCAGCGCTCGTCCCTGGTAGCTCCCGGCGTGTCCCGGCTACTAGCGGCATTTCCCCGCTTATACAGGCCATTCTTCGTGTTCTACATGGCCTGGTTCTAACCGCTACCTTACCACCTCAGCGCACCCCGAGATTTTCCGGGCCATATAAACTCCGAAATCTGGAAAATTTATCCCGCACCACCTCAACATGTCTAGAATTGAAAGCGACGCCTTTGGCGAGATCTCTGTCGCCAGTGACAAGTACTGGGGCGCCCAGTCACAAAGATCCTTGGGCAACTTCGACATTGGCGAAATCAGAATGCCAGTTCCCATCATCAAAGCGTTCGGAATCTTGAAGCAGGCTGCGGCTGCTGTCAACGAGGAGTTTGGACTTTTAGACCCTAAGCTTGCCTCTGCCATCAAACAGGCTGCCTCTGAAGTCGCTGCAGGCAAGCTCAACGAACACTTCCCATTGGTGGTGTACCAAACCGGTTCTGGCACCCAGTCCAACATGAATGCCAACGAGGTCATCTCCAACAGGGCCATTGAGATCCTAGGCGGAGAAATGGGCTCCAAGAAGCCTGTGCACCCAAACGACCACTGCAACATGTCCCAGTCCTCCAACGACACATTCCCTACTGTGATGCATATTGCAGCTGTGGTGGAAATCTCCAACCAATTATTGCCAAAACTCAGAGATCTTCGTGACGCCTTCCAGGCCAAGTCTGACGAGTTCAAGGATATCATCAAGATTGGCAGAACCCACTTGCAAGACGCAACCCCCTTGACTTTGGGCCAGGAATTCTCCGGATACGTCCAACAATTGACTTTTGGGATCGCCAGAATCGAAGAGACCTTGCCCAGATTGGCCCTTTTGGCCCAGGGTGGTACTGCTGTGGGTACTGGCTTGAACACAAAGAAGGGTTTCGATGTCAAGGTTGCAGCCAAGGTTGCTGAACTCACTGGATTGTCGTTCGAAACTGCTCCCAACAAGTTCGAGGCTTTGGCAGCCCATGATGCTTTCGTCGAGGCTTCGGGTGCCTTGAACACCTTGGCCACCTCCTTGTTCAAGATCGCAAACGATATCAGATACTTAGGTTCCGGCCCAAGATGTGGTTACGGTGAATTGTCTTTGCCAGAAAATGAACCAGGTTCGTCCATCATGCCTGGTAAGGTCAACCCTACCCAGTGTGAAGCCATGACTATGGTATGTGCCCAAGTCATGGGTAACCACACCACCATCACCTTTTCAGGGGCTTCGGGCCAATTCGAGTTGAATGTGTTCAAACCAGTTATGGCCTACAATTTGTTGACCTCCATCAGATTGCTTGGAGATGCTTGTAAGTCGTTCAGAATCAACTGTGTGGAAGGGATCGTTGCCAACGAAGACAAGATTGCCAAGGTGTTGCACGAGTCCTTGATGTTAGTTACTGCCTTGAACCCAAAAATTGGGTATGACAATGCCTCCAAGGTGGCCAAGAATGCCCACAAGAAGGGCTTGACCTTGAAGCAGTCTGCCTTGGAATTGGGAATTTTGACTGAAGAGGAGTTTGATGAATGGGTCAGACCAGAAAAGATGATTGGACCAAAGGACTAGTGTCATATAGTTACAAATATACTTCAATGCGTACCGACACCTCTGAGAGGGATGGACACTTGTAAAAAAAGGACAATATAGCTTTGAGTGTGAACAACAATATAGGTCAAATGTTAAATTCCTGGAATCAGATCGTTTCAAGCTATCGTGATGAAATAGTGAAAGAGTGTTGAACCAGTTAACTTCTAATCAGTATGAAGGAATCAGGCTACACTTTTCCGTCATTTCTACAACATATTTGATATGGAGACTCGCCGAAAGAACTTACAATTTTCACTGATCAGAATTTGAAATTTAGGGAACATTAACGATACATGTATTGGTAATTAGTAATTTACTCGGTGGCTTTCAAGCTCTGAAATAAGAGGAGTGTAGGCAGCATACATAAGTGATATTAACGGAGACTAAAGCTAAAAACTAATGCATGAACAGAAATATTAATAAATAGATAGTTAGTCATTATTAATTAAAATTGATTAAATGTGGTTTTGGACAGATCATACCTCAGTCTTTGGGTTCTCAGCTCATACAGGAACTCGAATTACGACCAGATTACAACATACGAAACCACAATTTTGGATTGGAGAATTACCCATGATAACGTGTTCTGCCATTATTATGGGATTTTGTAGGCAACAGATGCAGTCCAAACTTCATATGATGAACCAATTTTTTTACTCATCTGTCGTCTCTATGGTGTAACCGTCAGGTTCGACAGATTTTGCCTGTTCTTTATGTTCTGTGAAATTATCATTATCATAACGTTAAGTCTATAAACCTCGCAAATTCATTGCGAACCGAATACCAACCAAAGACATGCACACTCTATAATTGCATCTACGATCAGCATCCATCCCAATCAGCCTATTCTCCGAAACTCAGGATAGAAAAACGGAAAATAATCCCCAAGTGCCTAAAGGGCGGGGATTTTGACATCCTCCTTCTCGCTGAACAAGACATAGTCTCTCTGCTGTCCCACTGGGAACCTCTTCTTCTCGCCACACTCAAGGCACTCATTGACCAAGACGTCATTCCGCAGGCTTTTTGCCTTGGATAGGTTCTCGATGTGTATTTTGACAGTGAGCCCAGGGATCAAAAACGTGTTGCACTTCTTGCAGAGCTGTCTTTTGAGGGCTGGAGTCAACTTCAACACCGTTTTCTTTGCCACCAAGTCCAAGGTCCGGGCGTAGTGCCGAGATAAGACATCGTACTGCGGATTCAAGGCTAGGTGACTCGACGCCTGGAAGAGATACGAAATGCGGGCGTAATGGTCCTTGTGGGGGACCGACTTGGGGGCCTTGGACACCTTCATGGAGTATGGTGTGCACAGTAATGGAGTATGGATGAGTGCTGATGGGTGCACCCAGAATAGGTCCTGTATTCAGGCGTCACGTGTCGCGGTTTAGAGGCAAAAAGTCGAAATCGACCATACCAGACTCCACCCTCCAGTACCCAATCCGTCAAGAACACACCCAATAGAACCATGAGTGGATACGATAGTGCATTGTCAATTTTCTCGTATGTATCCATTGGATAGCCCCAGCTCGATTTGGGGCAAAATTGGCCTCCCGCCACCGAAACCAATACTAACGTCTCCAGGCCTGACGGACATGTTTTCCGTAAGTACCATTGAACGATGAAGATCGCCCAGTAACAGTCATACTAACTATACAGAGGTCGAATACGCATCCGAAGCAGTCAAGAGAGGCACCTGTGCCGTCGGTGTCAAAGGAAAAGACTGTGTTGTTTTGGGATGTGAAAAGAGAACCACATTGAAATTACAAGATCCAAGAATCACTCCCTCCAAGATATGCAAGGTGGACAACCATGCATTGTTAGCATTTGCAGGTTTGAATGCTGATGCCAGAATCTTGGTGGATAAGGCCAGAGTTGAAGCACAATCACACAGATTAACATTGGAAGATGCGGTGTCCATTGAATATTTGACCAAGTACGTGGCCGGTGTGCAACAGAAGTATACCCAGTCGGGAGGTGTGAGACCCTTTGGTATTGCCACCATAATCGCTGGCTTCGACAGCAACGACACCGTGCCCAAATTGTTCCAAACCGAACCTTCTGGGGTCTATAATGCATGGAAAGCGGGTGCAATTGGTAGATCGTCCAAGACGGTAAGAGAATTCTTGGAGAAACAATACAAGGAAAACTTGGACGACGAAGAGACCATCAAGCTCACCATAAAGTCGTTGTTGGAAGTGGTGCAAACCGGGGCCAAGAATATCGAGGTTTCCGTCTTAAAGTCCGAGAACAGAATCACCAAGTTGACTATTGACGAAATTAAGAAGTACGTTGATGAAATCGAGGCTGAAAAGGAAGCAGAGGCCGAAAAGAAGAAGCCTAAGTCAAAGGATTGAGGAGTTTATAGTTGTATTTATACATTAGTATACAGATAATTCGAGCTATTTACTTTTTCTTGCCTCTTTTGGCCTTGGTGTCTTTGGCATCCAGTTTTCTCTTATTATCCTTTGGTTTATTGGAGGGCACCACCAGGAAGAACCCGTCTAATCTTCCTTGAATGCCACTCTTCAATCCCTTTTTCAACTTCTCGGCACCACTTCTTATTCTGTCTTCACTGAACCCCTTGCCTTGAACCATGTACTCAATTAACCCGTCGATGTTGGGCTCCTTCCACTTCAAACTCACATCTTGTGCACGGGTGACTTCCGGTTTCTTGAACAACTGCCTGGCCTCATCATATGGCCAGTTCTCGGGAATCTTGTACTTTGTCTTTTCTGGGTTACTTTCCACCCACTCCACGATCTTGTCGATGGAACCATGTTCCTTGATGAGCTTGAAAGCAGTGACAGGACCAACCCCCTTGATTGTTTCACAGTAGTCACATCCCAATAATATACACATATCAATGAACTCGTCCTTGGTGAGTCCCAATCCTTCTATGGCTTCAGAGTAGGTTATCTGGTCAATGGGCATTTTTCTGGCCTCAGCAAACGTCAAGTGTCTCAAGAGGTATGGTGGCTCGTAGCACAAGGTGTCCATATCCTCGGATGCAGCGGCGAACACCTTGCCTCCTCTGGCCAATTCAGCACACTGTGCTTCAGCCTCGCACGGAGCTTCCACGTAGGGTATTCCCATCAACTCCAACAACTTCTTGGCCTCGTCGTTCTGCTCTCGGCTGACCCTGACCAATCTCTTCTCGAATTTCATCACTTCAGCAACTGTGCCAGTATCTTTGATAGCATCAATCTGCTTCTGAGCTTCCTCTCTCTTGAGTAATCTCTTCTCGAGCTCGCCTCCCTTCAACACTGGGGGCTTGCCGTCAAACACATACACCGGCTTAATATTGTTTTCCACCAACCGGATGGTTCTGTAGAACAATCCCAGTAGGTGGGAGGTGGTCTCTCCGTCTTCGTTTGTCAATTGCTGGCCATCCGATTGTCTCACGGCAATCAAGAACTGGTACAAGCACATCGAGGCATCGATGGCCACCTTTCTTCCGAAAAGGTTCTTCAACTGGAACTCCTTGAACGATTGTGGAGAGTGCTCTTTGATGAGCTGATTGAGTCCTGGATAGTTAGTATGGAAGAATGGAAAAAGGCGCACATGATCAAGTCATATAGCACCTGACTTTCAGGTGACTGTTCTGGGCCCTCTATGCTGGTGTCGCTTACCTTTTACTCCCATGGCTTGCTATTCTAGTTATTCGTCTGTTCTTACTGTGAAGCTGTTTTTGGAGCCGGATAAGATGCGATCCACACGCGACGCGTGGGGCGATAAAGTGCGACATCCTACAGACCCGTGCGACATACTGGTTCTAAAGCACCATGATAACCAGAGGAAAGACAGTGTGACAAGCAGTAGAGACAATGTCTCAGTTGGCAATTGGACAGGACTTTGGAATTCCCTGCTTTAAATTTGAAAATACAAAGTTGTTTGCGACAGTAATCCCAGAATTAGGACCCATTTCAGCTAAACTGAAGGTATCATAAAGGCCAATACCGGCCAATACCGGCTTATGGGCTGTTTCGCATCAGGAAGAGGATTTGCATATACATTTGGCTTGTGTAGCAGGGATTTTCCAGTATTTTTGACCGGTCTAAACAACCTCTCAGCAGTATTTTTCGGTTTTTCAACCGTTTCTCCCCTAAAGCGTTACACTAAGCTGCTCGTGGCTGGTTCTGGATGACTATCCTCGCTAGCTACACCTTCATCTACAATAGTTCTTTTCAAATATATTCACAAACAGGAGGAGCAAGAAATAAAGCGTTCAACTAGGACGGTGGAAACCGTTAAGGTCGCCCAGGGATTGGGTAGAAGCAGGCTGAGAAGGAGCAGACTGTCTATTTGGGTGGTTACTGGCGTTTTCCTTCAATGCGATCAATTGCTTGGATCTGAACGTCTCGTAGTGAACCAAGGCAGTGGTTTCAATCAAGTCTTGCAAGTGAGTTCTAGTCAAAAAGTCTCTCAAAAACACGAATTCACACTGACTCACATCCTCGATATTGATGGCTCCCCATCTGGTTTTTCTGCCTCTGACGGTTTCCCCGTTGATCTGGATTTCCTTTTCGGAACCAGCAATGGCAAATGGGATCAACGACTTGATATCTTCGTTCAATTGTCTTTCCTCGTCATACAAGTCCTCGCTATCGTAAGGGTAGATATTGAAGTTGTATTTAATGAATTCGTTTTGCAAGAGTTTCTTGTATTCGGTTCTTTCGTCAATGGTCAAGGAATCGGACTTGGCGATGATAGGAATGACGTTGGCGATTTCACTCAACTTCTTCATGGCCTGGACGTCCAATTGCTTCAACTTCTGGCCGTTTGGTGGGAGGAAGTACAAAATACAGTGCACTCTGGTGTCGGGAATGTATCTTTCTCTCTGGGCAGTCAACTCCTTTCTCAAGTATTGAGAGTGTTGTTCCTTGATGTATTTGACCAATGGTTCCCAGCACTTTTCGTTGTTTATTTGATCTCCAAAGCCGGGGGTGTCAATGACATTGATGTTCAACCGGACAGTATTTTCCACCAACGAGTGAGAGCTGACCTTGATCTCGGTGGTCTTTTCGATGGGCTCCGAGGTGTGCTTTCTGCCGTTGGTTTGGGCTAACTTGGAAGAGAACAAGGTGTTAACCAACGTACTCTTACCCAAGCCGGATCTGCCAACAACCATGATGTTGAACTGGAATCCTCTCTTCAACAACCGGTTCTCGATCTGGGTGGTGATGGTGTCGAAACCAACATACTTTCTGGGCTGTGCGTTCTTGGGTTCTTCCACGGATGCAGACATGGTATCGATCTTTTGCGTGGAATTGGTGGAGATGAAGGAAGTTACCGTGTTTACAGACAGCTGTCGGTTAAGTTGTTTGTGGTACGCGTAAATTTTGATGGGTGGGGCACGACGGCGAGTTGATCGGCTAGCACGGCACGTGCCGGGAGAATGTTTTGCACGTGTGTGTGATCACCTGACCCAAGCTCGTTTTCATCATTTTCATGAAAATTTTTGAGTAGTGGTCTCCACCAAACATGTCCTTAGCTTTAAGAATAGGTGGCTCGTTCTCCGTGCCTCAGGCCCTCTTGGCCATGTTGCCCAAGTTGCCTGCCTTCCCCATAAATAGCATTTTCCACAACAGCCCCGCCATAGACGAAAGATTGGAAGAATTAAGAGAACAGATCGAAAATAACCACGGACGTCCTCCCTTCATGATAGACAATGGCACCATCGTCAAGGCCGCCCCAAAGAAGAAGATGTCTAAGAGAAGACACAGAACCAAGTTGTACACCCCAGGAGACAAACAAATTCACCCCCTCAATAACATAGTCAGATGTCCGGCCTGTGGACATGTCAAGAGATCCCACTTCATGTGCATGAACTGTTTCGCGGAAATCAGAACCTTCTTGAAGGGCAAGAAGAGGGAGAATGGCTTGATCAAAGACGCCGAAAACCCCCAAACCAACTTGGATCCGGTGGACGAAAAGTTGATCTACCCTGGCAAGTACTTGAAGGATGACCAGATCAGATTGGAAGAAAAGAAGTGGATTCCAGTGAGGGAGGAACCATTGATGTTCGACAAGAAGCACTTGAAGCACTCCAAATAGATCCTGGTGAAGCGAGATACACATCGTCGGATTTACTAAACACTCATGTACATATACGTTAATTATTTACACGTCAACTGCCTGTTCGTACCACCTATGGGGCAAGACGAGATGTCTCCCATTTCTGCTCTTCGATGCTCTCTCTCTTGTAGGTAATTCTATCGTGAAGTCTACTTAAGCCCCCCTGCCAGAACTCGATCTCTAACGGAACGATTCTCATTCCTCCCCAGTTTTCAGGACAGGGAATGTCGTCGTCCTTCAAGTCCTTGAACTTCTCGACGTACTCGTTGTTGATCTTGTTCAAGTCTGCCCTGCACTTGATTGCCTGCGATTGTGGCGAAGTCCATGCTCCGATCTTGGATCCCCGTGGCCTGGTATTGAAGTATCTCAACGTGGTTTGTCTATCGACCTTTTCCATCAAGCCCTCGACTCTGACCTGTCTCTGCACGTGTGGCCAGAAGAACGTCAACGAGGCGTACTTGTTGCTTTCGTAGTCAGCGTTCTTCTTGGATGTTTCCCAGTTGGAGTACACAATGAATCCCAAATGGTCCAATTCTTTCATCAACACCACTCTTGACGAAACCCTGCCGGAGGGCAACCTGGCAGTCGAGAACGTCGTCGATTCAGGAATGATGTCGGAGCCCGTGGGCAACTCGTTCTGGGCTTGTTTGAACCATACGTGGAACTGCTTGAGAGGATCACTATCCACTTCGCTCTCGTTCAAGTGGCCCTTGGTATACTGGTAAGTCTCTGGGGCAAAGATGACTGGCTCTTCGAGGTTAATGGACATTTTGGCGACTGTTCTCTTCGTCGATGACAGTGCAATTAAGCGAAAGAAAAACTGGGTGGGTGCTTTGGTATGACAATTAATGGCCGATCTGAACATGATCAGGTTACTTTTTGAGAATCGCAGAAAAGTTAGTCACACAGATGCAAAATCTTAGAACTGAGCAAATATGAGTTGGGACGTTTGAAGCAGGGGACATAGACAGGAAACCCGATTAGATGGTGCTGAATAGGATCTGGAAGAACGCTTTTGGTGTTCTGTAGTGTACGAGTTCTTATCGATTTATAGTGAAACTATTAAGTTGTTTCAATTGTGGAGAAATAATTCGCAAATGTAGATTTTAAACAAAATTTAAGCAATAATTCACCCTGAAAAATACGTAAATTTATCTCTGGATTATTATCCCTATTGACATGGTCTCCAAAGGAGCTTGAACAAGAGGTACCCCGAGTTGGAGCAAGGATGTTTTCTACATGCAGATTATTCTACCGTATTGGTCCAGAACCAATTAGTAGGCATTTACATCTTTGTCACTCTAAACGGCCAAAGTAAATAGAGTATGTTTGTAGAATAATTACTGGTGCTTTATGGGAGAATCATCAGCAGATTGGGATACCAATACTGAAACTCCAAGAACTTCTACGTAGTAGTGGTTATTCCTTCTGCCAGGACCGACTACTGTGTTATTCTCATCAACTCAAACTGCATCTTATTTCAACCACAACATTGCCACTTCATCAGTGTTAAAGCCAATAACTGTTAGTTCTACGGTTCTTGTCGTGCTTTCTCTGTCTAGATTGTAGCACCCGCAAAAGAAATTTTGTGGTATGATGTAAGATCACAGAAAAATTCACAGTAGATGATGAGCCTTTGAACAGTGGAGATAAGAAAGATAAGCTGTAATGATAATACCACACGAACTAGAAGCAGCAGGCCCAGCCAAATCACCCAGTATAGAAAGCACACACGAAAGCAAGAAGCGCAGGATTGCTACTGCTGAAAGGTATCCCGACATTCCACGTCTGGTATCATTGTTCAGTAGAAGTATCAGGCATCCCTTGAATGTGAAGCCCAGTGGAAATGCATACCTACCAGTTTCCAACGACACCAATGCTCTTTCGAGGGAATCCCAAATGGGCCATTTCGCAAGGTTTTCAGACGAGATGATGATGACATTCTTATCAGTTATCACCGATGAATCATCATTGAAAAACTTATCCCATACTTCGAGGGTCATGTATGCATACTTGTACGATGAAGACTTGTGGAAAAAGCTTTACGTGAGAAAGCTCAAGGATGGGCAATTAGAATCAAGGTGGTATGGTTCATGGAGAGGCAACGTCTTAAAGTTGGATAGAGCCCACCAAGCCAACCTACAACTTCCTGACAATTTGGTTTGTTCAGACATCTTGTACAGACCATTCCAATGCTCCCAGATAGATTATGATAAAGTTTTCCACAAAATCATAGCGGAAGAATCAATTTATCATAAGGATGCCTTGAACAATTCATTAAAGCAATTGCCTCGTGGAAGGATCCAAAGAATATCCGAGAAAGAAATGAGCCCCCAAGACTTCAATTCATCATACCACAACACCCCTTTTATTTTGGTAAACAATGATGAAGACAGATGGCCTCGCTGGAATTTCTCAACTTTGCTTGATAGATTCCCTAACGTTAAATTTAGACAAGAAGCAGTGGAGTGGGATTTATCACTCTACGACGAATACTTAAAGAACAACCGTGACGAGAGTCCGTTGTATCTCTTTGACTGCAGCAGTGTGGCCATGAAGACTTTGAGACAGGAATATGAGGCACCAGAGATTTTCAAGAATGACTTGTTCACCATTTTCAATTTGGAGAATGGACAAGTAAACTGTCGTCCAGATCATGCATGGCTAATTGTTGGACCTAAGCGTTCGGGCTCCACATTTCACAAGGACCCCAACTACACTTCTGCCTGGAACACTGCTTTGACGGGAAGAAAACTCTGGGTGATGCTCCCACCGGATATAACACCACCAGGTGTTGGAACCGACGAAGAAGAAAGTGAGGTGACTTCTCCCGTAGGAATAGCTGAATGGGTGATGTCTGGGTTTTTCAATGACTCGCTCAAGATCGATGAATGCTTGATTGGGGTTACATTTCCTGGGGAATGTATGTATGTTCCTTCAGGTTGGTGGCATTCAGTAATCAACTTAGACGACTCAGTGGCATTGACTCAGAATTTTGTTCCTAGTTCAAAGTTGCCCAATGCGTTGAATTTCCTCAAGAATAAGCTGGCACAAATCAGTGGATTCCGTCCTAGGAACGTCAAAAATGTTCTTGAACATGTTCTTGATCATTTGAAGGAAAAGGGAATAGAAAAGTCTGAGATTACCAAGCTCCAGGAGTATAGAGACAAGTTCGAGACTCTCAATTTGGGAGACCGATTGGCAAACGAGGATTGTGGGGAAATTGCAGAATTGCCACCAATGCCCATTTTCGAGTTGTTTCAGGTATTGTTAAAATTGAACGGCAAGCAGCAGGAGTTGCAAGAAGGGTTGGAGAAGTTGAAGAAGATAGAAAGAAAAGCCAGAGAGTTGAGGGAAGGCCGCAGTGAAGCATGGGAGAAGCTTACCAAGGTTGAACAAGAAGGAGATGCTCCAAAAGCCTTCAGTTTTGGGTTCAGTTTCGATGAGGAAAGCAGTGACGAGGAATGAGTGGCCGGCTAGGGATGTTAATTTATAGAGGATAGAAAGCATGTAAATAGCAAGATCAGTTACCATATATAAGCCCATGTTATTTCTATTACCATTCATTAAAGGAAATAGATAATAAGATCATTCGGAGATGGAAAAATATGTATGATTGGGAAGAATAAACAGCTTGGGGATCTCAGGTATGGGAAGATGCTGAAAAATGCAAATCGAGACTTCTGAAGGAGAAGATCTGGGAAGCACGAAATGCCAAACGGGACACATTTTCACGGCAAGTCCTCTGTAAGAATAAAAAAACCCCGAATTGACGGGAAGAAATCTGGAAATCCTAACTCGTATGTAAGATCCTGAGAAGCACGAATCTCCAAGTGATTCCTATCGTATTCACTATGATTTGTTATTCTACCTTTCAAGTTCGGTGCAAGCCACCAAACACCACCGCTGGGCAGTCAGCGTGCCAGAGTGCCTATCCTCCGAGGTTAGGATGGGGTAGGTAGTGTCGCAGCCGGAGTCGTGGTCTTTGCAGTCGTATTTCTCGGTGGCGATCTCTCGCTGTATCAGCTCTATCCCATGAGACGACTGGTAGTGGATGTAGTAGCGAGGCTTACTGGTGAAGCTCAAACCACACCAGTCACAGTAGATGAGCCTGACAGCTGCAAATCTCCCCCAGGTCCTAGTGTTGTGAGCCATGGACTCGGTGATCTGGTCCACCATGGACATCCTGCTATATGCACGCCTGGAAGCCATGGGTGACGGGAAGCACGATGGCAGCTGTCCTGGAGCTGTTAGGAGGCGAGAGTGTCTGTAGCGGAAGCCATGCGAACAATTGGAGGTGCTATTCATGGGATTTAAGGGTCTTATTGAAAACAATAGCTTTGCTGCAAAACTGACGATCCTCTGTCAAAATCGCAGATCCTGTATCTGCAAAAACAGACACTTTCACGTCAGACACGGACTGGAGCCTGTCAAGCTGGGGCCTACTATACTACTGAAGGTTCCTATTCTAATCATTTATTGTATTCTAAACAACTGCCGGGGCCTTAAGCAAACTTCTCAGCGTAGCCGTGGAATTCCTTACCCTGGATGTGCACAAGCTCCAACTCCAACTTGGATGGAGTTCTTTCACCCTTAGGACCAGCAATGGTACCAGCACCCCAGGAGGAACCACCGTGGATCTCCTCGACGTTGGAGAGCTGGGGGAAGGTCTTGGCGTAACCCAATGGGGCGAAAACGATACCGTGGTGAGCCAAAACAGAGAGCGAGTTGATGACGGTTTCTTCCTGACCACCACCTTGGGTACCAGTGGCAACGAAGACACCAGCAATCTTACCGTGCAAGCCACCGCTGGCCCACAAGCCACCAGTGGTGTCCCAGAAGGCCTTCCATTGGGCTGGGAAGTTACCGAATCTGGTGGGGATACCGAACAAGAAGGCGTTGTACTCGGTCAAGGTTTGAGCAGTAGCAATTGGGTAGTCTCTCTTGGCTGGAGCGTGCATCTTGGTCAAGACCTCTTGGGATAAGGTCTCAGCAACCTGGTAGATGTCGGCTTGACCGCCAGCGGCTTCAATACCCTTCTTGGCCTCTTCGGCCAAGATGGCGATGTGTTGGTATAAGGAGTAGATAATGATAGCGACTTTAGCCATTGTGTGTGTGTTGTGGATGTGTGTAGAGAATTGAAAGAAGTGTCCGATTCCTGACACTTATATATGTTGACGCACCTGCACAGTTTCGATGGAACTCGCATAATGTCCTTTGTAAAACTTTAGTAATTTTTTGTGACATGAAATTACTAAGGCCTTACAAGACCCTGGCGCGTCAGGGTTCGTCAAGGCCATGATGCCGGCAGGGTGGCTTGCAGGTACTGACTAATGGGTTTTTGTCAGGTTTTACTAAAACTTACCTCACCATCTCGGCGATATCATTCCACCCGGTTGGCACATATAACTTGTGCATAATGCTGTCTGGAGGCTGTCAGACATAATATACCCACCACCATGAAGATAGCCATTATCCAGTATTCCACCTACGGCCACATCACTGCGTTGGCCAGCGCCATCAAGGAGGGCGTGGAAGCCTCAGGAGTAGCCTCCCAGGTCGACATTCTCCAGGTGCCAGAAACGTTATCTGCTGAGGTGTTACAGAAGTTACACGCACCTCCCAAGCCAGCAGACATCAAGGTCGCATCCGCAGAACTGCTTGCCCAATACGATGCCTTCCTCTTGGGGGTGCCTACCCGGTTCGGGACCGTGCCTGCTCAGTGGCTGGCGTTCTGGGACACCACTGGCGGATTGTGGGCCAGCGGAGCATTGCACGGAAAGCCAGCAGGTATATTCGTGTCCACTGGCACGGTTGGCGGAGGCCAGGAAAGCACAGTGCGGACTCTTTTGAGCACATTGGTCCATCACGGTATGCCCTACGTGCCGCTCGGGTACGTCAACTCTCCCGGATTATTTGACATGTCCGAGGTACACTCCGGAACCTCTTATGGCTCAGGCACGTATGCTGGAGCCAACGGGTCGAGAAAGCCATCCGCCATCGAGTTGAAGGTGGCCCAAACCCACGGAGAGTCGTTTGCGAAGACTGCAGCCAAGTTCTACGCTCCTTCCGATGCTAACAGCACCAGCTCGTCGTCGCTCGAGGACCCCAAGAAGGCCATTGGTGCGAAAAAGACCGGAAGTGTGCAGAGAGCCGCCCAGTCTGGAAAGACGTCAGTGCGGGCGGAAAAGGCCGAGAAGAGTGGGTGCCTGAAGTGTGTTATAATGTAGTGCCATCGAGGCAGTGAATATGTATTGTATAAGGTCTAGAAACCGTGGTAGCATGCCCTACTATTAATGAATAATACGATTAGCGAGGTGTAATTGCGTGGACAGTGCTACAGAAATCGGAGAAAGCTTAGATTATCCAGGTCGCTGGAACGGTGGATCCGTGGATGATGCGAAGGAGTAGAGTGGATAGAGCCATTACAGTTGACCAAACGAGAAGAACAGCTATACTCAACTATGGATAGTAGCCGTACCCATTTTAAGTATTATAGCAAATCACTTGTCTGGAACCGTCCAGGACTCTAGCTTCTTTCATCAAAACACCTGACAAATATTGAAGTGCTGCACCGCTTGATAGCACCTCATAATCTGGTTGCACACAAGAAATATCAATTTGGCCATACCCCCACTGCCGATAATCCCATACATCCCTACTGATAACGCGTATTACCAATTCGGCTGCGCCCGAGTTATTGCGCCCCGAATAGAGCGATATATTATCCATAATTTGTAAATTTTAGGCATGGCAGCAACTCCGTGTCTACAATAAGCTTGTTCATTAGTAAGGCAGGCAGTAAGGTGGCGGAGAGCAATTTTCCTGGCATTTTGGCTCTACAAATTGGCTAACAATACAATTGTTTACTCGTCGGCCCCAATTCCAATAATGGATAATTTTGCGAGGTTTATTTTCCAACCAGTATTTTTCGGTGATTGAATAAGCCATTCAATTCTTCGTCATGATAAGTTCTTTGCAAGCAGTATCTGAGCCACAATTATCCAATCCCTCAGGTTGTGGATACTAGCTACGGGACTCGACAGCTTCCCCAGTGCAATTCGCGGACCAGTTTAATGTTAGTATAGTTTGAGTACTTCTCCTTCATACTTACAAAACCCCAAAACCACTCTATCTCAGCGCCAGGCTAGGCATTGTATCATAAATTAGGTCGAAATGAGTAGAATCTACTACAGTGCACTCGTTGTCATCCGCAAATAAGAAGACCCGTGATTTCCCCAGTCCAAATTCAACTAAAATAGCTCTGAGCAGGTCAACATATCTGCACTCCGTACAAATATTGGATTAATCCTCTTAAATAAGATAGCCTGACCTGTCACCTTTAAAATTCGGACCAGTGAGCCCTAAACCGCGAATTAAACCCTCCAATCGATGCCAAATTGGTATATTGCACGGGACTAAATTGGTGTCCTTGCAGCCAGTAGCAGTTGGCCCCAGTGGTTGCTCGAGCCCTGCATGAAAGGTTTTATGAGGAGTAAAAGCTATGACAAAGCGGCCACGAAGAGCGTTTCAATTAATATTAAGAATCCATGAGATCTGCATTCATGCCAGCCGGGGCTAAAGGTCTTCCAAACCCCCTCTCGTTGAAGCAGCCCCACCTCTTGACAGAAACAACACTTCCCGCCCTGCCTAGTCGTATTAGACCTCTTTTTGATTCAGAGAAACAAAACCAATAAAATAAACTGCTCTGGCAAATGCAAGATGGCACGCAAACACAAATCGGGAGCGAATTTGTAGAATATTTGCACGCCACGCCTGTCATCTGCCAGGCGCCTGGGTCAGTCTTCTGTAGCCGGCTGCCAATACTTTAGATATATTGACAGGGACACCATTACCGGAATAACTGCGGAATTGCACGGGCTAGGCCTGATCGTGGGTAGGTCCAAAGTTCACCTCTGTGGAAAATGGGGAAATGGACCGTATTTAAACCGTAAGATCCTTGTGAAAGCAACGTCCATATTCTCTGGTGTCCTAGTTTGGCACACTGGGTGTGCCAAGCATACCCCTCTTCAGAGTTTGCGTATTAGCAGCCGTTTCCATGGATGCTCCCTATGGACATAACAGAGCTGGGCAATGGAACTACGTTTCCAGAGTATGGTAGTAAGGATGTTTTTGAGCAAACTGCAGGCTACCTCGAGGTCCCCACTGGTCTGACTAGATGGCTCCAATGGACAGAGTAGATCGTGCTATGACGTCGATTGGCGAGAACAACATGTTGATTGGCAAACCAACAGTACTACGTACCATGCACTGCTTATTAGTAGATTCCTCGATACTCACAATCCACCCAATTCAGGTAGACACGGCGCCACGACGCCCTTTGCTGAGCATACCAGGGGTAACGAGTGGAAGAATGGAGCGTGGTGTTGGGAGAAGTGATGGTGCCGGCTATATACGCGTGTATGTGCTCACGTGAGACATCACGTGACTGACATATTTGGCTTCTGGCGTTCTAGACCCTTCTGCCCTGGCGGCAGAAGTATCGTGTGCTCCAGCGTCCGAACTACGTACTGCTCTACCAGGCTGACCACTATCGTCCCTTAGTTCGTCTCCTTTTCTCTATTTATCCCCAATTTCCTGTTAGCAGCTTTCACTACTAAGCGCGTAAATCCTCATCCTAAATAAACAAACCCGCTATGGGCAACAACAACGACTTCTTCTGGGCAGGGGACCGCAATATCCTCAACAGGCCTCGTGTGGCCACCTCCAACACCGTTGCTTCGCTGGTGGTGAGTTTGTTCAGCCAGGCCAACGACGAGTTCCGCAAGTCCAAGAAGAGAAAGATCCATGTTTATGGCGAAGAAACCAGGCCCAGTCCACCCAAACTGCCCGCTGGCCGGTTCCGTGCACTCCAAGCGTTGGACGTCAACGTTGTTGCGCCTGTGTTAGAAAAAGGAAGGCATAGCATCGACTTGGTGGATCTGAATCCACTGGCTTTGGTTGTGAAGCCTGTGGAGCCTGTGGAAGCAGTCACAACCAGAACCTCCAGCATTCCCATCAGCTTTCTTGTGGACGCTGCGAGATCGAGTCCTGTCCCTTCATTCGTTGGTCACGATGTTGAAAACGACGACGATGACGACGATGTGATTTTGGTGGGCGCTGACCCCGGACCAGCTCCCGGTGCTCGTGAGTCGCCTGATTCCATCACAGACAGCGAAGAGGAGCCTGAGCTTCTTTCGAGCTCGCAGCACAGGGTTCAGCGACCTGAAATGGTGCCAATTGCGTCTATTGGCGATGCTCTTGGAGATACGAGCTCCCAGTTGAGCAATTGCAACTTCCATGCCGAGGACCTCTCTGCCAGCGCTGGCGACGAGCACTTTGCGTACGGCGACTTCCACTCGCAGACAGCCACCCAGGATCGAGCCGTGCCCGAGTTGACAGAAATGGAGGACCCGCTCGATGGGGTGATCGAGCAGGAGGAGCCTGTTCCAGAGTCGCCTCAGATGGTGGTGACGCTCAAGTTGGCGGAGAGCGTGAGGAAAACGAAACCAATACCGAGACAGAACTCAGTGCTGGGGAACGAAGAGTATTTGAAGGAAATGTCAGATATACAGAAAAGCCAGGAAGAAACGGACTACCAAGCAGATGAGCAGGGTCCGAGTGAAAGCATTGATGTCAGTTCCGCTGGATGCTCGAGGAGCAGTCTGGAAGATGCCACTGGAGACTCGACCATTAGTCTTGAAAAAACCGGGAGTAGAACTGAGACTACAACAGAGACTACCACTGAGACTACCAGTGGAGACTCGAGCATTATTCCTGAGAATTCTGAGACCACGACAGAGACTACTACTCGAGACTCAAAGAGCAGTCTGGATTTCCCTAACCAATGCACGGCATTGGAACCCATGCAGAACGAAGACAACACCAAAATACCAGCCACCAACTCCAGGCGACTCAAAGGAACTAGTTTGGCAGATATCTGTGGCCGAACCAGCCAGGCCCGAGTCCGTGCACGGGTGGGGCTCTCCAAAAGGGTCAAAGTGGATCCATTGCATCGCATACAGCGCAAATAGATAGACGAATCATGACATAGCACAGGAGAACTGTAGGATAATTAGGGCAAACTGGCCAACACGAAGCATGCGTGGGTGTGAAATGGTTTCTGGAGTGCCATTCGTATGAACTGGATGGGCTACAGTACTACTCTGGAAACTGACATTTTTATGCAATTCGTATACACGATTGTGCAGCTGAAAATGGCATACCATTCGTATAAATGCAATTAAAATCCGTACTGCTCTGGAAACTGGCATCTTATGGACTAATATACTTACTGCCATACTCTTGAAACTGACACATTATGCTTTTGCCATTCGTTCTGGGTGGACAAAATCTATCGTTTACTACTCTGGAACTGTCTGCTTCTAGGAATTGACATGTTTGTGCATCTCCATCTGCTGGAAACTGACACTTAGTGCCTCCGTAGCTGCAGCAGGCACAGTCGGACACTCGCCACTTAAGTCCCCTTGCTTCCCACCGAGATGCATCGGACGGCTTAGGGCAGAGGTTTCGCAACCATGCCTTGCATGGGCGCTGCCCGCAGACACGACCATGCACTATATAAGCAGACTCGGCCCCCAAAAATTTTTCCTCATGCTAAAAACCGGGACACTTGCAATGAGCGCCCATGCCGGACACCGTCCCTAGTGTGAAGCGTCCTCTCTAGCCCGGTAGATCAACCGAATACTATGTTCAGTTGTTGTTCTAGACAAGTGGAACGTCGACTCTACGAGTATTTGCACATTCGCCCCAGCTCAGCCGTGTAGTGTCATGCGACAACGCCACTCGCCTAAGTTTCTGGCAGTAATAGGTACTGCGTACCCAGCAGCCCACATTCGCGCACCAACAAATTTTCTGCTCGCTGCACACACGCACGCGTTGCTACAACCCATCCTCTACGGTCCTGACGCTGGCACCGCCAACATGAGACGAAGCTCACCAGACCCGCCGGCTCGCTACTCCTCAAACCAATACAACATGTATTATCAAACCGTTAGTTATACAAGATAGAAGTAGAGTCTACACCAGTGGTGTACCTTTCGTAATTCGTAACAAGTGCTCGCTAAGCGTAGCACCTCGGGACAGCAGCCTGGCACCACAGCCTTGGAGCTCCCGGATGCTCAGTTCTTCCCAAGACAGAACGACACAGGTCTCGGAGAGGCCTTAGCACTGCCCTTCAATGAACATCTTTTAACATAGTCCTTCTTCTCGTCAAACTTGGAGAAGCAGCAGCTTGACTTTGTCGTCGTGTAGTTGCTGGAACCAGACGACCCAGAGGACGACGTCAGCGAAGTGGACTTCTTCTTCGATAGTATGGACATGGGTGGTGTAGAAAAACTGACCAGGAATCCCATCCTATTATATAACCCATATTGCAAATTACAGTTACGGCTGCGACAACACGATGATGTAACCAATACAAAAAATCCCTCAAGACATTGTCTGCGTCTTTACCGGGAACAGCAGTAATACGAGATGCGGTAATTCTGGGGCCGGGCGTACATGTCAGCCTGGGGCCAGGGCCCTGCCGTTTGTGTGCGGGATTTATGGTGGTGTCTGCATTCCTTCCTGCTGGGGTAGGAGAATGGTGCCTATTCGGGAACAATCGTCCCCAACCGGTAGCCGGTGAGTGGGGACCCGCTGGTTTCAGGGAGAAGCGCCCAAACGGGAAGAGGCGCTGGGCCCACCGAAGGGTGACCCCGCCGGGGTCGCGGATGACTGTGGGCGTGGTGGTCCCACCGGTTACCGGTCTAGTGGTGGTAGCAGAATGCCACCCCATGAAACGAAACATGCGCCGGGGGCGCCTTCGCCGTAATTCCGTGACGTGTACTGGCACGATGTCTGTCGTCTACCATTCCACGGCACCACGCGTTGCACGCATAGCATGTTCGTGCTTTGGTGAGACTTCACGCACACCTCACCTCATAGGTTGGGTTTGCAGGTTCGGTTGTTTCCAATTAGACTCTCGTGTAGATTCTTTACAGATGAATTCCATCCACCGCGCTTTGTCTCCCGAGCCTAGCTGGCTTCTGCCTTACCCCAGTTGCTTCTTTCAGCCAGTTTTATGCTTGCTGCGCCTGCGGTGAATTGTCTAAACTTCTTTTGTCTCTATAGAACGCATTTACTACGCATATGCCAGTTGTCAATCGAATCTGGCGCTCGTGATGCGTCAGGGGCAGATTGTTGCAACTCCACTCTGCTTGACATCATGCCCACTTGCCAGAACTTAGTTTTCACCAGTAATTGGCTGGCTACGCGTCTGCACTCGGCGCTATTCGGAGTCCTGCCCTGCACTGTCCCCTGACACGATAGAACGTGGATCTGGACATCGCTCATACCGCGCCAATCTCAGCTGTCGCGAGCTATGTAACAGATAAATATGACAGTTCCGAGACGTGAAACGCCAAACCGTGCCAATACGTGCAACCCAGCGTGCTCTGAAATTACCCAAAAATGGCGTGATTACATAAGCAGTCTATATATTCTTACGTAATACATGCTAGCTCTTATCCAGCCAGTTAAGGATAACTTCCAGTGCCAATCGCTACTGGCGCGCATTGGAGGCTTCTGGAGATGGTGCCATCGCCACCGGTGCAAGAGCACACACGCGTCGCGGTCCGGGGTCGGCGATTAATTGTTTCAGCTGTCATAGCCAACTCTATTCAGGCAAGAATGTTGTCAAACTCGTCCATATTCTCCAACTCGTCTTGCTGAGCCACCCGCTTCAACACCTCCTTTTTTGACGATTCCTGTATGACACCGTCGAGCAACAACTCGTCCAAGATGTGGTAGGCCTTTTCGAAGCCAAAAATGATATCCAACTCACACACGTTTCCGTACATTTTGTCCATTTGTTCCACGAACCGGTGGATCAACTCCAATGCTATCAACTCGTTATCTCCGCTTTCGACCCCCACGATAAAGAACAACGACGCGTACCGTCTATACACAACCTTCATTTCCTTGTACTCTAGCACGTTGCACATCTTGGCTCGTCTGGCAAGGATCAACGTCGTCAACTCTCGGGTCCTCTTACTCTTTTCTTTCTGGGACAACGCCTGGTACCATTTGGATAATCTGACCTTGCCCTGTCTGGACAAGAGGAAAAGGAATTGGACAGCCATTCTGGGGGATGCTGAGATTCGTACTGGCTGATCGTAAGCTGTTAGTGTATTGCAGTTTCTCTATTGGTTCTGTACTTGTCTGTCTAACTCCACTGTTTGTATGCTAGAAGGACTCGTTGATGCGATAGCTGGCTGGTAGTTTGCAGGTTGGATAATGTCAAGAAGCGCTTCTTCGACTAAGTCCTTAAGATATATGTGAGTTCGTATGTGACTAGACTGTCTATTCGTTTGGATTGATCCAAAGTGGGTGAGTATTATTTGTTACGTTTCCCATACTATGTGCAGGATTCACTTAGTGCTCTTGTCTTGTCGTGACTTTGGTGGTGTGTCGCGACAACGGCCTGGAGACAGAGCCAAAGAATGCCCTGGCGCCGGCTGTGAGGTCCCAAAGTAGCGTGAAGAATTGGTCTCTAGCTGCTCCACACAAAACCTTCTTGCCTTGAAAAGAATCATTTTCTTGCTCCCAAAAGTTTATGCTTTAAACCATTCAGCCATACATCCTTTCCTTTATACAAACGATAGTTATAGCCCTTCTTGAGACTGAAGTCGTGCCTCAACTTCGTGAATCCGCCCCTCGCTTTCGAGCAAGGTTCTGTCATATTTGATACTTACGTCAATCCTTTATGTAAAACTTCAGATACTCCCGTTAGAAGGATTACGTAATCACATGAACACCAGTTGGAAGATAAGTCTGGATCTGCCGACACTACGGGCCAATCAAAAGAACAGAGTGGTAAGGTTTCATTATTCTACAGATTTGGAAGACCAACAACCCCATTTTTAAATTAGGCATTATTGGCTTAGGTTTTACTAGAGTAGCATCAGGGTCTATTGAACCAGGGAAACAATCCGTAGCAAATAAGCTAACACTATTCTCTTTCTGCTACTCTCATTTTACTTGGGATAATTGTTATCGCTTTTGACAAACTTTTGATTTCCTGATCGTACGAGTAGCTCAAGTACGCCCATATATTCTATTTTTCTAAAGTGTCGACCGTGGAGGCCAAGAAGTCAAGATGCTGTTTGAGTTCCTTGCAAATATCCTCCCGATCCACCATTCTATAAATGTCAACTTCGATTTTCATCTCACACAAAAGTTCATACAGGTGAGTCCATTGCACTGTTTCGAAGTCGCTACCCGTGCGGAGCTTCATACCAGTACCGTAAAGTCTGATCCGCTCGGCCTTCTCGTTAAAGATTCTGCGTTTGATAAAAAGTTCCCAGGGGTCGAGTTTAGGCCAGTTGGCATGAACAAACAAAATCTGGGGCCCATTGGCAAGAATGGGATCCTTGGCTTTGAGCTTTTTCTCCTGCTCTGGACTTTTGCCTTCAAGTTGAGACCGTACTTTTGAATATTGATAGTCTTCAACAGGATCATATTGACCCATTCCAGTGCCTTCGAACTCTCCACGGATGTTAAAGTACCCGAATGCGTTCAAAAACTTAGCTACTTGGTAGTACTTCTTGTTGGTAGCAATGGTAGCAGCTAAAAATGTTTCCTTATCTCCCTCTCCATCAGAGCCCTGCGAAAATAACGGGTAGAAATGCGAGGGCCCATATAAATTGTAGTATAATGCAAGTAAGAGTGCTTTCGTATGAGTCTTTTTGGAGATCATAAGTTGACCTGACTCGGAAGTAGGGTCGGGAACACTTCCTTTTCTTTGATGCAACGGGATGGCATCCAAAAACTTGGGGTCAGCCTTGTATTCGGCTGGCTTGTATGAGCCTGAAATTTCGTCGTAAATGGGCAATAAGTCCTCTTCGCTCACTTTGAGCCCCGCGATCTTGTAGTAGTCGGGAGACGTAGCTCTCTTCCAAAAGTCAGGCCAAACGATGAAACCATTGGAAATGAAGGGATCTTGTTTGAAAAGGTGGTCGGGGGAATGTACAGGAATGTTGTCACTATCCAACAACAAAATGTTTTCGAAACTCAGCAATAAAATTGCGAGGGCCTTGTACTGGTAACCCTCGAATTCAAACTTTGTTTTGCTATCTTTTTCCAATACGAATCCATCGTCCACGTCTTTTGGGTCATGTAACTCGTAAGGTAAGTAAATGCACCGGGCACCCAAGGAAGGAAACACCTTTTCACATAGTTCGGCCTCGTATTCGTCTGCTTTGGGAATGAGGATTTCAATGGGTAACTTGCTACCCAACGCTCTTATGGACTTGATGGAAAGTAAAGTCAACCAGTTAAATTTACCACCACCAACATACACGATTCCGTTTCCAGAGTATAACCCCTTGGGTGCAGTGTCTGGCAAGTTGTCGATGACATACTTGTGCAGGCTTGTCATGGACTCTAACTCGGTGTCGTTCACTTGAATGAACCTTGATAAGAACCATTCACTGAATATCAAGTTTTTGGGATCAAGGGAGTCGTATCTCGCGTGATAAATACGTTCTTCCGAAAAGTAGGTTCTTAACATCGGAATGACTGGTCTTCCAGCGTGCAAAACACCAAAGACGTCTTGGAAGAACTTGTAGCCTATCTTCTTTCTTTTGAGTTCTTTTGAAGTCTCCTTTATGACTGGATGAGGTTTGGGCTTTGGTTTAATTTTGAGCTTTGGACTTATCACTTCTTCCAAACCACTTAAATCTACCAAGTCGTTGAGGCTAGGGTTTGCTTTGGGAGCTGGAGCTGGGGCCGCTACGAGATCGTCGTCCCAATTATTTTCGGCAGGGACCGTATTTGGAGTGTTTGAAGGGTACGAGGGGGAAATTTCCTGTAAACCCAAGTCTAAAACATCGCCAAATTCCTTGTTGTCCTTGTGGGTGTGTCCAGCGTTATTGACAGGGTTCCCGTCTGATTTGCCGACTGGCTCGACTATCTTTTCAGGGTTTTTTATTTCGGGTTTGCGGACATCGCCCTTGACTTCAGGGACCTTTATGGGCTGAGGAATGGTCTCAGGCTCTGCCAATGGCTTTTGGTTCGCTGGCTTGTTGTCGATAGAAGCAGCGGCGTCGGTTTTGACGAACGGCACCGTCTTCTTTTTGAAGAACATGAGTTTTCCGAGTAGATTTGCCACAGGCGTGAAAATGGACGAGTCATGGTCAGGATTGGTGATCACAGAGCTCTCGCTGGTGCTGTCGCTGGTCTGCAAGAAGACCAAGTTTTGGAAAACGATGAAGTAGAACAACACCACGAGAATGATCGCAGAATATACGAGCGACGACTTGTGTCGGCGCCTGAAGTACAATCTGGACTTGATGATGAGTGTCTGGACCGGGTTATGCATTTTGGGGAGTGATTAGGCCGTGAGTCGACTGAAGGCTCCGATTGGGTGTATGACTGGCAGTACGGATGTTGATCGAATGGGCGTTTTTGGCCAGAAACGGCAGCGGCACTTCGTCAGCAGAGGGATGGAGGCGCGTGGGGGTGGTGTGGAGCCAGAAGTGCTGGAAGAACAGCACGATCTAGTCTGGAAGCTGGCGGGAGTCGGTGGATTAGGCGCCCAGATGGATGGATGGATGGACGGAGTGCTGGCGGGAAGCACGTGACGTGATGGTAGGGAGGCGCTGGGGGCAGATTCGACAGGGGGACGGAAGATCGACGTGGACTAAAGAGTTATTCTCCCGCTAGATCAGCATTGGATTTCCGTAGTAGTAATGGTGACAATCCTAGCGCCAGGTGGGTCACATGACCGGAACTCCTGGCGCGCAAGCTGGGCTGGTTTTACGAGGAACGCACTGATCGACGCGTAGGGTGCGATTTCCGCCCTTGGCACTCCAGCCTGGGACGGGATTATCCACCAACATGCCGTCTAGAGGCTACTATTGCCGGATTGGGGTGCTTCGCGGTCTCGTATCGTGACTCAGAACTAAATCGGGGCTGCAGCAGAAAATACGGCAATATGCGGGTAACAATAGCCTGGCTAGATCATGAGTCTGGATTGGGGAACCCTTGCGAAATATACGCAAGAGTATCAAATCCGATATATAATATGCACACGGGTGTCTATTGTTCCAGCTGAATTGGGGGTTTTTAATGAACAAAACAGCTCCAGTGCCATGGTACGATGCCCAAAGCGGAGTAAAGATATTCTAAAATTAATTCATGTTTGGCATCAGGTATGATGAGTTGTCTAATCCTTGAGCTCTTGATGTAGGCGTTGGGCGGAGAGTGAATAGGGAAGATGAGCAGGGAACAAAATGTCCTGACTGTTACCAATTTGATGTATCTTCATATTAAATCCAACTTTGTGAAACTTTTCACTGGGGTTTAGACGATCTTAATTCCCTTGCATATCATGATCTTGAACCCTTCCAATTGTGACAGGCATGGGCTACCTGACTTCGACTCCACAATTTGTCTCACGTTTTTACCTTCAGATACCCAAGGTTAACCGAGGATCATTAGCTTGAGTTGATAAAGAGGAAACTACGATTACATAGCACGAGGTCGTTTTAGTATCAAGAGATAGTACTCGAATCGATCAGCGACATTGAATAAGTGATGCAATCCAAGCAGTCCCACAGAGGACATTACTGTCAGACATTCCAGTTGGTTTTTAAAGCAAAATAGTGCAATCCAAACAAGTGTAAAAGAGTTATTCTTATTTTGAATCTTGAATAGTGTTCGTTACAAATAGCCATGAGGATACTTGGTTTACAGAATAATAATTACTACCTATTTCATTGCTTCTAATATCCTCAGCACCAAACTGACCTGATTGAGATTACCAATTCCATTCCAATGTGGATTTAAGCACTCTGGTCACAATATAGTGGAAGAACTGATCTGTATGGAGAGCTTGTAAAATTTTCAATGATCCTCCAATAATTGATTTTATCGACGGATAACTGGTGAATTTGTCAATGACCCTCCACCAGATTTATTGCTACACCAAATATGAGAAGAAGATGGAAACATTCCAACAACTACAAGCAATAGTAGAGAATGAAGAGAAGAGTGTTGGAACATTCCAACAACTTCAAGCATTCAATTACAAGAGAATTCAGAAAAGCAATATTATAATCTTTCAGAAACGTCATACGTATGTACTTTTTTCAGGAAACACCACACGTGCTATCCTTTCGAATAAGCCAATCTCACCGCTGTGAATGTGTTCTATGGACATTAAGATGAACTTCCTATGTTTTCTCCAGCCTTCCCATAACCTCCAAAAAATGCGGAGTGCAGCTCAAAAATCCGTACGTAAAGTCCTCGTCCGGATCGCAGGTGCACTTCTTGTCCACAAACACCGCTGGATTCAGCGGACACTGGGTGAACGGAGGATGGTAGTAGCCAAAATCGTGGAACCAGTGAATGTCGCTTTTCTGCAGAAACAACACAATCGCCATTGTATGGACAGGTGCGTCTCCCCACCTCTCGTAATAGAACCCGCCAGAAGCGTCCAAGTACTCAAAAAAGTGCTGGTACTCAGGGCTGTGGAAAAGCGACAAGTCTGCGATCTCGAAGTTGGACCAGAAGTGGCAGAGATTGTACGACTGCCACTGGTCGTCGTTTTGGACCAACCCGAGGAGTTCTGCGCGCGGCGCAAACTCATGCATGTACGCCTTGACAGTGTCCCAAAGCGTGGGGATGGTGTCCAGATACTCGAAAAGACTGACGGTGAACCCGTAGGTCTTTTTGTTTTCGCGCATGTACGCGAAGAGGTCCTGGTCAATGTTGCAGTAGTACTTGACCCCCGGCTCGAGCCGCCAGTAGTAGCGATACTGGGCCACCAATGGGTGGCGGTAGAAGAACCCCGAGAAGAACCGGCACATGTGCCTGTAGCTCTCGGAGTCCCCGTAGGGAATGTGTGCAGATTGCAGGTGGATATGCTGGGCTCGGGCCACGTCAATATGCGGAGGGTACGACCAGTGCTCGGAGGGAATCACCCCAAAATTGAGCTTGCCCTGTGGAATATACGATGAAATCAAGTGTATCACTTCGGGGTCGAATGGCACGTCGTTGAGGAATGTGTAGTCATAGTGGAACTGGTGGTTGTGCCTGTCTTCGAGGTTCTGGAGCGTGTCCAAAAGAGCAAAAACGTCAGAATTGCGGCAGAGAATAAGGAAAGTGGCATTCTGGCGGATATATGTATGGTTGGGATGAGTCTTGTTGATGATGATAGACTCGCTTGTGGGTGCGTTCCGGAGAAACGCTTTGAGTCGGGCGTCGTTGTCGGCCGCAAAGTCCCACGAGAACGTCCATCTATGGTGGTGGGTGTCGTCCGGAGCAGGCTGGCTTGGCTCGGGAGTGAGTATTGGCAAGTTCTGGTCCACTTGCTCGGTAGCATTGGGCACGCCAAAATGTACCGGTAGCCACGGGATGTGCCATGCACCTATTATGCTGAAATATGTAGCCACCACAAGAAACTGGCCGATATGCATGAGTGTCGAGGGCTATGAAATAGAACGTGGATTATTGGTGGAGGGAATGTGCTGATAGGGTCGGATCTCGGGCTGGATGTGCTTGGGAGGCCTAGTACATCCCCTGGATGGATTCAAATTAACTTGCACCTGCGTTTGACCCCGGTCGGTGCAGTGGCTGTGATGTGAGATTCGGTGTGCGCAACGAGCAGGGTGCAGGCACACACCGCGCCAGGCACTGGCCGCTGGATGGTGTAAGGAATACCATCTTCAACACCCCGTAAGTAGCTCCGCGTCAGCGCTTTGCGCATAAGTTGCATCCCTGTGCTTTTTGATGTCTATTTTTCAGTTATTGGCACGCACCGTAAGCCCAAACGCCTGAGGTGCGTTTCCTGACCAGTAACGGATTTGTCTGGAAATCGCAGGATATACGAAGCCCCTTTCCCGCCAGCACGTGGAACCACTGGGTCCATCCATAGCACCCGTTTCGCCACTTAAGTTGCTCCACAACCCGCAATCCAGTAAACGTGTGCTGTGCGTCTTCTAGATGTGCCTCCGCATTTCCAGATCCGTCCATGCGTCTGTCATGCTAAAGTCGCTGTCTTCTCGGCTTGCCCGCACAGCCTGCATGTCACTCCCACGTTTAAACGATCCACTATACGGGAAAACTCCGATAAGGCACCACATGGGCGATGGCGATCGTGGTGACGGCTACGGTTGCGGCAAGTGCGGACGCTCTCGTCCCCACCTCCACGTTGCGGCGCTCTCCACGTTCCCAGCCATCGCAGCCAGAGGTGTCCTCTCGCACGCACCCTTCACATCTACGCGATGTGTGCCTTTGACGTAGACGTAGCCCTCATGCAAACAACGCACATTACACTTAGTACTTCTTCCTCTTCCAACCCTAGTATCCACTGCCACCCATAGACTTGCACTAATCTTGCCCATCTCAGCAACCTTTGCCTTTCTCGCTGATATCACCAGACCATCAAAACATTTGTCTCCGATTGTTTTTTTTTCCACCGTTGCTTACTACTTTTTATCCCACCCCAGGTACACTTCTAGCAATAATGGACCCCGGGACACCACAGGCGCCCGCTGCAGCACTAGCTCTGCACGCTGTGCCCAGCCCTGTGCCTTCTCTGCATCCCTCATCGTCGCCTGCGCACCATCCACACACCCACTCCGACGAGGCCATCCCACCCGATCACCATCTCGGGGCCGCCACCAGCATACCTGTCATAACGAAGCCCGCCATAGCCACCTCCTCTGCATCATGTCCTCAGGCCCCAGGAGCGGTCTCCGATGACTCGTCCTCGGGACCTGCGCCCAGCGCAGGCACTGACAGCGTCATTAGCGTTTCCAACGTCCCCAGCGTTCCCACCATCCACCTGCATGCCACCAGCACCACCAGCGCTACAAGCACCGCCAGCGTCCCCCCACAGTCTGCCTCCACCCTCACTCCTCCGTCCCCCACCAGAAAACACTCCATTTCCTCCCATCAACCAGACCTTCCCATCCCCAACCTCCTCACAGGCAGAAAGGCTGCACGCTCATTGCGGCTCTTCCGTGGTGCCTCCACCGCCAAAGACGAATCAGAAGAGCCCCCCACGGAAATCCCCCACGCCCAGGCCCCAGACGCCCCCAATCAGCAAATTCACCACCAAAATCAACACCAAAATCAACACCAAAATCAACACCAAAACCAGGACCTCCATGATGCAAACGCCTCTTCCACCTCCCCCACCTCCATCCCCCTCGAGCCAGTCTCTTCCGCCACCTATTTCCCCCACACGCCAGCCGACACAGAATTAGCCGCCGAGGTTGCCCAAACGCCAAATGCTGCCAAAGATGCCTCCGACCCCGAATCGCCCCATACTCAGCATCTCACGGCCAAGGTCGAGTTTGAGCACCTCAGCAATGGCGATATCACCAAGATCAAGGGCGACATCTCCAAAATCCAGTCCAGGACGTCGTCGCCAGTTCCAGACGACATTCAGCACCAGAAAACTTACCAGAACGCGCACCAGCCGCCTTCCAGCCCTCTAGCAGCACCACCAGTGCCCTCACCAGAGTCTTTCCCGTTGGCAGTCGAATTGCGTCCGTTCAAGAACAAGGTAGGGGGTCATACTGCCATTTTTTCGTTCTCCAAACGTGCTGTGTGCAAGGCGTTGATGAACAGAGAAAACTTGTTCTACGAAGCCGTCGAGTTGCGGCATCCGGACCTCTTGAAGTTCATGCCCAAGTACATCGGCGTGTTGAACGTCAGATACTCCAGCATCATCACCGAAGACGCCAGCCACGAGAAACCAGTGTCTGTACACGGAGGAGTTGCTCTCGAATCGCATCCCAGCGACGACTACCCTCCCGAGGTGGTTTTGGACGATAATAAGCATATCATCCCCGACTCTTTGTGGAAACAGTACTCGGAGTCGTTGCCATCACCTGGGAACGAGTCCTATATGGCACGCAGCCGCCAAAACAGCTACCACGAGACAGAGGCGCCAGACCAGGAAACCACCGAACAGGACGGCGCGTCGGCGTCTTCTTCGCTTCATTCGCATAACCCCCACAACTACGCCTCCCGCATCCCCAACAACATCGGCTCCACGTTGGTCAACACCGATTTGCAGGTCCAAATTCTCCAGGAGGTATTCCAGCCGTCATTGAAGCACCACAGCCCTCCGAGCCACCAGGACGACATTTTTGCGATGGACGAAGAGACCAGCATCAAGGAGGACTCGCCAGAGTTGCAGTCTCCACATTCGCCCTCCAACGCGAAGTTCCTGGCCATCTCCCGCAAGCACACCCGTTTCGAACGCTTCATTCTCCTTGAGGACTTGACCTCCAATATGACCAGGCCCTGTGTGTTGGACTTGAAGATGGGTACCAGACAATACGGCATCGAAGCCACCCACGCCAAGCAGAAGTCCCAGCGCAGGAAGTGCTTGGCCACCACCTCCAGAAAGCTTGGAGTCCGTATCTGTGGCTTGCAGATCTTCAAGAAGGAAGACAATCCCGAGCTCAGTCCCTCCCAGGCCGAATCCTCGCCAAATCCACTCGTCAAAGACAAGTACTACGGGAGAAGAGTCAAGATCGGAATGGAGTTCTGCAAGATCTTGTCCAAATTCTTGTACGACGGCCAGTCCAACTACTCGATCCTCGTGAAAATTCCTCCACTCGTGGGCCAGCTCAGCGAACTATACGATGCATTTAGCAGTTTGATTGGCTACAGAATGTACGGCTCGTCCATCTTATTGATGTACGATGGAGCAGCATCAAATGGCGATGTCAAGGTCAAAATCATCGACTTTGCGCAGTCCGTTATCACACCCCTGCCTGAAGGTATAAATGAGGCGGGCGAGGAGGTCACCGTGCCTCCAGCACACCCAGACCTGGCTGACCAGGGATACTTGCGTGGATTGAAGTCGTTGGTCATGTACTTCAAGCTCATATTCAGAATCATTACTGGCGAAGAATACATCGATGCATCTCAGGCCATGCACCACGTGCAGAAAAGTAAGCTGGATTACATGAAGAGAAACATGTGGTTGGATCACTACGCAGAAACAGACGAAAAGGAGCAGGAGGTGCCCTCGGACCCGTTCAACATCGACTATCCCGAATACTCGTTGGCTGAAGACGACGGGATTTCTGAGTAGGTACTGCTTACTGGATATAGGTAGGAAAAAAGAATTAATATGTGAACATGTAGAATTGAGCTACTGAAAGATTTAGAGGGTAGATATTGAAGTCATGTGACTGATCACGTGATGGAAATAGAGGCGACTTTCGATCTAATCTTTCCGGTTTCTGCCAGGGTAATTGCTCCTGATGGAATTAGCCCACACGACAAATTCTATCTACACCCTGTCACCTTATTTAATAGTCTCTATTCTAAATCTAGCAAGTTTCAGAAGGTTGCCGATTATTTGTAGTTAGTGAACAGTAATAAACTTTATTGTTCTGAACTTCCTTGAACTGTTAACTATAAAACTGGGATCAAAGGTTAAACATTTAGCCACCATATAATGAGGTGGCTTATAGATGTGCGCCTAGTTGCAAAATTAAAATATTTATGATTTTTGTGAGGTGCAAGTATCTTTAGGTCCTGTGACAAGTCATCACTGTCATGATAAGTCCGTTGATTAGTCTATCGAGGGTTTAGGCCATGAGACAAGTTCGATATCACAGGTGAAGTGATCTCTACAGATGGAATGTACGGTATCTCTTTCTTTATCTAGCGCTGATTAATTTCGAATAAAAGCCCAAGATGGTTGGCATAGCATATGACTCTTGATTTGCCAACCGTGATTGGCAACTCGATGACGATTTTCTAACGGAGCTGTGTGTACACGGAATTTTGAAAGAACCTTGCCTGAATTTGGGGTCCCAGAGTAATTAAGCAAGAAGAAATTCCCACACAATCAATTACTGCATTACGTACGTATTGTAAAGTCTACAATCAACTTATTTATTTCTAATCCTTCTTGGGCTACAATCACTGATGCACTACTATTAAGAGTCCATCGAATGTCCTGCACGTTGCACCCGTCCATCTTACACACGTTGGGGCATATTGACCAGCGGATATCGTCCAAGGTAGTGCAACGCAGCAGTGGTTGCCCAGCCATGACGTCATACCTGTCAAACCTCGAGTTGCTGCTCCCGACCCCACGAACGAGCCAGATCAATCGGAAAGATGTTGTGGGGCAGAGGCTGGACTGGGCTGGTGGTGGAACTCCGTTGGATGTAAATATACAGGTTCTTAGCGGAGTACTTCCGGTGGTCTCTTCCAGGTAGTTCCGGGAATCCAGGAGTGGTCCGCGCCCTACTGCAGGTGGCAGTTCCAGACATCCTCCACAATTGGTCCAGGGTCCGGGTCCGGAACGAGGTTCCGAGGACACCTCAATCGGGACCCCTCGAGGAGTGGTACCTGCCTGGCCTCCAACAGCCACCATGCAGCGAAACCGGAAGCGAGTGCGACACAAAAGCTGGCGACCACTGTGGGGGCTGTACCCCAGCAACACCGCCACCGCACCGAGGCAGCAACCACCACAGGGGTGGGAAACCTGCTCAGCGAACAGATGGTTGGCCAGGCGAAAAATGCGTGCACCAGATCGATGGGTTGCTGATTCCAGGACGACACATCGGTATGCCCGAGACCGGCAGCTCCACCGGCAGGGACGCCAGCGCCCTAAAAATAAAGTTGGGGTGTGCAGGGAGAGAGTTGATTAATGACATGGTGGGGGAGGGCCGAGTCCACCGTCACACTGGCAAAACCGTTACTGGTGGGGCCAGGGCCATCGCCCGCTACTGCCAGGGTATTCTCCGGGTGGTGCCAGCCTCTCCCGCTGGTGCACTCCTCCGTCCAGTCGCTTGGTGGTGGTGTGCACTCCCATCCCCCACCACCCCGAGCAGGCCCCACCAGCGCGCCGTTGCTCCGCACTAGCGCAATAACACGTAATCGAGCAATGCAACCGCCTTGCCGACATCTCACCTGTCACGCTCTCCGCACTATATAGTGGCGGGTGCAGCCAACACATTTTTGCCAGGAATTTGAACCCGACCAGTCACAGCTACCGTAAAGTTACAAAACAGAGGCCAGTAACCAGTGAAATTACTACCAGTAACCAGTGAAATTACTACCAGTAACCAGTGAAATTATAGCTAGCGGTAACCAGTGAAATTACAGCTACCAGTAACCAGTGAAATCACAGGAAAGTAAAAACTCACACTTGCCTAATTACGTGGACTATATCCTACACATCGTGGAATCTACGCCTCAATCTCCAACACAAGCTACTCTCACAAACGTGGGCCTCCAGCATCACAAGTGAATTCTCGAACTAAAAAGCTCCCAAGCGTGAATTCGACTTCATTCATAATTCTGGAATCTACAGGCAAATCTAGGTGAAATCTCGAAATCTCCGTGAAATTTCCCTGAAATCTGAATTCCCCTTGAATCTACCAATTTCACCTATCCCGCGAATTCCTAACCAACGCATCCCCCTCAATCATGCCTCGTCGTAACAGCAACGCACCACACATACCCGTGGTGGCCACCATCGACATCGGCACAACCTCCGCCAGAGCCATCATCTTCTCCCAGGAAGGCGAGGAGATCGCCAAGCACCAGATCGAATACTCCACCACCGCGTCGGAAACTCCAGCAGAGTCGCAAAACACCGACCAGTTCAGAAGAAGATCCTCTCTTTTGAGGCACAACGAGCCCATCTTCACTGCTGAAGGTATCGCCATTTCCATAACCGATGACGTGGAGATCGAAAACAACTCGGCTTCGGCTGGACCCACTCTTCGCTTTCCCCAGCCTGGCTGGGTCGAGTGTATGCCTGTGCACATTTTGGCCAACGCCGTGCAGTGTTTGACGGCGTGCTTGATCACCTTGCGCAAGATCAACCAGAATCCAGCTCTTTCTCTCAAGTACAAGGTCAAGGCCATTGGGATCGCCAACATGCGTGAAACCACCATCGTGTGGCTGCGTAAGACAGGCAAGCCGTTGTCCAACGGTATCACCTGGACGGATACCAGAACGTCTGAGATCGTCCAGCACTTGGAGAAGATGATCGACGACGACCGCAAGGAGGAGTTAAAGCAAAAAACCGGTTTGCCGTTGTCAACCTATTTTCTGGCAGCCAAATTGCGGTGGCTTTTGGACAACGACGACGTGATCCGTGAAGAGTACGAGAAGGGCGACGGCAACTTGATGTTTGGAACCGTGGACACCTGGTTGATCTACCACTTGACCAAGGAGAAGACGTTCGTATCGGACGTGACCAACGCATCACGTACCTACTTCATGGACCTCGAAACCCGCGACTACGACGACGACTTGTTGGACTTCTGGGGAATCGATCCAACCAGGATCCGCTTGCCCAAGATCGTGTCGCTGTCGGAGTTCTACGGCTCATTTGCCGCCCCCAACTTGTCTCAGTTGGGATTCCACAACCGTATCACCCAGGAGGCCTACGACATCTTGAAAGCCATCACAGGTGTGCCTATCTGCGGCTGCTTGGGTGACCAGTCGGCCTCGCTCGTGGGCCAGTTGGCTGTCAAGCCAGGTCTGGCCAAGTGCACGTACGGAACAGGCTGCTTTCTCTTATACAACACAGGCACCCGTAAGTTGATTTCGGAGCATGGCACACTTACCACGCTAGGCTACTGGTTTCCCACTCTCGAAGGCGAGGATGGACTTCCCCACTATGCGTTGGAAGGTTCAATTGCCGTGGCAGGTTCCATCATCCAGTGGTTGAGAGACAACTTGAAGTTGATCGAAAACGCAAAGGATATCGGGCCATTGGCGTCTCAGGTGCCCAACTCGGGAGGTGTGGTTTTCATCCCAGCGTTTTCGGGGTTGTATGCCCCTTACTGGGACGGTGGTGCCAGAGGAACCATTTTTGGAATGACTCAATACACCTCGTCTAGTCACATCGCCAGAGCAGCGTTGGAGGGGGTCTGTTTCCAGGTCAGAGCGATCTTGCGGGCCATGGCCAACGATGCAGGCGCATCAGAGGACTTCTTGGAGGAGGCATTAACCAACCAGAACGAAAAGAAGCCGTTGCTGGCATTGGCAGTGGACGGAGGTATGTCCAAGGCCGACGAGGTGTTGCAGATACAGGCCGACATTTTGGGGCCCTGCGTGACCGTGCAGAGGGCAGTAATTTCCGAGTGTACTGCGTTGGGTGCAGCCATTGCTGCTGGGTTGTCATTCAAGGACCCCCAGGACAGAGTGTGGAAGGACTTCGACGACGTGATCGCCAAGGTCCACGACACCAAGGCCGAGGACAGAAACTCGTTTGTGGCTCAGTTGGCCGACAAGGACAGAAGAGCACGCTGGAAGAGGTGGGAAAATGCCGTGGATAGAGCCAAGGGCTGGTTGGACGAGGAGTAATAGAAGCGGTATACAAGGTTAATAGACATGTCAGAACGGCCAGTATGTACAGAACTAGTAAAGCTAGCAATCTATTCTAATGAAAATTATTCAAATTAATACGAATTCAATATAATTTAGAACTCGTGAAGCAATCCTAATCTAGTAGCATGACTTTTATTAAAAAAGTAATACTTTTCGGAAATTCAAATTGGCTCTAACCTATTCTTATGAATTGATTGAAGTATAAACTGGAAATTGAAGAGACTAGCTATTCAATTCTAATGAAATGCATTAAAATTAGAACAGCTCTGCTCCTCAAACTACCGTTTCCTCGGGCAAGGCTGGGTATTTCACCACTCCTGTGACCAAAGCTGGTACTGATGGCACTGATATTGTGAATATCGAAACTCCTGTCATTTCTAGTGCTACAGCATCTGGTGTCGTTAGAACTCTAGAAATTGGAAGTTCCTATTCATCTGGTAGTTTAACAAACAGCAGTTCAAGAAATACTACATGAAAATCAAGTACCATTCTGTCCATCATTTTACTTTCATATTATTTTCAACGAATTTTCCATTTTCTTCATCAATTTATTCACCTGGACCGTCCACACTATCTTCGGTTCCTTCTACGCCTAATATTTTCTTCGCCTAGTCCAGCAGGATTCCATGCCCGACCCTTGGGTCTAACACTCAGAAATCCACCAATGATTTGCGAGTCCGATAAAATCTAGTTTCGAAGGGATCTCAGAGTCTACTGAATACTCGACCGCATCTTTAGTCACAAGAGTGCCTCATGTTCCTCCTTCAGAGCAAAAGGCCAAAACCGACACTACTAAGGTCATAAGTGACAGTACCAATGGATTCAAAGGCCATTCTATGATTCGGTATCTAGTTACTGAATATGGGCATCGAGAACTCAATCTTCAAATTTCTTGATTGATTTGGTTGCTATGATAGCTTACGTATACTACGGTCTTTCAAATTAGTTTCGGTATTGTTAGATCAATTAATCAATTTTCTTGGGGGATAAGATACAATAAATTTTGCAACTCAAAAAATTGTTGCATGACATTACATCACGAAAAGGGTTATTGAACATCTTATGTATTAGTACTACTTAAGTTGCACTGAATATCGGTGAAACTTTTGTAGCCTCAATTGACAAGATACTAACCATCATATTATAAGGATGTCTCGCATACGTTGGTGAGGAACTTAAGATCCATTTACTAAACTAAACCTATTCAGGTTGGAGGGATTGAGATACTCGCCCTGTTGGATTAGGTGCTAGCTAGCTATCCGTCAACTTTATAGCTGATCCACAAAGTTGAGAGAATAGAGAGGTGAGACCATTATTCAACTTGACTCATATAGGACATTGGGCCTAAAATTCTCCCTTATAAGGTGACTTTTCCTTCGTACTCCAGGTTGAGCAAACCATTCAGGAAAACAAATCCTCCAGGAATAGTCCATGCCTGTTGATTAGGTTGTTTTGCGGCTCTAGCACAGGCATCACCGAGAACACCAATATTATCAAAAGTGTAAATACTAGCAGTGAAATTTCTTCCATCAGTCAGGTAATAAACGGGATAGTATCCGATATAGGTGTTGCGAGGAATACATGGCTTGCTCTTAGTTGGACGCCATGTGTACAATTCGCTAAAGGTGACACCTCCAGTAGTAAGTAAGGAATAATTTTTTGGAGTCCAATACTCACCGATAACAACTCTGTCACCGGTTTCATCATCAATCAAAGTACCTGTCCATCTGTTGCTACCATCAGTATCGTTATGAGCAGTTCGGGCTACTTCGGTTGTATAGTTCTTTCCGTACTCCCAAGGAAAGTCAACAGCACAAGAGACACCTGGGCCACCATCCGCACCACTACCACAGTTTGGGTGGTGAGAAAATGGTCCATGTCCAAAAACACTGAAGGTTAAATGGTTCGTGGTACCTTCGACACGGGGCTGGGGCCCAGAGTAACCAACATCGTTGGTACCTTCAAAGTAAAACTGAGTACCATAGTAGTAACCGTGCACCTTATCTCCAGGGATGTTCCACTTTTGCTGCTGTTTAATAACTTTACCAGTAATCAGCGAATCCCCAGTATACCAGATTCCAGGGGAAGAAGCGGAAGTGAGAGCAAGAGCAGTTGAAGCAGTAAGTAAGTTGGATAATTTCATTGTTAATGATTCAATTCAGCAATGGGATTATGGGGGTTTATATAGTTTTCATGAACGGTTGCACATCAATTCTGAGCAATCCATGGTAGTTGCGAATACTATACACAAAAACATCCCGAGGAACTTGCAAAAGATCGCTGCATGCGTCCGGTGATAATTTATGCAAGATGGTATCTAATAACCAGAAACTCTTTCAAGAGGAAACAAACTCTTTCAAGAGCGAACATAGATATCGATAAGATGATTTGTATGAATCCAATGGGTTGAGCATGAAGTGGAACTTAGCCCTGAATCAATTGCATTTCAACAAATCTTTGGAATAGTAAAGAGACCATTATTGTGTATTTGAGAACAGTTAATATTTTGTCGGATTTACCGATTTTAATGACCTGATGTACTTTACACGTTGCTGTACAAATCCGTATTTTTTATATGAAGGGGCCAAAACTTCGAGTACAAGTTCTCCAATTCATTATAGTCGAAGCGGACTCCAATTAAATCTACCCAAGCTTATAGGAAGCATTCCGATTTTTCTTGCAAATTGCAAATATGAATTTGAAGCTCTGATTAGAAGGTCATAGACTGAAATATAGACTAAGAGGTTGCCCTTTCATAAGAGAAGTAGCTTTCTAATCGAATACGAAAATATTGCGCATTTGACTCAACGTTGCATTTCCGCTTCCAATAGCATATCATTTGATAGTCTTAGTGGCAGAATTGCCAAGATTGTACAAGTGTTCTGTCTAAACCAACGAGAGACAAAAAATATGGTTATGTCCGTTGCTCCGCGATGTGACGTGCGCTTGCACTAGAGCATGCATTACTAAAAAAGTTTAAAAATAAGCTAAAACTGGTAAGTGAGTGAAGGAACAATTCGTATCCTTCTGTTCAAACAGCAGGAATAGCCAGGAAATCACACTGAATGGCCAGTTCATTGCCACTGGAATGGAAAATAAAAGCTCAACAAATTGATTCATGATAATGTTGCCACATTATAACTTTGGGTTTGCTTTTGATAGGAGCATTGTGTATTAGGCGCTTGTCTACTTTCCCCCGCTTTTTCTAGCAAATAGCTATGGAAGAATTTTGATCAAATTAATGTGAATTTAACCTAAGAAGAACAGAGCAATCTATACCAAAGTGAAGAAGCCACGAGTAAGGATGTGAGGATTTTGTAGAAATGCCCTTGAGCACTTCGAATTGTCAAGAGTGAATTGTTTAATTTTGCATTAAGAGGAAGCTAGAGGAATTTATGGGAAGTATAATCCTTTTTTTTCGTTTATATACCTAATTGACCATACCTTCCCGACTACATATTAATGAAGGCAGCATCTGTCCTTGGATGTTTGAATAGCTAGGTAATATTTTGGTTTAATTAAGAAGATTTTGTGTGTATATTTAGTTAGAATCTCTCAAAAAAATTGTCTTGACTCGAAATTATAAGAAAGCTTTATGTAACTTTTTACCCAATTCCAGTTTGAGATTTAGCAGGACTTCTAGAGAAATTATAATAGGATCAATCACCTTTCTGCGCAGAGGTTTGCAAAACGTTAGATTTCAGACTCTAATGCTAGCTTTAACAAAGCCTTGGAATATTAGATTAAGAATTATAAATGAAGAAAGGAACACAAGAAGTTGGTAGCAATGCACTTTCCACAATTTTGGAAGGTACGCATGAATTCAAAAACAAACGAACAACGTTAGACTATTTGACAAACTCGAAACTAAGATAAGATCCAACCAGAAACCAGGATAAAATTTGAAAAATATTTTGCTCTACTAGATATGAATCATTAGTTTGTTTTACCTTGAAAATTGGTCTCCAGTATGAACATTCATCTCCGGTGGTACAATCAATTCCAGTCCAAGCATTTGAAACGAACTGCAACTGTAATTCGAAATGAAAAGTACTGCTGATTCTATTTGGAATTCTGGTTGAGATAATTGATACAACTACTTGGTTCGGAATGTTTTGGCATTAAAAATTGAATATGAGATTAATTATATTTGAAGGTCCGATTATTATTAGCCAATAAAAACAGCACAATACTTCGATGTTCTAAAAAGAGTTATCTTATTGTCTAGACCACATTGTGCATTCTATTGTTTCGCAACAGAGCGAACTCGCTAATTTTTTAGATGTTCTAGAAATTTTATGCAATAAAGCGGTAGATCATGATAAAGGAGTTGCAATCGATCAATTTCATTATCCTAGACATGCCACTAAAGTTGCTACGAGGATTTGCCGGATATGATATTGGTGATTCGATTCAACAAATCGCTTTTCCTAATATTCAGTGCTACTTTGGTAAATATATATTGGGTTTCTTCTCTCAGTTCAACCATGCAATGAAACTTAAAACCGATCCAGTTGATCTGTCTAAAAGAATTGGGTAGAAATATCAAAGGAGGTGGATTAATTTCATGAGATATCCAATCAAATATCCGAAAGGCCTTTGATTTCTATAGAAGTATGCTGATATCTATGTTCCACCTTCCCCTCTGATATCTAAATGGTTTCTTGATAGCCTAAATCTACTCTATTATTGCCGTGGGTAATGGTTTATTATACATGAAAGAAATACATTTAACAGGTGACTTGGCCAACAATAACGGCCAGTAATTGCAGCTAGCACTTCCGGTTAGTTTCGAGTTATTTGTGCTGAATTATTGCCTACTTCCAATCATCCGTATTAGTTGGTTGAAAGCAGGTCGCTCAGGGAGGCCAGCACTTCTCCGTCGCTTTCGTAGTCATCGATATCTAAGTAGTTCTCATCGTCCTCATCATAGTTCTCCTCATCTTCGTCGTATACCAACTCGTGCAGTTCGTCGTCCAATGACAAGTTGTCGATATTGAACGAGGTATCAATTGCGGGCATCTTTGAACTATCAGTCTTTTTGGGAGACAAGGTGGTTATAACATCGCTGAAGAAGCGGCTGGTTTTATGGGTGAGCTCGTCGAAACGATCGTTCTGTACCAGGAACGGATGCGAGTCTCGCTTGCTGGTCAGGAACATGGTGGAAGCCTTTTTCTTGATGTTGGTGAAGTCGTCATTGTGGATCGTGAAAATGGAAGACGCTTTCTTGGTGATATTTTTGATGAGAAAGTCTTCATTCTGAACAGGCTCAAACATGCTGGAGGCACGGTTCTTGATGGTGTTGAAGAGCTCTGCTCCTGCTCGGGACTCTCGTCCTTCGCCTGACAATCCCTGCAACTGGCTGGTGGTCTCGAGATGGGCCTGTTTGTAGATGTCGAGTCTGTTGGACACTTCGAGTGCTCTGAACTTCTCGTCCCGCTTAGCAGACTCGAGCTGTGCTGCTATCTCGTCGAGCTCAAAACGGAGCCTCTGGATGTGGTTTTCGTGTTCTTTGATCTGGTTTTGCTTGCGGGTGTACTGGTCGAGCAACTGGTGGGGAGTTACGGGAGGAGTGGACACGGTAAATGGGTCAGAAAGAGCAGTTTTAGCACCAGAAATCGATTTTTCAACAGTTCTGAAAGGAATTTCAGCTGTTCTAGCTGGTTTGGCCATTTCAACCACTCTGTTAGTTTCCTTTCCAACTGTTCTCGATTCCTGACTGGTTCTGCTAGAAACACCCTTGTCTGCTGCTCTGACTCCACGGACTCCACTGTCGTGGACTTTACTCTCATGACGGCTCATCTGAGCCTTCCTCAAGTACTCATCGGTTCTGGCCTTGACACTCCAGGGAGCACCATTCATCGAGTCGTTACGCAACGGCCTCAATGGCGAGGCACTGGACACTGGCCTTGTTGAGGGTACCTTCGTGGGCGATGGAGTCGTTGGCACCACGTTTTCTTTATCTAAAGAAGCCACTAGCATTGGAGAAGTGATGGAGATGGTGGAGTGATTGCAAAAAACGGCAAAAATTAGGCAGATGGCCTGAGGCTGGCTGGTGGGTGGTGGGTTGTGGGTGGTGACAGCGTAAGTAGCGTCTTCAGTGAGCAGGCCTGGGTGGAGTGGTTGATCTGGAGCTGCTGGGGTTGCAATCACCTTCCCGATCGGGCAAGGTAAATAGTGTCGCATCGCTACCGGATCGGGCAAATTGGGTGGCGGATGGAGTGCACTGTGCCGGACCGGAGTAGGCCCTTGCCGTGCCGAGTGGAGTACTGCGGTACGGATGTTTGCGGTGAAACGGGCGGCAAGAACCAGGGATTCCAGCGGCCCCCACCGAGCCTTCAGGCTCCAGCCTCTTCAGTACGGGCAGCCCACCAGGGTCTCCGGCCCTGCCGCGAGGTCGTGCGCGCACCGATATCAAATATCACGTGCGTGCCCCATCAACAACAATCGCCACGCTTGCTTTATAACCATCCGTTTTCTCCCCTTCCACTCCACACCAAAATGGTCTTCACCCTCGCCAGAATCAGATTGTTACTCTCGTCCTTCCTCGTGGTCTACGTGGCCTACTTGTTCTCCTACAAGTGCGTGCAATTGAAGGAATCCACCCTCGAGCATGGGGTCCAGTCCGTGCTCCACCCATTGACTCACACCCACAACCAGGCGTGCGACGCCTTGAACCAAGGATCCGAGTACTTGAAGCCGTACGTGGCCCAAGTCCAACAGTTGTTGGACACCCACGTCCACTCCCACCCATTGTTCAAACAATACAAGGTCGAGGCCAAGCTCGCGTGTGCCAAAGGCAAATACCAAACCTACTTGAGTCCGTACGTGCAACAAGTGTTCCAGTTGATCGAGATCATCGAGCTCCGTGTGTACGAGTACGTGGTTGCTGCGTACACCGAGGCCAAGAGACTCTACACGCAGTTGACCCAGTGAGTGCGTGAGCGTTTTCTGGCAATTCCAGGCTGTTCTTGTTCGTATTGTTTTATTCAGTGTATGTATACCAATAAATAAACTTTATCTATTATCGAGAATTCCAGGCGGTCGAAGGGGCTGGGCCATCTGCTGGTGTAAACCACCGTGCTTACTGATGCAAATACCCTCGGTGCCAAAGAATCATCCATGCATGGTGCCTGTGCATTGCGTCCTGTTCGGGCACTGTTTTGACAGAATAGGACGTTGCGCAACCCTTCCCAACAATAGACCTGCTTTCATAGTTGTCTCGTTCCAGCTTGCTAACGGATCCCAGAATGGCTCTATAGTTGCACTTAGAGGATAATAGCCAGAATCACGCGTTAGCGAAATGCCATTATCTCCGTGGGGGTTGTTTGAGTGTATAAGAAGTGGCCCAACGACCTGAATTGCTCCACCAGTTCCCATGTCCATCACTGTCACTGTCATCACCACCTACGCCCACCCGGGAATTCTAACGGTAGGAGGAGCCAAATCCTCGGCTTCCGTGCCTTCGAAAGAGGTGGCTGCTGCTGTTGCTTCTGTGTTCCCTCCAAATGCCAAAAATACCCCTCTCCCCCTCTCCTGCAAGAGCCATGCCGCTTCGACTGTCACCAGTGCCAAACAATCGGTTTCCCTGCAGAAGACTACTGTCTCGCAAGCTGTCTGTGTGGCTGTTCTCGTTACCCTTGGTTGCAGCGTTTCCCCGTGGGTGCTTCGGAGCCTCGAAAAGGGTCCGTTGATCTTCTTTTTGGCCTATGTTTACATCTGTGTTACCTGCTGGAAGGTAATGCAATCAGTATCCAAGATGACTCGGTATATGCCCATCACCGCATCCGTGGCGGTTTTTGAGTTCAAATTCCTTGCTCCATGTATTGCACTCTCTTTGAACACCTTTTACTGGCTTTCGTGGTCGCTTACCTTTGCTAGCGAGCTCTCTTTGATGGGCCTGGTGTTGAGTTCATGGCAGATATCCAGTTTTCGCAACCATCCCAGCCGTATAATTTTCGCAGCCTGGACTGCACTTACAATCTACAACCTCCTGCCCTCGAGAAGCCAAACCAGTATATCTGCTAGAGTGACAAAGTTAGGCCTTCTCTGCTTGGTGGTAATGAGCATGTTCGTGGTAAATGATGAACTTCCGGGATTCCAGTCCTCGTCGTCGCTCATCAATATCTCGCTGGCCATTAAGCCCATCTGCTCATTGGCTCTAGTATGGGTCAGCATTGCTACTATCGAGTCTCTCCTGGAGCTTTCAGGCATGAGAGCCTTCATCAGCACCAAATATTCTTCCAATGTTGCCAGGATGGGATTGCTTTTGGGATACTATTTTTTGGCAGTGCTCGCAATGGGCACGATTGCTGGAATGGCAAACCCCCTCATATCCACAGGTTTCGATGGTCACAAAATGTCTCCGTTTGCTTTTGCGCTTATGAGCCTTTTCGCCAATACGGGGTGTTACTTGAAGGGTCCTTTCAGCGTAATTATTCTCACCTCGCTTTTGTACGCAGCAAACTTCAAAATATTGTATGGCTCCAAATGCCTAATCGCATTGAGCGAGACAGGATTTCTCCCTAAAATAGTGGGCTTCAGATCCAAAGAAGGAGTTGCCCCTATTGCAATCGTCGCTGCCTCTATGTCAGGGTTATTATCCTTCTTTCTGAATAACCAATGGGTCGCTCTTGCTCACATCATTTTGAGCAGGTTGTGCTTTTTGTGCAGCGTATTCTTGTGGATCTTCATCGTGGCTAGTTACATTCACTTAAGCAAGGTTTACCTGCTCAAGACATTAACCAATGAGTTAGTTTCCATGAAGGAGAGGTTTCCTACGCAGCTTTTCGTGCTTAATTGCTTTACGGTATTGAGTGTGGTGCAAGTTATTGTGCTCAGTGGGAGCAATGCTTGGTACGGTACCTGGTTCTCCCTGAATTCTTGCTACATTTCAGTGATTGTTTTTCCGCTTGTTGTTACTGGCTTGAAGCTTCACTGGAACGAGGCATTGTTCGCACAAATGACTGACTTCAACACGTTTGAGGGCCTGAAACCATTGGCTTTGAGATAGAAACGCTAACAACTAAATGAATTCCCACTGTACAGGGGGAAATTATTGGTCAATGTTGATACAGCAGTAGAAATGCCCCTCGCTACTTGTCGATATCACTCAAGGCCTGATTGCTGATCACTATTTTGAAATGGCTGCGAAAATGTCGCAAAATCAGCAGAAGAAAGGAATTATCCACAAGTCATCACCGCCCTAAAGTTCATGTAACCGTGCATCAAGTAGCTCTGGTAGCCTTGATAGCACCCAAATACCAGTGAATCATTTGTAATCCAATTATTTATTCAATTCGAAGATTGTAGTTCCAAAAGTACATCAACTATGGGAGTGTAAAACAATTATTGGGCGTTGTATCCAAAATTAGAGGCTTAAATGGCTCACCTTTGTTAAAACTTACGAATCTGAGCTCTACAGCCTCTTCTGGAGTTGAACCCTCCCGTTTCAGCCGTGGCTGCACGGAGTCATTGTTCCGTCCATCAGCCCCCAAAGCCCATTTTTGAACCTCCTAAGAGCCTTCCATCCGAGCATCATCCAGAGCATCCCCGTTACATATGTTTTCAAGCCCGGAGGCGCGAACCTTCCCGAACCCCCCAACCACCAGCTTTTCCCACCATCTTCATTGAAACCAGTTTTGTGTGCGCACGCCCCCTTCAGATCAAATATTATCATCCACCACCACTCATTACCAGCACAGGCAATGTTCGGAGCAAGCTACTGGCTCCTGTTGACCGCGCTTGTCGCGTACTTCGTCTACACCCTTACCTCAGTGTGTCCCATAAATGACCCATCACCGCTTTCCATCGATACGCTTTTCCACAAATCTCCAGTCACATACCACACTTGTGTGCTCAGCCATGAGTACTTGAAGCCGGTGTATCTCGCGGAAGTGCTTCCAAGGTACCAACATAATGTCGAACCAGTGTTGAAGGACATCGACAGCAAGCTTCACTTGACATTTGTGGCTCAATCGCTCCGTCAGATGGTCGATTCTGTGGCCAGGAACCACAGAGTGGCTGCTTTCGTGGAAAACAGAATAGCCAACGCCCAGTACGTCATTGACGGCTCAAGTGCATGGCTTGAGCCCAGATCAACACGCTTGAGAGCCGTTGCCCGGGGCAAATTGGCCTATTACTGGGCCTTGGCCAAGGTGTACTTGCACCAGACAGTTGAAACCATACAGGTGTACTACTACGATCTCAGTGGCAAGGTTGCCGTGGCAGTACAGCCCTACTCCGAGAAGGTATTGGATTCCGAGTGGGTGGCTTCAGCCGTTTTCTGGTTCAATCGCCTGGTAGAAGCGTTCTGGGCAAAAGCCAACTCTCACTACCTCCAGGAAAAGAGAGACTTCATCAAGTCTGAGTTCAAAAACTTGGTGAAATTCGACGAATTCGGGCTCAGCAAATCCCAGCCTGTGGACGACATCGCGTCGTTGTTGGTCGAAGAACCAACTGCCTCCAGTGAGGATGAGATCGAAAGAGTCACGATTGTACTCACCTCCACTTTAACTGCCACCGCTACCCCCACCGAGGTTGGTATCAGTGTGGAGGACTACCAGGACTACGATGTGATCAAGTTGAACCAAGAATTGGAGCTCTGGGATGGCAAGGTTGCCAGAACGTTGGAAATGGCCGCCAACAACTTGGAAGTGGAAATGAAGCCTGTTATTGATCAAGCAATTCTTTCCATTAAGGATGACATCAGCTCCAAGATGCAGCAGTTGCAAGTAGAGAACTACAAACAGTACCAGCAGCTCAACAAAATGATCAAGGAAATCAGCAAGGATTACGAGAGAATTGAGCAAACCAATGACACCACTATTGAAAGCGTAACTAGGCAAGAAGTCAGAGATGTGATTGCAAAATCGTACCAATTGCCAGAGGAATTGGCTCTGACTATCCAAAACGAATACCTTATTAAAGCCCATGAGTATGTGACAAACAACTATTTTAGGGTGATACAAGACACCATTGATATCTTGGAGACATTTGCTGAAAACACCATCCAAGACTTCTCGAAGCTGTTGACGACGTTATTGGCCGAATTGAACTTTGAAAACGAGGAGATTGACTGGCAAGCATGGAAACAGTTCCACAGGGTGAAGGAGCAGTTGTTCGATTTCCGCGACAGCATTATGGATACAGCCAATGAGTATAAGTTGAACAAGTCCAACAATAAGGAATTGCAGACTATCGGATTACAAGTATGGAATGAGTACTTGAAAAACGTTGAGTTCCATATCAACTTTTTGCTCAGAGACAATGATGACTATTTGAAGTTGGCCAGGGCCAAAGCGAATGTCGCTTTCCAATTGAGAGAAGGTTTGGTAAGGGGACTTGAAGCGAAGAAGGTCGAAGAAGAACCCCAAGCACAGGCAGATCCAATTGAGTCCCAACCGGAGACTTCAGTAGAAGAGCCCATTGAGACCCAACCAGAGCACCAACCAGAGTCAATTGAGAATCAACCGGATGTTTCAGTTGAGGATTCTACCGATGCCCAACCAGAGACTCCATCAGTTGAAGAGGCTATTGATTCCGAACGAGATGTTTTAGTTGAAGACTTCCTCGATGACCAACCAGATTCGATTGAGACCCAACCAGATGTTTCAGCGGAAGACTCCGTCGTTCCCCAACCAGAAGAGCAGCCAGACCACCCACACGCTCAGGAGAAAGATACAATTTCGGAATCCGCAATTAAAGATTCGCAGCCGGTATCGCATCCCCAGTCGCCTGAATCGCAGGAAACTCCGGATCATGCAAGCACGGCTGAAAGCGTGGAGGCTAGTGACGAGGAAAATTCCGAATCTCGGGAAAACATTGTTCTTGAGGCTGTGGAGACCGTGATCAACGCCCCCACCGAAGACGACTACGAGTCCGTTCCGTTTGAGGCAGTTTCAGAAGACGATCATGAGCTTGTTGAGGAAACAATCCCGGCGGACGTGGAGGAAAGTGGAGACGAGGATGAGTACGAAGTAGAGGAAGTTATTGTCGAAGAGGAAGAGGAAGAGGAGGAAGAAGAAGACAAAGAAGACGATGAGGATCTCGCCAGCGAGGCGGAGACATTCTAGCGACGCTCGCTCTGTACCCAGCCCCACAGTGTATACTAATATCGATGTAACAATAACGTGGTGACCAGGGGCCACACAATACAATAAGCCACGAAACTCCGTAAACGTCGATCGTGTGGACCTGCCGATTCCGTAAATGTCATTCCGTAAATGTCAAGTCGTAAATCTTCGACTGCAAATCGTCTATGTGCGTTGGCGTGGCCGGAAAATCTAGGTCAGAAAGTCATCCCGATATTATTTGTGCAGTGTTGACTGTCGATTGACAGTTAGGATGGGCGTTTTTGTTGGTGACACTTAGGGGTCATCCTGATCCCGCAGGGCTGGGGCGGGTTAATAGTCTAATTAGATTTTACGGAGTGTCAGAATTATTAGATAATATCAGATAGGGGAGGATAGTTTAATTTCGGTAATTTGGCAACATCTGAATAGTCAGGATACAATAGTCAGTTTCAAGATAATATCAGGCGGCCCTGTAGTTATTATTAGAATGTTTCCGTAAATGATAATAACAGGCCGCTATTTTCAGGATGGCTCCGTAAAATGAGCATTCCGTAAATTGATAATATCGCAGCTGCCCCGTAGTATTTTCGAAACGAATTCATCAACGAAGGCCAGTAATATCGGCTGTTGTAAAGCGAGAATATCAGTAGCAGGCGATATTACTTAGATTATAACCACCTGGCCCCGTCGTTCGTTTACCGGAATATTTAATATCACCAACCCCAGACTAATTAGATAATATCTACTAATATCCCAGGCTGTTACCGTAGATGGAATCACTACTACCCCATATTAATTAGATAATATCTCTACTGCAATATTTTCAATACGCCAGCCTGCTAGTCGATGCAATTAATCCTGGACAACTATTGCATGCGGTCAAACCAATGACTTATTTTCATCTAGTTAATCCTGTCGTATTTTCAGACCTCCACTTCATTCTCTGCCATTCTGTAATCGTCATATTTTCTCCACCATCCAATGTCACCTGCCACAGTCAATCGTCCCCTCTACCAAAGTCCGTGGCGATCTTTTGCGGCTCCCCACTCCTGTGCTCGCTCGCTGGTGTTATCAGCTCGGCACTGGATGCGATAAGCTAATTAACATCTGATAAGACTGGCGTGGTGCGACAACGCCAGCCGTCGGTGCGATGGGCCGACGGGACGGTACTGGGGCGAAATTGGCCCGGCGGGACGGACGACGTAAACCAGTGCCGATCTCTGCCAGGTCCAGCGGGTTGGACCAGGATAGAGGCCATAATGGGACGATCGTGTGAATAGTCACCGAGTCAATCAATTAGCACCAATATTGTGGGTTACAACCAGGCGAGCGTGATTGGCCGATAGAGGCCCGGCGAAAAGGTACAGGACTAACGGAAGCGGCTATTGCGACATGCCTAATGGGGCAGTTGGCGGTGGCAATGCGAGGTGCGCAGGCGGCTGAAAACGACCAGGATTGTCGTGACAGCGGAGGTGAAGGTGTACGGGTAGGAGGGTGAAGGCTTACGGGTAGCAAGGTGGTGGGGGTTGGGCCGGATTGGCTGGCAGGGAGGTGTGAAGTGTGCTGTCGAAGATTGGCAGCAGTTTAGAGGGTGGAGGTTGGCTTTGGCCGCCCGAGGATTACTCATTAATCCAGCCGCCCGTCCTAACCGGACGGTGCATCTGAGATTTGGCGGCCGGTGCAGTTGCAGCTGGACACCTCCTGAAACACCCGAGTGGAGGGCGCCCAGACCCGAGGGTGGGCCTCCTGCACAGGAACCGGGGCCGTGATTGGCCCTGATAACAACTCACCCCCTTGCTATCAGGATGCGGGTTTTCTTTTTCCCTCCCGAAAAAGAAACCTCCGGTTAGAAGCTACTTTTGCGGTCTGTGATCACCGCAAGAAACCTGTCCTACTCCGCTATCAACTTATCGCCAGACTATATATATCGACCCTTCCCAGATCCATCCTACTTTTCTTCAACTCATCAAGTTCTTTGCATTGTCAACTTGCTTCTGCATATCTTATAGACCATGGTTTCCATTACCGAACAAACTGCTATATTAGCCAAATACTTGGACCTCAACCAAAACGGAAAGGTCTTAGCTGAATACGTCTGGATTGACGCTGAGGGTAACACCAGATCAAAGTGTAAGACTTTGAACAAGAAGCCCTCCACTGTCGACGACTTGCCAGAATGGAACTTTGACGGTTCTTCCACTGGCCAAGCTCCTGGCCACGATTCTGATGTCTACTTGAGACCAGTCGCCTTCTACAACGACCCTTTCAGAAAGGGTGACAACATCATCGTTTTGACCGAATGTTGGAACAACGACGGTACCCCAAACAAGTTCAACCACAGACACGAGTGTGCCAAGTTGATGAAGGCACACGCCGACGAAGAGGTGTGGTTCGGATTGGAACAAGAATACACCTTGTTTGACCAATACGACCAGCCCTACGCCTGGCCAAAGGGTGGTTTCCCAGCCCCACAAGGCCCATACTACTGTGGTGTCGGAACTGGTAAGGTCTACGCCAGAGACGTGATCGAAGCCCACTACAGAGCCTGTCTCCACGCTGGTGTGGAAATCTCCGGTATCAACGCTGAAGTGATGCCTTCCCAATGGGAGTTCCAAGTCGGTCCTTGCGAGGGTATCAACATGGGTGACGAGTTGTGGATCGCCCGTTACTTGTTACAAAGAGTCGCTGAAGAATTCGGTGTCAAGATCTCCTTCCACCCTAAGCCATTGAAGGGCGACTGGAACGGTGCTGGCTGCCACACCAACGTGTCCACCAAGTCTATGAGAGCCCCAGGTGGTATGAAGGACATCGAGTCTGCTCTTTCCAAGTTGGCCAAGAGACACAAGGAGCACTTGTTATTGTACGGTGCCGACAACGACATGAGATTGACTGGACGTCACGAAACCGCCAGCATGGAGGCTTTCTCCTCCGGTGTTGCTAACAGAGGTGCCTCTGTCAGAATCCCAAGATCCGTGGCCAAGGAAGGATTCGGCTACTTCGAAGACAGAAGACCTGCCTCCAACATCGACCCATACTTGGTCACCGGTATCATGGTTGAGACCATCTGTGGCTCCATCCCAGACGCTGACATGTTCAAGGAATACGCCAGAGAAACCTCTGACTAGACTCCTTGATAGATACTTTTGTAACGTGTATACACCCTTCTAATTCTCCCATCTCGTTTTTAGTTTGATTTGCTTGTGGCTTAATCCAAAAGTTTGTGCTTTAATGTATATTCTTCACCTAGTGTGAACTGAAACCTTTGAGTAGATCGTGGTGATTCCGGGGTAGCTTCCAGATTGGGAAATTAGTCACATCTACATGTCCAGAAATCACTCTCCTGAGACTATGTCATAAATCACTCAAATAGACAATGTTCAGAAATCACTCAAACGGATATACCGCAAACCCCTCGTTCCAGAACTCCCTCAGCAAACTACACCACCCTCTTGTTCCTCGGCCTTGGCCTTAGCAAGGCAAGCCATCCCGTCATCAAGTGTACGAGCCCGTCCATACCGCGCTTAGCGATTTTGTCTTGTCATTTCTGGAAATCCGGTTGCGAGAGGTAGCTGCGCCCGCGCCCAGCGCGCGCCCAGGGCGCACCCAACGCTCCTTTGGCGGCTCGCAACGCCTGACCCATCCTTCTTTGCGCCCGTCACGTGTGATGCTTCGGGACATCTCGCTTGTGATTTCTCCCGTGTCACCAGTCCCCGAACGGCTGGCAAAAACCTTTCGGCACCGGCCAAATTCTCGCCGCTGGACTCCCGCTCGGCTTGCCCATTCCGAACTTTGTTAACATCCAAATTTGCTAACTCCAGCTTCCTCTAGGCCATACATAGATGCGAAAATTTTTCTCTTCGGACCTCTGGATGTATTGTCACGCCAGCTTCTTATTCTATTTCGGGTGGTCGGATTCAGCCTGGTAAAGGTGCTTGCACGTGAAGTAAAATTTTGCATCCTACGCTTTCCAGCAACATCCTGCTTGAGAGGTGTTGAGTTCTTTTTTTGGACGGGTCATTTTTTATGCTTCGGGAAATGGGATATCTGGATCACCGGGCGCAGAATGCATGCCCTGTGAACCATTTCCCGACTGACGCACATTGTCTGCTATTTTTGCACCCAATGTGAGCTTGCCAAAATTGGCTGAGGATACAGTAAGCGAGCATCTCCGAGCTCTCAATGAGGACTTCAGTAACGAAAATGTCGTCTTGACCCGGGAAAGCCCAGTTCCGAAGGCAACATTTGTCGAATCAGGCACACTAGTGCCTAGTCATGCTCAACAGCTGATAGGGTTCGTATTTTAGTCGTTTCGTCATGTATCCTAGATTCACACTGATGGATAATTTTTCGAGTGAAATTTCCAGCGAGTCAGCTAGCAATATGAAGGGACTATTTGCTAGTTCCTGGAAGGTGTAAATATGCTTTACTCTGAAGTGGATATAGCAATAAGAACGGTGAATACGGAGGTTGTTTTAATTATCAAAAGCTGGGGATGAGACTCATGCTTATTGTTGAGTGTATCGTTTTTTTTAACAGCTTTGATGTATTAGTACGCTTCTTCGGAAAGTTGAGGTTTGTTGGCCTTAAGACCTTCAATGTAGGTGAAAACTTGGCCAATAATTTTTGTAAATTATCTCTAGTTATAGACGCATCATCAGCATTGTTATCTTCGCCCTTAGAATTAGGGTAACGAAAATCGTATCTTAATTCAAATGATAAAGGATACTCTGTATAGTAGCTTCTTGCTTAAGTTTCTCGAACTTACCCAGACTGGTCCAGCAAAGCGAATAATACTGCTTGTAAGAGGTTCCATTTACAAATGGCACAGAAGTCTTTGAAGGTTGTAGTTTCTAAGGAGTACACGCTTTACAACATCAACGCCAGTCGTTTTATAATCTGATAAAGTGTTTGTTTATGATGTGAACAGTTCAAGTAATCTTATTCTCGAGGAGATCTCAAAGTACTCCACCTAAGTTTGAGATCTGCAATAGAGCATTTAATGCATATTCACTTGAAGATAAGTGGATGTATGTATCACCTCTGTTGCAGCAGTTTCATCTCAACAAACCACAACCATACAATCTAGTGAGTTACCTATCATGAACAGTTCAATGCCTTTATAACAATATGGCTCAAAGTACACTTGTCAACGTATATTTCTAAAATCACATTCCTGTTTTCCAACAGTCGCTAAACATTCTACTACGTCATTCCCATTACTGGTAATCGCTGGTTTCCAGATTTGAGTAGCTAGCTATAGTCATCAGGCATACGTAACATCTTTGCCTTGACAAAGCACAAAGTAATCATTTCTATTTCGGTAAATGGGTGGAGACCCTCTACAGTCCTGAAATTCATGAGAGAACTGGTATAATCAATTCTCTCTCGTTGGAGTTAAAAATTGAAAAGTAGCTAGATTAGTTAGAGATTCACAACTGCTGGATAATATCCACTATGTTGGTCTAGTTAAATGAGCACGTAAATGGCGCTACCATGAATCTAAAGGAACCGATCCCGTGGGAAACCCCCTCTCCTGAGCTTCCAGTTTCCACTATATTCCTAGGTCTTCTGGAAATAACAATTGTGACTAACTATATCAGCTTAAAAAATTGGTGCGGGAAGTGTCCTTCTCTGCAAATGGGAACTTTAACACTGTAGTTTATAGTGCTTTATGCTAATGGGAAGTATATTATACTCTACTAACTATTTACCTATTGCAATAGTGCACTGGCTAGATACTGAAGTTCTCCTTAGAGCCACCAAGTATGGATATTTTTGTGCAGAAGGAAATTCTGTTTTCTAATTTTTTTTTTTTTTTGCTAATGGGAAGTATATTATAATCTACTGACTATATACCTATTGCAATGGATAACACACCATTATGGTCAAACCGTTATAATTCAATTAATTTT